ATATTAAGCTTTAAGCGAAGAAAAATTTAATCTCGGTCCCTAAGATAATAATACTCTATTAAAATTAGAACTCTCCTAATATCGATCGTATAGTAATAAACTAAGTAGTATCTAAGAGAGCTCGCCGAGACGAGTACGAAGATATAATTATTATCCTTAATATCCTCTAGAAAGACTAAATATTCTACCGTTAAAGTTTTAAATATTCCGCGGTCGGAGTGGGCTTTTTCGCCCTTCCTAATTAGCCCTTTTAAACATTTCACGGTGTAATGTTTAGGTCATTACTGATAGGAAGAAAGGAAAGGGTACAGCGCTATACTTTTATATAGCGACTACCCTTACTAAGCTCTCTAGTATACTAAGCCGCTACCTAAGTAGGCGGCTAATTAGGGTACTATCTTATCCCGTATATCGTCCGGGACAATACTAGCCAATCATACAGTCCTTCCTTCACTTAGTACGATATGGACAGATCTGGTAGTACTGCGTTCAGGCCCGTGACAACGGTAGTGATAATAGTGGCGCGGTGGGGAAACGCGTATCGCGAATCTAAGTTATCGCGAAACCTGTATGGTGGACCTATAGTACTGATTCTTACCCATGCGGCGGAGATGCGGGGGAGATATAGATGATCGCCAAAAGTGAACTAAAGTACCTCGGAAGCTCCGTGGTCATACCTACTTCTAGCTTCTACCAAAGGCTGATTACCTTTATGTTCACCTCCTCAGTACCTCCTCAGTACCTCCTCAGTCCTCAATTATCACAAGTAGTACTTTATCAGCTATGAATACAGGAACCGAAAGCTCCCACAGCTATCATAGTAATTACTTTCCGGTCCGCCGCATTGGTCAAGCTTGCGTTTCATGCAGGTTCGTTTATGTCTTCTTCTTCAACTCCCGGGTCCTGCTGAACTTCATCTAAATTTCGCAGACGTAGAAAATCTCGATGTACAGGGGAGCGTCCTACATGTGGACATTGTCGTCGCCTGAGACTTGGTAATCTGGACTTGTGTCAAAAGATATTGCATCTGACCTTTTTTAGACTGTGTTTATCCCGACTCAACCGGATCAAGGAGTAGCGTGGAAGAATCTGCCTCCTCAATCCGACATGGCTCTGGAAGTACTGTGCGTACATGGTTCCAGTCATTTTCCTCTGTGTCGCCTAAGCTAATGGAGCTTATAGAGCCAGGACCAGGGTCAGGTCAGAGTCCGCTTAGACGCTATCGAAGAGCGGCTAGATCATTTTGGAACTCTACTTCAAAGGTGAGGACTATTTAACTCTTATAAATTGCCTGTGGCTATGATTGACCACTTCGTTTTCAAGTATTTTGGATCTCCTAGTCAAAAAAACTTCCGATGATACTATCCTCCATGAGAATGATACCGCGGCTGAGCGGCCTCGAAAGAAGCCACGCAACACTGTAAAATCTTCTGGAAATGACATCAATGATGACACAGCAGCAAGCACTCCATTACCAGCTGATCCTTCCATACCCAACGAGATCCTCGAGGCTGTCGTCGAGACATACTTCACCTACTGCCATAATCAACCATACTCCTTCTTTCACGAAGGAAATTTCCGTCACCGTCTATTGACTGACTCCCTTCCCGAGTATTTGATCCTCGCTGTCTTTGCGTACAGTGTTCGCTACTGTGCACATTCCTACTTCGCCAATAACCCGCACGAAATGTCTGTCTTGTATGCGAACCAATCCTGGAAGTCGGTGGTAAAGAATTGCTTTACTGCGAACAAGGCAGCGGACCTTTCCATTGTGCAGACGATAGCTCTTCTAGCACTGTTCGACTTTACAGGTGAGGATCATCCCTAGGCGCTAAGAGACAGACACTGACCGTCACATCCGCCAGCTGGTCAAACCCGCCATGGCTCGGCTTGGGTGAAGATAGGAATGGCCGTCAGGATCGCTCAAGATCTCGGCCTCATGCTTGATGCTAGTCCCAACCTTCCTTCTCCTGATCGGGAAGAGCGACACAGGACTTTTTGGTCTGTCTACCTTCTCGATCGCTTGGTCTCGTGCGGACGTGGCCGGCCTCCAGCAATTGTTGATTCATCCTGCCACTTACAACTCCCCTGTGACGACGCGATTTGGAAAGAAGGACAGTGGAAGAAAACACCAACCCTGGACGAGCTCACCAATCGTACCATGGTCAATTCAGAACCTCAAGGCTATTTTGCTCACGTCATCGTCTTAGCTTATACCCTCGGAAGGGGAGCACAATACATGTTACAAGATTTCAACATTCGGAGCCGCTGCCCCCCATGGGACCCCAGCTCGGATTTCGCAGCCATCGAATCAGACCTTCTGCATCTCGAAACGCGACTAGAAACGTCCAAGCCGGTCCAAGAGATCCTCGCACCTCACATCGACGAGTACGGCGTTGTTGACCACCAAAGAATTGGACACATACTGTTCGCCCGAGCACTGTTCCACCTCTCTTATTGCATGCTTAATCACCCTTTCCTGTTGAGGAGGCGTATTGAAAATAGTCGGATGACGGCTCCAAGCAGCTTTTTGGCGCGGACAAATCAGACCGGATTCGTGCACGCACAAAGTATGCTTGAACTCATTCGCCTTGCTCGTACCATGGGCTGTGTCTTTCAGTCTTCCTTCAGTGGTTACTGCATAACCGTCGCAGGGTCAATCGCCCTGCTGCATATGCGTGGTGACGGTTCCCAATTAAGTTCAACAGCCCGAAGTCTGGTACATGAAGCCATTTCGTACTTGGAGGACGTGGGTAGGTATTGGAACAATGTGTCGACCATGGTAGGTACTTTCGATGCGCTTCCCGCGGAGCCTGATTATACAGAATTGTCCTAATAACGTCTTTCGACCATTCTACTAACATAACCCAGGCCACTATTCTCCGCGAAAGCGCCAAGAACGCCGTCGCTTTCGAAGACTTTCGCACCTCCTCGCCTCAAATTGCCCCCTTGTCCGGTCCCAACACAGATACGATGTGGAGACTCGTTGACTATAGCACAATGTCGAATGAAGTGGCAGCAGGACTGAGGGAGACTCTCAATCCCGATGCAGACATGTGGTTGGACTCTTGGACCGACCTGTTCGGCATTATGGATGCTACCACGGCCGATTTTCCTACTTTTGCAGATGGCATGGGTGACCTCTATGATGGGCTTGGATAGTAAACATCCTTTCCTATACTTACAGCCTCTGATGCATGGCGGCTACGAAATATTCTGGTGAAAAATTGGGAGACTTTTCTTTACGCTAGCCAATGCTCTCTCATTGGCAAGTAAGTTTTCCCCTTTGAATAAGCCGAACGACAGCTCTCAACTGAGACAGCTTGACCATTTGTCTCGCAATTCTCCGCAATAGATACAGGCTAGAGCACAACTCTCTTCTTTCCTGCTTTTGGGCTATAGCAAGTCGGGGTCGCTCTGCTCAACGGCTTAGCAAATCGGTCACAAACTGACGATTCCGTGAATGCGATCGATGTGTAATCATCTAGACAGCATCATCATGCCCATCACCGAGCCGCTTACTCTTCCCTTTCTCGGACCACGGAAAATGCGCCACCGGGACTATGAAGAAGCTGTTGGACGTGTCCGCAATACCAGCAAACGCGTTGTACCATGCCAAGAAGGACGTGACGATACCAAAGCCACCGCCAGCGTGCGTTAAGCCTCTGTGAGGAGCGCCGTTCTGCGGGTATAGATAGGCGCAGCTGAGCATCAAGAGTGCAATGTCGAGCATGAAGAACAGCGAGCAGAACGCCACGGTAGACTTAAGAGTGCATAGCAACAGGATTGTGGTGAAAATAAACCAGCCCTAGACAGGTTGTTAGACTGGTGACCCGCGGTTGAAGGAGTCGAGCGATAATACCATGAGGAAGAATCCAATCGAGTTCAGCCAGGCGGCTTGGCCAGCCGCTTCCTCGACAGTCGCCTCGATCTGAAACCCGCCTGGGGTGAGGATAATGGCGAAGGCGATCCAGAAGCCACCATATGAAGACAGTGCGGTAGCTCCGAACGTGTTGCCAATGGCCATCTCCCTAGAGCCAGCCAGAATGGTGAGCAATCCTAAAGCCCTTAAAGATTCCACGAAATAGATTCAAACTCACCACATCCCGGCAAGCAGTTGAACAAGGCCACCATAACTGAACGCCAGAGAAATAATGATGCTGGGCACGCCGAGATTGCGAACTTGCAGATTAATCAAGCTGAGAACAAAAGTTGTCAGTGCGAAGGCTGACAATCCGAGCGGAGCTGGATTGGCAAATTTCCGTTGCGAGACAGATCGATAGAGACCAGGCTGCATCTCGCCCCCGAAAGCTACGCCGGCGCGAGTCAGTGATCAATTGAGTGGGCATTTAGATTCGTCTTCGGAAGTCCTTACCTGGAAGATCTGCGGATATGTTAGTTCGCATGTGAGCGAGAGGGCCGTGGCCAAAGTCGAGTTCCATTTGCGAAGTATATTCTGATTGCTCGCAGGGTTGGACATCTCTCTCATGTAGTGCGGTGCTTTCCTTCCGGGTGGCCATGATCATGGAAGGACTTGGTTCAATACGGATGCCACAGAAGAGAAGGGCAACAGGAAACTTCTTCCCAGAGCTTGTAGGGTTATATCCTGTTAAATTGTCTCCGTGTCAGGCGGTGAGAGTATGCAGTCCAAGCCTGGGTGCTGGAGCTTGTTCTTCAGAAACATGGGTTTTATAGGAGCTGTTATCACGCAGGTGGAAGCACCGTTTTGGATTAGAGTCCCTAGATACTCCTGCATGGAGTCTGGACTGTAAAGACCGGTCCGGCCGAAATCTTCACGGTCCGGCCGCGAGCAGATCAGTCTCGGGTCGAGCTTCAGCCCTCCTTCTAGGCCGACCTTAACATTCTAAGAATAATTGATAAGAGATCGCCTACACGATCACTTCGGACAAAGAATATCAGCTAATGAAAATTCCAGTGCTATATAGTTTTCAACCCCGTAAAGAAGCCAACGGTGGTAACTCGCATGTGTAGTCGTAGAGACGAAGCAGACATCAGAAGGTGGAGTTATAGGCCTTTCGGCCATCCAATACCTCTTTGTAGATAACCCATTGTGTCGAATGAGTTATATTTTATGAGCCTGTTGAGTTCCTCCAGGTGTCTCGGCGTTTGACTGTCCTTGACCTATTGTGACAACCAGTTTTCCAAATTGGCTCTGGTCTTTCATCTTGTGGAATAACTTGTCCAGTTCTCCCAGATCTTCCAAAGCATTTTCGACTACTGAAGAGATGATAGGAACGATACGATGGTCCTTCACGAACTGGACCATGTCCCCAAATTCCTTGCGAGATCCTCCGGTAGAGCCACGTATCTCGATGTTCTTCAAAACAGCACCCATCGAATAGGTTACTTTGGGGCCGAGGGTCATGCCATATGAAACTATGACACCTCCTTGCTGCAGGGAAGGCAGTCAGTCGGATTGTGAATAGGAGCTAAATCTGAGGTTTCGTTTCACTTGCCTTGAGGACTCTTGTACCATTAACCACCACATCGCCGCCTGCTCCATCAATAATGGCATCAAAGAAAGGCCTTTCGGCAGGCAACACCTTGACAAGCTCCTTCTCCCACAGGTTGGCATTGTAATTCACCCCTCCACGGGCGCCGAGGCGCCTGGCTTTCTCGAGTTTCTCGTCTGATCCACTTGTCACATAAACGTTGGCTCCCATTGCTGATGCAAACAACAACACCATCAAAGCCACACCACCTCCAATGCCTGTGACTAGGATATTCCGATTTGGAGCTGCCGCTCCACTCTTAGTGACAAGAGCTCGCCAGGCAGTCAGTCCGGCGAGTGGCAAGGCAGCAGCTTCGGTGTCAGTCAGGTGTTCTGGAACCTCCACAACCTCAACCCAATTGGCACGAACAGTCTCAGACAAAGTTCCCTGCGGGTGAAACTTGGTGCCTCCGAGATATCTATATCCCGCCGAGTCCTCGGGTCCTTCGGGGCTGCATTTCCACCCGATGCCTGGGTTCAGAATAACTCTCTTTCCCAACCACCTTTTGGCATTGGCTGACGATCCTGTCGCAGCGACGACACCGCAGCCGTCGGACAGAAGAGGAACCCCAAATGTCGTACCGGGATAGAGATGTTGTCGGATGAAATAGTCTCGATGGTTGAGAGCTGCTGCCGTCATTTGCACAATAACCTCCTCTTCTTCGGGTTCTGGGTCGACGTAGGTCATTGTCTCAAGCGGATAGTACACCTCTCCGGGGACGCCCTCGACTCTTCGGATAGTTACAGCGTTTCGCGGCATTCTGACTGAACTCTCGTTTCTCGAAGGAGTGACAAAGGATTTTTTGTCGATAAAGCAAGGCTTCATGCATGTGTCCATCAAAAAGGACAGAGGTCGTATTCGCAAGGTATATTCGGGGAAATGAACCCAACCGCCTCTGCCTGGCCAATCGATGGACGGTAAATCTCCCCTTCTTGCCTCGCGGTCCGGGCGGTCCGATTTATTTGCCCCGCTGATTCGTTGAAATACGTGGCTTACGTGTAAGAAGACTCGGCTTTACTGCGGCGCAGGACACAACTTCAAGGTGTCGACAAATTCGCAGTGAGTGATATTCGGTTTTCAGGCCGCTCTCTCAAGCCTCGGTCGACCTCATAAACCCTTCTGACGGGCCTCATAAGCGCGACGGAGTTTTGGCCGAAATGCGACGACGTGAAAACAGCGACAGTAGCCTCCAGAAGAAAGCCACATAAGTAGGCAGGATCCTTTCAAGGACTGCACTGTGTTGAGACATCGTCAAACTTGGGATCTTACTGTACGTATCAGTGTAAAACTATGTCGAACTCCAGGATGTCGCTTGTGAGGACGAGTACCGTCGGCTTCATCGGGTTGGGGGCGATGGGAAACCATATGGTAAGAGATTCCACACCTCTTGTTCCATTGGAAGTATTTGCTGATACGAAGCACCAGCTGAACAACCTCGTTACGAGTGCTGCGAAGAGTTGCAGCCAGTTCAAAAGTTTTGCTATTTTCGATGTAAATGAGAGTGCCATGAACCGCGAGATTCAACGACACTTGATGGAGCACCCTCTGATTCCCGTTTTGAAGTGCTCTTGTAAGGAAGAAGATCCCGATTTTGATTTTGGGTCACAGCGCTAAGTCGAACGCAGCCCCTGCAGAAGTTGCGACCAAGGCATCATACATCATCAGCATGGTCCCCACGTCAACCCACGTCCAAGACGTCTACACAGGCAAGAACGGTGTCCTGAGTGCCTTAAAAGAGCTCGATGAGGAGGCACGATCGCAAACATTATGCTTGGATCAATCAACAATCGAGCAGAGTGTCAGCAAGGCGGTCGCGCTGAAGATGCGAGAAGTGGGAGCCGACATGATGGATGCCCCAGTGTCCGGAGGTGAGCTTTTCTCTTCATGTCGGTCGTGGGGATCGTGCTAACTACTTTCAGGTGTTGTGGGCGCAAGAGACGGCACTCTTGCCATCATGGTGGGTGGTGACGAAGGGTCTTTCGAAAGAGCTCTCCCAGTCCTGTCACCGATGGCAAGAAAGGTGACACACTGTGGTGATCTTGGGACCGGCCTCGCTGCCAAAATCTCCAACAAGTAGGTTTCGTCTATCAGCATCTCGAATTATGATGGATATTGATGTTTGGGCATCGACAGCCTTCTGCTTGGAATCACTATGCTCGGTTTGAGGTAAGACATGCCATGGTCTCCCATTCAGGAATCCACCGTCCTAACGTGTCGACAGCGAAGCCACGCTTCTGGGTAGATCTCTTGGGGTAAAGCCCCAAGTACTTGCCGATATCATAAACACTTCCACCGGGCGCTGCTGGTCAAGTGAGGTATGTGGCCTTTGTCAGCCTCCCTGACAGGAGAGCGTGATTGAGGATCGTTTCGTCGTGTATCAAAACGAGCGCTGACAGTTACCGTTCAGACGAATCATCCAGACCCATCGGTGAAGGTTGGAGCCTCATCGCCTCCAGCTCATCGCAACTATGAAGGTGGCTTCGTAACCAAGCTAGCCCATAAGGACCTTGATCTCGCCGTTAAGGCAGCAGAGGGTGCCCATGTACCCCTCGAGCTCGGGAAGCGCTGCGAGGAGGTCTTCAGGCCACTGGCGCGTGATGAAGAATGGGGCAACCGCGACTTTAGTGGGGTGTTCCAGGCGCTGAGCAACTTCCGAGCCAATACTGGACAATCTCAGCCTGCATTGTGAGGAGTTTGCGAGAGCAACGTATTTATGTAAAAGGCTAGGATAGAATTTGGGAGCCCAGCATCACTCTGAATTGATTAAATGCTTATCCACGGGAAATGCTGAACTTCTAAAATGGCTCTCAAAGGTCTTTTTCACGAACCTATTTGTGTCTCGGTTCCCACAGGGGCGGCAGTATACCGCGGGAGTTTTAGATGTTGTGTTTCATTTGTGCCAAGCTTCTGGTACAAATGTCCTCCCAAGTTCAAGAAATAGGCTGAAGCTAATAACCCGAAAAGAGCGGAACGGGTTTGAAGAGGTCTTCTTCAAAGCGATGAGACGTCCTCCCCTCCTCCCTCCTCCGTCAGAAAACTCCTACTCACTTAGGGTTTTTGTTCACCACGACCTCCAGGTCAGATGTGACTCATGGCAGGAGTTTTGGTGTTTCCGGTGGTGGAACTTACCTGGCAAACTGAACTGACATTTACACTGAGTTTGAAGGCTGTGAGGCTGTGACTGGCGGATCGAATTTGAGTGGTACACCTTCACCATACGGGAACAGTCGCGGTGCTAGAGGAATTTAAGCCACATGATATAAGTTTTAGACAAGCCAAAGCAAATCTAGATTCATCATTACAGTGTGTTTTCGCTGTTACTAACAAAAGCTGTCTGTTGTGCGAAAGCATACTACTGGCAGACACTAGAACGCTGGAGGTTTAATTTCTTCAGTCCGAATGGTTCATGACGGGAGCAGCCGACTGAAGAAACGAGATTTCGTGACTCTCGTGGCGGCAGTTGGGCTCTGGAGCCGTCAGCCACCTAGGCGACACCGTCGGATCCTCAAACTGGAGCACTGGCTTGAGGAGTTCGAAATCCCCCCATTCGCCGTTCAGTTTTATAGTCCAAGGTGCGTCGTGGCCGAAGTATTCAGGAAGCACCCGTTGCCAGGCCTCGACAACGACGGCAAGAAGCTCCAAGACAAACAGTGAAGGATCCACGGCTCCCCACCTGAATCTGTCGTCACACTTCTGCGTCACCTCTGGGGAATACAGGCCCACCTCAGGCTCTAGCAGAATAGCAGCTGCAGCCATCAAAGAGGCAAACACGTGGTATGACCCGCCTTGACGGGCGCGGTCTCTGATGGCCATCATGGTCCCGATAGCACCGATAAGCCCGGTCAACATGTCGGGCACAGGTAATGCTGGAAGGATGCATGTGCCGTCGGTGTGTCCCAAGTATTTTCCAGTCACAAAGGAACAGCCACAAGCAGCATCGGCAATTTGCTGCCAGCCAGGTCGATCGCTGAACGGACCATCCGGCCCGTAGCAGTTCTCCTCCACATAGACGATGCCTTTACCCCTCTTACTGGCCATATCGAGCACTTCGTGGAGACCCAGCCCTTTTCTCTTGAGGACGCCAGGCCGGTAGCCTTGGATAAAAACGTCCGCTTCCTGGATCAGCTCCTTCAACTTTGAAAGATCCTCGGTGTTACTCAAGTCAAGGTCAGCTGTTTGAACGCCAGCGTTCAATGTCAGCTGCAGAGTATTGAAATCAGGAAGCCGGCTACAGTTAACACGGATGACATCTGCCCCTAGCGATGCAAGAGTGTTTCCAATAACCGGGCCAGCAATGATGCGTACCAACTCGACAACTTTGATCCCGGCCAAAGGTCGTTTGTCTCTGCTCGGGGCAGGGAAGAACGGCACGGCAGGGGTAGGCACCATGTATGGCACATGAGTATAGTTCACCAGTGGATGTTTGGAGAGCTCCTTGTGCATCTGTGTCTGCCTCCACGCTTCTGGCGTATGACACATACTGCCGCAAAGGCCCTTGTGGACATGAATCATCTCCAGTTGTTCAGGTTCGAATTTGCGTACTTCTTCGCCGATGATTTTGTACGCATCTTCGCAGCTCTCACACGGGGTGGCAGGGTCCAACCCGATTGCTCGAAGGACTGGATCCGCGTTGAGCGAGCCATGCAGCTGAAACCAGACGCCCTCCCTTTTCGTGGGGTAGCATGCAGTTGTGCGCAATCTCATGGGCGTCTTAAAAGTATCTTTTTCAAGATCTTTGGGGAAAATCTCCCCAAGTCTTCCACTTTTCGAAAGTTGCGGCACAGTGATACCATTGCGTTTAGTGATTGCAGTGGTGCCTAACCACAGAGCTGCGTGATCGGTATTGATAGTTGAATGATGGTTGGAACTGCCACCGTCTCTCTGCTCCAGAAGTTCCTTCGCAACAACTCCACACATGGCGTGTAGAGCGGCAGCAACAACGGGAGCTTTGAGCGGGCCTGGTGCGATTGGCTCGGCGCTGCCTTCGAACGAGACTGAGTCCCATAGACGAGGATCTTGCGTGAAGCCTGGAGTAGCTTTTGCGAGCAGCTCAAAGACACGGCGTGAGTCTTTAGGGATGTCGGGAGCATCGTTGTCCACGAACGTGCCAGGGCCCCATATCTCCGGGCTTGCTGTTATTTGCGGAAACTTAACGATCATTCTCGAGAGGTGCAAAATTTGACGGATGTTTCCACTTTCCTTTGGCGATAGAAGTAATGAAGAGTGAGAAAGGCATGGATATATGCCAGTCGATGGGGAAGACAGTTCCTTTAACTATGCTGGAGTATCCGTACCGTTGACTTGGATCCAGCAGCGGGAAGCCGTGTGCGGTCTCCGGGGACCCGAGAAAACCCCCGCTCACAAGTAGACAACGAGCCGAGGATACAGTGGATGATGGTGGTTACTATCTAAAAATGTATGATCAACGATATTGGGTAGGAAGATCATACAATGATTTGCGTGCTCGGCCTGGCCGGACCGGCCGGACCGACCGCCTTTACCTTTCAAGGGAGCAGGTGATGGAGTGACTGAAAGCAAAGCAGGTAAGTATGGATGAAACTCGGGGACAAGAAACGATAATCACAGGCTTATCGAGCTGGGTTAATCTCGACTTCTGTGCTTGTGAGGTGTTTTTTTTGGGAGGGTTGAAAATAACCGCAGGGTTCGTCTACCTTGCGTCTTACGAACTCACCATAGCAGACTAAATCTCTACCAAGTAGATCAATACCTTCGCGTTTCCTCCCGACTTCGCGAATCCAACCTAGTATCCATGATGCCGCCTATACTCTCCGGCTTCGAACTATACCCAATGGGATATTGCCGCTGAAACAGAAGCGGAACTGTTCCATTTCAGTGCACCAGCACACACATCCCATTCAAGTATATAAAACATCTTTCCATTGTCTATGTTCTGTCTCGGGGTGACTCGTCGCAACTCAACTTTTCTGGCCATCATTCATACTGATCAAGAGCCAGTAGCTCTCGCCCATCGCACCTTTCCACCTTTACCTTCGGAAAGCTCAACAATATACTAAAGGAAGTCATGCCTGGCGTTTTGAATCGCCCGAAGGTGTTGGCACCCACCATAGATCATGGCTCTCATGACAAAGTGCCCTCCATTAGGGACACTCCCAACTTCATCGACAATCAATTCATCCTCTCACAGGCAGATCAATGGTTCGACGTACGGGACCCTGCCACGAATTCTCTTGTCACTCGTGTTCCACAGTCTACGCAAGCTGAACTGGAAGCCGCCGTCGCCTCTGCTAAACGAGCGTTTCCCGCCTGGAAAGCAACCTCCATTATGCGTCGTCAACAGGTTATGTTTAGACTGACGCACCTGGTGCGCGAAAACATGGATCGCCTTGCGCGAAACATCACTATTGAACAAGGCAAAACTTTTGCTGACGCGAAGGGAGATGTTCTGCGTGGTCTCCAGGTGTGCGAGACAGCTTGTGGCGTCACCACTCAGCTCCCTGGAGAGGTTATTGAAGTGGCTAGGGACATGGAAACACGCTCATACCGCGAACCCTTGGGTGTGACGGCTGCAATCTGCCCTTTTAACTTCCCTGCCATGATCCCACTCTGGTCGCTGCCGCTGGCACTAGTTACTGGGAATACCCTTATCCTCAAACCCTCTGAACGCGATCCTGGATCAGCTATGATCATTGCAGAGCTCTGCGTGGAAGCAGGCGTGCCCCCTGGCGTACTTAATATTGTGCACGGAGCACATTCTACGGTCAACTTCATACTTGACGACCCTAGCATCAAAGCTATATCATTCGTCGGGTCGAATAAGGCCGGAGAGTACGTCTGGACGCGGGGAACTGCAAACGGCAAGAGAGTACAAGCCAACCTCGGTGCTAAAAACCACGCAGCTCTTCTACCTGATTGCAACAAAAATCATGCACTAAATGCTATCATCGGTGCCGCATTCGGCGCGGCTGGTCAACGCTGCATGGCATTATCTGCTCTCGTTCTTATTGGGGAAACGAAGAATTGGCTGCCTCAGCTCGTGGAAAGAGCCTCACAGCTGAAGTTCACTGGTGGCTTTGAGCCGGATGCTGACTTTGGCCCGGTGATTTCTCCAGAATCTAAAAAGCGGGTTGAAGATCTCATCGCTAGTGCTGAAGCTGAGGGCGCTACTATCTTGCTCGACGGTCGCGGACAAAAGCCCCAGAACAGCCGATTCGCCCAGGGCAATTGGGTCGGGCCCACCATTATCACGAATGTCAAGACACATATGAGATGTTATACTGAAGAGATCTTTGGTCCTGTCCTTGTGTGCTTGGCTGTTGATACTGTCGAGGCCGCTCTAGAGCTTATCAATAGCAATGAGTACGGAAATGGCGCTTCCGTAAGTTCTCTCTTCTTTATTGTATTGAGCTGATCAGTACTGATGTCGTTGAAGGTCTTCACTAGCTCTGGCTCGACAGCAACATTGTTTCAAAAGTCCCTGGAAGCAGGTCAGATTGGCATCAATGTTCCAATACCTGTGCCGCTGCCAATGTTCTCGTTCACTGGGAACAAGAAATCTGTGGCTGGAACTGGCATGGCCAACTTTTATGGAAAAGAAGGTATTCGCTTTTATACCCAATGGAAGACTGTCACGAGTCTTTGGCGCGCCGAGGACGCCCTTGCAACTGAAAAGCAAGTCGCGATGCCAACGCAGCAGTAGAATGTTTGGGCTGGGGGATTGCAATATTGTTGTCTGGGATATCCAAAACTCTCAGATCTGGTTTTGGCCGAAGGAACCATCGGTGCTGTTTACACCACAACGACGTACATACATGAAATGGCAAACCGCTTGCATTTGGAGCGATCTTTTCCAATGTTGAGCGGTAGCCAATCCTTACTAGATTTCTACTGCAGGGTGCGGAAGAAACATTTCCTGTTCTGATACTTCTGTATAGAGCTCAGGAAAGAGATCTCGCAGCACATCTTCCACTTCGTTATTGCTATATTGTAGTAAACCTTGCTGGTTGAATCCAACGCCGCCTTGAGCGGTTCGCGCTGACCCAATTTGTGGATCAAGTTCCAGTAGATTCTGCTCAGTACCGCTGTGGACAATATCTTCTGGCACAGACTCTCCGGGCTGATGGCTTTCTTCCGTCCCCCCTTCAATCGCATCAATGATCGCATTGGACATCTCATGTGGCGATAATCCCTGCAGTCTCTTGAACACTCGTTGAAGATGCCATTTGCTGAGCTGAACCTCGCATGATAGCTGCTGTAGGCTTATTTTTTGGCCTTGAGATGCGGTCGCCTTGATCAAATCCATAGCTCTGCGGATCTTGGCCAGTAGAGGATCATCCTCCTGCGATACCAGCAAATTGGGTTTGCAACGCTTGCAAGCCAGGTATCCGGCTTCCTCAGCTACTGGACCGCTGTCGTAGAAGACGATATTCGCCCGTCGTGCCAGCCGAGCTTTGCAGTCGGGCCGGCAGTATATGCCAGTTGTTTTGACAGCATATACAAACACTCCCACCGCGTCAGGGTTGCGAGAAACAACCGCAGACCATCGGTCCTTAGTGCTTGAGAAGGCCTGGTCTGACATCTGTAAGTGACTATTGCCTCTTCTGCTGCTGATTGCTGAGCGCTGGTATCGCGATGCTCGGGAGAATCGACGGATTTTGATATCCGCCCTGATGGTGTTCATCCTGTTGGGCTTTTGTTTGCTTACCGCAACTGTTGTGATGCGCTCTGACGGCTGAATCTGTCTGTTATGCTGATAGAGCTTGAGATATTGACAGGAGTCTTGGAGGCAAGAGCCTCATTGTATTCCCGGCCGTCTGAGCAATGGTAGCCTTTTTCTAATTGGTAATAACAAGAGCAACTCGCCGCGTGTAAACGAAGCGGCTGGCGGAGTTGCTCCGGTGCATTCCCTCCCCTTCCCGAATCCCGAACACTCAGAGCTTTGGTGTATCCATACTGCCGCCCGGTGAACGATGGCTATCAATTTGAGGGCCAGATGTCGGCCTAACTGGTGGGTTGTGCATTCAGCTGCCTGCTGTTGCTCCGCAAGCTAACGACAGTTTCGACTTTTGGGGGGCAAAAAAGGATCCTCCCATTGCGTTAGAAGTGACCAATGGCGGGCTTCCTTGGTGTACCTTTCACGGTTACGCTGTTCGCCTTTGTGCAAATGGACACTATCACCTCATGCAGATATCAGACTTTTATCCATTCGATGATGCTGATGTCCCCGCTCATGAATGACAAGCTGTAGTCGCTCAGTTGCAATAAAACAGGTCGGTTGAGTTGGATTCCTGTTCAATCATGCCTCGACCAAGGGGTATAAAGCCGTGAGCTGCCACCAAGCACGAGAAGTCGATATACCACAGCGATCAGAATTATCAACCAGGTTTCCTATTCTCAGTTTTCAAAAATTCATACTCCCTGACGGTCGCACTCAATATGGCTCACCATGAGATCTCGCCAGCAATCCTTTACTGGGGCACCCCAGTAGTGTTGATTAGCACTACAAACCCTGACGGCAGTGCCAACATAGGTCCAATGTCATCAGCTTGGTGGCTTGGGCACGGCTGCATGCTGGGACTGGACGCTTCTTCCCAGACCACGCAAAATATGCTTCGCACAAAGCAGTGTGCGTTGAATCTTACTTCGGACAATATGGCAGCAAATGTCAACGCATTGGCTCGAACCACCGGCACCGATCCAGTCCCAGGCTCAAAACAAGACAGAGGCTACGAGTTTGTCAAGGACAAATTCGGATGCGCCGGGCTGACGCCTCTGCCTTCAAAGAATGTCGCTCCACCCGGCATCAAAGAATGCCCCGTGAGCATGGAGGCAGAAGTAGTGGCGGTACATGAAATGTTTGGAGGAAGGACCGTGCAAGGTTTGATCCTCGCCATCGAGGTCAGGATTCTGCGAGTCAGCATCCATGAGGAACTCAGACTCATTGGCTTTCACAATCGCGTCGATGCGGACAAATGGAAGCCGTTGATCATGATGTTTTGTGATTTCTACGGCCTTAGGGATGGGAAGCTGAAGCATTCGAGGCTGGCAGAGGTCGAGGAGGAGTTGTATAGAGGACTGACCGAAACGACGGGGGAGATAGAAAATGAGGCGGACAACGATTTTGGGGAGCATGTGATCGGTCTGACTGCGTCATGCCATTAGAAGAGGCGTAGTGGGCAGATCTTCTAGATTCTATGCTCAGTGCAAGATAGACCAATATGAGTTCTCATGCACCAATACTACTCGAGACCAGGAGACACCGCCAAGGGATTGAGAGAGTCGTCGTTTAATCCCTGTGACGAAAATTGGGCCAATGCTTAAATTGGTTCTTCTAGCTGCGGCCGAGAATATCAATAGGGAGCTGGGTTTTTCGAGATCTTAACTGCTCTTTGTCCAGCGCGCCACGAGTGAGTACAAGGTTTCCGTTTCTGGACGTCTTTCACTTATCCCGGAACTTGCTGGCTGAGAGCTGCATGATCCGTATTTTCAAGTTGCACCTTTTGCTTGAAGGAAGGCCGTAGCGGAAATCTTGGCAGCTCTCAAATTGCGATTCGTTCTATGGTCTTGATGCCAGAAGGGATTCCTGGGTAGGGTCGTAGCTAATATCTTGAGCGCAGGATCTCAAGGCAGAAGGGGACGGTTTTTTCTAAATCTAGGGCTATGCAGGAGTATGCCGAGCCGAAAGAGGTCATCAACTTACATCTGGATGCTATTATGCACGATTTTGATTGGCGAGATTGTCGAAATAAGTGTTGCGGCGCTCAGGAGGAAATGATAGTCATGCGAGCTGCTGCGGCGACGCTGGACAAACTTGCCAGTTATCTGCCTCATGCAAAGGCTGAATCTATCACCTCAAATGTCCCAGATCCTCTGTTCCTTAACTCCATCTCAGCCAAGGTCACATTCCACTCAATGAAGCCGAGCTTAGGATACGCTTTATCAACCCAATCAGCAAACGAAGAGTATCTCATATCTTGCGAAATAGCTAACGCACAGCTGCAGACAAGCTTCAATAATTCTTGTTGGTGCATCGACTGTGGGACTACTTTTTTTGTATTCTCAGTTTTTCTGTGACCAGAAAAGATCTACCTAGTGGTCGCGTGCTAGCGCGCTAGCGCGTCCTGTGGCAGGCACTGGCGCAGTGTCACTCAGTCGGCTAACCTTCCCAATAGGGTTAGGGCAACATCGACTACACCTCCTCGTCACTACTGCAGCTCCTCTTTCAAGAAGGATTCCGTCTTGCGAGTGGACAAATCCAACCGGGAGTTGCCGAAGTAATTGTAAAAAGACAAGGCGTTCTTATGTGACATTTAACACTCGGACAGCAAATTGGATATCCACGCTGAGACTCTATAAGCAACCATTCTTAGGGTTATTGCCTTTTCTTTCTGACCTATACGACGTAGCTAGATCAAACGCGGCAAGACTGTGCATCTTTGAAAGAAGGCCAAACGTAACCCTTCTGCACTTTCGTATTCAAATGTAACACGACATTCCAATAGTCGGCCGGGCACGAAATTACAAGTAGAGGGACTACGTGGCTGAAACGAATTGGACGCCCAGAAAAAACCTGCTTGCGGCATGTTCGAGACCGTCTAACATGCAGAGCATTCAGATGTCGACGGTAGGGGAGGTTGCCACCCCTGCTTTATTGGCTCAGCTCTTGCGGCACCCATGTCTGAAGAGGAGTTTCTCTACTAAGAGTTTTCCACGTCATATTGTTTGGATAGGCATGTCCCGAGGGTGCGCGTGCGAATCTCTCGCTGCACTCAACTCCCTCTCGGTAAGTCGAATATGTTTGTGCGCAGTGTCAGTGCGAATTCTAGTAACCAGCCCAGTTCCTCAATCTCAGTGCCTTAGATGCACTGGAGATAGTCTGAGATGAATTGAGCTGGATTGCCAACACTAAACACCCCGCTCGTAACATTGCTGGCAAGAATATGCGGTCTGCCTGATGGGACCCTTGCGAATACGAACTGCTCGTCCAATGGACGTCTGACCGTTCCTTCTGAGATCTGAGCTTCTTGTTGCCTTACAATTAGATTTTCCATCGCTCCGAAACAGCCTCCCGGCTAAGACGCGGGGTATCGAGTATAACTACTCGAGGTCATCTGGGACAGTATTTCTAAACCCTGTCTGCCAGTCCTACTGATATTTGTATAGGCAATCTTCCCTGCCAGCTTTTCACCGACATAAGTGCTGAATATAACAAGACCATGCTCGAAGTGTACTGCGATCCGTGCACGGTCAATAGCCGCAAAGTTCTGGCAGGCCTCGACCTCTTGGGCACCAAATACCACTTCAACCACATCAACTACTTCACTGGTGAACATAAGGGACCGGAATACCTGAAAATCAATCCACATGGCACTGTGCCGGCTGCGGTTGACGCAGACTTGAAGATTACCGAGTCCAATGCCATTTTGCAGTACGCTGCAGATGGCTGCGGCTCAATGTACCCCAAAGACCCGAAACAGCGATGTGCCGTGAATCGTTGGCTCCTGTGGGAAGCCTCGATTTGGTTTCCCAGCTGCTACGTTTATCTGGTGGAATATGTAGTAAAGCCTCTTCTCCAGGAAGAACCCGATGAATCGGTCATTGATGCCGAAGCCCCGAAGTGGCACAAGCACGCCGCGATCCTAGATGAGCAGCTCTCCAGGACCAAGTGGCTCACTGGCGATAATGTCACTATTGCCGACATCGCCGTTGCTGCGCCTATGCACCTACATGCCGCTCAACACCTTCCGCTGGACAAGTACCCGAACCTCACGCGGTGGCTCACGAAGCAAGTCGAAGAGCTTCCCGAATGGCAGAACACCCAAGCCGCTGTCGACAAAGCCTTGTTGCCAGGTAAGGCTGCCACCACCAGTGACACGACTGATGTTACACACGCTAATCTCAACTACACCAAGAACGTTGAGAAGAGGACTGAGCTTTACTTCTACGAGTGTGAGGCTGCGGAGGACATTCATGAGCCTGGGGATGATCCGCATGAAATGGCCGTCAACGATGGGTGGTACAAAGCCGACTCCTTTTCTATTGATAAGGAGGGCTTCTCCCTTAGTGAATTCAACACGGGGTTTGACAAATGGGAAGACGAGGATTCCGTTCGCAAGCAGTTCTACCCCGAGATAGTGGAATTCTTGAAGAAAACCACCGGCGCCAAGCGCGTGCTCGTCTTTGACCACACCATCCGCACCAAGCGGAACGAAGCCAAGAAGTTGACTCAAGAGACAAATACCTCGCAGCGCGCTCCGGTCATGCTAGTCCATTGTGATTATACGGCAGAATCTGGTCCTGTTCGTGTCCGCCAACTACTCACAGTCGAGGCCGAGGACCTCCTTTCTCGGCGTGTAGCATTCTTCAATGTATGGAAGCCGCTCTACCGTACAGTGGAGGAGCGACCGTTGGCCATGTGCGATGTGTCTTCAGCGCCCATGGAGGACTTCTTCAAGTTATATCTCCGATACCGTGATCGTGTTGGGGAGAACTATGTCATGCAATATTCACCGAACCATAAGTGGTGGTATTTCCCAAAAATGACGCCGGAGCATGTTATTACGCTAAAGACATACGATTCCGAGATCGACGGACGTGCTCGTTTTGTTGGACATAGCGCGTTTGAGGACCCAAACTCCCCGCCTGATGCCCCGATCCGGGAGAGTGTTGAGATTCGCACGATTGCATTCTTTTAAGGATCAGGGATGCTGGTGAGATTCTCCATCGGCGAGCTGTAGGGCTTCTCGCAAACAGGCCCATAGTTTGTTTGAATCTATGAGTGTCTTCCTAATTTACAACCGTTCGATCACTACACTTGGGTTTTCGCTGTTGCACTTCTGGCTCGCCCGTGGTGGGGCCAGTCCCACATCTTCCCCTATCACTCCATGCTCGCCATCTATCTTGACCTCCACTTCCCCACAATATGGGGTAATGAAGAATGATCGGTGTCATGGTAGTATCGGCTTGGATGCGATCACAATGGCGACCTCTCCACATGGTCACAGATTTAGTGAGTATATATGATTCTCCATCCTCCTGTCTCGGCCTCTGGCTTTACATGTCACAGGCTGTCCTAGGCAGAGCCCGATATTTCGCTAGCACATCGTGCGCAGCAAAATGCCTTCGCCCTCAAACTCAACGGCCTTGCCGCCACAGTATCCCGCCACATACTCGGGAATCCCAGAGAGACTATTGCACAAAGCCGTCCGAGAGAAGTCAAGGCTGTGGACGAACCAATCGAAGGAAGACCAAACTCCAAGGAAGAGAGGCTTGGCCATCCCTGCTGGTATTGGGCGTTCGGAGTTTTTAAAAGCAATAGATGAGTTGGCGACAGCCCTCGGGAAAGAACACGTTGTGTTGAACGATCAGCCCCTCGAGGATGGATGGTTAGATACCAACGCTCACACTCACATCAGCCTAGTCAGCTACTGACATTCAGCCTAGGTATCTGGAGCGTACGTTTGGATTGTTCTCTTGGGCCCGCAGATATTGATGGGTTGGCTAGATCCAAATACGCACGATTCTTATATGATCATGGACACGGAAGAGACAGTATCGTCAGCATGTGTCTTTCCAGGCAGCGTGGCGGATGTTCAACTGGTGGTGAAGTGGGCCAACCAGCATCTCGTGCCCTTATACCCGATCTCCATGGGTCGAAACTGTACCTGATACTGACCCTTATACCTCAATCCTGGGTCCCTTGCTGATGGGCTCGATAGTGGGCTATGGTGGTGCCGCACCACGCGTGCGTGGATCGGTTATTGTTGATCTAGGCAGACGGATGAACAAGATCTTGGGCATTGATCCGGATGACTGCACTTGTCTGGTCGAGCCGGGAGTATCCTTCTACGCACTATACGAGGAGATAAAGAAGAGGGGATACAACATGTGGGTGGATACGCCGGATCTTGGGGGTGGGTCAATCATTGGAAACACTCTCGAGCACGGAGTCGGCTATACGCCATATGGGGATCACTGGTCAACTCATTCGGGCCTGGAGGTAGTTCTTCCGACTGGTGATCTGCTGCGAACAGGCATGGGGGCTCTGCCTGGCAACAACACCTGGCAAACATTTCCTTACGGATTTGGGCCGATATCAGAGTACGACAGCATTCTTGACTGTCGTCTAGAGGCTGACAGTATCTTAAAGTGGAATATTTTCTCAGTCGAACTTTGGAATTGTCACAAAGATGGGCGTTGCCTTGATGCCAGATCCAGGCGGCTGTGAGAGTTTTGTGAGTAACTTGGATTCCCCAAACTTTGCACTCTCCTGAGATACTGACCACTTTGCAAGATGTACACCTTTCAACGCGAAGATGACTTGCTGCCGTTGGTACGTCGTGCCCTTCAAGAATTAATGACAATTTGCTGAACCGTGAACAAGATCGATATTGTTCGGCCCATGAGGATTGCTAATTTGCTCGAGAACGTCGCCCAAATCAGACACAGCACTATTGAGCTGGCAGTTTCAGGCTCCCGCGCTCGCATTACTATCAAGGCAACGGTCCAATACCGGGAGATGTGCTGCAGTCTCATCTCGAGGCAACGCCGCTCGGGCGTTGCTCCTGGATCTATTATGGGACTACTTACGGACCCGAAAATATCCGGAAATATAAAATGGATATTGTTCATCGGGAATTCACCAAAATCCCTGGCGCGAAAAGGATTGACCCTCAGACACTACCGAAGGACCACTACTTCTGGTCCCGCGCCAAAATTGCTGGGGGCGAACCGGACTTCGAAGAGCTTTCGTACATGAACTGGGTGCCGAATGGAGGCCATCTAGGGTTCAGCCCTGTTTCACCCACTCGAGGCCCTGACGCCCTGAAATTATGGAAGATAGCCAAGAGGAGGCACGACGAGCACGCAATTGATCTCTTTATTGCATTTTGCGTGGGATTGAGGGAGCTCCACATGATCAATCTTATTGTCTATGATCGAGGCAGCTCCGAGAGGAGAAAGGCTGTCGAAAATTGCATGCGGTCGATGATCGAAGATGCAGCCAAACAAGGTTACGGAGAATATCGCACCCATCTTCTCTTTCAAGACCAAGTCGCCCGGACTTACAACTGGAACGACAATGCTCTCATGAAGTTCAACGAGAGACTCAAGGACGCTCTCGACCCGAATGGGATCCTTGCCCCAGGGAGATGTGGTATCTGGCCTGAGCGCTATCGAGGGCGAGGCTGGGAAATCGGCAGGGAAGGAAGGGAAACTTCCGAAGGGGATGGCGTCCGGCCGGCTGGGGCAAGTTTAAAGCTATGATGCTGGATACTGGAGTATCGGTTTCCTTTCTCGTCAGTTGGGAGGTGATTTGTGGAGCCAAGGGCATGTTGGTCGTCCGCAAGTGGAGGCATACGGAATTCCTGGTTATATAGAAGCAAACTTTGATGATCGCAGCAGATTTGAAAACCCGGTGAAATTTCGGGTTTCAAAGGGTGAACTTTGCCTTATCAAAGAGAGATCAGACGCTGTATTCGTCGGCGAGCTCGATCCAAGCATCGACTATCTTGTCGACATCGCTTTTCTTGATAGGGATGCGGTGAGGCCCATCCCATTCGATAAGCGTCGTGGTCCCTGGCGCACAGTAGTTTTCCAGCAACTTCCTATGGAGATGCAGACCCTCGTCCTTGAGGCCATGAACGTGTAGTGTAGGGATTTTCAACTTCATGTCCGGGCGTTCGAGGATGCTCTCGACGTCGGCAGCGTCGGGGAGACCGCCTGCTGACTGCATCCAGGGTAATTCTTCAGCCTCTTCACTCAGGCTGACCAAGGGAGCCCTGCCGGCAAGAATAATAGAGAATTTCCAGGGTCCATTCTTCTCCTTGAGCTGCTGCTCGTAAAGCATACTCGCCGCCAATTTCGCTCCTTGGCTGAAGCCTAAGGTCCCTACCCACTCTCCCGTACCCTCATCACTCTCCATGCATCGCTCAATGGTGTATTCCAGCTCATATTGACAGGCCCCCGGGTCGATCTCTGGGTGAGACTCGAGCCAGCGGAACCACCGCCGGAACGGACCCCAATCCGAATAAACGGGATGCACGCCGACTCCCTCATCGCAAAAGAATGGAGCATCAACGAAGACAAACCGATATCGATTCTTCAGTTTATCGTGGCCGAGAAATGCGCGAAACTGTGCTTTGAAAATTGCCGCATTCACACCACCTCCATGGATGCAGAGAATGCGCGGTAGATGCTGGGTGGGATCCGAAGAGGCCATGGTGCTATTGTTGGAACTCTCCGCGTAATCAAATTAGTCGTTGGGCTGTCACCATGAATTTTCTAGGCGATTTCTGCGGGATTGATCATAGATATGCCAACACAATGGGGTTGGGGACCAGGCAAGCAGAGATGTTTCGCTGGTATCTTCGCGTTTACAAGACGCGGTGTCAGATGTCTATAAATAGCATTCACCTAGGCAGCGCCAAGCATGTCGGGGATCCGCAAGGCTCCCATTCATGCACTTGAAACGGAATTTCGAACATCGCACGGCTGTACAAAACGGGTCGGGGCCAATATCAGGGCAATTCCTCCATTTTGCCCTTGTATTAACGGAGCAGTGGTGGCCTACTTGCCAGCCACTAGCTTCAGGGTACCCATAATACTATATCGGTCTCCGAACGACGTTTGCATCACTGGAGATGTGGGAGCCACCTTTTCTATTCTACGTGGGAAGTTAGACTATGCTGGCACTTGACTCCAATATTTGCATTTGAAGACAGTCTTTCCACTCCACGCAAGAGTCGGGCACGAAGCAAAACTCTCATGGTCGGGGGGCAGGCATCCGTGCCGCACTGTACATAATTTGGAAGGCAAAGATGTTGGAGCCCCGGACAGAAGAGACGTACCGGTAGTGGTTCGCACATATGTTCGATCCAAGCGTGTATCATGACCTCATTTTACAAACCATGCTTCGCTATGCGTTGAAAAAATCAGGTCCTGTCCACTCCCGAGACGCCTCTTTCGCTGGGGCTTTTCTCCAACCGACCATCCACACTCCGTCCACGGGCTATTGAGACACGCGCTCGTGCCCTATCAAGCTCCACTGGAGACATTTGGCCAAATTGAACACTACTTCCCAGCCCTTCGTGGTGCCTCTCAAAAATGTCTCTGCCTGTGAAGGATATACTAGTCATAAGTGGAAGGGTTTCGTCTAGATCAGCCGCGCTAGCTAGGTTGTCGTCCCATGAATTTGCAGAAGCCACGTCAATGGAAGTCAAGCCTGGTCTGCTGTACAGATAAGGCTCACGTATTTGTGGAGAGGTACCCAGTGAGGCCGACCCAGGCATTGCCGGGGGGGCTGTTGCGTGTGACGTAGTCGAGTCCTTAGATGTATCGCGTGACATGGGCTGCGAGCTATAGCCTGTAAGAACGGACTTTGCAGAAAGTAGACCATCTGCTTCTTGTCTTGAATAACGCTTCGAAGGACTTCGCATGCTTGAAAATTCAGGATGTTGTGAAATTGTAATATTCTCGTTCTGTGGAAATGAAGGGACCATCTTCGTAGCCGTTTGGTTGTTCAGCGCGGTATGCGTCAGCCGGGGCGAGGATGAGGTATGCCTGGTGTGTCTTCGAGCAATATCGGATGAGTCGTAAGTCGGCAGAGATCGGCTCGGCAGAAATTCCGTAGCCAAGGGTGACATTTTCTGATTTGGGGATTTTGTGGATAGTGGCAGACGTCCTTCATCTGATGCTGGCCTGGCACATTGTAGACGCGTAGGTGATTTTATTCTTCCACCTCTTGTGGGAGGGGGGCTAGCCCGATGAATCGCCGCGAGAGCTCCAGATGCTTCTGATCCTGTAGAAGTCGGTCTTGTCGCAGTACGGTCATCGCTACCGCTAGTAAATGAGGAGGCTCTTGAGTGGATCTGGACTTGTTCGCGAGACAAAGTAGGTGGAACTGGCAAGGGTTTCCACTCCCCCAGGTCCTTTGGCCTTTTAGAGTGAGGAGGCCGGCCCTGAAATATCGCTTGTAGAATCGAAGGTTGGTGGACATCACCCAGGCTCGTTTCTGCAGGCGACGTCACATATAAATCAGAGTTGCTGGGACGTCGGCTTCGACCTGTGCCTGGGAACAGGACCTTAGAGTTGTCCATTCCAGATTGAGACCACCTATCCGTCCAGCTTCCTTCGGACTCCCCATCATCCAAATCCAGTCCAAGATGCATTTGGACTGGTGATTCAGTCTGATCGTCAACATGCTCCGGCGTCCAGGTAGATGTCCTGGTCAGAGCACTGCTCCCGGTGCTAGGACCGTCCGAAGACGTGCTGCTGGCGCGTTCAAATACGGAGAATTGTACTCGATGATGAAGACCGTCGGTGGATTGTGATGGAGATTGACATTGAATTTCCTTCTTGATCGATCGAATAGTTTCATGAAGATTGTGCCGGGTTTTGCGCAACGTTGGCGAGGCATCAGTGGAGGATTTGGGAAAGTGTGACCATAACCGGGCCGCCTGCGTCTCATAGTCACGATAGTCGCGCACAAGACCTCGTCCTTCGGTGTTCTTGATTTTGCCGTCTGCGACCATGTAAGAGTGGCACAGCATTTTCGAGGCTACACAGAGCCACCACCAGAAATGTGCTGGTTGATCTGCATATCGAAGTTTCAGCTCGTCTAGAAGGACCTTTTGCACAACGCTGTGAATGCGAAGAATGTCAATGCTGTAGGTCATCGACTTGGAAGATGATTCATCCAATCTGCTCCCCGGGCGAGCCCATACTATTCCTTCGAGACTACTGGAGTCCTCCTTGAGCAGCCTTACTCTGTTTCGTTCTGTTTCGACAATGGTCCCCGTCGTACCCACACTGTCGGTGGTATTATGTCCGATCCAGTTGGATTCTTCTTGCGAGAAGGAAGTTTTTGATGGTGTGATGCAGTATTCAAGTAGTGTCCGCTCGACCAACCCATACCGAATAAGAACGGCGATCGTATTGTCTAGCTCTTTCTTTAAGCTTCCTATTCGTTCTATCGAACGAATTTCGATACCAAATTCCTGCAAGACAGGCTGCCCAAAGCGAATGAGAGCTACCGGTATCACATGCGCAAAAAAGCTGAGCAATGTAAGCATATTGACAGCCTCGGGATGTGAATGTTCTCTCAGCGCTGAGACAATATCAAGGTAGGGATCTGCCAGCCGATGATCGGACGTTCCAAGACTGAACTTTTCGAGCGATGTCCCTCTGGCGATCAAGGAGTGGGCGGCGGCGTGGAGAGCAAGAGGTAGGCATTCGTAATGTTTCACCAATTGTGTCGCCTTTTTGGCCTGCACTTCGGTTGGTGATTTGATTCCCAGATTCTTGTAGAGGAGAGAACACGCATCATGCTGTGACAAGGGGAACACTTTGAGGCCCGCCGGGTTGAGTAATCTCTGTCGCTTAGCCAACGTTCGATCTACTGATGTGTAAATGATGTTGTTGCCTGAGCGATCCGGAATATAGGAGACAAACGCTTCGATGTCTTCGTCATTATCCGTTGTCACCCCATCAAATACGAGCAGCCAACCCTCTCGGGCTTCGAACCATTTCCGCACCATGTCAACGAACCTTGATGATTCATCCCACCCAGGGTCACGGGGTTCGTCCTTTCCCAATATCGCAACAGCTTGAGCAATATCCCAAAAACTCTTCGAGCGTGATTCTTTGCTCTTGGAGTCGACCCAGAAACAGCCGGCTGGATATTCGTTCTGGTGGCGCCACAGATATTCTCGTGCAATATGGCTTTTCCCACAGCCCGGTGGCCCCCACAGTAAAACGGCGCACGTTCCTAACGCTCGCCGCTTCTGGTTTGCCAGTTTCTGAGCGAGTTGGTCCATTTCCAGTTGAAAGCCAAGAAAATTTGAATTTGGACGGAAGCCCACCGGAGCAACAAGTAGGGAAGGAGACGATGATAGATTTAAAGATTGTTCAGTCATTCGGATTGAGCTAATAGAGTCCTCTGTAAACCACCATGAGTCAGCGTCAACATGCTCCATGCTGGTCACCGATCAAACTTTGCTGATCAACGAGGAGCAGTTACTAAATTATCCTCGACTTCTTCAACCTCATACTGAGGTGAAGTTGACGCGGAGATCTGCTTGGGAGGAGGCGCACTCATTGAATTTGACTCCATCGTCTGCGCAACTGCAGATGGTGTGGCTATACCCGAAGCCCCTACACTCATCTGAAAGATGCTATCTGTCAAAAGTAGTCTCAGCATTATCGCAGACGTAATTTGTAGGTGCACATACTCACCACCCAATAATTCACGGGCAACTGCCTGCCTTTCGAACTCAGCGACTCGCTTTTCTTCCTCCCAGCGGGAGCGGATGAGCGACTGGGACCGGGTGGCATATCTAAAGCATCGTAAGCATACTTCATTCCTCTTCAATATTTGCCTCCTTCGCACCTTTGAACAGCCTCGGCGACGACATCATAACCAGGGCTCGATTCGTCCTCGAACTTGCACATATGGCTATAAGCGAAAAAGGGTCAGCGATTGAGCAAACCAGGCAGGCTTGGGTCACTTCTCACCTGTGGTCTTTCTCGATGCCCATTCTTTCAACTCCTTCAATGACGGGAGCCGCAGAATCCTCCTCAACGACAAACGAGCGAGTTCCTTTCAGATCGGTGGGCTTTGACTCATGGAAGAAGTAGATGTGGAACCGGCCTATGATCTCTACAAATAGCCTGTTGATATTTTGCAATGTCTCGTTGTTGGTTTGCAGGGCCTGCACAAGTTGTGGTGACGTATCGAAGAACTTCTTCGGCAGTGCTACGGCACAGATCTTTTCGAGTAGCGAACCCCATCTTGCCAGGTCAGAACCATTGTGAGGAGTTCCAAGGAAGAGAATGCCATATGTGCTGATGTAAATTGACCGTAGCCGTTCGGTATGTTGGTGGTGTCGAATGCTCTGGCTGTATATCAAACATCTCTTGACCACCAAGCCTCCAAGGGAGTGACAGACAAATATTATGGGTCTTTCGGTCGCTTTCCTCAACTGCATTCCATCAGCACATACCCAGAATGAAGTGTCCCTAAAATGTGGCTTTGTAGCAGCTCTTGGAGATCTTGTTCTACACCTACCGACCTGTTGGCCACCAAACGGCTCACAAGATGTTCTGCATGATTGTGTATCTTATCCTTGGAAACACCATCTGTAAAGGCGGTCACATTCGCATCATAGCCGTAGGTCAAAATTCGGGGTCTTTGGTCTTCAAGGGCCGCAGGTAGGAGATCAGCAGGCCAGAAGACGTCGGGCTTCTTCGTGGACCAAGTATCGTGGGGATGCCCGTTCAATCCATGCACGAAGACAATGTCGACAAGAGGATCTGACGCCGAATAGACTTCAGTAAGGCCATATTGTACAATCTGCTTTCCAGCAAAGGTGGTCATCGTTCAGAATGCGCGATAGTCGAACATAGAAGCCAGGACAAGAAGGGAAGAGAACAGGAGAACACGAAAAGAAAAGCGGTCAAGGAAGAGGCTCTCCAGCTCACCGGGACATATGTAGGCTGAGAAGAAGCATCTCAGACATGGCAGGCTACACCCAGGAGTCACAATCACCGTCAAAGCGAAAGGGAGGGCGCAGGTGACTTGGTAGCCTGACGATGGGAGTGGTGGACGCGGCCTGCATTTTCCAGGCAAAAAGTTGACTTGACCCCAGAAAACTGAGACAAGCATATTTGGGCGGCTCGTCCTTGGGGTTTCGGGTGACTTAGGGGTTTCAAATCCGTCCGGGCTTGCCTTTCTCAGGGCCGTTTTGTGGGGGTAGCGTGCTGCAACCCCAAAGGGGATCAGGCTTGGGCATGGGGCGCAGTCAAAGTCCATACAGCTCGGGTCAAGGCTAAAAGCAAATTTGGGGGCTCCTAAGACTGTTGTGATTGTAGAACCCAGTCCCGTAGCTTTTGACTGTCTGATACGCGCATGTCTGTCTGTCACAAGATCTCAAAGGATTGCCCAACGGCACCTGGACAACGGTAATCCACGTCATACGGCCAGATGAACAACACCTGTGTGAGGAAGATAGGCAGCCTCGAGGCGTCATTTTGACAGCTCATCTGCCTTTGAAGGCTGGCTTCCTCTTTTCTGCAAATGCTTTCAGTGCCTCCATTCTGTCCTCTGTTTTTAGAATGACCTCGTAGGCCTCGTTTTCTGCAGCCTCTCCTGATTGCCATCCGTTGACTGCACGCATTGCTTGTGTGAGAGCAATGGGACCTCCTTCACAGATGTCATTGGCAAGCTGGATACTGGCTGCTAGCACCTTTTGCCGTGCGGTTCCATCCTCCTTCACCTCTTGGGGAGTAATCTCCACAAGTCGATTGCACAGTCCCAGGAAATATGCTTCTGCACCACTAATTCGCCGCCCGGTGAGAATGAGGTCGCGTGCCCTGTTGACCCCGATCAATGCAGGTAGTCTGTACGTCCCTCCTGCTCCCGGGATGATTGCCAACTTTGTCTCGGGTTGCCCTACAACCGCGGAAGAACCAAAGACCCGAAATGTTGTGCAGAGCGCGAGTTCCAAACCACCACCAAGCGCGACAGACGATATAGCGGAGATGGTAGGAACAAGGAGATTAGACAGATTGGTGAAGGTGTTCCGCAGGTCGGTCAAGAATTCCCTAGTCCTTTATATATATGAGCAGGTGCAACCACGGCGGAGTGTCACTGAATACTCTTCCTGCGTCATCTCCTTTCTTTCTCTCAAGTCTGCGCCCGCGCAGAATGCTTTGTCTGTATTGGACGCGATAAGCAGCGCTCTTGTGGGGCCTGCACCGCCCTCTGCCTGGATCTCATTGACATGGCGCTTCAAATCGCTGACGAGACTGCGCGATAAAGCATTTCGAGCGTTGGGCCTGTCGAGGAGAAGAATACGAATGTTACCAGAATGCGGTGCCGGTTGGTATTGGACTTTGATCGGAGATGGTTCAGGCACAGAAGCAAAGCTACGGTGTTTGAATTGAGAAACTCGTGGACGCGTGACGATGCGCCATGCTGGACGGGTTCGCATGATTGCGAGAGTTGTATATACACATTGTGGTGTAAATTGAAGAACCAAATCGGGTACGTACTTCTTAGATGCAGAGACCGAGGTTGCAGGGAAACGCTGGCCTGTAATAATCGAGCACCAAGGCTAGCTGGTGGTTAGCTAGCCGGTCTGTTTGTTGTTTGCTTGGCTGACGCCAGATCCCCTCAACGTAGGCCGTAGAATCATGCCTTCGTTGACATCCGACAATCACGCTTTTGTTGCTTTGTAGCAGTAACTCAATATCTCTCAGGGCAACGAGCATCAGCAATTACATATCCTACATCTGCAAAGATTTCACACATTGTTGCCGCCTCGACTACTTCAGAATGGACTACAGCATGCTGCATGACGCTATTCTGGCCCTGGAGGATTCAACCTGGCGAGTACTAACAAACTCGGGAGCCGCACTATTGCCATTCCTCAGTCATGATTGTATCATGCTTTTCCCTTTGGGAATGAAAGTGTCCGCCAAAACGACGCCCAGTCTTGAAGATGTGATGAGGAGCGATGCGTTTGTGCCGTGGAAGCAATACAAGATGAGTGATGTGGAGGTTACGCCATTGGGACCAGAAGCAGCTCAGATCACTTATCGAGTCAAGGCGACGAGGCGGCATATTACAGCGGACGACGATACGAGGCAGGACGAATTCAAGGCCTTGATCTCGAGTACTTGGAGAAAGGATCCAGAGGCAGGAAAGTTTCTTCTTTGTGTTCAACAACAAACGCCGTATGAGGAAGATCTGAACTTTTAGAAAGGATGTGGCTATGGAGACGTATTTGCAGGATCGCCGAATCGAAATTTGGCGATCATGGGTTTAATTTGATTGACTTGCCGCCATCAGGATGAAGCTGCTATTTGGTTGACTTGTCTGGTCGGTTTGGGTGGCTTAGTTGTGTCCTTCGAAGAGAAATCGCCTTTGACTGTACCCTCGGCTGGATGATGGCTCCACGGCCTCATAAACGGCATGGGACTTTGAACTGCAGTGTGACATCAGCTGCGTTGGGTTTCTTGCAATCGACTTGTGCTGGAAACCCTGCAAATTTCCGCGGATCTCCTGCCCGAGCGAGTCAGCGGCGTTTGCGTGCAACTGTGTGGGGAAATGGAATGGTCACATTTGTGACGTCGCTGTCGACGAAGAAGGCAGGATCAACACAATGCGCTCCAGGCTTTCACGCCTGCCACCCATCATTCAAAACTGACTTCATTGCCCTCTGGAACCAAAAATTCCACAACATCCAATCTACACCTAAACACAACAGAAAACTCATCAGAAAATTACCAAACTTGTCCAACTCAGAAATCCTTTCAAAATGTCCTTCCTCTACCAAACAACTCCCGTGCTTCGTGCCGCGGTTCGATCTTCTGTGGCCCGCTCGTCGCCTCGCCTATTTTCTACCACGGTCATTCGCAAGAAATCCGCCACCGAAACCGTCAAAGACGGCCTCAAGACCGTCGATCGAGCAGTTTCAGATGTCGCAGTTGCCGGCATCGACAAAGGAGGTACGCGAGCGAATGGCTGCTTGTGATTTCCGCCCAGCTAACCTTGTATGCAAGTCGAACTGAAAGACAAAGCCGCCGAAGTCATCGGTGTCGAAAGCAAGAAGGCCGAAGGTACCGCCTCACAAGTTGCCGGCGAAGCCAAAGGAAAAGCCGCCGAAGTCACGGGCCAGGCGAAGGGCAAAGCAGAGGAAATGAAGGGGAAGCTGTCATGAAAAGCACAGCAGCGAAAATGCTTCAAGGCGTGGACTAGAATCATCACATCCAATTCCTTCTTGCTGCTGGGGATAAAGCTGGCGTTTCCTGTGTAACGATAATCATCAACAATGAGAACACCATCTCAAGAGGAGTCGCAAAAAGTTATGTACAGTACTCAAGTGCTCACGAACTCAAAAAGGCTTGCTTCTCTTAATCCTTCATGTTCGGAACCGGCTGCAGAATTGGGTTGGCAAAATGCGTCCGATAGACCTCCTCTTCTTCTTGCTTCAACCCATACTTCGCGGGATCGCGCTTCTCCAAAAAGTGCTTGACACGGCCCGTTCCCTTGATGTCATTTTCTTCGAAGTGGTCTCTCCTCGATGTGAGAAATCGATTAGTTTCCTCGGTGAAGGCCTGTGCTCGCTCTTCAATTGATCCGGTGAATTGTCCCGCTCTTGTGGCCTGAAGGACTCCTGCGATGACTGCTAGGAAGATGACAATGGATGCGAATGCATTGGGGTGGAGGTATGTGATTTGAGCGTCTTTGGGCTTCTCGTACCGCCGGTGCCATCGTTCCCAATCTTCCCAGGTAGCATTCTGAAATATGGACGAATCGTCATCCGGGCCGAAGCCATATCGCTTCCCTTCAGGATTAGTATACCCGTGCGAATGTCTGGTTGCTGTCCTCGTTGCCCCCCATCCTGCGCCGGATGCATCATATGCCCTTCGCTTGACAGGATCGGAAAGAATCTCATGCGCCTGCACAACCAATCTATATCTCTCCAATCTTTCGATGTCACTCAGTTCGCTGCTGAGCGAGCCATGGCTGTTCCTGTCGGGATGGTAAATCTTCACCAACTCGTAGAATTTGTGTTTTGTATAGACTGCGTGCTTTTCCAGGCCAAAGATCTCATAGGGTGAAGGCGTGAAAGGGGAGTTCCGTCGACAGGGCCAATTCATGTTGTCTCGAAACTCGTAACCTCGGTCTGATCTGACGTCTGCATAAGTTCGGGACTGCGGAGACAAGCATGGCTCTTGTTTCAGCCGCTTCTGTGGGGAGCTGGGGCATGAAGAACAGAGACAACACTGCCATGTGTTGTAGGCCGCCAGCAGCCTCGCCTTCTTCAACAACGTTGATGGCATATTGCACAGCGGCAAGCAAGCAGAGCGAGCAGATAAGGTCTCGTGCAACTGTGAGTGGGGAGAAAGTCTTGCATGTCATCGGCCTTGAGTTCTCCTGTCCGCAAGGAAGGTTTGCCGATATATTTACCATTTTTCCCGAGAGGGAGAGTGATCACGTTTAGTATATACTTCGTCCTTGGTTCCAACGAATCTACAAAAATGCCGCAATCCCGATCACCTCGTCGAGGCAACTCACAGGACGAGCGCAGGCATCGCTTCCGAGATCATGATCGAAAGACAAGGGACCACTTCCCAGACGAGAGAAGGCGGAGGTCACGAAGTCGCGATCGAGCCCGGAAAAGATCAGCAAGTCCCGATGGACATAGTCAGAGAAAATACAGCGAGCGCAGGTCGCGATCACCTCGTTCACGGCGCTCACCGGAGAAATCAATCCGTTCGAGGGGTTCTCTTTTGTCTCAAGTTGACGCCTTCAATTCCGCCACGGATACCTTATCCCCTCCAGCAGTCGAGAAGCAGAAACCAAATTTCCGTCCGTCTGGTCTTTTAGCTGCAGCCTCTAACACAGTCTCAACATCCTCCGGCACAGTAGTTCTGAAGTATCATGAGCCCCCAGAGGCTCGAAAACCGCCTTCTACCCATCCCTGGCGGCTGTACATCTTCAAAGGAGAATCAATTGTCGACACGCTGGATCTCTATGCACAATCTTGCTGGCTCTTTGGCAGGGAAGCATCGGTTTGCGATTACGCACTTGAACATCCTAGCTGCTCCAAACAACATGCTGTTATTCAATTTCGATATGTGGAAAAAAGGAATGAGTTTGGTGATAAGATCGGGAAAGTAAAGCCATATGTGATCGATCTGGAAAGCGCCAATGGGACGATAGTGAACGATGAGGCTGTACCGAAGGGAAGATTCGTCGAGTTGCGTGACAAAGATATTATCAAGTTCGGCCATTCAACCAGAGAATATGTCATGCAGATGCCATCTGGGTGATTATGAGACGCTAGCCCAGCAAAACCGAGCCCGCCACAAGATTCAGGAAGCCTCTGAGCTTTTGGACACTGCAGCACTGATTTTCCATGAACAATTACGTTGATACTCCTTATCCACTATTCTTTTGCTTGTGTTTTTGCCCGACTTGTGGCCCCGAACCTTTGTCAAAATCAGTTCATTTGGTAATCCACACCGTGTTATTGTCACAATGATAAACTGGGTCGACGATGCCGAATTCTTGTGCAATCGAATCGTTTGCGGGACTGCGCGGCACACCATCGAGATCGAGCCGTTTGTTAAACGCATTAATATCGAACCTAAATGTGAAAAGACATTTGACGAAGTGGCCTAGTAGAAAGTTCCCATGAGCTTGGATTTCTTTCGGTTTGTGTGAAATGCAGTGGAATCGGGAGCCATGCAAAGGTCAGAATCCTTCGCTCGTCAAAATTTGCGCCGCATGGCACATCGCAGTGTATCATTCAAAAAGAAATCTGTTCCACCGATGATTGTCCCAATCAGCTCAGATGCCGGAGTTTGGACCCGCTTAAATCGACCAGAGAAAAAGAATTGGGAAGGCAGGAAAGGGTAGAGGCGTGCTCGATGACACCTCCAGTAAGGGCACATCATCTTAGGTACACTCTTTTATACCATAAATCGCCGCCTGAGACTCTCCCATATACCACGTTAGTTTCCGCCTTGGGAAGAGATCACTCAACGTCGTTGTTTTTTATACTGAAAATCAAAGCCACGCAATCTGTTGGTCCCCAAATTGAGCCAGCTTTGGAGGAAGAAACACGAAATGATTCCTCAGCAGAGCCGAGTCTTGGGTTTCCTCGCGAGACAAGAACAAGAGATGCGCAGCCAGCCTTGGGAAAGGCAGTCACGTACAGAGCAAGCATTCGTTCATCGATAGGGGTATTCCTTCGCGGTGGGATCGAAGCAGGCCGTTCGAAGCGAACACAAACTAGAGGAACAACTCCAGTCCAGCCATGAGAATTTCCTGACCTTCACGGATTCATTTTCTCCTCCACGCCTTTCACACAACTACAACCCGAGTACGCTTTACCAGGGCCGTTTATTACCGTTTGACGTTTCGTCGCCTGAGATTGAATGATCCGATATGCCACTCATCCAAAAAATGCGGCAGCCCATTTGAACGCCACGGTTCTCAATCCCACTGCCTGTGGAAGGGCAAACACAATTTTAATCCGGCATCTGAGTCTCGTCCACAAGAGCCCAAAGACTGCTGTTTTAATGGTTTGCTCTCGAATGAATTCGATACTTAGCTACTGACAAAACTGTGCTATAAAATCTGTAGGTGCTCAGGGCACCATCACATTCGTCGTCAAAACCATTCATCTTCATTTCCGTGGTAAATTGTCTGGAGGTGCGGCCTACTATTTTAATCGAAGTGCTGCAAAGATACCAGAGTCGTGACTGTGAATTTCTGCAACGAGGAAACACCAGACATTCGTTCTGAGCCTACATTCTGTTGCTTATTGCAAACATTGGCCGGCAAGGCAGTCCTTGAACCAGTCGAGCACGGGCTGAGGAGATAGGGCCCGCGAAACCTCGCCTGTATAGTGCCGGTTCACACCCGCTTCACCACATCATGCTCCTCTGCCGGCTTATACCCGCCTCTTCGTCCTGACCTCCATATACCTCTCGGCAAACCGGCTCACGTTCACGGGCAGGAGTTCTTTGAACAATAGAGGACGTCGGTAGATAGCTCTTTGATGGAGACTGTACGATTGGGAGCTCTCTTAGATCCTCGCCGCGCCCGTGATCCGTTCCGCAGTTGTGGGGACTGCCTGGGCTACCAGTTCCAATCCTTCTGCCTCTTTGGACTCTTCATGTTGCGATCTTTGCACCGGCATATATTTATACATACCTTCGCCTTGGCACCAAAAGGCCGTTGGATAGATTCCTCCAGTGTGGCCCCAAGGCCCGTATTCGCTGACAACGCCATCCTCGTTTGGGATATTGGGATTTGGTTCGTTGACGAATCAATCTTGATCTCAAGAACTACGGTTGCAAAGAGACTGCTGCTGAGTGCACCGTCGAATATACCCTAATATCGGAGCTGCCGATCCTATGCCTCGCTCTTCACACCGGTTTGGGGGTCTCAAAACGCGATATATTCCTACCTTTCCCCGTTGTATTCTTCGGTTGAAGAGGGAAGAGTCCGGGGAATTAACCTGGAGAAGAATCCGGGGAAAGCTCCTTCTCCCCATACTTCAATGAAGCTCAACAGCTGGCTCGAAGGTAACGGGCAGTTCTTGAATTGTTGTCCGCTTTTCTATTCTCTCTCGTCTATCTCGTTGATATCTGTTCAAGGATGAAGCTTCTTTCTCATTACGCCGTTTTCCTTTCATATTTATGCGTTGTTGCTGCGGTGAGCGAATGCGATATAAATTCCATCCAGCAGTTTGTTGCAGGGCCTGGGGCTGCTACTGTGACACTTGCACAAGCTCTCCCGCAGAACAGTACATTTGGTGGAGGTGCTGTCGACCTTGAGTTCCCGGTGAATGACACTGGTCTCCCAGCTCTTTGTGTGGTCATGGTCAACGTAAAATCCTCCGATACATCCTCCTACAACTTTGGCCTCTTTCTGCCGCAGCAGTGGAACAATCGCTTCCTCGCCACCGGTAATGGTGCATATGCTGGCGGGATCAACTGGAATGACATGGGCACCAATGCCCGCTATGGATTTGCGTCCATGTCAACAGATACTGGACACGTTTCGGGATCTTTTGATGCAAGTTGGGCGCTCAATAAACCCGAAGCTCAACTTGACTGGGGTTATCGATCTATGCATGGTTCGGTTGTCTACTCGAAGTTGATCACCAACGCATACTACGGTACAAACATTAGCTATTCATACTATTCCGGATGCTCAACCGGTGGCCGACAGGGCTTCAGAGACATCGAACTATACCCTGAAGATTTTGACGGAATTCTGGCTGGGGCACCTGCATGGTGGACAACGCATCTCCAACCGGACAATGTCCAGGTGGCACTTCACAACCTTCCGGTTGACGCTCCCACTCACATCCCATCTTCTCTTTTCCCTGTAATCGGAGCTGAAGTTCTTCGACAATGCGATCCTCAGGACGGCTTTACTGATGGAATCATATCTGACCCCGAGGGATGCAACTTTGTCCCGGAAAGACTGCTTTGCACTCCTACTTCAAATAAAAGCGCTTGTCTTACTGGGCCCCAGCTGGATACTCTATATCATATATATAACGACTGGTGGGAAACAAACCAGACATTTGTCTTCCCCCATTATGAACTAGGTTCCGAGGCCCAGTACGGCTTCCTCCTCAACAGTGAGTCGTACCGAGAGCCTTTCCTTTTGTAAGGTGCCGGTCGAAGAAGGATCGGCGCAATTTCCTCATTGTCATTTCAGATTGTCTGTGCTCTTTCCAATTATTCCTCTTACGGAGCATGTCATCTAGATTGAAGCAATTGCTAATGATGAGGACTCATTATAGCGGACTCCGGAACCCCGACAGAACCAGGCATCGCTTGGATCCAAAACTGCCTTTACAATGACACAACGTGGGATTGGCACGAGTTCACTTACCAGGTGATCCTGGATGCGGATCGAATCAACCCAGGGCAGGCCAATGTTGGGTTCGATTTCACCAGGTTCTACACGCGTGGTGGCAAGATCATCCAGTATCACGGCCTCGCAGACGGTCTGATTCCCACACCGAGCTCCGAGGTCCTCTACAAGAACATCTGGAGGACCATGGGAGCCGCAGGCATCCCACTCGATGATTGGTACCGCTTGTTCCTCATTCCGGGAATGCAGCACTGTCAAGGCACTGCAGTCAGTGCACCCTACTACATTGCCTCTGCCGGTCAACCGTTTGCGCTTGGTCAAGACGTATGGAGCGTGCCTGGTTACAGCGATCCGAAACACGATGCTCTGCTGGCGTTACTGGAGTGGAGAGAAAATGGTACAGCTCCCGAATTCATCATCGGCACCAAGTTCATCGATGAGACTGTCACAGCCGGTGTTCAAAGACAGAGGCCAATATGCATGTATCCAATGCAGGCAAAATATAGCGGCGAGGGAGAACCAGATCTTTCGAGCAGTTGGCACTGTCAGCTCCTGTACTAGAGGACGACAAGCTATTAAATTATGGCAAGGTCTGTCGGGCTGTATATAGCGTAGAAGGATGTTGCTCACCGCTGTCAACATAGGGATTTCCACAGTCAATATGTCCGTCAATACAGGAGTCAAACACTCGAACACATCTTGCCTAAACCTCTAGGCTTCAAATCTCCTGCAAAGCTTCTTGACGTGGCTGCGTGAACCTGGTCAAACACTGCTGCCCCTCAGTCTGCTGTAAAATAGCAGGCCAAGGAGCATCGAATCAAAGATTCGAGACATACAGCTTGCGCGTGATCTGATGGAGCTAGGACTGAGGCTTTCCTAGTACGTAAAGTGAAGCCCCTTGGCCTTTTAATCAGACCGTTGCTAGTATTTTGATCGACTTTCAGCAACGTGCGCCCGCAACAAGACATGGCCCACGTCAAGAGAAGGCTATGGAGACGGCTCGATGCATGGCGAGGTAATACCTGATATCAGGACTCCCACTATAGTTGACAGTGGCTAAAAGCTGCTGTATTCGGATGCGCGGGTCAATAAGCAGTCTGTGTGGTAGGGCAAAGTGCCACAGTGTATAACCAGCCCTGTCTTCCTGTCAACGTCGAGCAATGCTAGGGAACATTAGTATATGAATACTCGGTTGGGACGAAAGGAGAAATAAAAACCCTCTAGCCGAGCGCTCTTCTGAAGGTTTTATTTGGTGTCTGCGCTTTTCGGCAGGCAGTTTATAAGATAATTAAGGAAGATAGTGCCTTACTCAGGAATCGGTTTGTCGGGGTTGAAACAACGAGGATAGTGTCTGACATCAACCTCCTCACTCGATGTTCTAGGCATCTTCTGCGGAAAGAAAGCGACAAAAAAGCCATGCCTCTTAAGGTGCCACCAACACAGGCTCCCAGGTTTTCTTGACAACAAAATTCTGAACTTTAGAAAATGGAGAATTTCTTCTCTATAGCAGCTCTGCCCGTACAGAGAATTGGAATGTGTTGAATCGCGCGCTAATCTAGTTTGGTAGTTTCCACAACTGTACTGATGTCGCGCTGCACTTTATCGACATCAATGTAAGCTTTACCAGTACGAACCAACTCGACATCTGGTACATCAGAGTGCTTCTGTCCTTCGAAGAGAGCATCAATCTCTTCCAGAGTTCGACCTTTCGTTTCAACCCAGAAGACCACCTGAAAGGTCAGTAAGGCTCAGATAAAGCAGGGGAAGGTCTCACAATTAGCACCACAACTATAATATCCCATGAGCCGTTGATGATGTACATTTTCCACCCAATGTTATTCAGGCCAATTGGCATAATGAAGACAAGGAGGACCCTGGTCGGGTTAGCAAATTGACCGCGAAAGATCGTGGCCGGGGATAAACTCACGCGAGAGCATTCAACATGAACGACGAGAATGCAAGGCCATTTGCACGGATTGCGTAGTTCATGATCTCGGGTGGGTACAGGTAGAGCAATGGCGTCCATGCAATCGAGTAGAACCCTTGGAACAAGAACATGACGGCGACGTCGCCATAGACGAGTCCTTTTGACGCTCCATCAGGGTTATCAGCATATATCTTGGACAACCCTCCAATAACAAACAGGCATATAATCAGCAGACACTGTGAAAGGATGGCGGTAGGTTTGCGACCCCATCGCGCAGCCAGGTGTGTGCCGCCGAGAGCACATGCAAGGCACCAGACGTTGAGGACGACATTCTGCCGAATCAGCCACGTCCACACTGCTCGCAAGGATGAACTTACTGCTTTGAGTTGGTCATTTGAGTTTGTGATGCCAGCAGTGTCCAGCTCGGGACCAAGATAATAAGAAGCAATGATATTCCCGGCGATGCAGGAAAAGGGGCCAGGCGACATCCCAATAAGGAGGCGTTTTCGCGAAACGGGGTTTTTGATGGTTTCTTTGAAGGTCATCAGGTTCTCCTTCTCCCAGTTGAGAGTGTCGACGATCTCCTTGTATACTGCGAGTACAACGGGGTCACTCAGATCTCCGTTGGCGTTTGTCTGAGCGACTGCTATACGTCCTTCATCGTAAAGACCACGGTGGATCAACCAACGCGGAGATTCGGGACTGCCAAGTCAGTTTGCCGTTCGCGTCATCGAAGCTGGATGGCAACTCGCTCACATAAATGGCAGGATAACGAGGCACAAAACCGAAAAGATCCCCTGGAACAGAGAAGGGGCCCTCCAGGCCCATGTCGATTGCCACTGACCTGTGCCTAGAGTAATTCCAGCCGCAATCAAGGCGCCAACAATGCAAAACAGTCAGTGAAGGTATTCCTTCAGGGACGGCTAGCCTTACTAGTAGAAATCATTCAGTAACCCGACACCCCATGCGCGATACTTGCTTGGGTATGTCTCTGCCAAGTAGACACTGCCTGCAATACCAGAAATGGCGGAACCAAATCCCAGAACAATGCGAGCGACCACGAACATGGCGATGTTTTGTGCAGCGGTTTGAAGCAAGACACCAACTAGAGTCAGAACCGAGCCCCAGAACACAGCTGGTCGTCTGCCGAGGCGATCTGCGATGATTCCAGACACAAGAGGACCGAAGAAGCCGCCGATAAAGACGGAAGCAGTGTTGAGGCCAGTGGTTGCAGCATTGAGGTTGAAATAATCTGTGTACGACGGTAAGATGTTGAGACCATTGAGCATAGACCCGTCGTAGCCACCAGTCTGAACTTCGTCAGGACGAGCAAGGAGAGCCGACTCAGATACTCACTGCCGATTGTACCATGGAGCAGAATATCAAGCAGATTGAGAGGGTCACCGTCGATTGAGGCACCCAGGCTGGTAGCCAGGTGCCCGTGGCAGACTTCTGCAGCATCTTGTCGTCTTTGCTCAATGCTTGACTTCCAGAGTCACTTGGCCAGGGTGGAGCTGGAGGTCAAAGCAATGTCACTACCAACGACTTATGGTGCGGAAACTCCAGTGATAAAGCCACCAGAGGCGACCAGCCAGCCCCTCCTTGAGGTGGTATCTCCTGCCTCTCGGGATGAAACCTAAACTGATAACGATCTTCATATTTGCCGCTTTTGAACGTTAGAGAGGCGGAGAGGCGGAGAACAGCGGTGGTGGCGAAGAGCCGAGATGTTGTATAGGCACATGGCCAGGCATTTCTAACGGTTGGACAGCACCGACAGGAAGCTTATCGCGAAGAGATCTCCATGTGATAACCCATTTTCGGCTCGGCCCAGGTGCTAAGCTTCTGACTAGCGTGAGCTTAGCTTTGTGCCCAAGTAGTCAAAGACGACAGCTTTAAAAGGAAGGAGGATAATCCTTCGTTTCCTCGGGCTGAGATAGCTGAAGCAAAACTGCCAACTGCCACCATGGTTGAGTGCCCCGCCATTGCAATCGCAGGCCTCGCATGCGAGACTTCAGTTTTCACGCCCTCCAGGACGCTTTCGCCTGCTTTCCAAGCCAAACGCGGACACGAAATCATCAAATACTATCCTTTCATCGACAATGATGCCCCCCTGGGGAGAATCGCGCATTGGCACGGGGCTCTGATCGGTCATGCCCTACCTGGAGGCATTGTAACGCGTGCCTCGTTCGAGGAGCTCGCCGACGAGATCATAGCCAGACTGAGGCTCATTGTATCATCGACTACCATTCATGGACTGTGGTACGATATCCATGGCGCCATGTGCGTCGAAGGGATGGATGACTGTGAAGCAAAGCTCCTTCGGCGTATACGACAAGTTATTGGCCACGGTGTCGTTGTGTCGGCGTCCATGGACCTGCACGGCAATGTCAGTCGCGAACTCGTGCACGAGACAGATCTCATCACCTGTTACCGCACCGCACCGCACATTGACGTGCGGGAGACCAAGGAGAGGGCTTGCCGTAACTTGGTCGAGCTACTCATGGAGGCTCCCGCTGGAAGACGAGCAGATGGCAGACTCGTGCTGCCTCTCAAATCATGGATCCCTCTGCCAGTCCTACTTCCAGGCGAGCAGACCTCAACCCGCGTCGAGCCGGCAAAGCACATCTATGATGCCGTTTCCGTTGCAGAGTCGAAGAGCGGTGTAGTCGATGCTGCAATCTGGGTTGGCTATCCATGGGCTGATGAGCCACGAAACCGTGCGGCGGTCGTGGTGACAGGCTGGAATCCAGATTCTGTTAAGCATGAAGCTGAGAAACTGGCTCAGGTGTTTTGGGATGCTCACGAGGACTTTGACTTTGTCGGTCCGACAGGATCTTACGACGAATGCCTCGACGAGGCCGTCCTATCCAAGGATCGTCCGTTCTTCATCAGCGACTCCGGAGATAACCCTACAGCTGGTGGAAGCGGCGACATGACATGGGGCTTGATGCACCTGCTAGCTCGGCCCGAGTTCAAACAACCTTCTGGTCCGACAGTGATCTATGCCAGTGTGCCCGATGCCAAAGCAGTGCACACATGTGTTGACGCAGGCCTAGGTGCAACCGTCACTGTGACTGTCGGCGCCAAGGTTGACGATATTCATGCGGATCCAATCACTCTGACGGGCCGAGTGTATTCGATCAAACATGGAGACAGACATGCCCGAGTCGAGGTTGTTGTGCAAGTGGGCAGTGTCTTTGCTATCCTCACCGAGCTCCGCAAACCCTACCATCACGAGCACGACTTCACGGATCTCGACCTCAAGCCTCGAGAGGCGGACATCGTTATTGTGAAGATTGGTTATCTGGAACCAGAATTGCATGACATGGCAGCTGATTGGAGACTTGCTCTTTCGCCTGGTGGTGTGGATCAAGATCTGAAAAGACTTGGGCATGCCCGCATTCACAGACCCATGTATCCGTTCGATAACTTCGACAAGGCGCCTCCCCTTTCAGCCCGCGTCATTCCACCTTCGTATGAACCACTCTGTGGGCCAGATGAATGATTTTTGGTGTGCTGGACCAAATCTGGCACCCAAGGCTGATCTCGCGCATCTTGACCTTCTTAGTGTAAGACATTGTCGCCCAGCATACGGCGTCGATCGCTGACATCAAGGATTGGGACAAGTGCCCGGGACAGCACAGGATGTCCTCCGGCTTCCTACCCCTTCTGCATGAGAGAGGCCTTGCTTTTCGGGCCCGACTGTCCCACTGAAGAGAGGCCAGCGATCGCTCGACAACTCCGGTCGTTAAAATGTTTAACCGTCATCCTGCAGCCACCACCTCTCGTGCCATGTTCTCCATGTATCTTCTCGCCAAATGGCTTCTTTGTGTCAAGCCATGCCAGGTTTAGCCGTGAAGTGTCCCGATTCTCCCCGCAAACCTCGATAGGGCATGGTCATCAGGTCTTTCCCCTTACGACCTCCGCTGAACGGACTGGGAGCTGAGCAGCAAGTATCATCGTCTTATACAAACGAATATCCAACCTGCGCACTGGTTGACAGCGCTCTTTTAGTCGACCTTTTCACGTACAAGACTAAGTCATCTAGCTATGAAGCTCCTCTACCCTACCTCCTTGGAGCTTGACATAACAAGTCTTGAGGGATTCGGCGTCACATTACACCCCTACGACGTTCACAAGCCCATTCCTGAGGATCTCATCGACGCAGAAATCCTTGTCACCTGGGCTAACACCAATCTACGGGATGCCGCCAAACGGATGGGCAACCTTCGCTGGATCCAGTCTCTCTTTGCTGGTCCCAACGACGAGCTCTCAGCTGGCTTCCGGCCCAATGTCATCATGACTGCTGGTACCAATCTGCACAGCGAGACTGTTGCTGAGCATGCACTTGCCCTCGTGCTCAATTCCGCTCGTCGTCTTTACGAGATGCGAGATTATCAAAACCAGGGCAAGTGGCCGGGACACCTCGGTGGGTTTTTACCCGACCGCCCGAAGGGTTCGTTTACTTCATTGAAGGGTGCCAATGTTCTCATCTGGGGTATGGGGAATATTGGTCGCACCCTTGCGCCGCACCTGGCAGCGTTGGGTGCCAACATCCGGGGCGTTGGGCTCTACGAAGAAATCATCGACGGAATCCAAGTACAGACCAACGCAGCCTTGCCCAACCTGCTCCCACAGACTGATGCTCTGATCATGATTCTACCGGGATCCAAGGCGACTTGGCATTCTCTTAATGAAGACCGTCTTGCAATGTTACCTAAACATGCTTGGGTCATCAACGTGGGGAGGGGCGTCTGTGTGGACGAAGAGGCCCTCGCTCATGCCCTTAACAATGGGATAATCGGTGGTGCAGCTCTGGATGTCTTTCACAAAGAGCCACTTCCCAGTTCCTCACCTCTCTGGAAGGCACCAAATCTGATTATATCGCCACATGCTGCTGGGGGCAGACCGCGCTACTCGGAGGTGCTTATTGCGGAAAACCTGCGACGCTTCCTTGCAGGACAACCACTCAAATATGATGTAACTTCCGGGGGAATGTACACCACCACAGCGCCAGGGGAGAAGCCAACCCTCAAGGCCGCGCTGTAGACCCGAAAGATAGAAGCACCGCCATGCCAAAGATAAGAGAGGGCAGAAAGATGCACATGGTTCATGGTGTACCAAGCTGTTTGGGTTGGCTCAGACGGAACCGGACAGAGCTGACCGTCTCAAGGTGGAGTTCAATTGAAAGGCCATTTTTAATTCCGCGTCACTGTGCGTTGGACCTTCTCAAATGAACCAGGTTTCCCTTACCCCCTGTCAAACTGAGTACCTAGACTTGCTTCTCATTGCCATTTCTCTGTGGAGTGTTGCACTCCCCCGTCGCGCCAAACGCTCCCCAGCCATCTTCTGCATTCTACCACGGGTGGGCCTAACCCTGCACATTCCGAATTCTTCCACTATCCTTCAACCTGGATGCTCTCTCAATGTTTTGCCGAGACAGTTGGGCAGCCAAAGTCGGCATACCCGGACGTCGCAGCGGCCATTCCGATCATACGCTAACCGTGCTGTTCTACGGGACAGGTTTGTTTTATCTGTGGCGTGCTATGGTGGCATTTGATTAGTACGGGTCGTGACTTCTTCGACTAGATGCTGGTCATGAGCCCTGGTAGACCGAGACGAGGCTGGAAACTGAAGATAAGGCATTCAGAACCACTGGTTCCACATGTAGTACGGCTACGCTGGGACCGACGGTATTTATTCCCTGAGATTGTTCTTGACTCCGTCCAGTGATATCAATCCTTACACAAGATTGTGGCAACAGCCCCTCGACCCTGGATGTCGCATATAGTTCGAGCAGCTACAAAAGGCGCCATAATGGTTCGCGGAAACAAGGCCCGTTTCAAACGCCTCCGCCTTCAGCGAAGGAACCGATGATTCTCCACAATACAGGCCTGCTGAGTGAGAGAACGCATCAAGTAAGCATAAGCTACCTGGTTTACATCCCTTATGTCGTCCAAAGTGCGCGCAGGCTCCACCTTGTATATCACTACATTTCCAGTCTAGCGAAAATTCCCCGGACGCAACACGATATTTGTTGCCCTTGCTTACCTGAAACTGCCCAAATCAGAATAGTCATCGGAGGGAGATTGCGGGGAAAGAGGGTTAATTTACACCACACGAGGTGCTAGTTATCAACACACAGAGTACTTTGCATGCGCCAGTTGACTGCAGAGTCGATAAATCCCAACATCATCTTTCAATGCTCTTCGGATGGCCAGCCTTTTCGCAGGGATGAGGACGCTACTGGAACGCTTCGTGTTGTTTTCTGGTTTCAACTCCACTGTTTGGTTGACTCATCGCGGCGGTTTACCTATCTCACATATCGCATAACCCAGTGACACGAGCTCTGCTTCGGAATAAAAAGATGATTCGACCAAGACATGTTCCTTCTTCCCTACTCGCTCCGGCTTCATCCGAAGTCGGGTTGAAGTCGTTGTCTCTATCTTCAGAAACAAGGATTTACAGTAAGCTCTCCATACTCAACGTTGCTCATCGAGCACGGCAGAATATTTAACCCAGATACGGCCCCTGAGAACTCCGAACGGGGTGGTTACCAGGTTTCCTATAACTCCACATTCAGGTAGGTCAGAGGGTCATGAAGACATCTCACAGACCATTACTTGATGTCAGAACTAAGCTTAGAGACAAACCCACAATCGACCCCTTGAATACATCGTTTCTGCTCACGGCAATACCTCACAGGCCGTGGTGTGCGAGCATATCGTTGAAATACTTTACATTACACCCAATTTGCTTTTGTTTGCATCCGTGAACGCAACCATGATGGATTCGCAGATTCGAACCAGTCCCATTCTCCTTGCACCGGGCCCTACTGAAGTCGACCCACAAGTCCTTCAGGCTATGTCAACTTTTGCAGAATCACATTTTGCTCAACCATTTTGCAATACTTTTGGCGATGTACTGACGATGCTCCGTAAGCTGTTCCAGAGTGAAGATCCGGCTACTCAGCCATTTGTCATTGGCGGCAGCGGTACGCTCGGCTGGGACTTTGTGGCAACAAACTTCATTGAACCTGGCGAGCCGGTTCTTTGTCTCTGTACCGGATACTTCTCAGATGCCTTTGAGATGTGCTTGGCCACTTACGGAGCCTGTACACAAAGAATGACGGTACCCATTGGAGCCGCCCCGAACATGCAAGATGTCGAGAAAGAGTTGAGAAAGACCCGATACAAAGCCTTGGTTGTGACCCATGTCGATACTTCGACTGCGGTTTTGACACCTTTGAAACCTCTTTCCGAAATTCTGAAACGCGTCTCCCCGGAAACACTCTTTATTGTCGATGGTGTCGCTAGCGTTGCGTGCGAGGAAATTCAATTTGACACTTGGGGTATCGACATCGTTGCTACGGGGTCGCAGAAAGCCATTGGCTGTCCTCCCGGGCTCAGTATCATCATGGTTTCTGCGCGCGCCTTGGAGACTGCTAAAGCGAGGAGAGCACCAGCAAACACTTGGTACGCTAGCTTGTCACGGTGGTTGCCCATCATGCAAAACTACGAGAAAAAGCAGTCGAGCTATTTTGCAACACCTCCCACTCAAATTGTTCACGCTCTTCATGCCTCGCTGACGTCAATTCTCTCACGTCCTCTTGAAGAAAGATTTGAACAACATCGGCAGAAGAGCGCCCATGTCAAAGCGGCAGTGAAAGAACTGGGCCTGGTACAATTAACATCAGAGCCAGAGTACCAAGCTAATGGCCTTACTGCATTCTGGCTCCCAGAAGGTCTGTCGTCGAAGGAACTGCTGTCAAGAGTCACCGAGAAAGGTTTCACTATAGTTGGCGGTATGCATAAGGAGGTCGGCCATCGATACGTAAGAATTGGACATATGGGATACAGCGTTGTCAGCGAGCCAGAGAGACATATTGATCGTGGTTTGAAGGCTCTAAAGGAGGCGGTTACGGAGTATTACTCCAGCAAGAGCAAAAATTTTGTCCCTCGAAATGATCGGGAGTCCATGGGGCTAGCTAGAGCAAGCTTGTAGTGAATTGAAGTCTTGGGAGAGGATTTGGGAGGACTACCTGCAGTTCTGTGAGCAACCCGGACAAACGAGGCTGGCTAAACTAACTTGACACTTCCGACAACGTTGGTGTGCAAGTGGCTAATGAATGGAAGATTTCTGCAACAGCGTGGAGCCTAGAGTCTATGTGGTTCATTGACAGCGAGACGAAACCGAGACACTATTCCTAAGTGCATAAGTCTGAATATTCTTCGGCGCAGTGGCTGCGTCACTGTGCAACGTGCAGAACAGGGGGCTGCAATTCTGCTCTGCATATTCTGCGTCAATTCCGAGCAGTGAGTGCCTCATGGTCCTGGCCGGAAATGGTTACTAGCCCGAACCGGGTCGTTGACTATCCACATTCGGACCTCGGCCTACTGGATCTGGATAAATGTCCAGGCTCGTTCCTCCCGAGGAACACTGATGCACACCTCACGCGGCGCAAAGGTTAAGAGGGTCGGTATCTCAGAACAACTTGAGATATAATTCCACGTTGCAAAATCTTTCCCCAACCCACTTCTGCTGTATATTCAACATTCGCTGGAGCTACAATAGGTCTTTCCCGACGGTTCCATCTGTGAGCATGGGAGAAATCCCTCAGAAATGCATTGCCGGCGTGGTTGTAAATGAGGGCCCCGACTTTCACATAGAGGTCGTGGAAGTCCCTGTCCCCGAACCTGGCCCCTACGAAGTCTTGATCAAGCTCAATACAACTGGCTTGTGCATGTCTGATGTGCATTATATGCTCAATGACCTGGGCGTGCCACCCATGTCACACTTCCAGACAAGATCTCCTGGGCACGAGGGTGCGGGGGTGATCGTGAAAGTTGGGTCGCAAGTAACCTCTCTCAAAGTCGGCCAACGCGCTGGGATCAAGCCAACGTGGGACGTTTGTCATGCATGCGAGAGTTGTCGAAATGGCCGGGAGAATTACTGCAAAGGCAGTGTCTCCACGGGACTACAGAAGCCTGGTCCGTGACTTCAACCCATCCACAGTAACATCTCAACTGACGGAGACCATGAAAGGCTCTTATCAACAATATGTTGTCTCGCCGGAGCGGTACACGATTCTTATTCCAGAAGGCGTCAGCGACCATGTCGCAGGACCAGTCATGTGCTCAGCATCCACCATGCTCCATTCTTTGAAGACGGCCAACCTGTCACCAGGACAATGGGCCGTGTTCATCGGGGGCGGGGGTGGTGTTGGACTGCAAGGCGTTCAGCTTGCATATGCTATGGGTCTCCGGCCCATCGTGGTCGACACCGGAGCGAAACGAGACGAGTTGAGTCGGAAGTACGGCGCCGAGCATTTCGTCGACTTCAAAGAGACGAAGGACCCAGTGGCCGATGTTCTTGCATTGACTGATGGCGGTGCCCATGGTGTTTTTGTTACTGCCATTCAGGCCTATCCTTCCGCCATGGGTTACCTTGGCGATCGAGCAGGGGGGAAGCTGATGTGTATTGGCCTTGGGCCACCGAAACGGAACACCATTACACTCGATCCGACAGCCTCCAATTTCATGCTCCGCAACCAGTCAGTCACAAGTACAATAGTCAGCTCGCTTGGTGAGATTGCGCTGGCACTTGACTTTGCTAAGCGTGGTGAGTCTCATAGCAAGGACTTCGTATGATCTCTCAGCTGTCATTGACACTCTGGATAGGAAAGCTTCATCTCAATCCAGAGATTGTGGGAGTCTCACAGTGGAATGAGTCGGTCCAGAGACTGAAAAACGGACAAGTCGCCGGGTAATTTTCCCTTTCCTCACTACCTTTCTACCATCTCTACCATACAAATCAGACGAGAGCTAATATAAGAACGTTAGACGTATCGTGGTCGACTTTAACAGGCCCTAAGCGTCCGGTCTCCCTGGACTTTGCCTCCACGATGTAGTTAAGAAGAGTCGTTCTGTTGAGGTTGGGCCGGCCGCGTGCGCAAAATTTCCAATAACTTCTTCATCTCACACTATCTCGCAGCAGAATCTCATTTGTCGCTCTCTTCGAAGTGAGTGTTCAGCCAGGGATGTCTTGTTAGCATTAGCTAGGCGCATACCTGAAAACAGAATCACATGGAACCCTAACGTCGCCTTCTTTCTCCACCTCCTCTAAGAGAATGGTGCAAGACTCGTGGCTTCGAGAGCCTCATCGATCCTCCAAAGATACGCTGCGTTTGTTTCTGACTGCCTGCTCAGAGTGTTTCCTGCAAGCATATGATATCTGACATCAAAGTCAAAATCTCCCTCCTTGAACACAATGGATGTGTTCTATAGCCGGTGTCTAGTCCTGCCATACACACTCGGCAGACTCATTCGAGAGTGCCTGCCAGACTTTCAAACAGTGACCATGAGGGACCGAGATGGTGAGAAATGCATACGTGCGGCTGCAAACCCAGGGGTAGGACGCAGCGAGGAGTCGGGGCTTCTTTCAATTGGGCTTTGATTGAGAACAGTACTAGGCCAGCTAGATTGCCACTCCACACCCTTTGCACATTTCTTACACACCGATCAATACCAATATGGTAGCCTCACAGCAGCCTTGCTCGTGGAACATGTTAGCGACGCGCTAAATGCAAGCTACACGGGGCGAGCTGTGATCTCTTCTTCTCGTCTCCAGATTCGGCAAAACAGCAACTTAGGTAGACGTCCCAGCCAAGGAATATCCTCCTACACGGACAGCATTTGAATACAGAGGAGACGGAAGACTGACTTTTTGGCCCATCGAACCCCTATCCCGCCCCTATTCGGACCCTGTTTTTCTTTACCTTGTCAGTCTTGATCGTGGTCCCGCAAGCCGCAAGCGAGCCATCTCAATGCCTGGAGTTGCCTCTTCACTTGGTAGATATTTGGTCTGAAAAGGAGGTATGAACCGATCCGGAAAGCTTTATCAAGTTGAGGGTTATCAAGTTTTTCTCTCTAGATGCCGTGGCCGATTGTTGTTCGCCACATAGCCAGTGATGTCAGGTCTCGATTCCAAATTCCGAATCCGAATTCTAGACATACCCCTGAAAGCAACACTCGCGATAGGTCGTATCATAAATCACAACAAACCAGATACACCAGCAACAACGAAAAATTTTCCCAAAGCAAAAGCAATCCGGCGAACATCAAAAGCACTACAAAACGCCGCCAGTGCCGCTGGAAGGCAACATACAATCATCTGCAACATGACGACAGATAGCATTAAACACAGACGTCCGACAACGTCAGAAACCAGTGTACTTCAAGATAGCACCCATTCACTTCCTCTCTTGAGGAACTTGTCCACCATCAGCATCAAATCGGCCATGACAAACCGAATGACGAAGAATGCAAAGAACTCGGCAGCATTTTTAACACCCAACTCCAACCCGACTTGGGTTTTGTTGGAGCATTTTAGACCCGGGTCTTCCACTTGCCGGGCAATGTCATCGAGCACTTGCGCCGCCTCAAAGAGGCGCGCCAAGCTTGACATGTAGGCCGCATGGACGGGTTGAATATTCGCCAACTGTGTTGGTGTCGGCGGTGGTGCGATCTTGCGATGCAGATGCGACCGTGAAGAAGCGACAGCCGACGATGAAGTCATAGGGAGCGACGCCATACTAGGGCCAGCCATGGGACCGTCCTTCTGCCCGCTCTGATGCCCCATAGCTGGAGCACTTGATTTGGACCGAAGTTTGCGCCAGCTGGACGCAATGGATTTGGCAGCAGTGCTGGTTGATTTACCGATCTCTTGGTCTTCGCCAGCAGACTTGAAAAGCGCCGACGATCCGGAAAAGCCAACGTCATTGCCCATCTTCTTCTGCAAATTGTTTCGCACCTGGTCCAAAACCACTTCGAACGACTGCAATTCGTCCAGGACTGAATCGGCGTCAAACGTATCGACTTTGGCAAGTTTGAGTAATGCAGCTGTTAACAGATCACATTGGGACACTTTATCATCAAGAGCCTTGAGCTTGACATTCCTCACTTTCCATACGTCGCGAGGGATGAAAAGCTTCGTGGTCAGATATCCGCCCTTTGGATGAGAAAGTGATTGGTACAAACATCGCATCAGCCAGAAGGGGCGAAGCAGGAAAGACTCTGGGCAGGGTTCCAGAAGTTGGGGGGGAGAGACACTTGGGGCTTCAGGACTTCGCGGTGTCCTTGGAGGGGCGGTCGCGGTGATATCGTCGAACAAGTACATTCCACCTGCCTGGAGCAGTTGCGGACCAAATGCGGCTGTTAATGGTGTTGGCAATGCAGCTGACGGTAAAGGCGGTACACCCTTTCTACTTTCTCCGCCAAATCCCGCGCTGACCGGCGTAATAGGAGATTCTGTAGTTGTGTCCGTCGTTGCTACGGACAGATTTCTCAGCCTCAAGCTTGACGATGACAGGTTTTTCTTGACGGCAGCAGGAGGCCCCATCTTCCCAATCTTTACAGGCGATGGCGGCATAACCACTGAATCTTCAATGCTACCCTGGGAACCCCCCTGTGTCAAGGCAGGGGTTGCCGGGGAGTCACTTGGGATAGAATCATTGGAGGGCAACGCTGTCATGGGAGTAATGGGCGCCAGAGAGGGTATTGTGGACTCTGACGGTACTGTTTGGGACACCTTCTGGGGCTCCCCAGGAACGTCCAGTTCTGGCACCGACGAAGGTGCCGCAATCGGTTTGGTGGGGATGGTTGAAGAGTTTCGCCGTGCAAAGGTTTCTATCTTCAGCTGCTCCCCACTGCGACCTGAGAACCTCCTTTCCCGAATATTCAGTCCGCTGTGTTTCTCTACACTAATCGGTCTGCTTGATGGTTGAACCGACAGCGCAAGGGGCGGTGCCTGGGGAAGAACCGGCTTAGGAGGAGACGACAAAGGTGCATCCTTTGCTGGGGGCGCTGGTCGAGGAGACATTTCGGAAACCGCCTCTTGTGATTCTGCTAGGGTGCTCAGGGTAGTGTTATTTGTTGCTGTTGTCGATGGAAGAGAACTTGTCCAAGTCCTTCCTGAGAACGTACTCGAGTCTGACTGTCGAGGAAGTGCCGATTTCGATTTTCGGTCGAACGAAAAATCATCGAAGACAAATCCCTTCGTCATCTCTTCTAGTAGTCGTTCTTCTTCCTCCGATGAGTCTCCCTCGTCATATTCTCTAGTCAGTTCGATATCGGACGACAGGAGGGAATTGTCTTTGGAGACTGCTCCGAAGGCAGGTATGGGTGTACGGAACTCCTCATTGAAGTCCTGTGCGTTCTTATCTGGCCTCGGCGTGGGCTCCTCTGTCAGATTGTCCTCGTAGGCAGCATCCACAGCAGCGTCGAGGGCAGCATCAAACTCTGCTTCGAAGTCGTCGACAAGATTGTGGTTATGCTGGATCCCAAAATCCAAAGACGATAATCGAGAAGACCGTGAGGTCAATGAGTCACCATCTTCGAGAGTGTCCAGCCACGAAGTAGACTCCGTGCTACCTTCTCGAGTATGTAGAGCAGCTTTTGGAACATCGCTCGGTCTTCTGTTCGCGAGAGGTGTGTTCGCGTCCCTTTCCGAGATGGGAGATGCAGGTCTTCTGGGCGAAAGAGGTGGCGGCATATACTGCGCATCCATAGGCACCGCAAGACTAGGGATCTGTATCCTCTTGCGGGTTGACGACTCATTCAGATAAGACTCCCCACCAAATATCTCTGGCAGTAAAGACTCTTGTCGAGGCGGTATCTGAACAGACTCCAAAACCTCGGTAGTATCTGGCTCGATGCCATCACTGCTGAAGAAAGAGTTGTTGGTTTCATCAAGGGGGGGATCTTCAGGCAAAGCTTTCTCCATCAATTCGGAGAAGGAATCATCGAGGTCGTGAAGGTCGGCTATACGCTTTGAATACGCGTTTCGAATGTCAGACAGCCTCTTCCGGTCATCGAGGACGGAGCTCCGGATCAGAACTTGCTGCAGCAAGTCACAAGCTTCGGCATATGCTTCGATGGCTCCTTCGATGTTTTGGGCGTTGTCAAGTAACACAGCATTGTTCGCTACTGCCAGAGCCTTGGAGAGCATGGTCTTCTGGGTGGGACTTCGATGACTCTTGACACGTGCGGGTGCATTTGATGGAGGCGAACTGTCCATGGATTCATCTCGACTGGCCGTTGCAGGGCGGGTTTCGCGCGTAATCGGTCGAGAAACTTGTGTCATGTATTGAGTTGTCATATTCTCGGACGGTCTGGTCTTAGGCTGTGTACCCGTTCTCATATAATGTACAGACACGGCTACTGCTTCCCCATTCTTACCAGTTTTATGGCTTTGCCATGCCTCGCCGAAGTATTCCCCAGCGCTTGGGTTAAACATTGATGTCGGGGTGAGGTGCGCGGAGACGCCAACGGGGCTGAGGTCCCGCAGAGCATGAGTCCTTTCCACTTGAAGAAAAGCTGACCCGGAGCCCTGTCTCACCTGAGGACTCTGGCTTGAAGATCTCCGAATATGCATAGATGTTTTTGCTGCTGTGGAAGAGGACACCAGCGACGGGCCTATACTCATCCGCCGCGATGATGGGTTCGCGCGAGCGCGGATGTTATCTGACTCCATTCCAGATATACTGGAAGACGTCGAATGCGACCAGCGGTTGATATTCAGGTTTGGGCTCAGAGTATTCTCTGGTCGGCTTCTTGAGCGACTTCTATCGTAGCGAAAACGACTGGTGGGCGGCATCGATCTTTCTGGACTCTTGGGCCTCGTTCTCGGTTGAGCATTTCGAGAATCCAAGTGTTTTGCGGCAGTGGCGGCAGCAAATTGTTTCTTGACGGCCGCTGCTGGAGATGATGACGAGTTCGACCTTGACCGTCCGCCATTGTGAATGATAGAAGCTGCAGATGTATCCATCGCTCCTTCAAGCTGGTGATCAACAGAGAGCCTCGCACTCGCTCAGATACCGGGATGATGCTAGTACATGGACGGCGAGACTCGGGTATGTATCAGTAGCCAGCGACCTTGGTAGAGGCGCACAAGCTGGAGAAAGCCCAGGCTACACCGCAGGACGCACTCGAGATCTCCAGTGCAGCTGTGCCGGCAACGCCTTTCAACAGGAGGTACCTGCAGCTGGGATCTGCTTTGCCTGCGGTTGAAAAGGTGACTGGCGAATCAAGAGGGTATCGGTCAATATGGAAAGCCAGCCTGGTTTAGAATGCAAGCGCTTTAGAAGGGTTCGTATACAACAGCCTGTATGTTCACGATGTTTCCGGCTCTTAATGCAGACTTCGCTTCTCAATTCGGGGACGAGTTGCTCTCGGGGAACCAGGCCAACAAGGAAACAGTGTGTGTAAGGGTGTAGGTTCATAAACCAGCTGCGTGTTTCGTAACTTTGGCGGTTGGGAATTCCGCTTCGGACCAGAACATGGCGGTTATCGCCCAGCCATGCTATCAACAAATCATCCACTTCACATGTGCCTGTTTCTTCATGCAAATGCCCTGTACAAGATTTCACCGGTCGTTTTGGATATTGACAGACTGGCGACGGAGACAAGGAGAGGTCGCAAAAGATCAGGACTGCTGGGAAGTCAAGCGAGGTTGGGGGCGACGAGATGGGAGGGATTCTTGAAGGATTTAGTGTCTCGAGAATGTAGAATAGAAACACAGGCGACCAAGTCGAGGGGTCAGTATCGATGGCTTTCGCAGAAGGGGGTTCAATGAAACTGAAGGTCAAGTCAACGTCCGTTCGCAAGCGTTGATCGCGGAGTTTGGGAAGGAGAGAGGTGCATCAACCCAGCGGTTCTGCCGATGACAGGGAGGTCAGGGATGCGATAACAGGCTGTGAGCGAACAGGCGAAGCAACAATTAGCTGGGCAGCGAGGCCAACAGCAAGGTATGAAACCAGAGGGGCTTTGGTGTCCAGAGCAGCTCGTGTAAAGAGGTGGTTGTTTCTCTCTCAGTCTGGCCAGATGTGTGTGAATTCATCCCTGACGGCGTCTGTGCCCCGATCTGTCCGAGTCCCAGTGCTTCGAGGCAGAACTCAAAATGCCTTCTCCATAGTACCAAGGAGAGGCGGCGAGTAGACGGGCGCAGGCACCAAAAGGGACCGGCCCTGCAGGCACAAGGCACAAGGTGGTGGTGGTCGCTCGCGCCAAACCTGTTTAGTGAGTTCACCAAGCCACTCACACTCGGGCGCCCTAAAAGCACCGCTTAGCCTCTCCTACCAGGTGCCTACCCCTGATTTTCACGCCGACTCCACCCAGAAGTATCTACAGTATGTAGGAAAAGCCCTTCGGATGCTAGTTTGGAGGGCTGCTTCGGGTAAAGATCCTACCAGTAGCTTCTGGCCTCTCTCCTCGTGCGAATAATGTCTCTCTCAAACTTCGTATCATCAAGTTCTAGCGCATCTCTCGAAAGTGCCACTGTATCAACGCAATGTGCCAATACTTGAACACCACCCAATTTCCAATTATATTTTCAGTCCTGTTATCCTCAATTTCATAGGCCAGCCCATGGTAATCCTCTATCTCCTGCGTGCAACCGAGAGCCTATCGTTCCTTGCGGGGGATTGCCACACCTACCCTGGCTGGTGAGGCCCGTCGCCTTTCGAGTGCCCGTTCAGTCTCTCCTTGTTCCGAAAAGCGAAAAGCCAAGAAGCCCCCCTTCTAGTTCCTCCTGGTCACCCTGTCACCCGCCCCAACCCGATCAGCTGTCAATACTGGGTGCTCAGGGAAGGTGTTGCTGCTAAAACAAAATCGCCTTTGCGCCGTCTTACAAGGACGAGACACAATCTCGAAGCGCCCTTTCAGATAGAGACCAAAAAGGTATTATTAACGAGTAAAACAGTCGGAGTCCGTGCTCAAGGGTCATACGATCTGCACCGGCGTAACGGCCGGCTCAGTGGCGCAACCTGATGTCAATGGCGTCTCTGCCATGTGCATGTTTGACTGCTGAATAACGTCCTTTATGCAGGTCTCGGGCTTGGGTCTGACGCTCTTCTGGCGAAGGTGGGAAGGTAGGAGCAATATATCTATCAGTGAGTCCAACCTCGCCTCCTGCAGTCATACTTTTTGTGCCATTGTCTTGGAAGCAGGTTTAATATGCATGACAATTACTTCGTCATCCAAACCCGGATTCCGTGTTTCTGGAAGCATGGTTGTCGAGTGCACAGAGATCCTCGGTGATGCGGGTATTCAATTTCTGCAAGGACACCGACACAGGAGTGGCCATGAATGGGCTTCTACCAATATCAGCGTCGTCGAGCAAAATGGCCGCCACGCTGCCGCAAGTTGATGCCCTGTGAGTCATCAGGTGGGTTACTTGAGCACCTGTCACGTATCTTATGCCGCAGCTGACAGCCTCACCGACCTTTTACTCCTTGGAAGCTTTGCTTGAACTCCTCCGTCAGTGGACTGGTTCACTGAGAACAGAGGGGCGTACCCGCACACCGTCCAGCCGTCGACCATATCGAACAAGTCAACGCTACACAGGAAACGGAGGCTCGTGAGGTGGCCTGAGCGTACAGCTTCAGGCTAACACCGTCAGCGTCCGATGTCAAGCTGCGATTTGGCTAAATGCCCGCTTCAAAAGCCGCTGAGAAAGAAAAAGATTTAAAATCACCAATTCTTTCCCAATGATGTCCACTTTGCTTTGGATCTTCGCTCCCGCTCGACTGTTCAGAGCATCACCGACTCGACAATGGACTGCACATTTTGCCACCTAGTCCTGAGTTTCACTCTTTGTGTGCGTCGCGGCGTCTCGACCGACGGCTGTTTTCTCGGTTGTCTCACAGCCCGAGATAAGGACAACGGTCTTCAATTGCCTTGGAGGTTCTTCCGCTCTTTTGAGCCGGCCAAGATCACGAAACTGGGCCTGCGTCGGGCCCTGCGACCACCCGCCATTCTTACCCTCTCACTGAATTTTTGTCCATCCGTTTCCTGTGTCTGACTCCTGCGCAGCAAATCGGTACCATGATATCGTACCAGTTCTTCTTGCCTACCACGTGAACTTGTTCCTAGGCATGATGCAGTGGAGATGTGTTGCGGGCGGAAGCGAGGATTCGGGTCAGTATCAAACCAGTTCATTTACTCGAAGCGGACAAATAAATGGAGCTCTCCAATAAAATCCTGTGGACCTTCACCACCAGGCTAGAATATGCTTCAAATATTCCGCTTTGCGCAAGAACAGGCTGTTTGTGAAGAAAACCGACGCCCCGGAGTCGCGAGGGAAAGACAACTGATCCAGGTGCCTGGGTCAGCGATACGTTTGGAAAGCAAAAGCACATAAGAATGATCCAACCCATGTCTGTGTCATGCTCAGACCCAATCTCCTGGTTCTGCTCGACCAGCCCAGACTTTCGGTATTGGAGCAAGACCTTTCGACAGGTGTCGAGATTCTCTACAAGGTCTGATGACCCTGGCCTGTTCTGGTTTCTTGGCCCTGGTCACGACTAAAACCATATTCGACATCAGGTATATTTATTCCTGCAAGAAAGTGCCCGTGATGCTTCTCTCAGCCTGCGTCGGATCGGCCTCTGCCATCTTCCTTTTCGTTGCGCCATTGCCAATATTGGCCGCCGATCAGACAGTGGACCCAACATTAGTTGCGAGGTTGAAGATGGCAGCGACCATGAACGACCGACTGCAAATGCTTTCGGACCAACAGCTCCTCTACAACTTTTCCTCGAACCCGATGCACTCGTGGACTCCGGGGAGTGTCTGCAACGCAAACGCTGCGACCTGGCCTGTCCTCTCTACCGTTGGGGCAACGGTGGCGCAGCTCAATCTCGGGCCATGCGCGATGCTCGCACCGCATTTGCATCGAGCCACCAATCTTGTTGTTGCAGTGAGTGGAACAACCCACACGTACATGGTGCAAGAGAATGGAGCACGAATGGTGGAGCAAATTTTGACCCCGGGGATGATGACTATCTTCCCCCAAGCCAGCGTACATTCTATGTACAATATGGGTACGTCTGCGCTGCGTTGAACGTCTGCTGCTTTCCCTGACGACTGTATAGGCTGTGGAAACAATCAACTCTACTCATTCCTCAACGATAACGACCCAGGAACACTGAACATCGCTCAGGCGTTCTTCATGATGCCAAAAGACATTGGTACCCAAGTTATGCCATTCATCAACCTCACCAACGGGAACTGGTCCGCCACTGGTCAGCATATACCGGCGATCGGGACGGGCAGCCAGGATGGATTCGAAGCATGTAGGCAACGATGCGGGCTTACAACGAGGGCATATCCCGGAGAGCATCTGGTGGTGATTTAAATGGCATGGCTGTTTTTATTCCCTTTTCCGCCGAGCTCTGCTGCGTGTTCGAACTGCCCTTCACAGTGGGCTTGATAGATTGTGCCTCGCATTGCTGTTGGGTTTTTGTTCCTGGAAACTTGCGGGGGGGTATCTTATGGCGCGAAGCAGTGGTTGCAAGTCTCAACTTGTGCATTGTCCCAGCACAGTTCAAGCATTCGTGAGGCCGGTCCTGAATCTTGTTATTCGCTGGTTATTTATTGATTACTTAGTCACTCCTTTTGGCGCAAATACTTTACCAACATTGATGAAATCTGAGAGACATGAGCTCCGTTTGCTCTTCAAGATCAAGATGACCCAAAAACTTCAGTGGATTTTGACCCTGCGTCATGGGCAACAGCAAGGGCATGCATTCTCCGTAGCGCAAGATGCCGACAGGAAGACAGTGCATCACCTTCAGGATCGATGATACCCACCCCATCCTGTTCCTCAACTCATTCTATCTTCCAACTCTTCAGATCCACCACACTGGTCTCCGGCGTCCTTTCTTTCGTCGGTGTCCTTGGCCCGCTCGGCGTGTCTGGCCTGCTTTTGTCGGCACTGGCACTCGCGTGGAGACTTACATTCTCTCGATATGCAACGTACTCGCTGTCGGCATATCCCAGGACATTTCTGATCTCGGAACTCCGAAGCCGCTTGATCCTTGCGATTTCGGTGGATGAATAATTCACCACGGCCCTACCGATCTCCTCTTCCCTCGAAACCAGTTGCATGGCTATCGAGCTGGAATTGCCTGTCGGAGACAAACTGCCCAGTGGTGTTTTATCTACCACGACCAAGCGGACGGCCTCCTGTTGAGCGAAAGTCCCTTCCACGTCGACGACTCCGACCGGTAATAGGCCGGCTTTGTTTGCCAACGCGACGGAGGCGCCTCGGTCGATGTAGAGTGTCCCGTGAGGAGCCAGGCCGTGGAGGATCCAAAAGGCGCGGTTGCGAATTGGAGACTGCGAGGGTAGGAAGCGTGTATGTAAAGGCGGCGGAATACTTGGCATAGACAGCATTGTGCCTGTCTCGCCATCAACTTCCACAGGGGGATGAAGATGACGTATGATAGCCGCAATGTTCCCTGGTTTTGAAGAGTTTGTGATGACCGTGCTTGTGCCTGTAGCTGTAGCCAGTCGTGCAGCGACAATCTTGGTCGCCATACCACCCGTTCCTAACGCCGACCCTCGTGAAGAGACATCCACCTGGAGAGCATCTATGTCATCGACCACAAGAATCGGCGTCGCATCAGGATACTTTCTTGGATTTCTGTCGTATAGGCAATCGACATCGGTCATCAAAAACAGGTAATCTGCGTTTACCATGGCCGCGGCAATGGCAGACAGTGTATCGTTATCGCCAAACTTGATTTCCGATACTGACAAGGTATCATTCTCGTTGACGATCGGTATCACACCCATTGACAAGGTCTCTGCTAGGGTGTTCTGGGCATTGAGATATTGAGAGCGATCGGCGATGTCATTGCGAGTGATCAGGATCTGGGCCACGGGCTGATTCTTGTGTGCAAAGAATGAGTCCCACACCGACATGAGGCGGGACTGACCGATCGCAGCGAGGGCCTTTTCCGAAACGGAATAACTGGATTTAGTTTTTTCCTTCAGAGTAGAGGATCTCGAGGGGTTGGGCGAGATACCTGAATTTGAGCAAGATGCTTTGGTCTTTTGGCCATGTTCATCCTCTGCAGCCCGACGCCAATGGCACCAGAGGAGACAATGACGACTCGATGGCCATCTCGCTTTAAAGTGACAGCCGTCTCAACAATCTGTGCCAGAATTGAAATGATTGGCTCGTGCGTAGTCTCGTCGACGATGGAGGAGGTACCTATTCCCAGAACCACAGTAAGCCTCGTCCTTGTCGATTTAAAGTTCCTGTTCCGTCGAAAATGATAGGACATGGCGGTTGGGTAGCCTCAGTACCAATTTTGATGACTATTGTCAAATGCTTTCCAGCCCTCATTGTGTCAGCTTCCTACGGTCTTGGTGATATGATAACTGTAGCACCACACTTAAACTTCTGTTGCCGAAGTCAGAGCTGCTCATCTTGAGTCAAAGAGGAGGGGTGGAGGAAGACTTGGGCTCACGCCCTTCAAGACAAGCAGACAAGGCTGTCAAAGAGAAGTTGTTTCCCCGAAAAAAAAAAAATTGGCCAGCAGACAATCGAGCGAGTTAGATTTGGGCTTGGCAGTACGATCACCTGAGGGCCCCAAAACATGCCGCTTTCAAAAGTCAGTCGCCAGCAACTCACCCCTGTGTTTGATCCTCCCTCTCATCTCACTACTGACTATCAATCCACTCTCGAGTTGAATGGCCCCGATCGACACCTACTCTGTATGTACAATTACGCAGTACTTGCTTTTGGAACTCAGACCTATTTCGAGGCGACCCCTCCTCGGATTCTGTGCTCTCGACGTTTCCTCGCTCTGGGTACAAATGAGGACCTGATCACCGCCTAGCCTCCTTGCTTCGAAATCCCTTCTCGTATCTCTCCCCTTTCACCGTCGAGCCTTCCCTCTGACACTTTGTGTCTCTCATCCCTTTGCCGTTCATCAAGCTACAGAGTAGCCGCAGGCAACGGACAATGGACCACGGCCTCGAGTCGGAGCCAAATGCTACCAGAGAGGTGATGAATCGTGCAGGATAGCCCGTGGATGTCGCGGGGTTTCCAATGTGTCCTCAAGGGGTCCCAATGGGTACATAAGGCGAGCCCCTCGCTCCATTGGAACCGCGGCCATGATGATTAGCTCAATTAAAGCCAAGGCGTGCTGATGCCGACAACTGCCGAATTGAGCCGAGCAGCCGGGGACCGGGCAACAGATTTCTGAGGTCCCACTGTTCACGAATACTGCAGACAATTGGAAATCGAGAAGAAAGACCATTGATGTGCGTGACTCGAGACAGCTATCGCTCTCTGGTAGATGACCGCCTTGGTGGGTTACCTCCAGGATGTCTTCCTCTCAACCCATCAAGATTCTCATAGCCAATCGATCCGAGATAGCATGTCGCCTCATCAGGACATACTCGCTCTATCCAAGCATCCACACAGTAGCTTTGTTCACACCCTCTGAGAAGGATGCGACACACGTCCGTCTTGCCACCACATCAGTGGCGCTCCCAGGAGAAGGCCCACGTGCATATCTAGACGCGGCCAATATTGTCAATATTGCGAAGACGGAAGGATGCTGGGGTATCGCACCGGGCTATGGTTTCCTGTCCGAAGACGCTGGGCTAGTGAGGCTCTGTGAGGATGAAGGCATCACGTTCATCGGACCGCCGAGCGAGCAGCTGGCACAACTTGGGAACAAGATGAGCGCGAGATCATTGGCGGCAGATGTAGGTATCCCGGTTCTAGATGGCACGAAAACCGTACTCGGCCAAGGCTCTTCCATCACAGATGTACTGGCCTTCGGGAAGAGCCTGGGCCCAGCCAGCAAAATCATTCTGAAGGCTGCGGCTGGCGGCGGAGGGCGCGGTATTCGCATCATTGATGACAACAGAGACGAGCAAGCCATTCAGTTGGCTTACGAGGCTTGTCAGCGAGAGGCACAGGCCTCCTTCGGTAATGGAAGCTTGTTCGCAGAGCGATATCTACACGGCGCTCGACACATTGAAGTCCAGCTCCTTGGGGACGGCACTGGAGAAGTTTGCCATTTCTGGGAAAGAGAATGCTCGCTTCAGCGCAGAAATCAGAAGGTGGTGGAGATTGCACCTTCGCATTGCATCACGCCACGGTTGAGGCGAGCCATCATTGAAGCTGCGGTGAAACTGGGGAAATCAGTGAAGCTGCGAAGTCTTGCCACGATCGAGTTCCTTGTCGATGCGGCAACCGAGGAGTATTATTTCATGGAAGCGAATCCCAGGATACAGGTTGAGCATACCATCACCGAACAGATCAATGGCATTGATTTGGTGGATTTTCAGCTTCAGGTTGCCTTGGGACGAACTCTGGCAGACCTGCACATAACGCCGGATCCCCCGCCACCTCGCCTTACATCCATACAGCTACGCGTCAACGCCGAAAGTTTCAGGCAAGATGGCACCGCGCAACCTGAAGCGGGGACTATTCAACAAGCGCATTTCCCTACGGGAGCAGGGGTGCGAGTGGAGACAGCGCTTGAAGGAGGCCGGCGGTATATCGTGAGCCCTTTGTTCGACAGCCTTTTGGCGAAACTAATTGTCACATCGTCTTCGTATGAGTCGGCTCTGCGGCTAGCCCGTTGGGCCATCGACGAGACAAGGATCGTAGGATGCAGGACGAATCAGGCGTTCCTCATGGCTTTGCTGGATATTCAACCCGTTCAAGAGGGCAAGAGCAATATTTTGACCATCCAGGAGAACTTCGAGGCGCTCTATACTACCACGCAGCAGTTCGAAGACACGTTGCGGGCTAAAGGTGATCGCACCCCTGAAGAAGCAACGTCACCAATGGAGGATACGGCTGAAGTTGAGCGACCTGCCGGCTCTGACGCGCTGCCAGCACATGTCACGGGGGTTGTCCTTTCCATAAAAGTGAGCGAAGGCGACAAGATCACTGCTGGCCAAGAATTGGTCGTTCTTGAGGCGATGAAGATGGAACATTCCGTCCGGACCGCCTACAATGGTGTTGTGGCGAAAGTGGCCGTCACGCAAGGACAGCAAGTAAATGCTGGCGATGCCCTTCTCTTTACCTGCTCGGATGGCGACAGTCCATCTACCGATATACACGACCTTGCCGAGACAGAGAACCCAGAAAAGCTGCGGCCGGAGTTGACGGAGCTAAACGAACGTAAGGCCTTTCTACGGTACGCTGGCCGCGAAGAGGACGTGGCCAAACGCCATGCAAACGGATATCTCACGGGCCGTGAGAACCTCGACTTGCTTGTAGACAAAGATTCATTTGTTGAATATGGAGACCTCGTGGTTGCGGCACAGAGGAAAAGGTATCCCCTTTCCCATCTCATCGCTCGAACAAGTGGAGATGGTATCATCGTCGGTTGGGCGAAGATAGACTCTCATCCCGTCGCAGTTGTCATTGGCGACTACCTCGTACTTGCGGGCACGCAAGGACACTTCCATCATCAGAAGTTAGACCGCATCTTCCAGTCAATCATTGATCATCCTGCGCCGCTGGTGTTCTACGCTGAAGGGGGCGGTGGAAGACCGGGTGACACGGATCACTTGGGCATGGCGGGTCTAAAGACGCCATCGTTCGCTCTGATGGGCCAGATCAAGGCAAGAGGGATACCTTCTATCGCAGTAGTGAATGGATACTGCTTTGCGGGCAATGCTGCATTCTTGGGAACATGCGACATTGTCATAGCCACAAAAGGCGGATCAAAGGATGCGCCCTCAAGGAAGTCGACCACGATCGGCATGGGCGGCCAAGCAATGATCGAGGGCGGTGGCCTTGGTCGATTTGAGCACGAACATATTGGTCCCGTTGATGTTCATATGCGCTCAGGTGGCATTGATGTGCTTGTAGACACCGAGGTCGAAGCCGCGTCGCTTGTCCGCAAGATCGTTGCTCTATTCACCCATCCGCGGCTACCACCAGCGGAGAGTCCTTACACATCGGATCCTCTTCGCCTACGCACCGCAGTGCCACCACTATCATCCCGTCGCCGAGCCTACGATGTTCGTCGTGTGATCAGCCTTCTCTTGGATGATGATAGCTTCATCGAGTTCTGTCCGGAGTGGGGCCTCTCCGTGCTCACAGGCTTTGGCCGCATCAACGGCCACGCAGTCGCAATCATGGCTTCCAACTCCTCATCTCCTCTAGGTGGCGCTATCGACGTCGCATCTGGCGCAAAAGTCAACCGCCTTCTCCGTCTTCTCATCCGCCTCGGCGGTATGCATCTCCTCAGCCTCTGCGATACCCCTGGATTCATGGTTGGCCCCGACTTCGAGCGCTCGATCGAAGCCCAAGGTGCCGGAAGCACATACCGCTGCTTCGGTGACTGGTTCGGCAACTCCCAAGAATTCGCCCTTCTCGGCGGTCGGTTCCTGGGAGTCGTACTGCGAAACGGATTCGGACTGGGCGCACAAGCAATGCTCGGTGGTGGAAGCTTAAACAATAGCATGTGTGTGGCGTGGCCGAGTGCCGTCTTTGGGGGCATGGGGATCGAAGGCGCTGTAAGGCTTGCGTACAGGAAGGAGCTAGAAGCTATCATCGATCTTGAAAAGAGAAAGCAAAAGGAGCAGGAGATGATTGATGTCATGTACGACGAAGGGAAGGCTATCAATATGGCTATGGCTGCTGAGATCGACAGTGTGATTGACCCGGCTACGACGAGGAAGTGGCTGGAGGACATGATTGAGGTGTTACCGGAGCGTGTGCCGAGATATATGAAGGCAAGAAGACGTGCGAAGATGTGATCAAACCAAGTTAATCAGCGAAGTTGAAAAGCTGGTGTGATGGATATGTACAGCGATCCAGGAGCTTCGATTACCGTGTAGATCTAGACAAAGAGCGAGATCAAACTTGCCTCGTGCCTACCTTCGCAACTAACCAACAACTACTGTCAAGATGCATAACAGGAGATTTCAGACCAGTTTAGTGGCCTGGTCATTGAAAATAGTAATAGACTGGCTCCGGGCAACAGGTTATAAAGGTAGTCCACTTTACTCCCTTACGCGCCCGAAATCTTTCAATTGTCCATAATTCCAATAAGTAACTGAAAGGCACTCAAAGTACATGCGAACCCTCCCACTCCCCTTCCCTGCAGAGCTTCCTGAGAAGGGAGGGTTGCGTACATTATGGAAGCTTTGTCACGGTGGGGAGGAAGGCGGCTATAGATTTCCTAATTCTTGGCATCTCAAGACCGTCCTTCCCTTTTATGTGGCCTGTTGGTCTGTGGCTTCCTTTGAGCTCGGTTCACTAAATGGGTACTTCTGTTTCTATGTTACTTCTTTTCTCTTCTTTTTGGTCTCTAGAATAAGCTCCTTCATCATGGCTGATTCCTCCTCCTCCTCCTCCTCCTCCTCCTCCTCCTCTGCTCTCTCTGAGCAAGATGGATCAGACTTCCTTCCCAGCAATACTTGGTGGAATCGCTCCGCCAACTTCTTCCGCATGGTCACCGGTCGCATGTCCCCCGGCGGCGCCCAAAAGTACTGGGCTGATGCAGACGACCGATATAGTGCATTCGATTGCAAACGCTGTGAAGAGAGCCGGGATTATTTGTTAAAATACTCTCCTATAATCCGGTTCATGAACGAGAACATCCAGAAACTCGGCGGCGAACTGGGACCGCACAATATTCATTGCAGGACGTGTAAAGGCGACGAGGAGGCCATGCAAGGTGGCTTTGATCATAAATATGGAATTAAGATATGTGCAAATTACGTGCAGGAGCGGTCGGTCCTGGAGGATGTCCTGGCACATGAAATGGTGCACGCCTATGACCATCTGCGCTTCAGGACGGATTTGACCCTAGAGGATGATCTGAGGCACGCGGCGTGCTCAGAGGTTAGTCGCCGCCAAGCGGGCAAGATATTTCCAGCTTACCAACTCGCGCAGATTCGGGCCAGTAATCTCAGCGGCGAATGTCGCTGGGCCAACGAGTTCTTCCGCAACAAGATCCTTTCTTTTACGAACCATCACCAGGACTGCGTTCGACGAAGAGCGATCATCTCGGTCATGGGTCGCCCCAACTGCAAAGACGACGTGCAGGCCGTCAAAGTGGTCAATGAGGTGTGGGACAGCTGTTTTCGGGACACAAGACCGTTCGATGAGATATACCGGTGACATTGGTTGTAACATTCCCACAAGTTTACTCAAAATCTTTCAGCATGGCGTTGGAGGCAAATATAGAATCCATCCTCACCCAGCTAGGGACAGTGCACAATGCTTACAATGGACACCCAGAACCGTCCAAACTCCAATTCTCCTCAGCCTGACTCTCATATGTTGGCGCAGGCCCCATGCAAAGCTATTTAAGTTCTCATGACAAGTGCGATTCTCCTCGACTTTCAGTCCTTCCACCGGTTGAGGAACTTCTGCATCGCTGTGTCGGTGGGCTGGCCGGCCGCAGCGACCTGTAAGAGTCAGCATGTCGTCTCCCTGAAGACACTCGGGCAAGATCTTACCGGGTTCTCTCTACTCGATACGGTGAACGTCAAGGGCAGCGTGTTGGTGGTAATTGCATTTGGAGTGCCGGCGATTGTCTGGTAAACAGTATATGCGCTCGTAGGCCACAGAGGAGAGGCATTTTTTGCAGTGATCTGTGTTTGCGCCATCGGAGGCATGGGAGCATAACGGATGGTGCCCGTCTGCAGGGTATATGGGGTACTGTATGCACCATCTCCGACAGACGGTGTATTTTGACCAGCGCCCGCTTGGGGAGCTTGAATGTTGTTGACATCGGCTGGGCCAGCCGTGCCAGTCACGGTCCTTAGTCCTTGCTGTACTGCGGCTGGAAACGTGCCGGTCATGCTTTTCAGCGAGAAACGGTCGGAGAAGTTGATAACGGTGCCTCCTGTAGCGGCAGATACGAATTTGAGGAAATAGGCGTTGGGTACATCAGCACCGGTATTCGGTTGTAAAGTGATCGTGATCGAGTCGCCGGTTGTGTAAGTCCCTTGCTGGACAAGTGTGGCCACTGGGATCTGAGCGATGCGCGGTCAGCTCAAATTCCTCTCCTCCATATCCACCTTGGCCTTACATAGTCTGACTCGTCGTTGCCTCCCGCACACAGGAAGAGTTGATAATTAGCTAGCTGAGAGATAGGCGGCGAGTTCCCTGAGTCTTTCCATTGAATCTGCAGATTGAGCCCGGTGATACTGTCTCCAGCTTCGGGTGCAACAACTTGAACATCAGCACACGCGAACGGGAGGATGGCAGCGACCCAGAGGTAGATGCTCCGTAGAATCATATCGTGGACGATGCTCAGGTTGTAATGGAAGGAGGTGAGAAGAAGAAACGCACAGAGCGATCGGGGATATGGGACGTGTTGAAAACGAGTGTTCGGTCAATCAAGGGCTCCGTGTGGTCTGTACTTGGTAAGTTGCGGAGGGCCGTAAAGTGCAGTTTACAATCTGAGACACGAGGCACTGCCCAACCCGCAAATAACAGATGTCCATATGCAAGGCACAACACTGACGCTAATTATTATTACAAAACTTACTCGTCCACACATCGCGCTCGCTCCGACCCCGCCGACCAGCCAGTGGTAATTCTCAGTTCTCAGCCTCATTTATTTGCGTCATGTCTCGCGCATTGTCAACTCTACCGTCTTGATAAATCCATCTTTTTGTCTGCCGCTCTTATTCAGGATGAGCTGGTCCTCGCCGGAGAGCTGGGCTACCAAACTCTTATCCGGCGATCCCGTTGCCATCTTCATCGCAGTCGTGGTGGCGATAGCCCTCCCCATACTGGTCCATCTGTATCTCTACACCCAGACTGCTCGTGCCAAAGTCGTCCCAAGCTTCCTCCTTCTTGGCCCCAGTGGTGCAGGCAAGACGTCTCTTGTCTCTCTAGTGAGATTTGGCCGGCAACATTCTTGTCAGTCAACGTTGCTAATGGGATCTCCAGCTACAAAAGCGATCCTCGAATCTGGAAGATTCCCAGGCAGAGGCTGCCGTTACCCGCATTTCTCAAGTCTCCTCCCCCATCAGCTTACTACTTCAGCCCTCTGTCCCTTTAGGGTCCAACAAGTACCGATCCAACAATGATGTCAGCTTGAAAGACAAGAACCCAACCCCATATGTAATGATTGATACCCCTGGTCATGGGAAATTGAGGTCAGATCTGGCGTTGTCACAAATTCAGAGTCCCGGCCTGCGCGGGGTCATATTCGTGGTTGACTCAAGCGGGCTGGATGTCAGCGACTCTTCTACCTCTCGTGACACTGCTGTGTACCTCCATGATACATTGCTGGCGCTGCAGAGACGAAAAACTCGTGGCAAAACCAGGACCGACATACCCGTGCTTATCGCGGCGAACAAGCAGGACCTTTTCACCGCTTTGCCGACAGGTGCAGTCAAGGATCGCCTACAGGCTGAGATTGAAAGAGTCCGTATCTCAAGGAGCAAGGGCCTAGGGACTGTAGGCCAGAATACAGACACCGATACGGAAGAAGACATTTTAGGCGGCGGAGGTGAAGACAAGTTCAGTTTCGATTTGATGGCGGAAGAATATGACATCAAGATCGAGGTATTAGGAGGAGCAGTCAGGGGCGAAGAAGCGGGTAAAGGAGTGAGGAGGTGGGAGGAGTGGATAGGCAGTTGCCTCTGATGATTAGACGATCTCACGACTCAATACATCTGGCAGAGACTCTTGATAGCGATGCGGATATCTCATTTCATCCTGCACATCCAAACCGGAACCGTTGAACTCGTCCTCTGTCGGAATGCTGCCGACTCCCTCTTTCAGATATAGCAGCAGCCTATACGCGCTGTTACCGTTCATGTAGTACCTATGCAGCTTTTTGCTTCTCAGAAACCCCAGTCGCTCGTACAACTTCATCGCCGCAGTGTTTGTCTCCTCGGTTTCCAACACAATCTCGTCGGCGTCCTTCTCAATCATCAAATCGATGGCTTTGCTGACAAGCGTGGTAGCGATACCCTTGCCCCGAAACTTGTCCTTTGTGGCCAGCATAGCGATGTACCCTCTCAGCGGTCCACCTCGATGTGGCTCTAGTTTGCATATTACCACTCCGGCGAGTTTGTTGTCATCGATGGTGTCCACGGCCATGAAACAGAGTTCGGGCCATTGATAGAGGAAATATCGGTAGACGTAGATACTGTAAGGTTCGGAAAGGTCCTTGGAGATCAGGTCGCGAATTTGGGGAAGGTATTCGATCTCTTTCTCCAGCGAGTATTGTAGGTAATGGATGCCGTAAGGAGTGGTTTGAAAGTGTGCGCTGGCGGAAACAGAGCTGTCTTTACTGCCGCTGAGCGACTCGAGAGCAGCAGCGGCATTGCCGCTCATGGTATTGTAGTTGCTAGGAAGAGGTCATGAATGCCATGCTCGAAATGGGGGTGGGAAAACAAAACCGCACGGAGAAGATTTGTTCCTGAAGATCCCCGTCTAAAAAAGGCCGATGACGAAACATGTGAAAGCGCATGGCCGGGATGATTTATGTAATTGCACACTCAGCATTTATAGTCCATGCCCCTGAACAATCTGCGGCTTGAAATCATATAATATTGTCGTGCGTTCCCCGTGCAAGCTTCTCGCTTGCTCGAGGGCCTGTACTTACAAAGATGTCTGCCCTCCGTCGCCGCTTTGCCAATATCATTCGCGAGTCACCCACGCCCTCTCCCGACCCAAGTCGCGATGTTACGCCAGATCCCAATGACGAGCTAAAATTGGTTTCGAGTAAGAAGCTAGAAAAGCTCAAAACAAGAAGACACAGCAAGAGGAGGTCTGGCATCACATTCGGGCTGGGTGGTCTGCTAGGCCTACTGTTGGCTCTTCTATTTGCTCAGTCGCAAGATGTTATTAAACTGGAAGGTTTGCTAGAGGTTAATTTAGACAGTCTAATGGATGTCATTCCTGCAGGCATAGTCAATGATGTGAAGGATCTCTCCAGGGCAGAGCGAGATGTCGTCAACTATGACTCGTTTTCTGTCGGTCTCCATTTACTCTCTCAGGGGGTAAAAGCCCACCATGCCGTGATTATGGTACCAGGTGTGATATCCACTGGGTTGGAGTCTTGGTCAACGGGTGAAAAATCTAGGCAGTACTTTCGCAAGAGGCTATGGGGATCATGGTCAATGATGAGAGCTTTGGTCATGGACCAAGCGTCGTGGAAGCGGCATATCATGCTCGACAAAGAGACAGGACTGGACCCTCCTGATATCAAGCTACGCGCAGCGCAGGGCTTCGATGCCACCGATTTCTTCATCACTGGCTATTGGATCTGGAACAAAATCCTGGAAAATCTCGCCACCATCGGATATGATCCGACGAATGCGTTCACAGCTTCTTACGATTGGCGTCTGTCCTATGCCAACCTAGAGCACAGGGATCAATACTTCACGCGGCTGAAAAATTATATTGAGGTGGCGCAAATGACAACTGGAAGGAAGGTTGTCCTTGTCTCCCACTCTATGGGGAGTCAAGTTCTTTTCTATTTTATGAAGTGGGTGGAACACAAGGACCATGGAAAAGGGGGCCCTCACTGGGTGAACAAGCATATTGATTCATGGATAAACATCTCTGGTTGCATGCTTGGAACAGCCAAGGACATTCCAGCATTGCTCTCGGGCGAGATGAAGGACACCGCTCAACTCAACGCCTTTGCAGTTTACGGTTTGGAAAAGTTCTTGTCCAAGGAAGACCGCGCAGAGATCTTCCGCGCCATGCCTGGCATATCGTCGATGCTGCCCAAAGGCGGAGACGCAGTATGGGGAAATGCTACGTGGGCACCAGATGATCTGCCGCCGCCTATCCAGAACAAAACGCACGGAACTTTCATCTCCTTCAAACCACGTGGCAACCTTACGGAGACCGTCCGCCAGAATCTTACAATGACGCAGGCGTTCGACTATCTCATGGACAATGCGGAGCCTTGGTACGTCGAGCAAGTCAAGCACTCGTACTCTCACGGAGTCGCGCATACAAAGGCTGAAGTCGAACAAAATGAAAATAACCCTCTCACTTGGATGAATCCCCTGGAATCTCGGCTCCCACTCGCCCCTGACATGAAAATATACTGCTTTTACGGCATCGGCAAGCCTACCGAGCGTTCATACTTCTACAAGGAACATGGTCAGCCACTCAACGGCTATATCAACATCTCGATCGACACCAGTGTTAATTCTCCGAACGGCCGACTTCAACAGGTCGGCAGTGTTGACCACGGTGTCGTCTTTGGTGAAGGTGATGGTACAGTCAACCTCCTTTCCACAGGATACATGTGCGCCAAAGGATGGCGAGAAATAAAACGGTACAATCCTTCAGAAATCAAAATTACAACCTTCGAGATGCCCCACGAGCCCGATAGATTCAGCCCTCGCGGAGGGCCGAATACCGGGGATCATGTCGATATATTGGGAAGAAGTAGCTTGAATGATTTGATTTTGAGAGTCGCAGGGGGAAAGGGCGAGCAAATTGAGGAGAATTATGAGAGTAGGATCTGGGAGATCAGTGAAAAAGTGAAGATCTATAACGAGGAATGAATTCAACGATGGAGGTGGTAATTGTACAGTGAACGGAAAGGAGTTCTCCTGGTTGCATGGCGAGGGCGTTGCTGATTCGTGGCTTATGATTGCCAAATCGGGCGATTGTGTGAGTGTACCGGGCACAGGTGGCAAAGGGGGGTCAGATACCCCGTTGTAGACCCCTTCGTAGAATGCACATGAAGTTCAATCGCTGTCAGAACTTTAGGATGGGGTTGGAATTCTGCGTATGGTACTGGCTGAATTGCTCCCATTCACCCCAAAGTCCTTACTGATCTGGACCGCCATTGTTGATTCACACGCGGTCTGGTCCCTTTGACAAACGCTGCGAAGCTCTACAGGACGAAATAGGGTGCCGTGCATGGTGCAATAACATAATAATACTCCGACCGGGGGACTATCACATGCCATGTGCTTGTATGCATGTGAGTGTGGCTTGTCTTTCTAATGTAGCGTACCGGGTCTTCGCCTCTCCAATCGAGTAGAGATTGATGATGGCAGCCACAGGAGCCACAATTCAGCTGCGGCACGGCCGCCTTCTCCGACACCCTGCCAAGGAAGTCTGCGACCAAATTGGCCCCCGTATGGTGCCTCAGGAGGATTTGCACTCTAACGATCGACAGAATGAGATGATATTAAAGCCCAGGGGCCTTAACGCACGAAGGATTGCGGTGTGAAATCTCTGTGTAGCACATCAGCTAAGGTCTTCCCACCGGTGCCACCCATATTTCACGCAAGCTTCGCGCCCAACTACACACGGCATCCCTCTATCAACCGTTCGTGTCGCCCAGACTGAAGACCCTACATCAAGCGACACATCGCTGACGACACGAGGGACCTTGGACCACGTTGCTAACCCTTCGCTTACCTCCTTTCCTCAAGAATGGCCAGAACAAGCAGCCTCATCCCTCTCCTCATTTTGATCATCCTCGTTGCTATCGTCGCCGCCGTCGGATTCGTGGCCTATACAATTGCGCATGATGTAGGGCACAAGACGCGGCAAAAACTCGAGAGAAAGAACGTCTCGTTCAGCCGTGATGGGATGAAGGTTGGAGTGAAAGAAGTGACACGGGAACAACAGGAGGATGCGGCGCAGAGGTAGGCAACAGCGATGCGATTGAAATCGCCGGACCAGAGCCGAAATGGACTGACTTGGATGTTCACGGCAGCGTAATAACGAAAATATGGACCAATTCCAACTGGCCAGCATATCAATCTCCGCTGCTGGGATGGGGACAGGGAAACAAGACGCCTGCTGCGACACCCGGGGCGGAAAAGAGAAATCCGTAAGCGTGACTTGTTCCTCATCTGCTCGTCGTTGCCGCCATGTCGCTCCGACTAAGGCAAGAAAAAGTCCAGACGCAGATGCTGATTTGTTCCGGAACAGATTTTCGCGCTCATCGTCCTCTACGCACTCGGTTCCCTCTCTCTCGAGGCACAGCTCGAATCAGAACAATCTGTCTCGCACAACATCTGCGCAGGTCCCGCTGACGAGGACCAGCTCTTCGCAGAGTAGGTCGTAAGGACTTTAGTGATGGGGCATCTCAAACAGGGAAGTTGCGTTTCGCTCCCGAGAGCATGCTCCGAGAATGGGCTTATACGGAACGTGAAACGGAAAGATTTGAGGGTCATTGTATTCCCTTTGGGCACAAGGGCTGGGATGCAGGTGTATTTTGGCTGGCGGGGGATATGTCCACGACTGACTCGGTTGGTTGGGACGCCAAACACGAAAATTGGCTTACACGATCCAGTCAAAGATGTATGAAGACGACATGATACAAGGAAAGGAGAAATAAGTCGTCTGGTGTCAAAAGGCAATGAAGAACCCCGAGGCGACAGTACAGCGGCATTGAGTCGCGATGTGCATTGACACGATTTGCGCAGTTGGCCACAACCCAGCAGGGCAAGATAGATCTTTTCCCCCCCAAACAACTGTCCAGCTGCGGTGTCTGCAACATGAAGGAGGGACTCCATTCCTCGCACAAGACTCTGTAAAGTTCTTGCACTGTTATCCGAATTGGAGCGTTGTCCACTCGTTTCCAGCCTTTTCTAAAGCAGCATGGCCGCAAATAGGCCCTTAGAACTCTGAAGTCGAAGCGCACGTTGATTACTCCGCAGTTGAGTCTCTTTCCCACCAGGAACAGAATAGTAAATGTCAGCAGCTTCTGCACGTCAGCCTGAAGCAGCGCAGTGTGTGCGTCAAATAAGCCTATCGGAGAGTCAAGGGAGAGGTTTGTTCATGCAAGATGATCGCTCAGAAGATCTTTGATTGGCCGTTATTTTCAGCCCTTGCACCCTCGTGCTCGCTGCAGACTCGGCTTGACCGGAAAGGCAAGCCTTTTGTGCAGCTCCTTATGCACAACCGGTATCTCTCGCGTGTAGGAGGAGAGTCCGATTTGGGTCGTAGGTGTCGAGCAAACCAGACAGACGGAGCAACCAGAGAGCACCCAGAGAGGGGCTCTTTTTTTGATCGGGAGATGAGACCCTCTCTCGGTTGCGGAAAAGGGAAATTGAAGGAGGAGATGGAGGAGGCAGAGAAGGCCAGAGTTAACAACTGAGTTTGCAAGAATATCGACGGTCTGACAGAGCGGGGAAAAGGTCTTTTGTTCACGGTGGTCGGATAATGACCAGGCACGCCCAGAGAATTCCTCGCGACGGGGAGATTGCCATAATTACGCGGGTGTGCTTAATGCACAAATCCCTCCCCCATCTTCGTGTTCGAAGTCGCGCGGTCCCTTGTTGCCCTGTAAATTGGAAACGGCCAATGTGCGAGGCTGCTCGTCTGGACAATTATCCTACCTGTACCTCGAACTACGGCACTCAGCCAGGCACATCGTCATCAGTACTATCGCACGTGAGTTTGCATCACTGGGGTTTGGACAGCCCATGGTGACGTCGAGAAATGCAAGACAAATTTTCTCTCAGGTCATAGATCTTGAAGGGGAGCTTTTACTTGTACGAGTAGACGGCGAGGGCGGGAGTGGTGGAGCTGGGCATGCCCCAAGGAGCCACCAGCAGGTGCCCGAGCCACTCACAAAGACGGCCCCGAAGGCCCCGAGGTTGAACGACAGGGCCTCAGCCACTTTAAATTAGCGAACCAGGACGGCTCAGGTATAGAGCATGTTTTGCTTGGGCCGGCCTGGTCGTATCTCTGTGGAAGAGCGAACCGAGAGTCCGCTGCTCGCCTGGGCTGCTTCCCTTTTGCACAAAGTCGATCCGCAGACATCCACACGTTCTCCATCTGCTCAGCGCTCACCTAAGCCCTTTCACCACCGACATACTCTCGTACCTCATTTTGACTGAATTCCATATCCTCTCCCTTCTTCTGGTCATCATTCTCCCGGCCTCCCCGGATCCTCTGCTCGACCTTCCTCACCTCCTGCCCTCGTCGTCTCTCTGGTCTCTGTCCCTCGCCGTCCCTGCAGTAACTTCTCGAGACGCAAAACCTAAGCCCTGATCTCGCGCACGAGACTTTGCTTGCACATCCTCGTTTTCCACCGGGCGCTCGCCACAGGTGCAATGCAGGCTTCCCTGCTGTCCTGGAAGGACGCCGACAAGAAACAATTGCAGATACAGATCCCGTGGAAGTCACTTCAACTTCTCGTTCCTCACAGATTGCGGCGCAAGCTGAGATCGAAGCTTCGCAATCGGTCGTCGCCTGCCTCTTCGCTCGCCTCCCTTAAGACCTCGTTTTCGCCCGCAGACACTCTGCGGTCACTGCAAAATCATAGATGGTCGATTTATGACGGACAATGGCTATTTCTGGCGATTGTGGGCATTTTCTCGCTGAGCATCATTGAGTACCCGGGCCCACTGGTCAAGACGGCGGTCGCTACACTCCTCCTCGCCTCTTTAATATTTCCTATCACTCGACAATTTTTTCGACCCTTCTTGCCAATCGCCGCATACCTCATTTTCTTCTACGCATGCAGGTGAGTTTGTGTGGCGGGTTTGCTTTGTTCTGTGCACGACCTCAACCCAATACGTCCAAGGAAACTTATTAATCGTTGCTTCTTGCCACGAACAGATTCATACCTTCTGCCTGGCGGCCTCCGATCTGGGTCAAAGTCCTCCCCGCGCTCGAAAACATTCTCTACGGTGCCAATCTCAGCAATATCCTGTCTGCTCACAAAAATACGGCCCTGGATCTGTTAGCGTGGTTCCCTTATGGCCTGGGTCATTTTGGAGGTCCCTTTGTGGTTGCCGCTATCATTTTCGTCTTTGGACCGCCGACGACTCTACCAGTCTTCGGCTTCAGCTTCGGTTACTTGAATCTCGCCGGAGTCATTATTCAAGTCCTATTTCCATGCTCTGCCCCGTGGTACGAGAACATGTACGGTTTAGCACCAGCCAACTATTCCATGCAGGGTTCGCCCGCCGGTCTGGCCCGTATTGATGCCTTGCTCGGGATCGATATGTATACGTCGGGATTTACTGCTTCTCCAATGGTATTCGGAGCGTTTCCATCACTTCATGCAGCGACTGCCACCCTGGAGGCGCTGTTCATGAGCCACATCTTTCCTACGTACACCCCATTGTGGGCGTTCTACGCGGCCTGGCTGTGGTGGTCAACTATGTACCTCTCGCATCATTACGCCGTGGATTTGGTGGCGGGAAGCTTGATGTCGGGTGTCATTTTTTACTTCGCAAAGGCCAAGTTTCTGCCGAGACTGCAACCCGACAAGCGGTACCGATGGGACTACGATTACGTGGAGATCGGCGAACTCCAGAACGACTATAGTTACGGCATTGCTGGCCTCGACGGCAGCAGCCCCGACAGCGACGAATGGACCATCGGCTCCTCGTCCTCCATCTCTTCCGGTTCGTTAAGCCCGACGGATGAGGGCCCCAAGCTATGGACCGAAGCATATTCGAATTACGAAAGATGACAAGGACCTATCATTTGACATGAGAAGCCCGACCTCGTTTGAACCCTGCAGCCTCTTTGGCCTGGCGTTGCTGTCACGACTTAAAACACGCTTACGGATCAAGAACCTTGCATTTGAGCGCACAATTTTTGGATTTCTGCACATAGAGCACAAATCGACTGTAATACGACGCCACTACGAACCCGCCCACTCCCCGACCAGAATTTGTCCATTAAGACCATGCCAAAGGTTCCGTCTCTACCTGGCACACTAATACCAAGAGGCCGTCAGGGCATGGGATCAAGTATGGGGTTCCAGCCCCGCTGGCGCAAACTCTCTCTTTTGGATTGTGGTGTGGTTGGGTTCGGCAGACTGGAGGGCTTTGTATTGCAGAATCGGCCTGCGATCAGGGCTCGTGGTTATGGTTGTTTCGGCTGGGGTCCAGTGGAAACTGATTTTGCACCGGCGTTTATACTTGGCGAATTTGTGCGGCGTGGCTTCCAGCAGCCAGTTTGTCATCCAGCGGCTACTGTTCACCGTCTGGATTGATACATTACATTCGCTTGCATGCCCCCTGTACAATACAGATATCGAGACTCATGACCGATATGCCATTCGCTTGATTCAGCACAGGATATGGGAAAGAAAGGAGAAGAGCTTGCATTCGCTTCTAGGGCGTGTCTGGAAAATCAGATCGGATGGTCTGTGAGAATAAGCATCTGGATCAGAGACGACGTTGCCACATATTCCACGATGTGTTTGGCCATGGAAGCTCAGCCAACCATTGGGACAAGATCACCTTTGATCCTGGGGTCACCCATGCCTATAAGCACCACTCAACTCCACAATGCCCCCAGCCACGTTCATGCACGGCCCAGATTCCACGGAGCTGCGTGGCCCCCGAATTGACGTGCGTCGTGATTGTCATCTCACAGTCACAGCGGTCTCGGTTGGCGGAAGCTTGCGTCCGAGTTATGTGATGCCATGTAACGGCAGTGATGAGGTGATGCCACGCTCTCAATCAAGAGACTGGGATCCTCAGGGGTACAGGTAACCGAAGGATTTAATCTAGTAATCTAATACCTAATGAACAAAGAGGCCCCTCGAGGACCATTTTTTGCATCCCAAGTCCGGAGTCGCCTTTCTCTTCTCTTCTCTCGCATATGTCTTTCGTCGTACTGATGAGTTCCCAGCGAGCTACATCTCCGCCACCAAAGTTTCGGCTCGAGGGTGCAGGGGTGTGAGATGTACAGTGTTTTGAGTCTCTCGCGCTCAGGCATGCAGGTTCCCTGGCTGGGGGTTCGTCGACTCTGGACCCCAGACGAGACTGAAGTCCCGGCACAGGCTGCCAGCCTAGCAAACGGCCAACGTGGTTGGACCTATCGAATATTATGTGCTCCAGTGCTATTCTAATACCCAACACCCGAAGTATGAGGATACCAAATGCCATTCGCACGCTCTCCGACTATGCGTGTATCTGTTTCTATGCGATAAGCCGTTACACACATTTGCATTGTTCCCCGAGAGTCTCCTCTGAGTGAGCCCATTTTACTCACCTACTCCATGCGTCTCAACACGCCGTCCAGCCCCATCCTGCTTAGACAACTCTTCTTGATCTCGTCGACGGTATTACATCCACAGAGCGCCATGCACCGGCGGAAATCTTCGTACAGAACCTCCAGCATCTTCTCGACACCTCGCTGTCCGTCGTACGCCAGGCCCCAGATCGCCGGTCTGCCCACCCAGACGCATTGAGCCCCGAGCGCGAGCGCGATGAAAATGTCTGTTCCCTTCCTGATGCCTCCGTCCATGTGGATCGGAATCCGGCCGCGAGCGGCATCCACGCATTCGACCAGCGCGTCAATCGTCGCGGGGACTCCGTCCAGTTGTCGGCCGCCGTGGTTACTGACGATGATGCCGTCGCAGCCGTGACTGATGGCCAGCTCCGTGTCCTCGGCAGTGACGATGCCCTTAATCCAGATGTCCATCTTGGTCCTGTCCCTCAGCCACTTCATCTCTCGGGCCCAGTTGTGCGAGTCATCGTTGAAGGCCGTGAACCCGCTGTCGTGGGTCTGCGTGCGGATCATGTCACTTGTCAGGCCCAGGATGGGAAACCCGAGTCCTTCGGGGGTGCGAAAGTCGTTACGCCATTCGTTGTACCGCACGCCCAGCACCGGAGAGTCGGCCGTGAGAAAGATGGCTTTACACCCGGCCGCCTCGGCGTTCTGGATGATGCGCTCCTGCAGAGCCCGGTCCTTCATGGAGTACATCTGCATGGCGTAGTTGACGCGGCCGTTGGAGGAGCCGACGATCTCGTCAACGGAATAATTCGAAAAGCTCGAAATGCCCATGTTGATGCCGACGCTCGCACACGCCCTCGACGTCGCCACCTCCCCGTCTGGGTGAGCCATGGCCTGAATCCCTGCCGGTGATACACAAACGGGGAATTTGATCGTCCGACCGAAACATGTGGTGGCCGTGGACAGCTTAGAAACATCGACGAGGACGCGTGAGCGGAGGCGGTACTTGGAGAAGGCAGAACTGTTTTCGGCAATGGTGGTTTGGTAGGTCGAGCCCGAGTTGAAGAAGTCTTGGTCGCTCAGAGATTTAGATAGTGATGATGATGGCAATCATGAGCTGTGGCTGGGATACTGGTAGACGGCCTCAAAGCCAACCAGGCATACATACCTCTGGCTACCGCTGGCAGCTTTGCGTCTGCCACGGCTTTGATGTCCTCCATACACAGGATGCTGGGATCGCCGCCCTTGACGGGGATTGGGACTGAGTCTTCCAGAGCCATGCTGTTGCTGCCCGTGTCCTTCTCGCCTGGACGTTTTGTGATACGACAAAAGTTAAAGTACTATCGATATGTAGCATACACGGTCGCGAGATGGTTGCCACCAAAGTCAAATGTCAGAACTGAAACAATAGGCTGCAGGTCACATCATCAATTCTCCCTTTTCCGAGCACCTGTAGTTTTTATATAGGTATTTGTCGAGTATTTAGTGATTACGGGAATTTGTGAAAAAGAAACAAATGTCAGTAAGCGCGTAGTACCATTGGAGACGCTCGACCATAGCGCGCCCTTCGATGACATCCAACTCGACCCTTTGCCGATTTCAACCGCTCAACGCGATCCAGAGCCTCACTTTGAAAGGTGCATATCTGCGGATCAAAAGTCTCGAGGACCTCACCTGGGAAACGGTAGCGGGTTTCGTGAAGGGCCATTATCCTACCCTATCGCGCCGCCAAGCACGCGGCAAAAAGTACGGTCGACGACGTCCCCGTCACATCTAGCTGTTACGGGAAAAACAGAGCTCGAAAAACATGTCTTGGTTTGCATTAGTTGGTTTTTTATTTTTTTCCCGGCGACCTACCGGCTGGTGGTACTCTTTACAGTGGCTCGACCGAGTCGTGTTGCTGCACTCCGACTGTGGCTCCACAGCTGTCCCCTCCTGTCTGTCGGACGATAGACCTGAATATTATATCCTGTGATATCCGTCTGTAGCCTCCTCGAGTTGCTCCATTGACATCTCCCCTGACTCTGAGCACATCCTGGAGTTATGGTGCTGACGGCCCGCTTTATGCCAAGTTCAAATATCCTCCTCGGAACCATGACAAGGAAACGTGTCGCCGGACGGCAAGTCCTTCGTGTTCTGTACAATGTGTGTGCCTGGGCCGTGCCTCACCTCGCCTCTTCTTTCTGATCAAGGATCTTCTTAACCTCGATACCACTTAAGCCCGGTCCATTAAGAATGACGCTTTCGACTGTTCCGACAGTATAGACTGACACCCACATTCCTGGGACTTCGTCTTGAAGTATATGAATACACATTCTGAGCTCTGCACTCCCGATAGGGGCGGTCAGGCTGCTTTTGATGTCGTTGATCAACTGGTTCATGCTAAACGACACCTTGCCTCGAACCTTGCTCGGGCTTGAATGAACGTATGACACGAAATTGGCGCTTAGCTTCCGTTGTTGCTTCATCCGGAGAATCTCCACCACCTCTGCAATGCGACCGATAGCATAGCGACGAAGAGAGGCTTCTGCACTCTGAGACGTCCCGGCAGAACTGACAAGTGCCTTGGCTCTGACGCGATCTAAAAGAGACAATGTCCGATCCTTCACCGCCTGTGAGTTGTTGGCTTCATGATCCTCAGAGTTGTTGCTCGTATGTGTCAAGAACTGGGCTCCCGCACGGTTTTGTGCGTGGGATGATAGGCTTAGGATCTCCATTCGGACCGTCTCGGCTCTGGCTTTCCGTACTTGAGTCTCGATACCGACGTGAAAGTCCAGACGAGGAAAATTCCTAATTGCGCCATGGATCCAACAGGTCGGGTTATTCCGCTGAGATATCCAGCAGGCCTCGACTTCAGCCTCGTAAAGTTTTTGCAGGTTATATTCGTTCCAACGAGAGCTGGTAGATCTCTTATCACCCCAACCAACATACTCGACGTTATAACGGATGAAGTCAGCGCCCGACATTGTGAGTTTGAAAGGGCCCTCTTGATGCTTAAGGAGGCGACCACTGAAGTGTGTTGAGACGTCCAGCTCGTAGATGGCCAACACTCGTTGAATATCCTCCCCAGTCACAGCGTGTTTTTTCCAAAGTCGAGTGGTTGAGCTTAATAGGCTGCTTAATTCTGCAGGAGTAGATTGGCCATTGTGAACAATGTGAAGGGCGAACGCCTTGAGGAAGGCTGCGTGTAAGGACACAAAGTCCTGCAAAACCGGAGGAAGCACCTGCGGAGCCGCCTGGGTCTTATCGGCGTCGAGAGACAGTTGCCGAAAGGTCATCGTTGGCGAGAACTCTGTGTCGATGGAATCTGTTTCGTTCTGGAACTTGCTTGGAGGAGGCGTCGGCTGTTGCAACTTGGTCTAAAAAGAGATCAGCATAGTTGCCCAACGCATCCCGAATTGCTCAGACCTTTTTTGTAGTGATCCGGGTGACATAGACGCCACCCGGCTCACTCTCACTGTCATCCTGCACTGCATCGCATTTGCGCTTAGGGACATGCTTAACACTCTTCGTATGGATTACAGGCTCAAAGGCCACTGCTTCCAATTCCGACCTCAGGGCGACGGGGAGTTTGGCGGTTTTTGATGCTTTAACAACGGCCGCTGGTCGTTTGCTGACCCGATGTGAAGTTCCACGCCGCGAGGGTGCCATGCTGGGATGTGGAAAGCAGGTCCGGCGACGAAAATGAATGTCCAGACCGAAACTGCAAGCGCAAGAGCACGAGCAGGAGCGACGGTGTGAAGAGGAAGAGGGAGTGAGAATAATGAGAGCAGGTATTCGCAACGCCTGGCTTTGCTGTACTGCGTATGTTCGAATACACTTCCTGCAGAACCTCTAAAGTCAATTGGTCCTTTCTCTCATTTAAGAGAAAATCGACAGTCGCGACGCGACGCGACCCGTCGAGGCGCTAGCCCAATATGGTGATATTTTTCTCCAGCCACCGATTAATATCGGCGAGCTTGGACACCAGTCGAATATCCCCTCCAACTCCAGTTTGCTAACAGCCTGCCACACCAAATACATATTCCAGCCAAACGCCTGCGCTAATTAACAATACACTTCGCTCTCTCAGACCACTAGTCTTGGTCAGGAACATAGACCTGATCCGCTCCCAATTGTGGCATCGAGTCTTGCTCTACCTGATCGTCCTCGCTGTCATATGCACGACCTTTGCCCTTCCCTTCCTTCTCTTTCTCCCTCTCCTCCACCTTGTTTTGCTTGTCCCTGTCCTCGATTGATGTTCGCCATTCAGGGTCGAACACCGATTGCGTGTTTCCCACTCCAATACCGGCATTCTTGGAGATTCCCTTGATTTCCTCTACAGGGTTGTCGTCCGTCTTTGGCTCCGGAGCTGGCTGATCGAAGATGGTGGCAATCGGGCGAGTAGCCAGACTTTGCGCGTCGTCGGTCTCCAGTATATGCTTCCTGTCGCTCCAGTATTCGAGTGCTCCGATTTCGGCATCGGCAGCCTCGATTGCAGCGAGTAGATTGTTGATTCTTCGACTTTCAGCGTCACCCTCCGGCTTGTTTTCTTCCTCGTGGGCCCGCCGATGTTCGCGTGCTTCGTTTGCCGTCTTTTTAAGATATGAAAGGAGCTGTCTCCTGGAATTTTGGAAAACGAGAAACGACATAATATCGGGGATATGGTCTTTGAGGTAAACCAGCTCTTCTCCACCTTGCTGGATGAACCTCTTGATTACGTCAATCTTCTCTCGATCAATGGGCGCAAATTTGAGAGCCACGAGCAGGGTTGCAATGTCTTTGATATCCTCCGGCGGTTCGTTCTGATCAATCGTGCTCGGCAAGCTGATAAAGCTTGATGGTCTGGGGGTCTTACCGGCGCCATCAACCGCACTGATCGGACTACGATCTCGCTTTGAGTGGATAGTGAAATAATCGCCGGTTAGATGGTGAGCATCGCCCATGCTCCCGGGCCTGCCATAGCTCTCTTGCACCTCATGTTTGACTCTTTTCCGTAGCCACCGTCTCCGTCTGACAAACGAGTGGAACCAGGGATGCGTCCCGTGCCAGGTCCAGTTGCGTCCAAAAGCAAAAGAATACTGCCAGCCCTGCTCGTCCACATCGTGGCTCATGTCGACATACCAGCTATTCCATGCCCATTCCCATGTCGGATCAGGCACTTGAGCATTGGTAATATTGACGGGCGAATCCTTCATATCCTTGTTCGACCAGGGACTGGGATCGGGCGGCAACAGGGAAGAGTGAGAATAGAGAGGAATGCCACAGAAGAACCATCCCCGCTGGTTTTCATAGAGTATGTCAATTGCGTGGGTTTCGTGCTTGAGCTTTCTGCTATTCCTCCTCTTCTCCGCACCCTTTCGTCCTCTTGCCGCAGATGCGGTGTGTGCAAAGTCCACCTCTTGTGTTCCAGCATCTGTCCCAGCTTGTTGCGTCTGCTGGGCTGATGCTGACTGCGACGAGGCATCCTCGACGGAGGCAATAATGCTCGTCTTGGGTTGGTATCGGTCCTGCTGGTATTTGGCATATTTCCGCCGGCCAAGATGCTCCTTCAAGGATTCTCTTGTTCCCTTTTTAGCCAGCTGCCTCGTGCTCGAGCTGGGGGAGCTCGCACGAAGCTCACCATGGAGCCGGACCTCGTTCCCGGGCTGGGTGGTGTCGATGAGGGCGATCTCATGGTCATAAGGATCAGCGGCAGACCCGTCGTAGGTAGTGGTGATGCGAGTCAGAATCTTGGAGACATTTTCTGACATGCCTATGGGACTATTAGGTGCCCGACAAATGCAATTCCAAAATATGGGCAGCTACCAGGAGCAAGGCTCCCCCTCATAGACCTGCACCAAGATGCTAGGTTTGCTCTTCGGAAACTTCCTTGGTGGACAGTAAGGGTCAATAGAAATGATAAATGATGCGAAGGGTCAAAGATCTAGTCAAGTAGTTAGAATGTGCATGGGGAAAAGAAGCAGAGCCACCCAAGCAGGAACGCAGGCCGCCACAGCTGCAGCTGCAGTGTTTACGTCGTCGGTGCAGCCGAACAGGATTCTGAGTGGCTGGTCCCTCAGATGACGCGGGGAAATCGTTGCTGAATGGATGACGCCACCCCTTGTGCCATGCCGCCAATGATGTCACTGCCAACAACCACCTGCGCCGGCTGCACCACCTGCACTGGTGCTTGCCAGACAAGTTTCGACCACCTGCGCACCGCAATCATACCACCATTACCATAACGAGGGTGTTGAACGCCCAGCTTGACCTTCACCAATAGCACCGAGGCCCCTCTTGTACCTAGCCATCTCGCAGCTTCTCTCAGTATCGTCATTCCTCGACGCTCTCACCATTGAGCGATTCTCTTCCACACGCCCTCCCTTCCTAAATCACTTCAGCAGACCCCAGAGTTCGTCCATCATGTCTTCGAGCCGTGGACTTACGGTTGCCGGCCTAGCGGTAGCTGGAGGAGTTGGCTACTACCTTTATAATGCTGGTGGTAACCCAAAAGTTGCGCAGAAGAAACTCGAAGGTAGGACGACGACTCTCCCTGTCCACGCCCAAGCCTACTAAACATTCGTCCAGCCGACGCCTCCAAGCTCTCGTCCCAGATAAAGAGTGAAGTCCCGGGCAAAGAGAAGGAAGCTGAGAAGAAAGGCGAGGCCATCGCTGCTCAAGCAGGCCAGAAGTTTGACCAAGCTGTGAGCTGCATCCTGCTTGTACCCACAAGATTGAGACACTGACGGCTATTAGTCCGCCGATGCAAAAGCCAAACTCAGCGAAGCTGAAGCAAAAGCAAAGGAGGCGAGTCAAAAGGCAGGCAGCCAGATCAACAGTGCAATCGACACGTTCGACAAGACTGTGGAAGAAAAGGCCGCAAAGGCAAAGAGTGGAATAAGCAGCTGGTTCGGTGGCAGCAAATAGGTCGAAATGTTCTGATGCGACTGGTGTTGGCGTCGGTGGAATACCATCCTTGTCCATTTTGTCCACACGCTGCTTCGTCATTGGGGAGCCTCCAAATTGAGCCTCCGTCATCCTCAGTTGACGAAGTATGACTCTATCGGTCTAGCTAATCTCCATAATGATCTCAGTCCACACAAAACATGCTACTTGATACCTTCGAAGAGCTGCAAGTCACAGGTCTCGAAACATGCTCAACGTGATGCGGATCATGTCAACGGTAGAGGCCTCCATTGTCTCGAGTTGGCGAGTGTGTGAAATATCCAAGACCACTTGCGTGCGGTGCGACAAGACCCTAACTGATTGGCATTTCTGAGTTTGCTGTGGCATTTTGCTCCTTATGGACGTTCCCTCATTGCTTCCCACGGAAAAAGACCTCGATGCCCTGTTCCACGGTTGCCCAGTCGCGCAGACCGTCATTCATGCTTCCTTGTATCCATCCAGGTAGCTTGCGAGATATCCTCTCCGTTGAGAACCGCTTGTCGACCATCAAGATCGCAGCATAGTCGTTTCTGTGCCTGATGACCCTTCCAATGCTTTGGTTCACAGCTCTCATGCATGCATTTTCGTAGTATTCCCTGCTTGCAGTCTTTGCCTCAGCTCTGCATTCTGCTTCGCTCTTTCCCTGGCTTTTGCAGTGCTCGTATCGAATTCCCTCAATATGTTCCATCTTAGCCTTCCACTCCGCTCCATTGGCGTTGGGAAATGGAAGCCCAACCGCGAGTACTGCTCGACCGAGTTTGTCGGAGAAGTTGATGCCTTCTGAAAGCTTTCCGCCTACAACTGATAACATCAGGCCTCCTCTTCCGCTGTCCACCGCAGTGGCATACTCCTGTAGAAGTTCATCGATAGCAACCGACTTTGACTCTTGGAAGATCGTCTTGACTCTCTGCAACGAATGCATTACCGGCTGGGAAGCAGGCAGACGCTGCCAAACGGACACCACTCGTGCAAGGTAGTCGTAGCTGGGAAAGAATACCACAACCCCGTCTGGCACGATCCTGCATATGCGTACAACAAGATCTCCCAATTCAAGAATCATTTTTTCAGAGCCACGCATTTCATACCTGAAATCGAACTCCGTACCAGACGGTCCCTTCACAACAGCTTGGGCGAATAAATGAGAAGGAGGGATAATATGACCGAAACTGAAAGTTCGAAGCCTGCTTTTGTCAAGATATGAGAAGAGATACTCCGAATAGTCAGACATGGGAGACATGGTTCCTCCGGCCAGAATGACAGCTCTAGCATCTTGGACTATTTGGCGAAAGTGCTCTCTTGGATCAAGCAATGTGTAGTGGACAACGACCTCGTCATCCTGTCGACTCGTGAAGAATCGCCCTTCATCGTCCGGATTCATCAATACTACAAGAAAGTTTTGAAACTGCAGCAAAGCACCTTTGCTATGATTCGAATTAAGGCGATCTGGTTGCGCCTCAGAGTATCCCTCAACTTTGTGGCAAAGCTTGCTCTCGTGCAGGTATTGCAGGAGTTTGTGGGGCTTGATCTGATCGACTCCCTTTCCCGACATGAGTTGCGCAGCTGTTATAGTTGCTGGGGCGGATGTCGGCTTTCGCAGTGTCTCACGCAGACAGTCGGTCATCGAGTTTAGTAACCGTATCACTTGCATAATATACACACGGTTCTTCCCTTTCAAACGATTCTTGAATCGACTTGCGTAGGAGATAACTTGTCCAGACCCTTGTTCAAGCTGACTGAGACGTAGTGAGACGGAGAAAGTGTCTGCAATGGCATCCATAAGATTATGTGCCTCGTCAATTATCACAACATTATCTTTGACGGATACCCCCAAAGCTTCACGAGCGGACTTCTGTAGGAGGAGAGGGTAGGGTAACGTGAGCACCTCACTCATGCCTATCGCCGCTCGCGAAGCATAGTAGGGACAAAGCTTCATATCTCTGCCTAGATGGCTCGTATCCTCGATGTCACGTATCTCTGCAACAACTCTGTCTCGAAAGTCCTCGACCTTTGATTTGTCGTCCTTTGTGGGGATATAGGGACACCTCTTGTCTTTGGGAGTGGTAGGCTTCTGGAGTTCGAGGCATTGTTCATTGATTGCGGAATTAGACCATAAACCAGCAACTTTAGGATTGATGCACAAGTTCTTTCGTGAGCCTAGAGCAAGATGCTTTACCCCTTCTTCAAGCGAAGTTTTATGCGTTACATCCGCGGCCTCCAGGGGAATTGAGGAAGGGGGTTTGACACGGCGCAGCTCATTCACGAACTGTGTAAGCTGAGAGTGAGTCCGTGAGCAAAAGATGATCTTGAGCCGATCTTTTTCTTGTTCAGCGTCGGTTTTCGTCGGGCCCTGTAGCATATCGAGCAGAGCTTGGGTTGAGCTGGATAGGCTGACCGTTGAGTGATTGGCAGGATTCTTTTCATCCCTATCACTGTCGTAGTCCTCCAGCATGAACTCTTCCTCGGCCGCAACGTTGTCCTCATTGTTTGCAATCTGAGTTCGAGATTTCTTGGAAGTTTTGAGCTCGTGTCGCTTCTGGCGGCGTAATGCCTCTACAGCGCGGATCTTGGCAAGCCTCAGCTCCAGTTCTTCGCGTTCAAGGAGGAGCTCACGGCGTTGTGCAGATTTTTCGGCTTCCAAAAGCCAATCAAGCGATTCATGCCCATCTGTCAGACCTTGCAGCTCCAGGTGTTCGTGCTCTCGGAGCCAGGTCAACGCACCACAGATTAAGCTCAGCGACTTGCCAGTCCCTGTAGGGGACTCAAAGATACCCACTTTCTTCTCCTCTATACAGCGATAGAGCTCTTTCATAAAACCTAATTGGATGGGATAAGGTTGGTACGGGTGGCAGAAATTTGTCTGGGTAGGCTCCATGCTGGCTGACATCCCTCAGTGTAAGCCTCGTGCTACTTGTCAGGTCATGGATGGTAGAAGGCGTCTAGTCTTGGTTGGCTCGGGTTCAGGCTGCATGGCATTTTCAGCCCCAGAGGACGGACGCGTATTCGACCCAGGTAGTGTTAATCAGAACAATGACCGTATTTGAGTCTCTGAACGTGTTTCGAAAATCTCGCCGAACATCACGACAGAGACACAGGCGCAGACGGTTTCAGCGGCGTCGATAGCATCATGCCATTGGTTGCCACCTAGCAGGAACGGCTCGTTATAATACACAAAGGAATCATAGCTCGATGTTGGTAATGTCAGAGGAACACAGTAATAAAGGATCATTGCCAAAAATGGACAGTTGGTGGATATCGCCGGGCGTGGCTGTGCAGGGCTGCAACTGATGTCTGATGCCACGGATGCCTAGCCAGCCCAGCTAGGCCTCTGAACCAGCTGTCTTTGGTCCCTACCACTGACTCCGCCCAGGGCGCATTCCCAGCCCCGTGCCCCTACCGGCCAAGCCTCCAGTGCCTACGAGGTGCCTAGGCAAAAGTAGGTTTGGCCGGCTGGCCCCTCAACATGCACCACGCGATCCCAATTACCGCAGCCTCGCCTTGCCTGCGCCCTCCCAATATTCCATCATCACCCGTAGTGATCAACTAAACTTCCCTCAGTGCACAGACAGTGCCCGGCTTCGGTTGACGCGGCCAACCGGGCCAGATCTGCTTTGCTTCTTTGCCTTCTGAGCACCTTCCAAGACATGTCTACAAAGACGACCAGCGCTCCGAAATTATGCTCCATTGATCTACTCCCTTCTGACCCCCACCTTGACTGCGTAAGCACCAGGGCAATTTCCTGAACAACCGGGAGAACATATCATCCTCCTCATCTTCCTTCGCGGGAGCGGAACGGATAAGATCTCTCACCTCCCAGGAAAGATAATCTAAAAGCTCCTAGGTGCTCAGGAACATCAGGCACCTCGGAGCAGGGATTCTGCCGAAATACGAAACGCTGGGAACCAAAGATCACCCCTCAGATTGTCACTATGAGTTATCATACGGGGGCCACTTTTGTCCCGGGGGGAGATGATTCCTACTACATGCCAGAAATCATACAGCCCACCCCTAACAGGTCCGTGTCGCTGGGCTCATGCCGTCGTCGATCACTGCTGATGACTACAGAGTGCACGAGCTGCCCAACAATATACAACAAAATGTGGCTCAGATGGAACAAGTTGCCTCAAATCCCAACTCAGCGAATTCTGCCTACTCAGGATCTGTCTATTCTCCCCAGTCTGCCGAATATATGCAGAACCCCACGCAAACTTGGGCGCCGTCGCAAGCCTCTGATATGAACGCGCAAGGGTACGATCAGCGGGCGCCCAACAACCAAACTCTATCATACAGGCAAGATAACCTCTTCCCGGCCAGAACGACCTCGATGGTCCCGACAGAACAGCCAAACTTCTCTCCCTTTCCCATACTTCAGAACCCTCCTCCCAACATACCCCCAACAGATGAACAGAAAGAAGTTACACTGGAAGCCGCAAGGGCTGCCGTGCTCAGCTGCGACGATCCTGAAACCCAGCTGGCGTGGGCACAAGACGCATTGTCGTATGTCGAGGTGTGTCAGCAGAATGAGGAAAGAATCGCTTTGGCACAAGCACCCAGATCACGGACACCCCGGATTGAGCATGTGCTTAGAGAAGACGCTATCAAGATTGTCCAATTTCTTGCTGATCAACATCACCCCAAGGCTGAGTTTATGAGGGGCATGTGGCTTGAATTTGGCAAGTTCGGGCACAGAGTTGACAAGAAGGAAGCATTTTATTGCTACACCAGAGCTGCAGAAAAAGGCTACGTTCGTGCGGATTACCGTATTGGCATGCAGTTCGAATCCTCAAACGACGCATTGAAGGCAATCAGGTACTATCAGAAGGGCGCTGATGCTGGAGATTCAGCCGCCTGCTACAGGCTTGGGATGATGACGCTCCTTGGCCAGCACGGACAGGTGCAGAACTTCGAGCGTGGCCTCAACCTAATCTATATGTCGGCCCAGACGGCTGATGAAAACGCGCCGCAGGGTGCCTATGTCTTTGGCATGCTTCAAGCACAACAGATGCCTCAGATCCAGATCCCAGATCAGTTTTTGCCCAGAGATATTGCCGGAGCCAAGATGAACATCGAAAAGGCCGCCTATCTCGGATTTGCCAAGGCTCAAGTGAAAATGGGAACAGCATACGAGCTCTGCGAGCTGGGCTGCTCCTTTGACCCGGCCTTGTCTTTGCACTACAATGTTCTCGCAGCGAGACAAGGGGAGCCGGAAGCAGAGTTGGCAATCAGCAAATGGTTCCTTTGTGGCCATGAGGGTCTTTTCGAGAAGAACGAGGAAATCGCGTTTACTTATGCGCAGCGAGCAGCGCTTTCTGGATTTCCGACAGCCCAGTTTGCTTTGGGTTACTATTATGAGGTCGGCATATATGTCCCGGTCAACTTTGACCAGGCCAAAGAGTGGTATCGCAAAGCATCACAAAGCGGCAATCAAGATGCTACAGGGAGGATTGACGCTATATCTCGGTCAAAGACTTTGTCGCGCAAGGATCATGAAAGCGTCGCTCTCAAGAAGATTCGGCAGCAGCGTGGCTCGGTGATTGGGGGATCCGACATGCCTCCTGTTCCTGCAATGCCGACCCTATCAGAAGAGACGGACTCTGAACAACTCGAAATGCCCGATCCTTCTCGGCTGTCACTCAACAGTCAGAGACCCCCTTCAGCAAGACCAGGGAGTGCTGCACCGTATCCCACCGGACCTCCGAATATGCCATCTGTCGACCAAGGCCCAGATGTCCGACCTCCATCCGCCTTTGGCATAAATCCCAATCTCCGACCGACTTCCGCCGCAACTATGGGAGCTCCACGCCCCGATCCATACGGGACCTCCCCCGCGAACATGGGCTCTCAGCAGCGGCCTTATTCAAACCCCGGAGGGGCTGGTTATCCAGGGCCTGGCTACGGTCGTGGAGGCCTCATGCCATCAGGAGGACCCCCTCCACCTCAGGGACAAGGAATCCCTACCATCCGCCCACCATCAAGACCCAGCAGCTCTTCACCCTACCTCGGGCCAAGTCCCCAGCCAGGGGGTCAGTCACCGCCCGCAAAAATTGACATTGGCTTTTCCGCTCCGCTCGAACCAGAGAGAAGACCTCGACCTCAACAGCAACAGCAAAATGGACCTCCCATGTCAAACCCTAACAACCCCCCACGTGGCTCTCCAAGACTGCAGCAAGGCGCTCCCTCACAAAACCGAACAGCTCCACCCAACTCTCGTCCTGGACCTGGTCCAGCGCCGAATGTTGGTGGCTACGGTGGCATGGCCAACCCTAATACTCGACCTTTCCCTAACAATCAAATGCAAGTCCCGCCCAATGTCAAGCCTGCAAATCTTCCTCCTTCAAAGCCTGACGCCAACGCACCCGTGGGAGGCGCTTTACCCTCGAAACCGAGTCCCGTTCCGGCGACTGCAGCTCGGCCCCCTGGAAAAGGACCCAAGACATTCGATGAGATGGGCGTTCCACCAGGGAAGGATAAGAATGAATGTGTAAGTGGCGCTATTGTCCTTCTCTCCCAACATGAGTGGGAGTCTTCCACAACTTACTCGATTTGCTTTGAAGATGGCTATGACTGACTCTCTAAAAATCGCAGGCTGTTATGTAACGTTGTTACAGTGTTTCATTTGCCAATTTTCGATCACCAAAGAGTGTTATTTATGATACCCCGGATATTTTTAGCCTTGAAGTGATTCTCTTCAGCATGCAAAAACTATTACATGATTGAGCACAGCACGACTTGCATTTACACGTCAGAACTGGAATGAACTGGCGAAGCGTTTTAATTCGGATAGCAACAAGACTGGTGCGTAATATCAAGCAGGCGGTGAGGAAAGTTCGCAAGAGTTGGGGAAGAGGTCGGCTTGCCTACCACGACTCCTGCTAAAGGCCAATATTTACCTTCCCGTCTATCGAGGCTCTACATTTATTATAATTTCCGCGCGAATCAAGGCTGCTTTGGCCATGGGCCACCAACATCACCAGGGAGGGAATGCCTCAGCCGCTGGTAAATGACGCTACAAGGCCAGTGATGCGAGGCTAAGAGTGGACATCAAGCACCTCCAAGGCTGACATGATTTTCGGGATCTTGATTGGGCGATATTGTTGTTTTCACGACTATTCTCTTTCTGGTCAGCAATTCGACCCCAGGGCCACTCAGCCACCTCTCGTATCCAATGATCAAAATCCCGCGTAATGTGATGCTTGAGCACGCACCCATGCATGCCCAGAGAATGTTGCTGCCTGGTGTCTGGTCGGGACTTCAATGGGACGGGCGATCCACATTCTGCGACTATCGGCTACGCGACCATCAATGCTCGTGAATTGCGCCAAATATCGTAATTACTGCGAATGGAATGCCTGTTCCCGTTCGTGGTTTCGCCTCTGGTGGCCCAAAGGAGCCAGCAGATCATCACCAACCTGCAGCTGTGATGGCAATCAAAGGTAGGTGCAAATGATGATATAAGAGCCTTGAGATCTTTGTGACGGTGCATCTCAAATGCCACCCAGCTCGAACTCGACACGACCACATATCCTGAGACCATCCAACCTCTCCTCGCCTACGAGCTCTCCTCCTCCAAAGCCATCAAGACCGAATATCTCAGAGAAGCCTGCCATGACGCTCGATTCAGTAACGAAACTCTCAATTGCAGAATTGGCGATTTATGTCGCTCTCCTGCCGCTCACGGGTTGGCTGCTTTACAGGCATGGTCGACGCGCGATCGTAGCGTTCTTCTTCGTTGTTGCCTTCGAAGTACTTCGAATCGTCGCTGCAGGCATTCAAATTGGCGATCACAATAGCCCGCACCCATCTATCTCAGGAACCATCGTCTCCTCCGTTGGCTTGAGCCCTTTGCTGCTCGCGACTGCGGGCTTTCTGGCTTTGCTAAAGGGCTACTATGCGACATCGAACCGCAATGATGCTGCAACACTCATTGAAGAGGCGGGGATTCATGTTGGCGCAATCAGTGGTATTGCGCTGCTCGCAACCGGCGGAGCGAAGCTTGGAGGTGACCACAACACCCAATCAGACATCAACACGGCGTACACGCTGCTCAAGACTGGCGCCATCATCCTCCTACTCACATGGATCGCGGTCTTTCTCCTCTGTGCTCACCTTTGCCTCAAGCTTCACAAACAGCGAGCCGCAGGGTTTCTGATGGTGTTGGCGTCCGTCTTCATCGGCGTAAGAGCCATCTACAGTGTGGTATACGCCTTCGATCATGCCAGGTCACTGAGCCCCTTTACAGGAAGCTTTGCAGTCAAATTCGTGTTGATATTTTTGGTGCAGCTCATTTCCATCTTGTTCTTGCTTGCTGTTGCGTTTGTGACTCGCAATCTCCTGGCCGATCATGGAGTGGGCAGGTGGGACCAGGAACGGAGGGATGCAACTCGCAGCCAGTACAGTCAAGGCATCTCTATCCCGCTTACACCGGGGTCTTCCAAGTGAGCGCTATGGAAATCGTGCGTTATCCCCACGATGAGCTAGAAAGATGGACGGAGGAAATTGAGAGCAATAAACCCGGGGTCCTTTTTACGTAAAGAAGGGCTTACAGGGGTAGGCATAGTTGTGCGGTAGATCCGACGGCTACGAACCGTTCGGCGTTTAGACATTTACAATATCTTCACCGGTTCCCAAAACCGGATCACTTATGGCTTTCCCCCATCGACCAAATGCTCAAAAAGATGTTCCAGCCAAAGCCAACCAACGACGCCACGAGCACCCTCCATTCAACCGGCACCCAGATGAAGTTGACCACAGCCACCCACGGCCACACCTTCCAACTGGCCCAGACGATGGCGAGGATGCGCGATTGAATCTCTCCAATGAGCGACGACCAGTTCCCGAGCCGGGTGCCGTTGGTGCAGATCAGAAATGTAATGTTGATTAGGAACTGGCCGATTGTTTGGTCCAGGATCAACTTGATGACGATACTCCGCCAGTCGAGTCCACCACGCATTCGACTTTTCTTTCCCTCTTCCTTGACCTCGACAGGGTCAGAACTTGAATTCCGTGGACTGAGTTTCTGTTGGCTGGGGAAACTCTCTTCAAGAAATTGCTGCCATACTGATGCTAGTGGGGCTGATACAATGCCAAACACAGCAAACTCAATAACGCGAGTCCAATCAATTGGTGCAGGTGACTGAATGTTGCGCAACGTGAGCGTCTGGGCCGTGAGGTTTGCTGTGGCCTTGAGAATGGCCGATTGGATCGTGACCGATACTATGGAAGGCATAAGACGGCGACAGGATCTTCTTTTTTTTCCTTCTTTGCAGGCTGTGGTGCTTTTCCGACGGGGGAGTTGTGGTACTAGATCGACGTTACATGTCCTGAACATAAGGCGAAGATACATCTATATGTCGAGGGCTTGAGGGGTCGTTTTACTCGCGAGGACTGACAAATATTGATGCCAAGTTGCAGTTTAGCCTAATTTCAAACGGGGCGCCGTCGGTTTGACATATGGTGAAAAGGAATATATCAAATTGAGGGGATTGGAAGAGAAGCTAGCCTTCTCCTCTGAATAATGGCAAGATCCAGAATGGCGAGGACTTATTACTTGCCTTGGTATATCAAGATGTACAAGGCTAGACCCCTTTTTAGATTTGCGTCATTTGAAACCTTCGGTGAAGCACTGAGACCTCAACTGCAAATGCCCGCATCGATCTCTACGCCACTTGCGCTCTTCCTATTGCTTTCTTCTTCCTTTTGCATCGCTTGATGGCAACAGAATTCTTGAGCAATGAGATAACACTTAGTCCCAGTGAGCCCGCTGGCTCAGAAACGGCATCAGAACCTCTGTCAAAGTACACGCTTCCTGCACCAGAGCAATGTGTCATCTGCCTCGACAACATCTCCGATGAAGCGATTGCCCTACCCTGCCGCCACGACCAGTTTGACTTCCCATGTTTGGGGACATGGCTACAGCAACAGCAAGTCTGCCCACTGTGCAAAGGCCAAGTCACAGCGGTTAGATTCAATATTGGGGACGGCAATGACCAGAGAAGTCAAGTTTTCTATCTCCCGCCCGAGGATGCTCAAGCAGGCCGAAGTACTCATCAGTTTACCATCGCAGCCGCCGCTCGGCAGCGACGGTCAAGGCAAGGTCGAGGATATGGAAGAGTGGGACATCATAACAATCCTAGAGGCGTGCACCCTGGAGCGCTGAAGGATACTGCGCTCGACTTTCGCAGGCAGGTGTACCAACAGAGACTCTACTCCCTTCATGTTGGGACAAATCGCATCTCGCGATACCGGAATCTGACACCATCATCCTTTGCAACAGACGAGCGTCTGACATCTCGAGCCCGGATGTGGATTAGACGTGAACTTCAAGTCTTCAGCTTCCTCGATCCTAACGCCCCCCAACCTGCACGGCCTGGCTCCACCGACCGCCGTGCCAGAAACGCTGATTTTTTACTCGAGTACATCATCGGAATCCTGAAGTCGATTGATTTGAAAGGCAGCGCCGGGCAAGCAGGGGAGTTGTTGAAAGATTTTCTGGGGCGCGACAATGCTCAGCTGTTTTTGCACGAATTGGAAGCTTGGTTGAGGAGTCCCTACGAGCACCTCAAAGACTGGGACCGGGCAGTGCAGTACGCGATGCCGTCGGGGCCAGAGCCTGGCAATGATATGACAAGACCTGCGCGAAGCGACAACAGTTTCTCCCGCCAGCCGAATGGGACGAAACCATCCAGCAGTCAGCTGAGCGTACCTCTATGGTTCTCTGAACGATTTGTGCTCAAGGGGGATGCCTCACGGACAAGGCGACCTTAAGTGCTTCATGACGCACGGGCTCATGTCACATAGAGGACTGGTGGCATGCACTCGCTGGTCATGACCATCCAGCAGCGTGATGACAACCTGCCGAACAGTCCACGATTGCCATGAGAGATGGATGTATGATATAGATTCCACATTCAGTCAAAGATCTGCAAACCCTGCTCGTCTCCAGTTCTCTTGTGCCGACTTTGTGCAAGCGAAAACTGTCTCTTGATTTCCAGTCTCCAGTTTGGTAGTCCAGCGTTTCGCAAAGCACATCCAGGAGGCCAGGTGACACTGCCCTTCGAGCAGACTTGGATACCTAAAGTCCGCAGGATCAAAATATGCAAGTCCGCGCCACGCCCATTCGGCAATGGCTCGGGTATATTATTTCTGTTCGTCTGACAAAGAGGGATTTGCCTTTCTGTACAGAGTATGATGTACCTAGGTCCACGGGATATTCTTCTCTCTTCGCTCATCTCTCGTGTTGTTCTTCCTCTCTACTTGTACTTCCCGCCGCCTGACTCGCTCCGCGGATCCGCCAACCGTCAGTCGGACGAATATAGCCCCGAACACCATGTTGATTGCGCCCTATCTGCATGTTTCTTACCTCGTTGCTGGAACGTCATGACCCACAGAAGAGACAAGCATACACTCCCACGGTAACTGCCGATAGCGATCGAAGGGAACGATGACAAAAGTTGGGTTGGAGGGATTAGGGGAATCGCATTTCCGATGCAATACAGCGATCTTGTCTTGTTATGTACGTAATAATGGCACCACTACATTTATACTGAAAACAGTGTGGAGTGGTAGTCCTCATATGTACACGAAGTATATATAAAAACACATCATTCCGTTCCCCTCATCTCCTCCTATCGAATCCATCTTCCCTTTTGCCGCCCAGAGCAGGCTCTCACTATAGCATACAACGGCCGATGTTGGTCCATTGATCCCTTCTTGTGATTTCACGGTTGCCCCTCTCTTCATCGTCACCCGATTATTTCTCCATTCCATTCAAGCCAACAGGTTCCCCTGCCACGGCTCAGGGACTCCTTTGTCAAAGATGCCCTCCAACACCAAAAATCTAGCCTTGCTCTTCACCAAAGTCCCCGACCGTCTCCCCATTCCCGGTGAACACATTGCCGTCAGAGACGTCGGCCCCTTCGACCTTGACCAAGAGCTGCCTCCCCGTGGCTTGATTCTAGAAACCCTCTATGTGAGCTTCGACCCGTACCTCCGTGGCCTGCTGCGGGATCCCTCGGTTAAATCATACCTGCCTGCCGTTCCGCTGGGGTCGCCCATTACCGCGGGAACTCTGTCGCGCGTTCTCCGCTCCAGTCTCGACGGTTATGCCGAGGGAGACATCGTGAGGCTCTTGCTGCCCATCCGGCAGTACAACCTGTACGTGGCGCCCAAGGAGGGCGGACAACTGCTGTTCAAGGTTCCCAATCCAAACGACCCCGGTCTGGATGTCAGGCACTACCTGGGTGCCCTCGGCATGCCCGGTCTGACGGCTTACTCGTCGCTGTACGAGATTGGCAAGCCCAAAGCTGGGGAGATTATTGTAGTTTCTTCAGCCGCTGGGGCCGTCGGTCAGGTGGTCGGCCTATTGGCCAAACATGAGGGCCTGACCGTGTTTGGATCCGTCGGCGACGACGCCAAGTTGGACTTCATCATCAACGACCTGGGATTTGACGGCGGCTGGAACTACAAGAAAGAGCCCAACACCAAGGAAGTCATCGGGCGGCTGGTCCGAGAACACAAGGAGAAGAGAGGAGAAGCGATTCCTGACGACTCTGGTAATGGGGAAGGAGGCATCGATATCTTCTACGACAATGTCGGTGGTGAGCAATTGGATGGTGCATTCGAGACTTTGAATTTGTTCGGACGGTAAGCCTGCTTCCTTGCCGAGGACATTTACTCTCCTTTCCATTCGCCCATCTCCTGTGCTGCAGGATTCGATCTCTTACATATCTGCCTTATGCACTCACTCAGAGTATTTCATGCCTCTTCGAATATTGGACTGACCCATTTACCATGATCAGGATCGTGGCATGCGGGCAGATCTCACAATACAACCTGCCCCCGGCCGAGCGCTACCCCATCCGCAACACTTTCCTGTGCGTGGTCAAACGGCTGACCATGACGGGCTTCATGGTCAATGACGCCAACATGGGGCCCAAGCACGCCAAAGCTCACATCGAAAACGTCTCCAAGTGGTTGAGGGACGGTAGCTTCAAGGCTAAGATCCATGAGGACGTGGGCATGGAGAATGCCGCCGAGGCCTTCAGCGGTATGTTGAAGGGCCACAATTTCGGAAAGGCCATCTTGAAGGTCAAGGTCTAGGCCCGGACTCTGGAAGATCCGGATGCTACTCCGTGCTCCAAGGGTCGTCTTATTAGGATTGGAGAGGCAAGAGGATTCCCAGAGACGAACGGGAACAGAATCCAACTATGCCACTGAGAAAGCACGAAGATGGTATTCCTTCAGAAACGGAGGGGAAGGAAACCGCGAATGCCATAAGTCGGCCATCTTCCAAGTTGAAAGTTCTTTTTTTTTCTGTGCGGATGATGCCATGTGCACTGTACAATACAAATCACTACCTAGCCCTCTAGAAGCACCAGATCCCGGACCTCCAATCAGAGGTCCTCATCGAGACACTTCTCTCGAGACACTTCTCTCGAGACACTTCTCTCGAGACACTTCTCCCTCTGCTCTCTCGTCCCCTTGTCTGCTCCATCTTGTTCCACTTATGCCAAGTTCCGTGCCATATCGTTCCGGATCCTGTTATAATCCAACAAGCCTTCGATGCTGCCAACCGCACTCACCGCGATGTCCTGATCCCAAAGCTTCTTCTGGCAGAACCGCATCACATCCTTTGCCGTGATTTGGCCGATCACCCGCTCGATCTCGGCCGGATCCATTCTTCTGCCGGTCGTGACAATCTGTCGTCCTATGTCCTCGGCAACGGCCGTCGTGCCGTCAAGACTCAAGAGGATCGAGGCCTTGAGTTGGGCTTTGGCGCGCTCGGTTTCTGCTTCAGAGACATTGAACGAGAGGCGGGACCATTCGCGCAGTGTGAAGTGAACGAGGTCGTCGATTTGGGTCTTGTTCTCGGAAACGAGGTAAATTCCCCATAATCTGTAAAAGACCACGGTTAGCGATGTCTCTTTCTTTTTGGCAGTGGAAAGTTGAATAAGCGTCTGAGGCGCAAAGAAATAACTCACCCAGTATCGCTGTAGCTCGTGGAGAAGCTCATGAAGCTGTTGGCCAAATTATTTGCATTCACAAAGGTGCTGAGTCTTGAGCCAAGGTAGGGAGAATTGCCCATCGTCCGGTCCCAATTTCCGACAATGGCCTGTGTAACGAGAGCGGGGAAGTACTCGTCGTCTTTCCAAGAGACACCTTCCACGGCGATGGCGATGTGCGCGGTGGGGATCGTGTCGTCTCTTATCCTGACCTCAGAACCAATGAACTGGGGTTTACGCTTCTGCTCGGCGGCAACTTCAGCGGCATAAGATGTCGGCGGTGCGGATCTCAGGTGTCCGAAATGTTTCTCGGCGAGCTTGACCAATTCCTCGTGGGGAATACCACCTGCGCCGACGAGGACCATGCGGTCAGCAGTATAGTTGGTGGTAATATAATCAACCAGATCCTGGCGAGAAATCGTCTCGATGTTCTCTTTGGGTCCGAGGATGGTGCGGCCGAGAGGCTGATGCATATAGGCCGTTGCATGCAGGTGATCAAAGACCACTTCTTCCAATTGCTTGTCGACTTCTTCTTGCTCCCGGAGAATCACATCTCTTTCGCGCTCAATAGCTGCCGGCTCGAGTTTAGAGTTTTGCAGAATGTCGGAAAGGATGTCGACGGTCTTGGGAACATCGGAGTTGAAAGATTTGGCATAGTAAACAGTGTTTTCACGCTGGCGGACTCGTTTAGCAACAGATAAAGGCTAAAGCTTTCCCCGCCTCCCCGAAGTGTTTGCGTTGAGGTGTCCACCCATATTCTCAATCTCGAGCTCTAGTTGATGTTGAGTTCGCCTGCCAGTGCCCTATAATATCGTCAAATCGCGGAGTTCGGGTTGTTGGATTTTGACTGCTCACCTTGAAAGCGAGATGTTCTAAGAAATGTGCAGTTCCGTTGGTCTTGTCTGTTTCTGCTCTACTCCCGGCATCAATCCAAACCCCGACGGTTGAGGTCTGAGCCCATGGCGAATGTTCGGTCGCAATCTAGATTCAGCAGTCAGTCACCTCGAGCCACTTATCTGGAAGAATTGACGGCCGTACCGTGAGACCGTTCGAGAGAGTGGTGCTTTCAGTTCTGGAGGGAGTGACAGGGTTGGCGTAGCGGCGGAGGGGGGACTGGATAGCACTGAGAGCTTTTCTGCTTCGAAGGGACCGCTGAAGGTTCAGCGCCAGCCGCTGAGACGCCATTGCAGGGAGTTGATCAACAAAAGGAGCCCGGTGGCAGCTGTGTGTCGTAGTAGAATTGAGCTTTGAACGCAGGCGACTTGGAGTTTCTGGAGCTCAGAACTTCCCGACAAAGGCGCTATACCCAATACGGAGGAAATTCTTTACACGAGAGCTCATTGGTCAACTCCATACAGCACAGCAATGCTAGCCGGTCAAAAACTGTAAGGGGTATCAAAGGTTATCGATGTTCATTGTCATGGAACCGAATAGCTCGGTCCCATCATACGTGTCCTATGGCTCCCTAAGTGAACGTCCACATTGCTTGTCCTGCATCCAGCGTCGTCCCTTCGAAATCGAAGAACGGCATGCCCAACCCCAAAGCAGGATCTCCGAAATCGAAGGCTGCTGGGTCCAGCGAGGCATAGTCAGGCACGTCCGATTGCCCGTTTGTGACCCTTCCCAGGTTCACCGTCGCATCGACAGCTTGACTTGGGGATGCTAACGGCTGGCTTGGACGCTCCCCATTAGTCCTAACACGGTTCTTGGACCGTGCTGGCCCCCCTAGGCTCTCCGCCATTTTCTCGAGTCCGTCGGCCATTCTGTGGATCAAATGATCTTTGCCAACGTCTGTCGACTTGAAATGCTGTGCCAGGGCGTTGATGAGCCTTTGAAATCGAACGGTGTCCAAGAACAGCTGCTCGCTGTGCTTTGTCGCGATTTTCAAAAGGAACATGCATGCAAATGCGATCATGCCGTGGACATGGTGTGGAACATAGGCAATAGCTATCTGCGCATCTTTGTCATCCAAGAGGAGGTTGATGATGGCAGTTGCGGCAGCGACCGCCGCGGACGCGTTCTCCAAAAAGTGCTCGGGGATAACAGCTCCAGACTCGGGCAGACCTCGAAGGACATACGACTGCAGATAGAGCTTGGCCCAGTGATAATGCATGACTGCACCCTTGTTGGGCCAGTTGCCAATGTATTGACTTGGATCTGGATCGAAGTTAGTATTGGTCAAGGAACATAACATCAACTCTACTGACTGTGTCTCGAGAACCGGGCAATCCAATCATCCAAATCGCGCTCAAAGCCGGCAATCTTGGTTAGAGCAGAGACCGGCAACACCGAGCTGGTATCCTCAGGCCCCAGGGTCTCTCGTATTTGGTTCATCAGGTACATCAGGCAGATCTGCCCGGCAATCCTGCGGTCGGCATCCGTGGACAATGAGCAGGCTAGGTAGGCTTCCCAACCGGTAATGTAGCTTTCGTTGTCACGCATGATGGACGACCGGCCGTAGAGAATGGACAGGTGGTGGTCACATATATAGAGCAGGTAAAGGACTCTTATGCCGTCCATGGCTTCCTGCAATTTTGCCGGATCAGCCTTTTCCGGCGATCTGACCGACTCGGAAATCTCATGATAGTACTGCCGAAGGTGGAATTCGCTGGCACGGCGGATGGCATAACCAGATAAAGTCCATGAAATGTCGCTCAACCAGTACGAGCCGAGAACCAAGGCTCGCAGATACTCCATGTCAATTTTCCGCTCGAACATGGCATTGGCGACTAATCGTCTGTATTCTTTGCTGCAAATAGAGTATAGGTGACCAAGCTTCGTGTCATGAAGGGCGGCCACTGTCAGAACACATGCAGTCAGAGTTGGTGACCGGCGTCGGAAAGACTCCAAATCCGAATAGTCAGGACATATATGCCATATATAGGGGTCAAGCTTGCTGCGATAGTAGTTGACTAGGTGTTCTGCATCTTCTTGCTTTACCAAACCCCTTGCAATAAAGTCAGTATCCCGCAGTTGTTTGCATATTCGGGACTGATCTTCGGTGATGTTCTCAGAAGCTCTCAGGGATCGCATCCCAGTGATCTGATACAGCGATTCAATGGGTACATGTGACAGGTTGTCGGCAACCGGGGTCACCTTTGGCGAATTGTCAAAAGACTGGTCCTCGTCATCAGGATCATTGCCCTGTTCCTCCTGGTCGAAGAAGATGGCAGGGTCCTGGGTGGAGACGAGCATTTGCGGCAGAGATGGCAGCTGCAGTGTTCGCACAATCTCCTCGACAGCCGCATACAGAGATGTGACATCCTTGGTGACGGCGGCTTTCCATTTTGAATCTTCCGACATCAGGGTTTGCAGGCTTTTGTTGAGGCGACATGATAATCCCCTTTCCTTGCATCGTTGACAAGGCGGGTCACCGATCATGATACACTTGATCTGTACAACAAATCTGTCAGCATTCTGGGACTCTGAAGATCGTGTGAAAGCCCTACTTTTTGCTTGCGGCATGCTGCACACGCCTTGACCTTTCTCGAGATCCCGGGCAACTTGGCGTCGACTGCGGCTCCATTGGTGGTGGAATTCGTCCGTTGCGGACGGGACGGGGCTTTGGCAACAAGGCTAGGCTCGTCGAAGGAATTGCGAGGTTTCTTGGGAGATGTGGATTGCGCAGGAGAGTTGTAGGTGTGAGAAGACGTCGTGGAGGTTGCTCTCTGCGGACTGGGACCCGGAGCAGAGCGTGGGGATGGCAGTTCGGCCTCTTGCCAACTCCGCTTGGACATTTTATCTGGGGGAAAGACGACGGAGTCAAATGCAAACTAGATAAAGACAGAAAAATGAAATTAAATGAGGACTGGGGAAGGTGAAAAATCGACTTCGAATGCGATGTCCTTCAGCAAACACTGTACAAAATGTCGGCCTTTAGAAGCAACGCTTGAGTCGTACAAAAGACTCTGAACAGTGACGGAGAACAGTGGCCCATTGGCGCTGTCGGCGGCATTTGACTTGGCCGCTTGGAGTTAGATGGTTGGTGTCAATCAAAAAGTTATGGGTGTGATAAGCTGCGAGGGGCGGCGAGGGCGGGCAAGTGCGGGACATTGGCTGCCCTATGCGGAGACCCCTAGGCAAAAGCCTAGGCTAGAAAGATGACCTCGATACCCTGAGCCATGCCGCTACGACGCCCGCGGCCCAGCCAGCCAACCCCACGGCCCGCTGCTGACAAGCCCCTAATAACTCGGGGCAGAGTGCCGAACGGCCTTCCTCTCCCTTCCGTCAATGTTGATAGAGCCAGTAGACTAGGCCAGCAGGTCAATGTCACGTTCACATCACGCTTTAGGCATGGCCGCGCGGATTGCGGTGAGACTCCGGGGCCAATGAACGGTCTAGGATTCGTCTGATGGAGTCTTCCCTGTCTGGTGCCTCGCTCGAGTTGTTCGTAACGTCTGTAGCATGCTCTAACCTTTGCTAACTCTCGAAAAGCTTCTAAATCTTGGTGAACGGGTCATCGAAATACCAGACAGGGTCTCCTTCAGGGTCCACCTCAGTCTGTGTATAGCCGTTGCCCATAAAGGCAAATCTGTTCTCCGACATGTATGTAATGTTATAGTCCTCCCACCTTACATTCTTCATAATCTCGAAGAAATGCAGTCGACTGCCCGGATAGATGGCAGTAACTGGACCGTGTGTTTTGCCATTCTTGAACCACGATCGGCAGGCGGACGACCAGACCAATCGCTTCATCAGCTCGTGAGTGTGGTTGTATAGATCCTTGATGGCTTCCTTCTTTGGTTCGACAGCCTTGATGCGCTCCGTTTGGATCTTTTCAATGACCTGGAAGATGTAGCGAGTGTACCATTCCAAAATTGGTAGAATGCTGGAGTGAGATGCCGGCCCATTGGGTCCTATCAGAAGGAACAGGTTGGGGAAGTTCTCGGCTGCAATGCCTAGATACCCGATTGGAAAGTCACCAAACTGCTCATGGATCTCTGCGTTGTTCCGACCATAGACCTTGAAATGTGGCGTAAAAGAGGTGTCGAAGCCTGTCGCGCAAATGACAACATCGACCTGGTGCTCAACCCCGTCTTCGCCTACAATACCAGTTTCTGTTAATCTTGTAGCTGACTTTGGGACGACGTGTACGTTGTCTGCCGTCAAAGATTGCAGATACCCAGATCCAGGAGTCATTCTTCGGCAGCCAAGAGCGAATGGTGGTACCATGTGCTTGGTTAGAGTCTCATCATGGCCGAGCTGTTCTTTCATGATGTCCGCCACCAGATCTCGGGATACTTTCTGATCTTTGGCTTTGAGATGCATCTAACACTAGGTCAGGGGGCCAGGGCTGGCTCTGTAGCAGCGAGGGAGCTTACCAAGGTAAACCTCTTGTTGAGCTCGCCCTCGACGTCTCGACAGTACTGCGCATGTTTTTCCGGGTGCTTTCTCCATTCTTCCTTTTGCTCTTCGGAGTCTGTGGCAGTCAGCGGCATTCGGATTTCCTCAGCAGGTGACTTACACGAGAAGTTCGTTCCACCTGGCCCGGCGTACTTAGCACCAAACCCAGTCGTGATCCAGACTGGTGACCTCAGAAACGCGTACAACTTCCCGACAGCTATGAAGAGCGGTATCAACAAACCAAGATTCAGAAAGCGGCAATGAACGAGTGCCACTTACTTGGTTGTATTGACGGAATAATCTGTACTGCGGACGACCCGCCTCCAATCACGGCGACGGTCTTCCCCTTCAGATCATAATCACTGTCCCACTTGGCTGAGTGCATGAGCTTTCCCTTGAACACATCTAAACCTGGAATGTTGGGCCATTTCCACTCACTGGCATTTTTTGGTTAGTAGGTGATGTGGTTGCACAAATGGGCCAGGATACGGGCTCACTCACTTCAGGACTCCTGACCCATTAACAAGGATGTTGCAAGTATCCTCAAAACATGAACCGTCGGCAGCGATGACGCGCAATCGCCAAAGTCCACTTTCTTCGTCCCAAGTGGCTGACTCGACAGTTGTCTTAAACTGAACGTATTTCTCCAAGTCATATTTGGTTGCAACATCCTTAAGATATTGCCATATTTCTTCCGATCCAGAGTAGAATCTTGACCAATTGGGATTCTTTGCCCACGTGAATTGATACGAATGAGAGGGTATGTCGCACGTACACCCAGGGTATCGATTCTCTAGCCAGGTTCCACCGATGTCGCTATTCTTTTCGTAGATCTGCAGATCCACGTCTTTCAGGGCACGTTCTGCTTTGTACGCGAATTGAAGACCCGTGGCTCCGGCCCCTACACAGACGACTCGAATCTTTCGTCTCTCAAAGAGTAATTGCTCGGTAACTCGGTAGCCGTCAAAATCCCTCCCATTGTACCAACTGTTCTCGTGAGGTGCGTCCGAGGGAACAGTAACGTCTTCCGTCGGAGCCGCAGAGATGAGCACAACTCTGTTGGTTGCCATGTTAGAGGAAAGCAGGAGAAGCAGGCAGACACGGACCTAAGGTGATACGGAAGTGGAAAGAAAATACTTTGGGCGAGCCGGAGGTACCCAGACCGTCTTCGTGAGCCTAGGTTATATAAGGCTTTGCTTTAAAGAAGTAAGCATAGAGGACTCGGTAGGCCAACATCCTGAATTCGGCAAGCTGACTGGTGGAGCGGCTGAACATTGCTCGACGATGTCCGCTCCCACGCAGATGCTTCCCTCGGGCAAACCCAACCCCGCATGGTGTGATGCTCCATATATTCCCTGCCCTTTACTGTCTCTGAGGAGACTCAGAAATCCGAGGCTCACGAGGCTGTCAAGGTTGGGGGCTTCGTGGATAGACAAGCCTTTCTTGTTACACTTTTATCATTCTCTTGCGACGAGACAGGAGTGCTCAAGTGCTAGACTGGGTCAGGTGCCCCCAAATGACGAAAAGAGCAGCAAAGACGCTACATTGTGTCTGAGTGTGATCCAGAAATTAAAAATGCATCGAATTTGTCGATTCCAGCTTGCAATTCAGGTGATAATTTGACGAGGCCGAGTTACTGGAATACATGAGTATAAGGGAGCGTATTCAAGAAAGGGAATAAGAGGATAGAACGAATGACGAGAGTTGGAAGGGGGAGCTCTCCGGCTCGCTATATAAAATGCAAAGCTTCTGATTGGCTCGGAGACAAGCCTCTTGGCAGCAATCGAGCAACATCCCGTCGCCAGCATGCGATCGGACCATTGACTCTCTCGACCCTCATGCTCTTTCGACCACCTTGATCAGACTATCTATTGATTTTGATAGGGAAATGGCTGCGGTTTCGAGGACAGCCATGCTTCGGCAAGCACAATTCCTATCGACGTCCAAGCGACTGTTCTCGAGCACTACCCAACCACTTCGACCCTTCCGGGCAGCTCCTCTGATCTCTTCTACAAGACAATTTCTGTCTCCACGGGTGTCTTTTGCTTCTCAGATTGCGCCCTTCTCCTCAACTGCGCAAAGGAAGATTCTGCCGCCTGGTCCGCAGGTCATCCAAGGAGGAGTCAACGACCCTGCGCCCGTGCCAAAGCCTGACCCCCTCCATGGAAGCTATCACTGGACATTTGAACGAATCCTGTCGGTGGCATTGGTCCCCTTAACCATCACACCTTTCGCTGCCGGCTCGGTCAGTCCGACGCTGGATGCAGCTTTGATCTTTGGCATTTTGATCCATTCACACGCGGGTTTCCAGTAAGTATCGAGCTTCCACTGCATGTCCTCATGCATCACCCCACCAGAAAGCAAACACTGAGACCCGTCCAGATCAATCATCATTGATTACATTCCTATCCATCGTCACCCGACCATGCGGCGAGCCTTCATGTGGCTGTTGAACCTAGCTACCCTTGTTGTGGCGGTGGGCTTTTACGAGTTCGAGACCAACGATGTTGGTGTGGTGGAGGCGATGAAGAGAATATGGCATGCAGGTGCGAATGATGCCACGATTGGCAAGGCCGATACATCGAGCTTGGGTCACGATGGAAAACTCAAGAATCTGAAATAAGCTGTGGCACATCTGTTGAAAGTGGAACAGGCCGAAAGCCTCGATGTACATGATGCATTTTAACAACATGGGTTTTACAATCAATACACGCAGCCGACCATTGGTAGAGTCCTCTATATACTGATCATAAACCGGTCAGCCGTGTACCGAGCGCCACTAACGCCAATGGTCTTCTGAGGCAAAGACTGAGTCCCGTCACTCATCCTCGAGCAAGTCGTCGCCTTCACCCTGCAAGATATCATCATCCTCCGCCTTCTGCATGACCTTCTCAATCAACTTGAGCGTTGTCCTCAACGGGAGTCCAACAACATTATCGAAGCTGCCATCAATCCTCTCCACCAGAATCGCTCCGGTCCCTTGTATCCCATATCCGCCCGCCTTATCTGCCCCCTCTCTGGTCCTGACGTATGCCAGAAGTAATTCGTCTGTGATCTCAGAGTCGAACTTCACTGTAGTCTCCTCCGTGGCGGTCTCGATGGCGTACCCAGGATCTCTTGCACTCTCCAAGGGAGTAACCACGCAGACGGCAGTGTAGACCTTATGCAAAACCGAATCCCTTAGGCTTTTTAACATGGAAATATGATTTGCCTCACTCGTTGGTTTCTCCAATATTTCCCCCATCGAACTAACAACAATCGTGTCCGCTGCAAGGATCAATCCTGGCTCGCCCTTCTCTTCATTGTTTACCTCCTGCTTGTAAACTGCCAATGCCTTTTGCGTCGCAGTAGCCAGTACATATTCGAATGGGGCCAGTGTCTTGGGCAGGTTCTCCTCAAATTTGGATGGGATTATTTCGACATTGTGCAGTCCGATCTGAGCAAGAAGCTGTTTCCGGCGGGGGGATTGGGAGGCGAGAACGATCCGCTTATTTCGCAGAAGGTTAAGGGCGGGGAGTTCTAACAGTGGCGGAGGGCGGAGCGGGCGACGTCCGGACGGAGGTGGTTTGCCTGCTTGCACGCCTGTTGCAGGAGGAATGGAGTGAGCTTCATAGGAAGGAGGGTTGTCTGTTGGTACACCGTTTTTCTGAGATTGAGACATCTTCGCTTCTTTGCCGGTTTGGAGACAAAACAAATCTTCAATTGAGTGTCACCGTGTGGAGCGGCCTGGACCTGCGTCATGTACGAGTCTTCGGCGGTGGCAGAAAAAAGGTTCAGTGTGCTTTCCCACCATTCTACGTTTTTATATGTACCTAGCAGAAGCGCTTGACTCATAACCTGAACTCCTCAATATAACTCTGCGAAGTCCCTCCTTTCTACCTTCCTAGCCTACATTTCCCATTCTCATAGAGTCTTCTTCCTTTACTAAGTGCTTGATTCAATATGACAACCACCCTGCATCTCCGCTCTGAGTCGAAGCCTCTTGAGCACCGATCTGCTTGTATGTTTTCCATTGCCCTTCTCGATCTGAGATCTGGGAGTGCTGTTATTAACTTTCCGCACAGTGACCCCCAGCACTACCAAAGCTCTACTGGATGCCGGCTACAAAGTCAATGTCGAGCGCAGCCCGGAACGGATATTCGACGACTCCGAGTTTGAAGCTGTCGGTGCAACTCTGGTTCCCGAAGGGTCATGGAAAGATGCCCCTACAGATCATATAATCGTAGGGCTCAAAGAGCTTCCCGAAGACAGATTTGCACTTAAACACACGCACGTGCAGTTCGCACACTGCTACAAGAACCAAGGTGGTTGGCAAGACGTCCTGTCACGTTTCCCCCAGGGCGGCGGTACACTCTTGGACCTCGAATTTTTGACGGATGATACCGGACGCAGAGTTGCGGCGTTTGGATACCATGCAGGCTATGCGGGTGCCGCACTGGCCGTTGAGGCGTGGGCACATCAACTGAATAACCCAAATGAGCCCATGGGCAGTGTAGCCAGCTACCCAAGTCAAGATCTGCTCCTCCAGGACGTGCGCTCAGCTTTGGAAAACGGTTCCAAGATTGCAGGTCGTCAACCCCGTGTCCTTGTGATTGGCGCACTGGGTCGATGTGGTCGCGGTGCCGTCGATCTGTGCCGACAGGCAGGCATACCAGACGAAAACATCCTCAAATGGGACATCCCTGAGACCAAAAAAGGCGGACCATTTGCAGAGATCGTCGAGTCGGACATATTTGTGAACTGCATTTATTTGAGCGAGCCGATGGCGCCGTTTATCACCAAGAAATCCCTCTCGTCCCCGAAACGCAACCTGTCAGTTGTGTGTGATGTCAGTTGCGACACGACAAATCCCCACAACCCGATCCCTATCTACGACGAGAACTCGACTTTCAAAAACCCTACACTCCCAGTCCCGGGTTACGAGAACCCTCCGCTATGTGTTATCAGCATAGACCACCTACCTTCTCTGTTGCCGAGGGAAGCCAGCGAGGCCTTCTCTCAGGCTCTGCTGCCGAGTCTGCTACAATTGAAGGAGAGGAAGACTGCGCGAGTGTGGAAGCAGGCAGAGGAATTATTCAATCAGAAAGTGGGCACGTTGCCGGAGGCAATGAGGGGTGCCTGGAAGAAAATCACCGGCACAGAGACTGAGGTCGATGGATCAACGTAGAAGAGAGACGAATTAAAGCAGATGAAGCGGCTGATACCCCGTGTCAAACTTTTTGTACAGATAGAAGGCGATCGTAACTGAATTGACTCGTGACGACGGTTTTTAGCATGGCCTATTTGTTGAACCATAGGGTTGCGTCTTCTCCGCTGCGTGTTTATACATTGACAAACCGATAATTTGGGCTTTAGGGTCTTGGGTTTGCTCATACCGCTCTGTCTTCAACGAGACTCCTTCGCTGTGCCCTGTGACAGTCGTCTTTTGGTCTTTTGACACCTATGCCGTGCTCTCCGAAAGATTTCTTCCGCTCAATGCTGCATAGCGGTGTCCTCTTCTTTGCCCACGTCCCCAATTTTCCGCTTCGAGCCCGTGGCCATCTGAATGGACTCCTCACTGCCATCGTCAAAGAATTCAGACACTTCCCATTCCACCCGGGTCAGTCCGTCGTTACTGATTCCAACTCCCCGCCTTCTATTTTGCGATCGGCCTAGACGGCTTCCCTCCAGCATCTCTTCGAACCACGTCAGCCCCCCTGTTCGACCGCTTCGTTGTGTCCGAGTCGGTGACTGGATTTCTTGCCGCGTAGCAGGATCTGTGGCAGCAGTCTCATTGCCATGCTGCAGCGCCCCAGACATTGTGAATGGTTGGGCATTATCTGCTGACCCTTCTGCTTCTACATCCTCGGGCAACAAGTTTAAATCCTGAAGTGCGCGCAGATCCTCGCTCAAGAGGCTGCCCAACGTGATGTTCATGTACTCTGCTTCTTGTGGAGGTTGCTCAGTCCAGTAGGACAGATGCGTACCACAATAGCCGCAGAACACCCTCTGAGAGTGCGGCGTGTGCAACGGCGTGAAGATTTTGCGGATGGAGGCATGGGTTTCATCTGGAAAGAAGGATTGTGTGCTTGAAGAGTACCACGACAACGGAACACGGAGCCACGCCGTCAGTGGGGTTGCTTGACTTCGTCCTAATCAAGACGGGGAAATTAGAGTGGTGGGTAAGAGTTGAGAGTGTTATGAACTTACGACTTTGGCTACTGTCATCAAAGTAGATAAGCGCTTGTTCCGTAGCATCTGGAGGAGCGGCGATATAATAGTGATTGCGGCCGCAGTTGCAGGCACCTTGGAGGGGTCGGATTCTGCTCATATCTCATACGATCATGCAACGGAGAGATATTGATAGATGGAAGCAAAGGTCTTGGAGGAGAGCAACTCAGTAAGATGGTAATTGAAATAAATGTCTTCTGTCCACCGTCTAGACGGAAGAATGGTTACAATTATGTCGGAATGAACTGGGAAAGAACGGAAAGGAAATCCTTCCTCAGTTCCAGAACATGCGCGGCGTTTGCTAGCTGCATGAGGGGTTATCTCCGACTGTTCGCTCTAAACCCAAACTGGGTTCAGGAACCTCAGGTGCTGAGCCACAGAGTTACTCGAGTCGAATCCGTCTTCAACTACTCGTATTGAGGTTACAGACTGTATACATCAAGTTTTCATCAACACTACTCTGGAATCCATCAAAAACGTCGCCCGATCATGTCGAGGAACAGCTGAGACTTGCTGGCAGACAGCTGACCCGGGTTGCCCAGAAAAGGGGCCCATCCATTCGTTTGTTCATCTTTCCCGCCAATCTCAAGCTGGGACCTTTTGTGACCATGTCGAAAGAAGAGGGGACGGAATCAAACACATCTTCTCGAGAATCAACACCTGTTTCTGATACCCAGCCAGATACATTCAAATCCAACTCATCCAAAAAAGCGAACAGAGTGTCGAAGCCACGCTTGACGGCATCTCAGAAGAATTTCAATCACAAAGACGCCGAAAACAAGCGACGTACAGCCATCCGTGAGCGATTCACAGAACTCTCTCATCTTGTCCCAGGAGCCCTAGGCCATGAAAGAAGCGAGCAAGTCATGCTGGGGAAAACCACTGAGTTTTTGAGAACCATGATCCTGGAACAACGTAGGCTCGAAGAGATGGCTCAGAAGCAAGGGATCGCGATCGATGACGATGAACGGCTCCGGGAGGATGATTACGGTGGACCAAAGTGGAGGGCGAGGAACATGGAGCAGTACGAGGCCGGTAAGCAGAAGAAAGAAGCTGGCGACTCCCAACAGGCAAATGATCAAGGGGACGAGGAGAATGATTAGGAGCGGTCGCATTATCAACGATTCAGGCTATGACGAGAACGAATCTTCTCAAGGTCTGCCGAATATGACCCCTCAACTGTTGATCGAAGGGCACTGGATTTTCAGGAGCCTCAAGGAGATATGAGCTTCCGAAGCGTGCCAGTGATTGAGATCGAGAGCATTTGTTAAGGGAAGGATTGGCTTCGGGATGAATGAAAAGACTTCCATTTCTCACCAGCTGGACACCAGGCACTTCACTCCGTAGGGGATCATCTTAGGCTGCCGCACCCACCAAACATTCGGTCGGCTGTTACCACACAGATTCATATTGTCAGAAACCGTCTCCGCCCATGTGTCCTGAACATTTGTCACTCTCCGATTATGCCTCACAGCAGCGACCGGGGCGCTTTCAAAAAGGACAGTATCGTCGTCTCAAGGATGCCAACTGGCCTTCGGTCTCGAAAAACGCCATCACCTCGTCATCGACCCGTTGCGCTGTCCCCACCACATTCTCCCCCAGCTCAGCTTGTCTCGTTGAAGCCAAGACAAAGATCAGCCAACCCGAATGCATCCCCCGTAACCCCGAACACTCTCGAGGGTGAAACTGGAAAGAGATCCTGGGTCAACAGCGCTTCGAAACATTTGGGTTTGTCAAAGCTGCGTCCTAAGGCAAATTTTTCACGAGGAGGCATCATGAACACGAATTCCTCCATCCCGTCGGGAGCGTCCTCGACGAAAAGACTCAATGTAAGGAAGAAGGGAATGCCTGGTTGCTTCTGTGATGTTGATTAAGGGCTTAGGTACAACCGCACAACTTATCCGGAAGTTCTCGCTCACCTGTTCCTGCTCCGCTGGGCCACCCAAGGCACCAAAGTCCTCCAGATAAACCGCTTCCAAGTCTTCCCGTTGCCACCGTCAAGTCTAAGTCACCTGTCCGCAGGTCCCTTATTGACTGCACTGAGAGACCGCTTCGGCGATCTTTGACCCCTCCCGATGGCGGAGTTCCAAAACAAGAAGACTGGCCTGCGATTGAGCCAACGAAAGTCGACACAGTGCCTTCAGGGGTAAGCCAGTCCGAGGTTAAGCCAAGCCTGAGCGAGAGCCTGTACGAAGGTATGCGAGCATTGGATCTGCGCAACGAGGAGGAGAAGATTGTTCAGTCAGAGCATAACGCCGAATTCAAAGAGAATGCCGCTGTCACGGGGGAGCCCGAGTCGCTGTCAGATCAAAACCATTTTCCAGCGGTCAGATCGGCAGTCACGGTCGATGGCAACACCCGTCCTCTCTCATCAAGCCAGCTACCGAAACCTCGTGAATCTTTGCTCCGATCACTGTCTCGTCACGCAGATTCCCCCATAACTTATCGAACCAAGACCACGGCACTGCAACTTCACCAGGTAAAAACCACTGGAGGATCTATTGGAAAGAAGGCTGGAAGTAGGGATGTCATCTCTTCTGACCGCGACCGAGTTAAATCTCCTTCGGCTCGGCGTTTTAAGCAGTCCTTTTCTGGGGGTCCAGTTCGTACAAATTCTCATGGTCGTTATGGTGTTACAGGGCGAGGGTCCCCGTATACCATTCCCTCTCGTTCAAATTCAATCCAAAAGATCGCTCCAAAGGACGAGAACAAGATTGGTGGACAAGAATTTCACAGCCCCAAGACGAACCAGAGTTTCGGTCAGACCCAGCACGGAACCACAGCTCAACAATCTTCTTCATCCGAACAAAAGTACCCCAAGAGTTCTCTTCCCTTGCCCGCTCGCCTTACTTGTCATTCAACAGACGGAAGCACCCATGGGTCTTTGCGCGAAAGCTCTCCTTCAGAGCCTTTTATGAGCCTCGCTATGAACAAACTCCGAGTCGCGGCAGAGGTCGTAGACCATTCCGGAGATAACTTTGCCAACAATGGAGTCAACGAAGATCGCGATCCCGCTGAAACAGCTGCCAAAAACAAAGTCAGACTTTTGAATGTTAAAGAAATGCTGTCCACAACAGCGCTCCGCGATGACGAGTCCTTCATTGATAGTGACGGCGAGTCTGGGGTGAGCATTCATGGTTACGATGTCTTTGGAGGGTATCGAGTTCGGCGCGTTGGGAACGGGTCTAGGATGGGTCCGACTCTTCGTATCACGGATTCTGCAAGTCGTGTTCTGCTCGGTAAAGGAGACGACGACGTTATGGGCAAGCGACGTCCTAAGCCTTCTTTGAGACGCAAGGGAAGTGCGCCTGATATTGGCTCTCCACGCATTGCGAAAGATCAAGTCCGTCGATCTAGTGCAATCTTCAGTCGCCCTATGTCTCTCGTGAGAAGCCTCACAGACCGATCTCTCAACCAGCATAAGGACACAGATCAAGAGGAGACTGAAAACCTCATGGGTGAGGATGGATCTGTGGATACCGTCGTGCGAGCAGAACTTCCAGACAACAGTATCAATCCCCAATCAGGCCTGCTCGAGGACCTAGACACCGATGTCAGTGGCAAGGAAAAGACGAAGAGCGGGACGTCTGTTTACCAGACAACTCTAGCCCCGCCTCAGTGTGACTGGCCTTGCAAGGACTTTGCGACTTTTAGGACGCAGGCTGGCTCTACAACTGTCGCAGCGGAGCAGAAGGGGAACATCTCCCGTAGTATGGCTGAGGAAGTTGCCACGATGCGACCAACACCCAGCTCTTTGTCGAGACCACCTACCATTGTCCTGCCTATCGCCCCGAGTAAAGAGACAGCACCTTTCTTGTTCCAGGATCTAGAACAAGAACAAGCCAAACAAGAGAAACTTGTCAATGACCTTGCCAAAGCGACATATGCCGATGCGGCAACAGTCTCTGAACCCAAGACTACTACAATGTATCCACCGCGCACTTCGTCGCGGAAGCCCAAACCGCCTCCAATCATTGTCTCTCCCCCTGAGCGTCATCTCAACTCGGTAAGCTTCCTTGCACAGCAAGCACCAAAAGCATACGCGGTCAAGCAGGAGAACATCAAAAAGCCACGCAACGTAAAGACATTTTCACAGAGCATTTCTCCACACACTGACTCCGTCAAGGGAAGGAAGATCTCACACGTCCTGGCACATAGTCCTTCGAGTTCCAGCAAGAAGAAAGTCATCTCCAACATCCGGGGTTTGTTCCATAAGAAGTCGGTTGAATCGAACAAAGCAGCAACAACAGTGGTCGGAAGTGATGGTTTATCAAATGAGCTGAACTCGAACCCGTCCAAAGCGGTCAGTGGCCCTGGCTCCCTACGTCGCAAGCCAGTCCCAATATCGGCTTCAGGAGATAGAGATGACAAAGTGATCCGTCCACTTCAAGTGGATGCTAACGCCAACGGACAAGTGGGACAAGGCAAGTTCATGCCAACCCGAAACGGCCTGACCGAACCTGATTATCCTTCCCTCAACCATGAAAGCCAGACGACAGAACCAGGGCACCAGATAAACCGCATGGGCTCGAGAGCGTTGAAGCGGAAGAATCCTTTCATGAGCCCGACTACACCCTTCACAGCAAATCTCAACACGTCAATATATCTAACTTCGCCGCTCACGAGCAGCTTAGCCGCCGCCAACACCACGAATAACAAGATTGCCTCTCCCACGACCCACGCCCATCCTCAAGCTCGATCACCAACAGCTTCGTCCCCAACTACCCCACCGACGCTGGCTACAACAACCAACATAACTCATTCTCTCCTCGACCTCGCGCACACCTCGACCGATCCCAACCGCAAGACTTACCTCATCGAGCTATCAAAGTGTATGGTTGAAGTCGTTAGTTCGGCCAGAGACGCGGAAAAGGCAATGGAGAAGGCCCGGGTGGAGGCAAGCAGAGCAGAGTGTGCCTGGCTGAAGTGTTTGAAGGAGGTTGGACAGGTAGAAGGGCTGATTAAGGGGATTGTCCACCCCGAGACATGGACGAAGTGAAATGCTTCAGCTACCATCATGATAGGATGGCAAGGACAGCAAAGAGTACGATGTCAAGTTGGAAGTGATCTGTCCATACGAAGGTGTCGAAAAGGGTGGCAAGGGACACAAACACAACAGAACGAGACGGCAAGTTTCCTTGATTCCTTTTTCCTTGATGATGTGCCTGCAGCTTGCTTCCACAAGGCAAAAAGAGAATCATTGGGGAAAGGCGTTATGTGGTTGTGTTGTTCCTCTTATTGGAATAGCGACTGCATTCTTATCTCCACGCATTGGATAAAACACGGGCTGCTAGTGGGTTCTTGGGTCGATTACCTGTATTCTGGGTAGACCAGGCGGCGAATCGTCAGAGTTACGATACGACTTTAGCAATCATAAAAGGGGAAGGCTGGTATCAAGGATGACGAAGCCACGTAGACAATTTGAAATGCTTGCCGAGGATTGACTGGAAATTCGAATCATGATAATCCAGAAGCCAGGCGATTAAATCTACCTCATTCGCACTGTTTTTATTCCCCTGTCCTATCTCGAAAGGGTTTATATCCAAGTTTTCAGGGAAAAAGAAGGAAACATAGACCGCGTATCACAATTTGTTCAACCATTTGTCATCTTTGATCCCGAAGCACCTTCCGTTCTGAGGCTATATCTGTGGGATACAATACATGTGCCCATTCAAGCCGCGATTGGTCTCGCAATCCTTCTTCTCCAGACCATATTTTATCCTAAAGGGTTTGTTCCACATCGATACTCCAACATCGCAATACAATTGCCGTGTACTCATTATGTTAAGCGAGTTGCTAGTCGATTAGAGAACCTTCGAGCGACTGGTTCTAGGAGCCGGCGTGAGTTCCGGCTCCGGCGACGCTTGTGTGCCAGAAGTGCTACCTTCAACGACGAAGCCCATCTGCTCGCTGAAGAGGCTGGCGACCATGGCATAGTCCTGGTCATTGGGCGAAATGGTTCGTCGGGATAGGTCCGTGAGCCCTCTTAGAGCCTCGGGAAGGTATTCTTCAGAAGAAGGAAATGAGGAAATAGCAGCGGAGCCAGGGGAGACTTCTTCCATCGGCTCGCCTGCGCCGGTCGACGATTCACTGGCTTGCAAGGTTATCGTAGTCCAGTCCGTCACAACGGATGTGACGGTCACGGTGCTTGCAGTCGGCGCGACGAGTTGCGATAAATAGGCCGAAGCGTGCTGGAGGGCACTTCGCCAGTTCGCCGCGGTAGATAGGGCACGAGCGGCGTGGAGCTGAATGCTTGTCCCAACATCTCTCGAGCGCTCTGCCAGGTTAAAGCTCTCGACCGTGTCCCTGATCCACGGGGCTGTAAGGGCACTGACCCCAGCGATGCTGCCGGAGAAGACCAGCCACTCGAGAAATTCGCGCCGCGAAACGGTGTTCCAGACCGCCGAAGCGGCGTCTTCGAGGGAACAGGAGATGTACTTTTCGCGGCGGGCCTCTGCAACGACTTCGGCGAGTGTCTGTCTGTGTGACTGTGGGTCCGCGTCTGCAGTAGGCCGGAGCTGCTGTTCGTCAGACGAAGAGACCCATTCGCAATAGAGGTTTGAAGGAGCGACCCTCGAATAGACGGTGACGAATGCACCGCTCTTCGGGCTTGCTTGATCACTCGTCTCATCTTCTCGGGGACGACGTCCGTGTCCTTTGCCGCGAGCTTCCTGAATGCTGGTCTTGAGGATGGCCGTGGACCACTCTGTCCCTGGAATTGGTGGCAAGTCGGCGACGGCTTCCCTGGCGGCGTCCGTCTCTTGCAGGTCATACGGATACAAGTTGAAGAGTTGCTGTTCAGCTTCTTCCCGCGTGAGCTCTTTCCCTGCTGCTCGAGCTGATTCCTGTGCATGTCCAAGTTCGAGCACGTCCAGGCCAGTCGGCACAACGGCTTCGACTCGTCCGAAGCAGGTCATCCGGACCTGCAACTGATCGTTGGCGTTTGGAGGGCGGTCAATCTCCGCATTCAGCGATCCGGCATTGACGCAGATGTTCTCCTCAGCATCTTCTCGACTTAATCTGGTGCCCTTGGGCACATGCGGTGCGATTCGCACGACAAGGCCGTTGACGCCCGCAAAGCGGATACAAAGGTGCAGGCTGCCCGCCATCCTGATGAGTTCGACGAGCTTTCGCCAGATCTGAAATCGCATTTCGGCTCCTTCTTCCCGGAGTCTTGACGACTGTCTCCATCTCGGCTTGATAGGGTCAAAGAAGGGAGGCGGTAAAAGCGGCTCGAGGACAGTTAGCAAATTGTTGGCCATTCTGCGCGCTGCGATCTCCAGGTTGTCCAAGTGCTCGTAGTTGTGCGGGAAGTCCTGCGATGGGAAGTAGTCTTCGGCGATTTTGAGTTCCTCTAGACATTCAGCCTTCTTCTTGTTGCGCACAAAGGCGTCGTAGTGGAGATACTTGTGGTCGATGTCTTCGAGTTTGCGTACCTTGGCGTCCGGGATGCTGAAAGCGGTGTGTTTGAAGATCCGTTGCTGGAACCATTCGCCGATGACACCATGTACGAGATGTCGTCGGTGTTCCCGTTTTGTGAAGAAGTTTTTCCAACCGTGTCCGCTCCCATCTGCGATCCGTTGTGTCATCAGCATGAGCGACAAGTACTTCGTAGCCAAGAGGTGCATGGGCCACGCATTCTCTTGTTCGGCAGTGAGTTCGAAATCGAAATGGTCACTGCAGAAACGCGAGAGCTTCTCCTGCAATATCATGAAGAGAACGCCGATTTCATCGAGACCCAGCGCCCTCGGTGACTTTTCGACGTCTACAAACAGTTGCTCCGCGAGGACGAGGGCGTCATTGGGATCGACAGTACTTATCTGGGGAGTTCTGTCGCGAGGTTGCGAGGGGCTGGCGACCGGGGGGGATGCGGTTCGTTGCCGCTTCGCTGGGGAACCCGAGCTTCGCGGCGAAACCGCTCTCGGAGGGCCCTGCGAAGCAGCTGGTCTGGTGGGAGATGTCGACAAGCGAGGTCCTGACGATAGGCGCGAACCAGACGATGAGCCAGAGCCCGACGACGAGCAGGAACTTGTAGATGATTCACGGGCTCTTATTCCGGCAAGCTGTCGCATTTGCTTCTCGTGTTGATCTCGGCTGACTTTGAGATGGATTCTTCTGGGCCAATTGGGTGGCAGGTCTCCAGGGACATTGTCGTCGAGCTCTTCGCCATCGTCGTGCTCTGAATCCTCTTCTTCAAATCTGTAAGCTTGGTCGTCAAACGGTCTGATCTTGCGTTTGCGGGTAGAAGTGTTCGTCGGGGGATCTGCAGGTTGGGGATCAGTTTCTTCCACCTTAATGGACGCCTCTTCATCGACCGCCCTTCTCTTCCCTTTGGATGCGGACGTGGGCACGGCTTCTTTTGTCGATATGTCGATAAACTCGTCCTCTGAGCTGTCGGTATTTATATAGGCTAGTTCCTCGAAAGGTAATGATTTCCTCTTGCCTTTCTTGGCCTTTGCGTTCTTTCGACCTGGCGTTGGTGTTACCGGTTGAGTATTAGAGACCGAAGGCTCGCTGTCGCTTTCGGGAAGCTGGCTCGTCTTGCTATTCTCGGCGATGGCGGATGTCCTATTGCTGTCCGGTAAGGTCTCCGGTTCTTCGTCTTCCTCGTCTTCCGAATCTTCCGCGTCTTTGTCGTCTTTCTCGCTGGCTTTTGGCACTGCCTTGGTGCGTTTGACTTGTGCTGGCGTTTTCTTAGCTGGTGTGCCTTGGGGCTTTGCCTTGGAGGTTGACTTGGCAGGAGTGCGTCCAGACTGTGCAGAAGTTGTTGCAGGCTTCGGGGCCGATTTGGTAGTCTTACGGCGGGGTGCCTTCGAGGATGCTGCTTTCCCGGTAGCTGCCTGGGTTGCAGGTAGTGCTGTGCTTGCTGCTGTAGGCGGTGGCACTGCTGGCGTCCTCCTCCCGGCGGATGGTCGTGTCATTATCCGAGTCGGAGTGGTGGTCGGCTGTCTTCGTGGAGCCATGTTGGGGGTTCGAGCTCTGCAAAGTGAACACCTAAAATGTTGTCTGGCGATCTTTCCAGAGAATTTGGACAAGTTTCGAAACATTCAGAAGGAACAAAAGAAACGAACAAACTGGGTAGGAAATATATGACGGAGAGAGAGATGGGTGGAAAGCCATTCTCCGGATGCGGAAGAAACAATACCACCGTTTTCATCCAAGTTTTGATTGTCTTTATTGAGGCTATTGTCACTGTCGGGTCTGGTTCATTGATCCCAGACTCCAGCCAAAGCCGGAGGGCAAGCGGCAGCACGAAGTCTTGTGCCACAAACACTTTCTTGAACAAAGCGAGGACTGTTGTCCAAGAGATTTCGCAGCGACCTAGAGCTTGTGCCCTGAGTTCGATCCCCTGGAGCAACAGTCAGCGTTGCGAGTTCAACAATGCCAGCATTCTACATGCCCCTCACAATGCTGCGATGCATTCAATCTCAACCTAGCTGCTGTTAGCCTAAACAGGAGGTCAATAGACAGGGTTCCTTCACATCTGTCTTGAATGGGAGCTCCTTGACGCAGACACAGGTCCGTGCTGGCTTCGGATCCGGGATGATCTTGAGAACTGCTTTTGGGTCAGCAGGAATGCAACAGCGTGGCTGGGGAACTACGCACAGGCCTCGTTCATGGCCGCATAATCTTCCATATTTGTCAAGTAGATGTTCATCTGGGCCTGGTCAGTGCTTTTGCTTTTTCTTGAGCAACACTCTGGGCGCGGACATACCTTGAGGATCTGTTCCAAGCTGCTACCGGCCTCCTCCAGGACGACTTTGATGTTTTCGAGGGCTTGTTTCTGCAGGTAATGGACGTCAGCCACTGGCCAGCAGGTGCCTGTCCCATCCCATGGGTGTCCTGACCGTCCTGTCTGCAACGGACCCTTCCACCACCTTCATTGTGGAGGGGACGATGCCAATATTCCCACTGACATAGACGGTTCCATTGTGGATGGTGGCCTGAGAGAAGAGGTTGGACTTGAGGCCCTTGTCCGACGTTACGACCTGTTTAGGAGCCATTTTTCTAGAGTTGTCGAGGGAGAAAGTGGAGAGAGTGAGAGCACGCCGAGAAGAGTAGAAATTCGTTTGCAATGAAATAGAGAAAGAAGAAGTGTAGGCGGTAGTGATAATCAATACTGTAATCAATTGCTCCCTGCGCCCTGCGCGTATACATAATACATTATTACAAACGGAGAAACGCGGCCCCCGCCAAAACGGACAATTCCTGCGCCCACCAGTCTTGACTACTGCCAGTTCTCTCCCTCCTCGTCCCTCGTCCCTCATCACTCTCGCTCTCGCTTCTTCGCGTACGGTCGACGACACCATCTCATCTACTCTATCCATCCCTATGTCTGTACGCTCACGGTTCCATCCACGAGGCCAAGCGCCAGAATTCTTCACCGTCGCCCCCGTCCCCCCCGCCCCCCCCGTCGCCGCGTGACGGGGACGAACCCATACTCTTCCAAGTCTTCGCGCGCCCTCCGTCCAAGTTCGGCATCACGAAGCTCCCTCTCCCTCTGTCGGTCTCGTTTGTACTGCTCTTCCTCTCGTTGTCTCCGCTTTTCAGCATACGACTCGGCCTCCGCTCGCAGGCTGGTGAGTCTATCGCTGGTGATGGGCATTTGCATCGTGTTCTGATAGTCCTCCATGTGCTGGGCCAGTCGGTCTGGTATGCTAATGGACTGTTCATGGAGCGTGAGCCATCTCCTTCTATACTCGTCTGTCCGGCGTTCCTCGATCGCCCGTCGGTCTTCAAGCTCCTGCTGGTCTCGAACATACACGCCGTCCAATATCTCGTTGATCTCGCCGAGGCTCCAAGAGCCCTCCCGAATTCTCTCTCCTTCAGGTCTGGTTTCTCGATACCCCAGATACCTGATCTCGCCGTCTACCAAAGGAATTGCTGGTCTTCGTATCCCCGGTGCCCAGGGATCCATGTCCACCCTCCAGTGCGACGTATGGGTGAAGCCATCGGGAGTCTCCCACCTCTCGTAATCGCTGACAGGTACCCAGTGAGTTCTTTTGCAAGGGCCCCAGCCTCTTGTTATTGGGATCCTTCTTACTTCCCGGAAAGACATGTCTGGGGAGGAATGCGGTGGTATTTACTGCACAATCGATAGCGGTGTCTTGAAGGAGCCGTTTGTTCTGTTCTGATGACTTATGCAGACAATGGTAAGCTTCACAGAAGAAATGCTAAATCGTCGCAGGTGGATGTCGTTTTGATTTTTGCACCAAGAACCGTCGTCAAAAAGGCGTCAGGGTTACACCGGCGAGGGAGTACAGAAATGACACAGGGCATCCAATCGAATGTCCCAGTTCTAGTTTCGCACGTCTGTTGAACTTGTTCGCACCAAGATGGGCAAATTGATACGGATGTCCTTGGACTTGGACCCAGCAGATGTAGCTCTTCAAGTGGAACCACTGCTTTGCCCCAGAGGTTGGAGTACAACACTTGCTCAAGATTCCATTGGGCTCGATTCGCTTTCTTACAGTTCAAAGCGAGGATTCCACAATTACTCGCGCCTCGCTACACCTGGGTCACTCTGCACCGCCAGGATCTCTCGTTTCATCAAAGCCCTTAGCCACGATACAATCCGGTCCCGCAGAGATAGTTCGCCCTCGCACTCGCGCTGTGCCATCTGTCCTCCAAACCGAATGAGGCTCTCCGGGCCCGATATCACCACGGAATTCAACGCCCAGCTCGCAGCACGAGTACGCCTGTAGCCACACATCTCGTCGCCCCCCTCAAGCTTTTGCCAATCCTGCTTCATGATTCGACAGTCGTGTCTGTGGGGCTGGTCGAGCCAACAGACCGTCTTTGAGTTAGCCCAGTCGAAAGGGGAAGCCAATTCTAAGGCTTGTGTCGGCGCTTCGGACGCATTTGGTGAGATTGGTGCGAAGAGGGTATCTTGCCTGGGGGCTTGCTTACATCGCCACCAGTCCTCACCAATGCGCTCAACGATGATTTGGTCTAAGTCAACCTCAGAAGTTCTGTGCCACGATTGTGCAACGGGCAGGCGAGCGGTGAGGCCTTCTGGACTGGTCATCATGGCTTGTCCGTCAAGTTGGTTCGCGAATACTCCATAGGCCCCGGCTGCTGAGGCTGGCGGGGTGTAGAACTCCGTGTTCCCGGACTCGGGAGTGTCATCGTCGATCGAGAGAAGAAAACTTCCGGGCAGAAGGCTGGAAATTGTGGCCGGAGGGCTTGGGTTTTGAGAACGAGAAATTGCTCCTCTCCAAAATTGGGGTGTTTCTCCTGCTTCTTTCTCGAACCATGGTCGCTAGGCGGCTGGAATGTCAGAACTCGCCTGCGCAACGGTGCCAGCAGTAGTGTCGGATGTCGTTTCAGATGGGCCGACCGCACAGCAGCCTGCCCCGCCTTTCTTCCTGACCCACGGTTCGGACATTTTTGCTCTTTTCCCAATCACGGCCTGCTTGCAAGATTTCCAAAATTATGGACCCTGCATGCGGAGGGAGTTGATCAATATCTAACAGGTCCAGATTTCCAGAGGGAGCAACATGGGATATGAATAGTCATAACAAGGAATATCGAAAAGGAACACGGAAAGAAGAAAGCTGTTTGGCCACAAGGGACCACTTCTCACTGCCCTGGCTTCCGATATCGAGGCATGGACAGAGGACAATGGGTACCTTTGTGGTTCGCGAAGCAGCAAACCTAGAAACGAGTGGGGTAAGAATACCATAAAGGAGAGATTGATATTGAGGCGTTTGAACTGAGCAGGCCTAGTATGGTGTCTACATTCGCTTGTTTGTTACTGCCATGTGCTTGCTGTCGAACATTGATGATCAGGTGCTGGTGGTCATGTTGATACTGAAGTTCACAGCTCACATTTCACATTTCGCATTTGGCATTTCACATTCGCAGATGCAGTATTCATTAGTGCGACTTGTCTTGATCCAACCCTGAATTTCCAATATTTCCATTCACAAATTCATTGACAATGCTCGTTTTTATTTAGTCCAGCAAGGTACAGACATGGATATGTAGAGATGCACCGCGCTCCTGACGTTCTGACACATGGTAAAAGTACATGTGCTTGTACTTGTGCGTTGTGCTTTGTATCGGGATATCATTGCTTTCCAGTTGTTATGCCGATATAAACAGCCATTCAGAGCCTCTCCACTGTAGTTGCGGTTTGAAATAGGCGCAGACCGTCGACGTGAGTTCTTTCTTTGTCGATGCTGTCGCCTTCCCGATGCAAGCCTCTATGCAGAGATACTCACTGCGACCTGCCATGTCCTATTTCCATCCAAGCCCAAGTATGTCCGTGTGGCCGCCGCGCCTAAGAATGGATGCTCAATTAGTGACCTCAGATGCACAGCCGGTGTAGCCCTGATATGAAACAATGCTGGAGGTATGCGTTCCAAGCTACCTTGTTACCGAGCAGATGGGTCAAGACTTCCTGGTTCTCGCGCTCCGATTGGGAGTTACGGTCTCTTCGCACAGGAAATCGAATACTCAGGCTGCGGCGGCGCTCGGGCCGTCAGTGTTGACAACCGTGTGCAGGAATGTATTGTATTAAACCCCGCAGCGAAACGGACCTAGTACTAGAGAATAGAGAATATTTCCTTCGGCATTAGTCCATTCACTCATAGAGCGACATAGTTTGCACAAAGAGACGGCGTCCTGTGAGGCCCGTTGAAGACTCGTACGTCGACTCGACACGTGCTCTGCATGGGATCGCGAATCGCTGCGTTGACACTGCCAGGGCCCTCGATGACGAAGCGGGCCTGCAGAGTCGTCGATCTCGTCGTCGTCCAGGAGTGTCCACGGCATACAGGTCTGCAGGATCCTTCTGAAGTTGCGATTCCTTCTGCTTTTCCGGGCTTGGAGCCAGCAAAGCGTGCCGTACGATCTTGTAGCAGCCTGCTACCAGCGAAATATTGAGAAGAGGTCAAAGGGATGGCAGTCGGTTTCTTAGCCGTCCGGCACAGGCGCAAATTTTGATTTCTTCCGAAGGATGGAGCTATATTTCATGAAGATGAAGGGCACCGGCAGCATTATAGAAGCCACTGCCCCGAGGATGGATGTTGCAGGGCCAACTCCAATCGAATGATACAAGGGTCGTGCGGCCAGAGGAAGACCTGCGGCGAGGACACTGCGCAGAAAGGTGTTCGCAGCCGTGGCACTGGCGGCATAGAGACCGTACACGTCGACCAGGTAGTTGATGCCTAGTGTAATGCGTCAGCATTTCTCGATAAGGAGTCTGGGTGGCATGCATACATTGCTGGAAGATGACGTTAAACCCACCACCAATAAACATGGCAGCAACAACAGGAAGCGGCCAGGGATGATTTGGAGCAGCAGTCCATGCGAACCAGAACAGACCGACTACCATCATCACTGCACCAATCGCCAGAGGCGGCAGTCTTGCCTCCGGAACAGGCCGTCCATTGGAAGCCCGGCACTTGCGAATGTACCTAGGCTGATTCCCAAGGTTGACACCGGTGGCGCAGACGATGCCAACGAACATACCAAGGAAGGGCAGGGAGCCGACCACGGGCGACCACTTGCGCTGCTCTTCGAAGATGATGGGGAAGACTTGGAGTGTCATGTAGAGAATCGCATAGACAAAGGACGCGTAGAATGCGATGCAGGTGACCATCGGTTCGGTGAAGAGCATCATCAGCGGTCGCGACAGCTGCTTGGTGACGATGGACTTGACGTCGACCTCGATCCTTTCGTGAGGGTGGTAGTACGCCTTGTTGCCGGGCTGTCGTCGGAGGCGCTGGGCCTTCCACTCCAAAAGCACCGGCGGGTACATCTCCGGCATGCAAAAGTACGTCAGTGCCACAATGGCAAAATTGAGCATGGCCGTGGTATATTCAGTCCATCGCCAGCCCATATGAGGATTGACGAGGATGGCGGCGCCGATAGTCGGGCCCAGAGTCGGGCCTCCGACGACGCACATGCCATACATGCAAACGGCGGTACCACGAGCTTCTCGAGACCAAATATCGCCCAACGCAGCATTGACATTGCTAACGGCGGCTGAACCAAAGAAGCCGCTGAAAAATCGGTTGATAAAGATCGACTGGGCGTTCTGGCTCACGGCGCTACCGATTGAGAAACAGGCTAAGCATGCCATCGCCGGCAACATGGACCATCGCCGCCCCCAGACTTCACTGGAAGGACCTACAGCATTGCAAGGTCAGTGTCGGTGGCTCAGGAGCGAGCATCTCAAGGGAGGACCTGGAACCAAGGCGAGAGGACTTACCCCAGATCAAGGGCCCGAAAGCGAAGCCGACACTATACACATCCGATCAGACATAGGACTATTAGTCAGAAAACCTGGCCGGTACGAGACTCACATGTAGAGGGAGACATTGAGAACCACAAGCTCCTCGCCCACGCCGATGTATTCAGCTATTGTTCGATTCGCCGGTGCTATGATACTAGAAGCCAGGCTCGCAGAAAATGCCAGTAAACTCAGCTGTAAGGTGACCCAGGATTTGAACACGGTCGACCAGTTTTGAGGATTTTCCGGATCACCTCCTCCATCCCAGTCGACCAGCACTTCGGTTTTGTCGTCCTCGAGGACGACTTTCTTCTCATGCGGCGGCTGCTCTTCCGCACGCACGGCTATAGTCCCTGCTTCGACATCTTGCGATGCCGAAGGAGCCCACGCCATCTTGGTGATTTGCAAAGCCCAGAAAGCAGGGACATGGTGCAGTCGAGAACTCGGACTTTCATCTAGAGTTTTTGTACAGTGAGGGACGTTAGAGTTCGTACAACCACCGACACTGGGGAGACTGATCCCCAAAGAGGATCGTCGGAGATTCGCCGACTTCGACTTTAAGATGCCGATCAACCGTGTGGATATCACCTCGGCGTTGTAATCGCCTCCATGACGCGTAAGGTTGTGACAAGAAAGGATTCTCAAAAACTCCACCCAGGACAGCGATATCGGGGGGAATTGGATTAGTGTCCCTTCGTACAAACAGGCGGTAGGGCTGCATCGAAAACTTCTCCATGGGACATCCAGCTTTGTTGTTTTGATTCTTGCCGACGTGTGAAGGACCAGAGCATCATGAGAGATGCTCTATTTTGCGCCTATAATGAGTCGTTATGCGGTAGGCCTATGACCTGAAGTCGAAGGAGAGGGACAATTAGGGGGTGTCCGATGGATTCTTTGAACATGGCTTGACAGCTGCCGGGCTTGAGGCGCCAGAAATCACCGCGTGGATGCAGTCAACGTGTTGAGAGAGAGAAGGACAGGTAGTCTCCTGTAATTCGGTTAAGTACCGACGGCCATACAACTGGGATGATGGTAGTGCCCAATCATTCAGATTCGTGTCAGGTGAGGAGTCGCTCTGGCCACCGGGCCCGCCTTATGTTCATGCGCCGTGTAGCGCTACTTGATGGTCATTGTCCCTGTGGTATGCGTCTTCAGAGGTCGAGGCTTGAAAGGTAGGTGCATGGTGTGAGGGCGACGGACTGTCGGATTAGTTGTGAGACCTGAGAAGGATGTGCTCGATGTCAATCAAGGAGGACGCAGGGACCGAGTTCGCTGCGACAAATATCCTCTCTTCCATGGCTTTGTGGCCAGCGTGATCCAGGACGCAACCTTAGCTGCACTCAAGTGACCACGACCTCAGCTGCCTTTGCGTCCTGCGGTGGGCCTTGTTTTCATGCACAATTCTCGTGTCTTCCTGGCCGTGCGTTGCAAAAGGGGTCGAGGTGGTTGAAGTTTCCATTGCCTAGGCGAAGATGGCAGACCACTCGCGAAGTCGTCACGCTGCCTTGAGACAACTTAGCAGGGGGGTAGAGGTGGGACGGAGGGTACCTGCAAACACTTCGCTCGGTGGTGGTGGTGGTGGTTGAACAATTGGCCATGGTCACAGAGACGGCGACAAGGTTGGCAAGAGTCAGACATTGGTGTCTCGGGTTGAAGTTATATCTCGTTGGTCTCTGACACCCGGCCACACAGCGGTCATCAATATGAGAGATCCTTATAGGATAGACGAGAATACACATGTACATCGCATGTAGTATGTACAGTAAGTAGCACAGAGTTGTCATCACGTCAGCAAACTTCGACCTATGGAATTCCTCCTACTATATATGTGCGTCCACTGCAGGCATTTCTACACCAATTCCTTCAGATTTCAAACTTATATTCATATATTCAAGAGATAATCAAGATCTCGTACGCGCTCCGTTTCACTATTGCGACCTAGTCCACCCGCCTCAGGTCTCGACCGCCACGCTCCTCAAACTCACCTCCTCGCCATTGTCGCCTTTCAGTCTGTAGTTGGTAGCGGTCTTCCAGTCCCGCCACTGGCCCGCATTGACCGGCTCGTACAACTTGACCTCGCCCTCGGACAGCACGATGGGGTCGATGACAGTCTCAGGGTCCGGGTGCACGAAGAAGGGGATGCTGTAGCGGGATGGCAACACGTCGCCGTTGAACCGGTCCAGCGAGGGACTGACCACCCGATGCCGCGTGGACTTGACGCGCCCGTTGGTGTACCGCTGCAGCAGGTCGGCGATGTTGATCAGCACGGCGCCCTGGATAGGCGGCGCCGGTATGAACTTGTTCTCGTGCGACGGGTCCACCTCCAGCCCGCCCACGCCGTCCTGGAAGAGCAGCGTGCACAGCCCGAAGTCCGTGTGGGCGTTGATTCGTGCGTGTCCCTGCTGCTCGATCACGCGGCGCTCGATGGGCGGGTAGTGGAGCAGCCGCATCTGCGGGTCGGCTTTCTTCGTGATGGCGTCGAAGAAGTCGTCTCCGAGGTCCATGACCATGGCGAGACACTTGAGCACGTTCATGGCGAGGGAGAAACATTGCTGGTAGAAGTCATCGAGTGTAGACTTGAAGCCCGGCAGGTCGCTTTCTGATGGGCACAGATCGTTGGTAAAGCGACGGTGCTCGTAGCATTCCTTGTGGTCGTTGACGCCCTCCGCTCCATCGGCAGTGTATCCCTGGTTCACGTGTGCCGAGGAGAGTTTGTAGGCGAGCTTGGTGCTCAGGGGAAGGGAGAAGAACTTTTCAGCCTGTGTAGAGACAGAGTCAAAACTCGATTCATATCCTGAGGGCTGATGTCAACTGCAAATCTGAGGTGCTGCCATTCTCCAGCCGGATGGTCGAGTCGCAGACGTAGTAAGGCTGTCGCCAAAAAGGGGTGTGATGGGTTACCCAGGGTGTGAGCTGTGTTGTTCGTGATGCCTACCAGAGCAAATATCTCATCCACTCTCGTCTGGGGAATACCATGTTCCTTCAAATATATAAATCCAACTTCCGAGAAAGCGTCGTAGACCCGTCGGGCGACTTCCTTCTGACCCGCACGGTCGCCAGTGAGGAATTTCTCGAACGAGACGACGGGGATCGGATTCGATTCTGCCATCATGTGCTCCAGACGGGTCGCAAGCGGCGCTGCCTGGATTTACTTTGGTGGGATAGGGAGACAATAGATATCAGAAGTCCTGCAAATTCAGATAATGGGATTAATCGATCATCCTTGGAAAGGAGTCTTGATATCAGATACCCTGATGGGGCAGCTCAGTCCCCCCGCACGAGATACAAATTAGACGGCAGGGCGGGATGCTATACTGATCTCCAACACCGGAGGTATAGCCATATGCAGGGCATCTTGATAAGAGCCCCTTTAAAGGGAACAGGGACATGGTTTCTACGCTCTTCTCCGTCCGTCTCCTATCATTGCCCTGATGCAGGTTCGCGGTTTTGTGGTGCATGGCTAGTGAGGCACTTGATCGGCATGCACGCGTGCCAGCACACCATCGAATGCTCCTCATGCAATCCACGGCCAGGCCATGTCCTTCCCGTCGACTCACTTCGCCTTCGTTATCACCACTTCCCGGCTCTCCACATTGCTGGTTACGGTCTTCAGCAACTCAGTCCCGACTTCCACTTCCCCGTCAGTGACGGCCTTGAGATCAGGTACGTCCGAATGCTTGACGCCGTCAAACACCTTGTCCACTTCTTCGAGCGTAAGGCCCCTTGTCTCGACCCAATACCAGATTACACCGACCAGCATCACAATATCCGCACTCGCATTGATGATGTATGTCTTCCATCCGATGGCGTCCAGGGCAAAAGGAAATGCCATCGTCACAAGCAGGCCCGAGAGCTTCGTGGTCAGCGTGTACAGACCCATACCAACTGACCTCAGCGAGTATGACAGTACTTCGGGCGGGTAGAGCACCGTAAGCGGAGTAATCCCGTACGCGTATGCCGCATTGTAGAGGAATATCATCGCTATGGTGCCATAGATCCCTGACTTGTCCGTCGAGTTGCCATATGCCGCGGTGAGTCCGGCGAGAATATAGAACGTCACAATCTGGCCTGCGAGACTGATCGCGCAGAGCGTCTTTCGGCCCATGGAGTCGGCGAACCAGGCTCCCACTAGAGAGACGGCCAACGTCCACGAGGTCAAGATGATGTTGATTTCCAGCTGAGTGGTCGGATCATTGATTCCAGCTTGTGACTGTTATGTAATAGTTAGCATTTATTGGTTATTCTGGCTTCAAGGCTGAACATACCAGCATGTCACCAAAGTAGAAGGTGATGATATTGGTTCCTGGAAGCATGACGATGATGGAAAATGTAGAGGTGATGATCATACGCTTCCGATTTGCTTTGGTCTTGAACGCTTGTCTCCAGGACAGCTGTTGACTCTTCTCCCAGGCAATCGTGTCGGTTATCTCGCGGTACTGCACCAGCACGACCGGATCATCCTTGTCACCATTGGCATTTAACGCTGCCAGTACCTCCAAGGCCTCATCGTGCCGGTCACGGTCAACGAGAAATCGAGGTGACTCTGGAAGAAACAGTAGGACAATCATACAAAGGACGCTAGGGATGATCTGGACCAAGCTCGGGGTTCTCCAAGCCCAGGTCGATGAGTAGTGTTGTGTCTGTATAATGTGTCATAGTTGAGCAGTGGCTTGGTAACAACCGCCAAACGACTTACCGAATAGCAAACCCCTGAAGCGACAAGAGTCCCAACACCCCAGCAAGCATAGTACAGCCCCAATGCCACCGCACGGTGCTTAGGGGGAGCAGTCTCTGCCACGTAGGTGGGACACGCTGTCTGCCCAATGCCCAAGCCACATCCTATGTCAAGTCAGACATTGCGCTGTTCTCAAGTTTCCTGATCTCGCTCAAAACTCACCAACAATGAACCGACCTGCAATGAACATGCCGATGTTCTGGGACGCAGCTTGAATGACTGCGCCAATGAGAGTGATCACTGAGGAAAGCATGATGCTTTTCCATCTACCAATCCACGCCACGACGAATCCAGCCACGAGGGCAGAACAGGAACCCCCCACATAGGAGATTGCGGTGTTCAGCGACTTGGTGGCCGTCGTCAGAGTGAAATAGTTCTGATATGATGGCATCACGTTGAGACTGCCCATGATCGAGCTATCATAGCCCAAGAGCACGGAGTCGACAACTGAGACCGAGATAACAGCGACAAGGAGCGCCATCTGTGAGGTCGGGGCCAGGCGAGACAGAGGTCCCTTCCCACGGGCCCATTGCCCCATGATTCTCGTTTGATATTAGGGTGTCGACCGAAAGACGGTTTTGGGGTGATCAAGTCGTGCTCTGTCGCGTGCTAGAGCTTTCACGGAAAGTGCATTGGCGATTCGAAGGGTGAGATAAGTTGTCTGTGACGACCTCGCAGAAGGGATTTTATATTGCGAACGGGATTCAAGATCACAATCTCTCTGCCATAGCCGGTATCAAGAAGCCACCTACCGAACACCTTATCAAGAAGCCACCTCCCAACGTCTTGTTCCCAATGACAAGGCCGAATCTGATCTCCGCATTGGCATATAAGGGGTCATGATTCCGGCCGTGGCCTTAGGTAGTATTCTTCGGGCATGCAGATAAAGAAGATCCCCTGCTAGAACCAACGCCAGGATTGGACAGAGAGAACGTCGTGCATGTCTAGCTTCAAGCCGAGCAATCAGCCCGGATGATCGTCCATTTGAGGATTGCGGCTGGAGACCTGCAGCGTCACAAGACACGGCAAGTGGCCGAATTGTACGCAGCGCTCGAGTCTAGGCTCGGTTACTGGGTTATCAAGCTGATAGATATCTCATACGAGTGTTTTGGACCTGAAAGAAAACAATAACGAAGTGCAGCTATTTGTTTGTTGGTGGTCGGGTCGGAGTAACAATCTGCCGAAGCAACAGGATGCCAGCTGGTGGCCAGGAACGAGGCAGGTACGAGGAACTATTCATAGACAAAGCAAATGGCCTCTGTTTGTGGTACAACGTAAACTGCTATATAGCGACGTTTTTATGCCGGAAGCTAGTACAAGCACACTCATTTAAGTAGATGTTGAGATCCACCACAGCCTCAGACAAGTAGCAGATCGAGCCACCACAGTGTACACTGACAGTTATACCGACGATGCAGACATATTAGCATTCGACGCCCCATTCCCACCTAAAATATTCTTCAGAAGTATAGTCCCAGCTCTTTCAAGCGTGCTTTCCGACTACCGGGCAGACCGCGCCCTTCGGGGCAGTCTCAAGGCTGGGGTGCTCGTGCACATTGCTCTTGTGATGCTCAAACTTGGCGTTGGTGACGGGACACACATCGCCGTCTTTTGCATCCTTCGTCGATGGATGGTGTGGAGGCAAGACACTGGAGACAGTGCCCACAACAGGGCAGATGGCCTCGTCCATGGCCTGCTGCTCCGGACGGCTGACGATCTTGGTGAGCGCAGGGCAGTTATCGGCGTTGGCAAGGTTTTGGCTGGACGAGTCGAAGATACCGGGATGCTTGTGGAGGTTGTGGTGATGGTCCGTGGTGGCTTTGGTGACGGGACACACCTGACCAGGCTTGTCCATGTCGAACTCGGGGTGTTGTGGTGGTAGGACGGTGTTGGTTGTGCCAACCACAGGGCAAACTTGGGCAGCGGCCATGGCGAAGGGATGACTCTGTAGCGACTACAGGGTTAACTTTCAAGAGAAGGGCTAACAGTGAAGATGATAGGGGGTGCTTGGTATGCCAGAAATAAGAGAAGATGAGAGATTCTCAAGGCTGGAATCCTGGGTAGATGTTAGGCTTGTTTGTAAGGCGAAAGGCACCTGACAAAGAGGCAGATAGTTATCCAATGACGTAGTGCCCAGTTCCTTCCAACCCACCCCCGCATCCTGAAGGGGTATGCGTCACAGCCAATCACAGGTGGGCAGTTGTTAATCCTTCGGTTAGCATCGGAAAAACCAGTGTCCCCGTGCCCGGCGAGTCTTGACACCCTGACGGACAATGTGTAATTGTATTAATTTGTGTATCCTGCACTCCGTATCACAGAAGACATAGGAGAGGCTGTACGGCTGAGAATGCAGTTGGAGCTGGAGACAACCACGTGTGCCCGTAATGTGTTGTGAGACCACATATCAAGGACGCCCGTTGTCCTTGTCTTCCCTCCGTCATGCCCTCTTCTGCGCCATCTCGATGGCCTTGACGGCTAACGCCGTCGCCACACCTCGACTTCCAATCTTCAGACTGATCTTCCCAGTCTGGCAGAGCCAGCCAATCGGCCACCCGCCATCTTCTTCCTGCAGCAATTCCAGTTTCCTCAGGTCGATATCATTCTTGAGACCCATATCAAGACTTGCAATAACTCGCATGGCCAACTCTACTGCGTCTCCCGGTGAGCCGATTCGTTCTTGCAATCGTTCACGCAGAAGAGCGCTAGTACTGCGGTAAATATCGCTCTGGGGATTCGCGCTGAGGAGGCGGCTGAAAAGGTACAAGAAGACATCTCCGCTGGGATAGTAATACGTTCCATCAAGGTATGCTCGATAGAACAGGACGTCCGAAACCCAAGCCTTGGTAGGCTGCAGTGCGGGCACATCGTCTCGGCCATACTTGTAGAAGAAGCGAAGAGCATTGACACACACGGCGGGATCAATACGGGGCCGTTTGTTGTCGAAATACGTCTGTAAAGAGTCGGTCTCCATCTCAACAGGAAGGATCGCACAAGGAGAATACTCACCAGGATGATGCCATCTCTGTTAGTGTACAACAACACTTCATCAAGGATTGAGTGAGCCTTTTCGAGGTCGTGAGGCAGGAGGATCATGGCCAACGAAGTCGTATCGATGTCGTCAGGGTGTTTTTCCACCGTATCGATGGGTTTCTCTTTCGCCTTGCTCAGTTTCTTTCAGAGCAAATACGTTCACAGAATAGCTCACCAATGTAATAGTTCCACGTCCGTTCATAGAAGGTCAACGAGACAAGATTTCTTGTCGTCCGACTGTTAGCAAGCAATAAACTAATTTCCCGAGTTCGATGCGTCAAGACTCACAAATCACCGGCGGCTTCGTACAAGAAGAGCTGGGCAAAATTGTCTCTCACTTCTCGTCCCTCGGGAGTTTCGCACCACATATTCTTCGCGTTCCTTTGCAACCACTGCCGTCCTCGATCGACGCCGTCGTCGAAAACGTGGTGGAAGAATCGCCTCACCCCGGCGGCATCCTTGTATCTGAGGCATCTGATGCCCAGCGATCGAGCTGCGAGGATATTTTCAGCGTTGTCATCCACAAAGATGACATCCTTCGGCTTCTTATTGATGCTGCTTAGAACATGGCGGAAGAATCCAAGCTCGGGTTTACACATGCCCACTTGAGCAGAGATGAAAAAGCCATCGAACAGAGTCCAATCGTATCGCGTGTCCCCTTCCAAGGCCTTCCACTCAGGCAGGGGGATGTTTGACATAAGATAGATTTTCAACGAGCCGCGGTAAGTCTCTTTCAAGTCTCGAATCATGCCAAAGACCTCTTGGTCAGGGCTGAGCGATTGGGCGGCTTGCTTGAACGCCTCTGCCACATCAGACAGCAAAAGCCCATATTGGGTAGCAAGACGATTGTAGCATTCTTCTTGTGTAATAACACCTGAGTCGTATTCATGCCAAAACCGAGTCTTGAGGAGCCGGTGGAGCATTGCGGGCGAGATTGGTAGTGCTTCTGGTGCTGTCCAGTTGCACAAAACATCACCCAGGTCGATGATAAGCGCCGACACATTTGGCGCCCGGCTTTCGGGTACGACCTCGTTGGCAGCCGCTGCACCATCTTCGTTCCGGATGTCATCGATGACAGGCGCGGTGGCGGCGTTCTCATCCAAATAGCAGGCAGAGTCTTGCCTTGTTGGCGGGAACTTAGCCAAAGGATTAAGATCAGCCGTTTCCGAGATTGGTGACTCAACGACCGGAGGCGGCTCTGAATCCAGAGGGCTAAGGCCATTTTCTTCCGTGCTGCTCTGACCAGAAGAAATATCCGTCACCGCCACTTGAGCATGGGCCTTCGAATCTCGGGAACTTAAATCGAGACCGTGTTCCCCGTCATCCTGAAGTGGGTCAGAGAACGTATTACCCGCGAGATTGGTGTCAATCGGGAGGAAACTGTTGGGTTCTGTCAATATGGGCTCTGTAGTGGCCATGATGAGCTTGCGGTAAAGGAATATTGTGAGACAAAGAGAAAGTAGAACATGGATCTCGAAGAGGAGTATGTCTGCTTTTCAGCTGCGGAGACATTGGAACGACTGCCTCCCACAGTATCGACGTGCAGTGAACAGGAAACCTCGGCCACAGCTAGCATCTGCGATAGTCGCGCTGGGCGGACCATTCTTGTTCATTCTCTCACCCGAACCGTGAGACTGGTACCCATGTCACATCCTGATAACAGCCGATCTCCACCAGAGAAATCCAGCTGCATGGGGACAGGCCGCTAGATTTCCAGACGTAAGAGTCGATAGACGCCGATGCACGGTCTCGACGTAGTCTGGGTGTGTTGGCTCACGGTCATAGGATTGGATCCAAAGTTAGAAGTTAAAAAAGAGACCTTGATCCATGTAAGAATGAAGCCGCGTCCAGCGGAAGAAGCAAGACGGTAGAGACGAGACCGTTTGATGCAAGAGAATCCTGCGGTATCACCGAATCAACCTGATAGAATGGCAGTCGTCCGCTCCCGCAATGCAGGTCAGTGGGATCTCGCGTCATTAATGATTTTGAAGAAAGGTGGATGATAGGATAATTTATTGAACACCTGCATGTAGACAGCCAACGGATTGGTCCAGTCGGAGGAAAAGCAGATGCCGATGCATTCTCTTCCAGACACTTCGACAACACAAAACTTCAGAACAGGTGCCTCGCATGTTGATCGTCGGGATGCGGGGATATTTGCATGCATGAAGGGAGTCTGCGATGATGAGGTGGCAGGAGGATGGAAACATGTGCTGGCCCTTGACTGGATCATGCCCACCTCATCTGCATCGCTCACTAACCGTTTCCGAACCTTTGAGATTCTCTTATGCATTATTAGACAATCCTTCGCTACCCGAGTCCTGGTCTCCCGGTACATGTCGTGTCACCCAACTACTTCGCGTGGATATGGGCCTCCCTTGGTCTCCGGCGGTCCGAGTACGGGAAGACAGCGACTGAGGGACGTTTATTCTCCTCCTGGCAAAGTCGGCTGCGGAAAATTTAGGGCTGTACGGTCGAGCTAGACTCTCGGTCTTATCGAGCCCTCGACAGCCAGTCACCAGCCGAAGACGGGGAAAAAAAGAGTAGGGCAATGTGGTGTACCATCGTGGCCAAAAGCGAGAAACCCCAGCTCGAAATAACAAGAGAATGGAGAGATAAAAACAGTCTGGTCAATGGGATAATAATGGAAAAGCAGAGACACGGTTCACTGGTTGCAAAGTACCGGCGGAAAACCTGCCCTTCTCAGTGCCTCCTTTTGATAAAGTAACTAGTGGCTCGTCGCTCTACTTGCCTTCGTCTCACCTGCTCTTCAAGAACCTTCCTTAAAAGTCGGCACTAATGTATCAGCCCTGTATGAGAGCGAATATCAGATGCCTACCATCACACTACCGAGCCGACCTGTGCGTATCAGACTTCCGCTCCCAGCTGCAAAAGATCCGATTTCCATTTGTTTATATCGCCGGAACATCACGTTGTATGAATAACGTAGGTCATTTGAAGGTCTGCCCGCAACCTTTTGGTCGAGATCCAAGATTCTCTTTGCCACTAAGTCGTCTCTTCATTCTGACACATCTGCTTGCAAGTCATCAAGTACAAAAGCCGTAATCATTGTACACGTTTCGACAAGTGGCGGTGTGTAGCCGCCCGATTCCGCGCAGGACACGGTGTTCGCATTGCTACAACTAGCCTGCGGTAGCAAGGGTTCTCTTTCATTCCTCTCGTGCCGAAGCGACAGCCAACACTGCGCCATGGGCGGTGTCCTGACTTTTAATATGCATGAGGTCTGTCATCCCAGTGGCGTACCGAATCCACATCCCGCTCTCTGATGCTCTCAGTCGCCATTTTGGTGTCACCGATACCGGGCTCGAGGTTTGTATTTGCCAACTCTTCTTGACTGCTGGCAGCGTCGTTGATTTTTGATGTGATGTTCGTACGAGATTTCCTCGACTGGTAAGTTTCGAGGGCAATGTTCTGTGACTGGGCTCTGGCGGAAGTGCTGTTGGCATATCGTGCATAGCCGCGAGAAGGAGTCGATCCGTGACGAGTTTGATAGACCGCTCTGGCCTTACGGTAAAGGCCCGGCCCACAGCCAATCAAGACAGCTGAGAATCGATCAGAACAGGGAATCAAGGATGGAGGCAAGGGAATACTCTACCTATAGAGGACTCAACGATGCCCCATAACGCTAGCCAGGTAGTGCTGGGTTGGCTGTTGTTGACCGTGCTTCCAAGCTCCTTGACTCGAATTGTTGCTACCGCAATGCAAACAAATCCAAGGCAGAAGAGGGCACCAATGCTCATCTTCTGTGTCCGAGGCATCTTCAAGTTCCAGATGAGATCGAGAGGTAGGAGCATTACTGGAACACTGTTAGTGGTTGGCTGACGCTGCGAACTCGGATACTGACTCATGAGATCGGTGAGGATGTCAACTGCATAAGCGTACCAGAGGCTGATACTTGCAGCTTTGACATCGCGAGGGGTTGAGCAAGCCCCAGCTGTAAACCACGCCTTCATGCTCGAACAGGACAGCATTGAGGAGGTGATGGCACCCGCCAGAACCTGGCCTGATTAGCCAAATCTTAGAAGAAAACGCGGGGACAACGAACCACCAGGCAGAAGACGACCACAGCCCACCACAATCGGAGCTTTTTTGGCAAGGCCGTCATCAGCTTTTTGTAGACGGCCATCAAGGAGAACTTGACACTCCACAGGCAGAGCCACAGGCCCGAGGTGGTAACGAAGAATATCTTCTGGATAAAGAGCCCATCATCGGCCACCGTCGGGTACAATGGTATCTCCCCGTTAGCAAGCTTTGTGAGCCTAAACATGGTAGGCGCTGCAACGATGTACAGGATCGAAAGCGCCAAGAAGAAGATATAGGCCGCCAGAAGCCAGCCGTCGTCCCAACTGAACTTCCGTTGTTGCTCGACTGACACAAAGATGCGGAAGGCGGCGACGAAGGTGGTCAACACGATCATCGTGATGCCCGTCGCCCTCACAGAGATCTCGGTCACATAGTTGCCACCCATTTTGAGAGAGCGAAGGTGAGCAGAGTCGATGCTGCACAAGTGAGGACGAGGGATCTACTGGCTGCGACAGATGGGTCCGACACCTCTTGTACTCTGTCCTCTGTCCTCGGATTCCATCCTTTTGAGTTTCGCCAGGTATAGGTTGGACAAAGGGAGGCGAGGCTCAAAGAGACTAATAGGGGCCAGTCATGTCCAAGGCATGAGGGAATGGGCTCTGCACAGAGCAAGGCTCCCAGCCGATCAAGATTTTTTCCCGACGAAGCTCTGGCTTGTTGCCCGCCAGGTCCTGATCTACCGGTAGTATGCATGGCATTAAACCTTTCCCTCCTCGACTGGGTTTCCCTTTGGCGAGGGCAACCTCGGTGGGAAGCCTGGGCAAAGTTGGTGGCCAAACCCTTGCTGGAACATCTTGCACCCATCCCAGGGATGGAAGATGAAGCCTAGCTCTTCCTAGGCGTTCAGTTAGTCGGGCATAAGCACCAGCCTGCTACTGCACGATCTAAGTCCTCCCTAACAGGGTTACCTTGCACGGAAAGTTCCCAGGCAGGCTTGTTTACTCTGGGGAATGTGCTTATATGCCTACAGCGGAACATCAAGAATGGTACTTCCTGATGTTTTCTGTTGCTCTTGTGCCTCGTTGTTGTCACTCTAACAAGTGAGTCTGGGCTTTACAACAGAGCCGAATTTCCTTCTTCTGCTTACTTGTATAGATGAAGTCCCCAATCTTTTGCCTTTAGTCCAGAAGCCGGACGTTATTAGCATGCCAACGCTACCGCTGCTCGGATACACGGGCCGCGGGTTAGCTCTTCAAGCCACGCCAGTCTTGTAGCTAAGTCCGTTGTTTCGCCTTTGATATTTCACTACCGAAGACTTCTCTTGTTTGCCCTCCTTGTTCCTTGCATATACAGGACCTCGAACAGGCTATGAAGATGCCGCTGGTGGAGCTGCGGGCGTGCTGATCCTGTCAAGCCATGTTAAGCCCCAGCATTCCGCCACAATGGCGCTTTCCACCTTTGTTCGACCTTCGAGGGCGAGTACTGTTCCGCCCCCATGCAAACCGACCCTGGGTCCCTGTGTTTCTATGGTCTGGACCCTGGCTATTGACCTAGTCGAGCCATTTCGACATGTACCCCGTAATTTGCAGAGTGTCGGAAATTGTCCCTGTTTCTTCATCGACGAGTACAAGGGCTGCTGCAAGTGTCGACTAGCGCTCCGAGACACAGACCGAGAGAACGGCTCGAAGACTGACCGTCCCCTTCGGCAGGCTTCGCCACGGCGATCATGCACATGGAACACACGCAGTCTACCAGAATGCGATAGCGGCGGCCGACCTACCGAAGTCTATCATCCGCTGCACAGAATGTCGACGCTAGGCTGAACTGCGAGATTGACCCTGGGGAGGCCAAGCAAGCCCCAATTGCTTTACAAGACTTCGACACCCTTCCTCGAACGTTTGTCACTTCCCTGCTCCTGTCTCTGTTCTCCAATTTGGTCGGATCATCAGCTATCTTTCCCTGTTTGGCAATGCGTCTCTGGTCTGGCTGCCTCTGGGCAGCCCTTGCACTGGCTGTAAATGCACAGTCTAACTCTACCGATGCACCTCTCGCATTACCTGACAATGCACCGTTGAACTCTACCGATGGACTCGAGCCGGCAGATTTCAACGTCACACAAGCGTTGGTGGACATGGGAGTCGACGTGTCGGCACTTCCTATTGCCCAAGTTGTCGAACGCTCGTCTAGTGCTGCCTGTACGCTTGCTGTAAGTCGTTGAAGAGTCCAATGGCGGATGTAGGTGAGCTGACCTCGGTCGAACAGTGCGCCTCTCTGGAGCTCCTGTATGGTGCGCAAAGCGTCGAGTTCAGTAACAGTGCCGCATATACAGCCTTCACGTCGGGTTACTGGTCTCAGATACAAGAGAATGTGCAGCCTTACTGCATCTTCAAGGCACCCAACAAAGGCGCCGTGGCTGTGGTGATTCTTCTTTCTCGTCTGACGACCTGCCCGTTTGCGGTCAAGAGCGGTGGACACGCAGCATTCCAGGGTGCCTCCAATATCGAAGGTGGCATCACTGTCTCTCTTGCCGCACTCGACACCATCACCGTCTCCAGTGACAAGAAGACCGTGGCAGTCGGACCGGGCAATACCTGGAATGCCGTGTATACGGCCCTCGCCCCATACAACTTGGCAGTCCTCGGTGGACGCGTAGCACCGATTGGTGTGGGTGGTTTGACCACTGGAGGAGGCATATCCTTCTTTTCTTCTCTCTACGGCTGGGCCTGCGACAACGTTGCCTCGTACGACGTGATTCTCGCCTCCGGAGTCCAGGTCACCGCCTCACCGACCACCAACTCCGACCTCTACTGGAGTCTTCGCGGCGGTGGCAACAACTTTGGCATCGTGGTCAACTTCAACTATCTCGCCATCAGCCTGCCGGGCAGCGAGTTGTGGGGCGGCACTCGTATCTACACAGAAGATCAATTCGCCGGATTGGCGAACGCCTTCGCCGGTGTCGTGAGTGACTCCCCCAACGACGGCAACGCGGGCCAGTGGGTGGCCTGGCTGGAGAGCAACGGGACGAAGATCGCATCGGCCGAGCTCTACTACGGCCAGCCCAACGGTCGAAGTGCCGCCATCTGGGACAATTACAACGCCTTGACCGCCATCTCGGATTCGACGCAGAACCGACAGCTGGCAGCCTACACGGCGGAGCTGGCGAGCTCCAACCCCTATGGGCTCCGCGAGACGTACTACGGCTTGACGGTCAAGGCAGACGAGTCCCTCGCGGTGCTCGCCAAGGACATCTTCTACCAAGAACTCCCCGCGATGGCCAATGTGGCCGGGGCGAACCCGGTGCTCATCTACCAGGGGATCACGCTGCCGATGATCGAGAACATGCAGAAGAACGGAGGCAACCCGCTGGGGATCGCGGTGGCGGACGGACCCCTGTACCTGATCCACGTGGCGTGCTGGTGGGACAATGCGTCGGACGACGCGACGGTATATGCGTTCGTGACGAGCGTGCTGACGCAGATCAAGGCGGCCGCGACACAAATCGGCAAGCAGAACGCCTACGTGTACATGAACTACGGCGGCGTGTACGAGGACGTGATCCAGAGCTACGGCGCCGCCAACAAGGCGCGCCTCAAGCGTGTCGCCGCCAAATACGATCCCCAACAGGTCTTCCAGGTGCTGCAGCCGGGATACTTCAAGCTCGACCGCGCCCCTGTCGTCGACGCACGGTACTTTTCAGGATAGACAGAGGGAATTCATGCGCGCGAAGCCGGCGCTTTGTACGTATCTAGAATAGACTAGACTCTTGAAACGTCTTCCCGTGTGTTGGGGTGGGGATGTGAGAGAGAGAGTGGATCGAACAAATAGAAAAGTATATGTAGATAGACGGTAAATAATATGAAACGCACCTGGTACATACACACATCTCGCAAGGACTCCTCTATCAATCTACTTACCTACTGTAGGCTCGCACACAGAACCTGAGCAAAAGTCCATATCCTCCGGCGCCAGCTATGTAATGTCAAATGACAAGAAACTTCGTCTTCATCTCCTCTCTCTCTCTCTCTCTCTCTCTCTCTCTCTCTCTCTCTCTCTGCCACCGTTCCTCACGCAGCAGCAGCCTTCGGGACTCTAACCACTCGCTCGGGCACTTCCGTGATTTTAAAGCCCTCCGAGCTCTCAGCAGGCAAGCGGCCGCCACGAATGTTGACCTGCATGGCCTGGGCCAGCAGCTTGGGGGCCGCGAGGGAGCTGTCCCTTTCCGACCGCCAGGCGACAAAGTCCTCCATCCGCGTGCCCCTTTTGACATGCTTGTTCTCCCGGGCCTGGGTGTCCACGGTGGTGAAAGGCATGGCCTTGCTTCCTTCGACGTTCAGGCCAACGGGCACGTCGCGACTGTCGGGGGGATAGTCGTGGCCGGTGTAGAGCCTGAAATGGCCCGGCAGGGAGAGGAGGCGCTGCATGGACCGGAACAGGTCCGTGGCCGAGCCGCCGGGGAAGTCGCAGCGTGCGGAGCCCACGTCGGGATTGAAGAGGGAGTCGCCGGTGAAGACGTTCGATCCCACCACGTACCCGATGTGGTCGGGTGTGTGGCCGGGCAGATGCAAGACGCAGACCTGGAGGGAGCCGATAGCGAAGGTCTCGCCGTCGGCGAAGACGTGGTCGAATGCGTCGCCGAGGTCCGCGTCAGGGACGCCGTATATCTTGGACATGGTCTCCTGGACCTGGCGGATGCGGTGGCCAATGCAGACCTGCGGCAGCCGAGGGGCGGTGGTGCTTTGCCGCTGGCGCTCCTTGAGGATGTTCTGGAGGTAGCGCGACGCGGAGAGGTGGTCGGCGTGGGCGTGCGTCTCGAGGATTTTCGTGACGGTGTACCCACGGTCGGCCACCAGGGCGAGGATCTGGTCGGCCGAGTGCGTCGACACTTTGCCTGTCACGCGGTCGTAGTCGAGGACAGGGTCGATGATGACGGCGTCGTTGGTCTTGGTCTTTTGGCGCGTGTCCGCGACGACGTATTGCCATGAGCCTGTCACGGACTCGAAGAAGGCGTGAACCTCTGGCTCCTCCATTGTTGTTGCTGGCATCTTGAATATGCTTGGTCTCACGAGAGTCCTTGGAGTTGAGATTGATGATAACGGAAACCGTGAATGTCCATGTTCGAGTTCACCAGAATATCCAGGAACCATAATATGCATACATACATGAGGTATATAGTATGCCCCGAATCGGCCAAGGGGGATCTATAAACACCGAACGAACGATGACCATCGTCAAGCAACTGCCCATCTCCCCAAAAACTTGGGAGGCGAGACAACAATAGGGCCGAGTGAATGAGTGAGTGAGTGAGTGAGTGAGTGAGTGAGTGAGTGATTTCGGGCTCTAGGATAGGATCAAGTCCCCGTGGCGGCGGTGGCTGATATCCACACCAGTGTCGGGCTCCTGAGAACAGACGTTGTCGTTTGCCTGTTGTAGGCCGTTTTTTCGGGGACAAGACCCAAGCTCAGTTCTGTTGTGAAGCTATGGCTGGCTTCTTTCTTTCTGGGACCGTTCTCTTTCTGGTAGTAGTTCTCACCACCCTATCTCTCTTTCGAGATCAGTTCATCTTAGTCACTCCAACTGCCGCATCAGGTATTCTTTCGGGGATTACAGAAAGGGAGAGTGTGTGTGTATGTGTGTGGCTAGTCCAGAGGGTATATGTTGGGCGAACAACTAAGTGCACAGCTTCACGTATGCCATGACGAGTGATCATGAGCTGGATGAGAAACGATGCCCTCGAGGCATCTTCTCAGCCCATTGGGACATGACGAAGGAACAGGAAAGGCAAACACAGAACCAACGACAACGTTGGATTCATTCATAAGGTGATGCAGGCATCGAACGTTGGTTCGTCGGGTTGAATACTATCAAGCCCGAGCCTCTGCTGCTTCCCCCCTCCCAGAACTGAACTGATTTTTAGTCCATGTCCAAAGAGAGCGGAGGGGAGGGCATCAAAGGGAGGCGCATCTATAAAGTGTCGTGCATATGCCACCTCCAACCATTCATTCCATGGACATCATTGCCTAGGGTGGATATATCTGCCCGATTATCGGAGGTTGCGCTCGTGTTGTTCTTGTTCCTTTCTTGTCATTGGGACTCCTTTGACGGAGCGTCCCAGGGGGTGGCCACAGGCGCGTAGTCCTTGCCTTCAACGTTGCCATCTTCTCTCTGCTCCTCTTCTTGAGGCGTGCATTCCCTCCCTTCCATCGCAACCACCCTGCCAACCCTTTCCGCGAGTTCTTGTTCCTTTGACATGGGTCCGAGCCATCGCACGGCCCGAGGGGCTAGTAGGATTGACTCTGGTATGGGACGGTTGTCGTTGCAAATGTTTCGCTGCTGGTTAGTAGATTCTCTTTCCCCTTGGTCTGATTACCGAAACGGTGGATTCTAGGCCGACGTCTGTGTGCGAGTGTGGGTGTGGTCTTGTCGTCGTTGGACGTGGGATTGCCACGGGAGAAGGAAGGCTCTCCTCCCGCAACGAATGCACTCACCAACCCTCTCTCTCTTTCTCTCATCTACCTGCGTCTCTTCTCCACAACAACAGTCCTCCTCCGGTCGTCTCCACCACCACTGGTCTTCCCCTTCGTTGTCGGTGCCGCCGTGGCAGCCCTCTTCTCCGCCTCCTTGCGCATCCTCGCTCGACGCTCCCGCTCATCCTCGCTGGACTCTTCCGAACTGTCATTCGAGTCGCACTCCGAGGAACTGGAGCTCCATGCACCACAGCGCTTACCGCCGCAGTCGATTTTGACCCGTTGGCCGGAGCGTGTCACTCCATAGCGCTCACAGCGGCAGCTGTGGTCGCTGACACTTGACATGCTGGAGGGGGACGAGCGCGAGAAGGCAGTACCGGACGAGGAGCTGGAGTCTGACAACTCGGACGGCGATGCTGACGAATCGGCAATGTGGTAGCCAGCGAAGCGCTCCTCGAGATCGTCCACGGGTGACACCTCATAGTCGGCCTCACGCAGCTGGCGGGACGCGTACGGCTTGCTGGGCTTGGGATGCTGGATCTTCCCCGGGCTCAGGGCACGGCCGTGGGGGATCTCCCTGCTGTGGCGCGATGTCGACACCTCGGTGTTGACACTAGGTCTTGCTGGTTTGGCGCTGGCCTTGTCTCCTCCCGGCACGTCGATGATGTTGAGCTTGCGACCCGTGGTCTTCTCCGTCACGAATTCCTTGGCCGGGTCGTGGGAGACGTGGTATCCATCGACGATGTAGTAGTACCAGTAGCGAGAGCCCAACTTGAGTGCATTCGAGCCTTGGAAACGGAACGAGCCTTTCCAGGAACCTGGTTTGGCGGCAGGGTCCTTGACCAGCGACAGGGGCAGCTGGTTTTTGTAGTTGTCCCATGAGCCGAGCAAGTGCACAGTGCGGACATTGGGTGAGGTGCGGAGGGTGAAGGCGAGTTGGACTGTTGGCGACGACATGCTAGTATATTTTTTGGATAGATTTTCTTTCGAAAGTCAATGGGATGCTCAGGTATTATTCGCTGTCTGGTCCGGAGGTCAGCTCGAGGGAACGGGCAACGGGGCTGCAACACATGAGAAAGGGGAATGATACATTTACTCAAGAAGAAGGCGTGTCGTTGAGACTCTTGACTCGTTACAATGCGTCAGGGGTGTCGTTAGGCTGCTGTAGAGCTGTGGTGTGATGAACAAAGAATAGTCGTCCGAATTAAAAGCGCTAATGATGCTTTGTGGGATGGGAAAAATGCTGAACAGATATTATGGTCGATTATTGGCAGATCAAGAACACTGCGGTCCTCAGATCAACGTCCACGTATGCGTGTGTATGATGGTGATTGCCGTCCAGAAGGATGTTTGTCTGGACCGGGGCAGAGCTTCCTCGACAGATAGGTCAAGGTCGATGTGTACTTGATATCTTGGAAGGTTTCAGAAAGGTGCGTGTGTGGATCGGTGTCAGTGGGATTGACCGGCAATCGTGACGACACAAAGTAGAGCGTTGATTGAGGATGTAGTGATGCTTGATGTTGAAGCAATGAAGAAGCTGAGCAGTCTGGCGCCGTGGCGATTACGGCTGCTGGTTTGGCTTGTTCAAGAGAGACTTGGCTACCTCGACGTGTAAGGTAGTAGTGGGTGAGCTCTTCAGATTGCTGCGTGGTCTGAATCGACTCGAGTATGGAGATACAACAGGAAAAGCGACAGTATCGACAACAACGATAACAAGAAGCTTGACAATGATTAAGTTGTTGGAGTGGCACAGCAAGTCAGGCCGGCAGTATGAAGGTCGAAGCTATTAGATTGTCTTGGGTCGGAAAGAATGATCGTTGACCGGCAACGATGATGGTTTCCTAGCAAAAGTGATTGATGAAAGATGCCTTTTTTGTTTTAACGTGCTTTTTAGGGAAAGCCTCTGCAAAGATCGGTGTTGTTCCTCGGTGGGAAAAATGCAGCAAGAATGAGCACAGCTCGTAGATGCCACAGGGGTTTGCCGAAGGAGGAGGCGTGTTGATATGGACAGTACAGTGAACGATTGACTCGATCAGGTCAATCAGGTCAATCAGGTCAATAGTGTACCAGACACTATCTCTTTGCAGAAGGGATGGATTAGGATCTTGGACTAACAAAAAAAGAACAGAAATTTTCAAGAATAGCTCTCAAACCGCACGACCAGAGTTGACAAGACTTGCTTGCTTGAAGGGAAAAGAAAAGAAAGGCAAGATGCAACAACGGGAAGGGGATGGCAATATTTAGATACGGCAGCATCATCGTCAGTAGGCAATAGGCCACGGGCAGGTGGAGGGGGAGGCCATTCTGAGGCTGCAGGCAATAGCGTGCGTTGAGAAGCAGGAAAGGTGAGGAGGATGGAGAGGGCATTCCTCGGGTTGGCCAGACTGTACATTGGAGAAGGAATCTGCTTGATGGCATGCCAGGCCGAAGCCAGTGAGAGGTACGAGATGGAGTCGAGAATGCGGTAGACCACACTGGGAACAAGCCGGGCGCTTAGACGACGACATCCCACAGCTAGCGAGCCATAGAAATCAAGGCATGCGGGCGGTTACAAGTGTGAGAGAGAGTCTGAGAGTGTGACTGGCTGCAGGTGTGTCCAATCAATGGCGGCGTCGTCTAAGAATAGCATGAGGAGAAGAGGAGAGGCACTCCCAAGAGATGCGAAGCAGAGGGTAGAAGCCTAAGCGCTCCACAAGGTGATGGTGGTGGTGACAGACAATGCATGTCGTGCATGAGACTATTGACTCTCCAAGGCGCCTACAGTGAGATAGAAAAATCCCTCTCTGATAACAGACAGAAACAGCCAAAACTAACGAGTAATTCACGGCTTCGTAATTCACGGGTTTGGCATTGCCATATCCAGATTGTCTTGTGCTGTCCTACGAGTGACTCCGTTCTCTAGAAACTCATGGGATCCTTGTCCAGCCCTCCACTAAGCCGTAAGAAGTTGTACATAACCGCCCTGGTTTATGCCGGCCGTGATCCACCTCTCTCTCGAAGCACATGCACACGCCCTCAAAAAGAGACTGACCGGGCTTATACAGTATACTCGTAACACAACACCCTCACCACCCCTGGGAGAGACGAATCATCGCTGCCCTCGTCCTCGTCGGTCAACCGTCTAGAACCATTCCTTCGCCAGCCATCGGTTGAAGAACTCCAGGCTAGCCTCCGGTTGATCCAAAGGCACCATATGACCGCCCGCATGGATCCGCATAAAGGTGAAGTTGCCATACGACTTGACTTCTCCGATCTTGCGCCCGTCCTTGCTTGCATCCAAGCGAAGATCCTTCATGGCGGCGGCCGCAAACTTCTTGTGATCGGGATACTCAAGCGCCTCGGCCCACGCCTTGTTGCCCAGCCAGTTGCAAATGAAGTCGGCATCCCCCGCATAAATCAGGACCGGCATTTTCTCAATGAGGCCCGGCACCAGTCGGTGGAAGGGTTGCATCCAGTCGCCCTGGAACAAAAAGTTGCGGTTGATGTCAAAGTTGCACGAGTCATACCCATCCACCTCCACGCCAAGAGCCTTCATCACTGACTTCTGATTGAGCCATCTGCTGATCCAGCCGAGTTCGGGATAGCACAGGTTGCTGCTGTCCTTGCACTTGCCGCGCACGTCATAGACATTTTGTCCCGTTCGTTGATAAGGGGCCAGTAAGGCGTTGTTGCAGTAAATGGAAGCCGGCACACACGACCACACGCTCTCACTATCGTAGCAATTCTGGATTAGCGATTGGCAGCGAGGAAGAGCGTTGTCCATGGCCTGGCAAGACTGCGGGTCGAGCACAGCGGGCCACCCGCCGTCACCGCAGGCCATTGGTCGATAGTATTCGTATTGGGTGTATCCGTCGGTCAGCCCGTTGCCAATCAAGACCGAGGTAAGCTTGATATTGGTTTTCTTGTGTGACAGGATTTCTGATGCGAAGACGGGAATGTAGTGCCCAGCATACGACTCCCCAGCAATGTGGAAATCCTGCTTTGCGTACTCCGGGAATTGCTCGAAGAAGAGGGTCAGCAACGCATAGACATCCTTGCCCGCAGCCACGGTGTTGGAGACGCTGGAGCTGGAGTAAGAATAGCCGACATTGACGGGTTGGTCCAAGAAGATGACGCTGGCGTTGTCATTCCAGGAATACGGGTTCGGAACCAGCTGAAGCTTCTCGTTGATACGTGAAGGTCCAAGTTCGAGGAACAAACCGGTCAAAGAGGAGCAGCCTGGGCCACCGTTGAGCCACAGCACAACGGGGTCATTCTCCGGGTCGTTTCTCGACTCGAAGAACCAGTAAAACAGGTGCTTGTCGTTTTCGTTGTCATCCAAATATCCTGAATATTGTTTGACATCGGGGTCGACACCCAATGAGCTGGGGTCGACCTTCTTAACTCGCAGGTCATATGTATCAAGCTTGCCATCGAGATAACGTTCTTTCTCTCCATCCACGTTGTCGACCCAAACGCTCTGGACATCGGCGCCACGAACAATGTGGTCCCATTCGTGATCAGGGCGGCGGGTATGCTTCTTGGGCATTGGGAAGAAGCCAGCCTTTCTCATATCTTCAGGGTAGAGCTCTGCGACCTCATCCCAGATATTGGCGGCCTCCTCAGTAAAGCCATGAAGCGCATCCTTGAGATGATGCAGTTGGTCATCGAGAATGTTCTTGGTTTCCGCAGGGAAGGACTTGGGAAGCTGGAGAGGCTGCTGCTGAGGAGCGATAGCAGCGGAGGCCGCTCCAGCCAGCAGGAGGGGAGAAAGGGCCTTCATGGCAAAGCGAATGAATGGAATCGATCAGGTTCGTCTACTGGGCCAGCTAAGGCAGCAGCGAGATCGATATCGTTATCAGACTGGCGAGTGTCCCAGCAGAGATAAGCAGTCCAGTGAGCTTCAAACGGCCACCGGGTTGAGCTGAAGGGAAATGCAGAGATAATAGAGAACAAACACGAGATAGAGGAATGTCAGATGAAAGGAAGAGATGGATGTCGGTGACGGGCGGACTGCGACTCGTAATGAAGCAGCCTGTTCCCGTTGCTGGACAACCAACGCCGGCCCTGTTTCGTCCAATTGAATGACGACAACATTCCGGTGAGAGCCAGATAGTATCACATGACTATCATGTTCCCAACAAGGAACAAGTGGCTGTTCGCTGACTAAGTAGTCTCTTGGCGCGGCGCACCGTCGGTTTTGATTGAATTTTTGGCAGTCTTCCAAGTCTCAGAAGATTGCCCATCGACAACCATCAACCCAACCGACAAGGAGAGATTCGCCCATCATGTGTAAGTCTATACTCATTCCCCGGTATCGCGGCGTCAGCATATATCAGTCAAGAATATGCCCTGCTCCAGGATCCGGCGCATTGCGACTACATGAGGACGATATTTGCTAACATTCGAGGCAGCTCTCGTCAGCGGGGAGAAGTCGAACTGTATGTGTATCCTAACCTCACCAAGACAATGCATTCTAACGATTGCCGCAGTCCAGTTCATCCTCCGTCTCCTCAACACCAACGTCGATGGCAAGCAGAAAATCATGTATGCCTTGACCCGAATCAAGGGTGTCGGACGGCGCTACTCCAACCTCGTCTGCAAGAAAGCCGATGTCGACTTGAGCAAGCGGTACGAACACGCCCCGGAATTCGCAAGTCGAAGGAGCGGGAACTAATCAATACATCACAGTGCCGGTGAAATCACCTCCGAAGAACTCGAGCGAATTGTCACCATCATTCAAAACCCCACGCAATACAAGATCCCATCATGGTTCTTGAACAGACAGCGCGACATTGTGGACGGCAAGGACTCGCAGGTGTTGGCAAACGGTATGGAAAGCAAGCTGCGTGAGGATTTGGAACGTCTCAAGAAGATCCGAGCACATCGTGGTCTCCGTCACTACTGGGGCCTGCGTGTCAGAGGTCAACACTCCAAGACCACCGGCCGAAGAGGACGTACCGTTGGTGTCAGCAAGAAGAAGGGTTAAACGATTCTGGCTGTTGTTGCGGTGAGATGTTGTGGGCGGTTGTGGTGGTGGAATGACCCTTGAACAGAATTCACAGACGCAGGGGAAACTTCTGCAGCGAGCACGAGAAAAGCACAATGGGCATGGCTGGGGTTTTACACCCGGTGCAACAGTGCCATGATGGGACCTGAAATGCCCACGGATAGTGGACTTTTGCGAGCAATCAAATGGCATAAAGTGAAAATACCACCCTTTCCTTGATTGTTCAATTGTGAGTGGCTTTCGTCGTGGCTCACCGTGATGCAGTGTGATGATGGAAGCGGTGACTATCGCAACGTGGGACAAGAAAGCAGAGGATGAAGAGTGGTACGTGACCAGGTGCGCGATGCGCCGAAATTTCCAGTTCCGTCGCTGCCGTCTTCGGACTTGGGATGATCAACCCATTAAGGAGAGTCGAGTGTGTCGTTCACTGATTTGTGTGTGGTTGTGTCCCTACCATACCGATTGAACCTGGAATCCGGATCTGTCTATATGGGCATTTGCTCGGGGTTGTCGCACCATGCAGAGGAAGTTGTCAAGTTCCATGTGCTTCTCTCTGCACTAATCCAGGTGTCTTATTGTTGATCGTGCCCTCGCAGAAGTCACAGGACATGCCCACAAAGCAGCGTCATCGGAAGACACTCCAGACCCAGCCACAGTACTTCTTGGTCGAACCAAAACACCGTCACTGATTCTTTGAAGACTGGTATACCTTTTCGTGCGGAATCCTCCTGTTCAACGATGCAACCTCCCGATCCGATCAGGGACTCTGCTGCAGCCGGGTCCAGAATTCGGGTCTTGGTATTGGTGCTCTTGGTCCTCATTCCGTCACGCCCTGCTGGTTCTGTGTAACTCGGGAAGCTATTTCTGGCACCGTCACAAAAATTTCCGAGCCGATGGCGCTCGTCCAGCACTCTCCAACCCCATGTGTGCAGGAGAACCAGATAAGCGGTGGGCTGGGTGTGGCATCACAGGCAAATAGCATGCAAGGGGGCATGCACTACCTCCTCTGGTAGAGCAAGCACCGCCGAAGATCCATATTGAAGAACCGGCCGAGTGTTTTCTGGAATGTCTCAGTTGCAGCTCTGCCGGGTAGCATTCTGGAAGGAGGCTGTTTTGGTACAACAGACTGCGTGGTGGTCAACAGAAGAGCTAGTCTATCAACAACAGCCAAGCACCTACATGCGTGCAAACTATTGGTGTTTGTATCCAGATCTAGCTTTTCGTGCTTTCAAAGAAGACGACAGAAAAGGCCTGTGAGAAACGTTACAGTTTGACCTCAGGGTACCATTGTGGAAGGAGCAAGCTATAAAAGACCTCACCTCATCTTCTCTCGCTTTTCACTCTTCCTCCATCCCACCTCGGCCTCAAATCCAATCCCAATCCAATCCCAACAATCTCAGCACGGTGCTCTTGCTTAGAAACGGACCTGACACTGCAATACTTGTGTTGACCTGTCTTGCCACTCCTACCCTTTTTGACCATCACGCTTCCTACACCCCATCGTCCTCGCAGTCATGCCTTCCATCTCCATCTTCATAGCCTTCATCGCCCTGCTCTCATCGGCTGCATCGGCATTCTCTGGAAACTTCGAGCTCACGAACGTCGTTGTCTCGTCACCCTTTGAAGCAGATCCCACGTCAACTGAGAGCACCTATGTTCAATGTGAGTTGAGACTCAGTGGCGACTCGCAGGGCCCTGCAGTCTAGCTTTTGTCCACTTCTAACGAAGAATAGTCGACTTCTGTGACGAAGACACTCCTGAAGTCGGCCCTACTCACTGCTGCGTTGAATGGGCCGTCGGCCTGAGTCCACCCTCCTCTGCGGCGAACACCTGCGACAACAGCACCTTCGACGTCCTGGTTACTTCGTGGTATGGGGTTGGAAACATCTCGCTGCGGTTGGCTCACCAGTACATTGACAACAGGTATGTGCAAACGAGGTCGACTTCGGCCTTTCAGCCTCAAGTCATGGTTCTGACTCAGAAACAGCGTTGGTCAAGCCCCATACAACGTCCTCACAAAGTTCTCCAACTTCAATCTGACGTATCCCGCGACCGACTACTACGAATGTGATCTGGGAAGCGCAGAGTGTATTTCCGACGACGGAGAAGTGATCATTGCCAATGTAACCCAAGCCATCGCGTGAGCATGTCAACCACGACGCGGTATTGAGACAAAATCCAACATAGCTGCAACGACGGCGAGGGAGGGCTCCCAGAGGCTGACTGAAAAATGAAATGTGAATGGCAATGAACATGAACTCATAATACAGGGTGGTCATTGCGAACACAGGAGATTTGTCTGGAGTGTTAAAGAACAGTGAGATTAATGCGTAATCAGAAAAAAGAGGACCAATTGAAAAAGGGTAGAGAGAGTATCAGCGTGTAGGGAGTTATGTAGCGCAACTCCGACGGAAGGATCACAGTCCACTGGCTGCTGTCGAGACTCATTTCCATATCAAAGCATACTGCGCCTGTGCTATCTGTTTCTTGTGAGATCCGTCATATCTGAAGTTCTCTGTGTGCCCCTTTCTCTCTCACATGCCTATCTGCCCCCCTCCCCCCTCCACCCTTAGATACTTGTGACGGAGGTCTTTCTTTGAGCAATCTCGGGAGAGGTGTACATCCTGATCCAGACCCTTCTTTACTTGGAAGTCCCGTCACAGAGCAGCAATCCCACTCTTCAATGCTCCGTATGCCACCTGGGTGCCACCAACCTCGCCAGTACTAGTCCGAGCTTTCCCCACTGACCCAACACAGCCTTTTCCCAGTCCTTATCACTGGACGGGTATTCCAGCCTTCTGCTCTCGATGCTGGTGGTCAGGAAGATGTTTCAAAAGGCAACGATTGCCTCCCAGCCGCTGAGGTGGCTCTAGCCGACAATGAATACCCAAGGACAGCTTTTCCGGGGAACCAGCAGTCTGGGGTACTGGGGGAGGGGTCTTTGTGGAGAAGCACCGGCAGTTCCAACCGAATGAAGGGGACCGCCATTGATCAGGTGGTATTCACTGGAGGTGGCAAGAGTCGACGCTTTTCACCAAGTGACAGACTGGTGACAGACGGGCTCGCCTGTCCCCGAGTTGCTTTTTTCTTCTACCAGGTATCCACGACTCGTCATCCACACCACCCTGTCCAGGACAACAACGAGCAAAATGACTTCCAGGCTCCATGAACGCATCCCACCGTTCCCCGCCGACCTTGTTCACGCGCCAATCGCTGAAATCTCCTCCAAGAAGCTCCTGGAAAAGCACCCTGCATCCACGGCGGCAGTCTTGGAGGCATGCCAGACCTACGGATTTTTCTATCTCGACATGGCCGACTCTGAGCCGGGGCGCGAGCTCCTCACCGAGGCAGATCAGCTCTACGACCTGAGTAAGGAGGCGCTGGCTCTCCCATTCGAAGAAAAGGACAAGTACGACTTCCGCAAGACGCACTCGTTCTTTGGGTACAAGCCCGCCGGGACGGTCAAGTTGACCGACAAGTCCCAGCGGCCCGACAGCACCGAATTCTTCAACATTGGCAAGGACTGTCTGTTTGGCGTCTCTCCCAGCCGCACATACCCGGAAATCATCCAGGATGCGAGACCGTTGCTGCGAGCATTCTGCAAGGGAGCGCATGAGATGGCCATGACCATCCTCCGTACCCTCGCCCGCGCCTTTGGTGAAGATGAAGACATCTTTGTCAACCTCAACCTCTTCGAGGAGTCGTCCGGTGACCACATCCGCCTCACGCTCAAGCCCCCGACGGATCCCACCAATCCTGACATTCTCGGCCTTCCGTCACACACCGACTTCGGCAGCGTCACGATCCTCTTCAACTGGCTCGGCGGCCTGCAGATCGAGTCGCGCACGCCCGGCCGCGTCGGCGAGTGGGAGTACGTCAAGCCGCTGCCGGGAAAGGCCATCATTAACCTGGGCGACGCCATGGTCCATTTCTCCAACGGCGCGCTCAAGAGCGCGAAACACCGCGTCGTACCGTCACCGGGGGCGCAGGCCGGGCTGGAACGGGTCAGCGTCGTCTACTTCGTCCGGCCGACGCACCACAGCCTGATGAAGCCCGTGGGGCGATTCGACATGCAACAGGACCGCGTGAAGGTTGCAGGCAAATTCTCCGACGGGATCGACGACAAAGTGTACACGGCGAAGGAGTGGCTGGAGAAGCGGTACGTGCAACTGGCGTCATCCTCCAAAGGATGAGTTGCTATTCATCAGCCAGTGTAGCATTTTTCATATCACGGGCCTTTTGCACTGCCGACAATTTCGGGTCTTTGAATTCATCCATGTTTTGTTCGTGCCATATGGTTATTGATCAGTCAGTGGCAGTAATCAGGCAGTGGCCATCAAGGACAAATTAGATATCACACTACACACAGTGCCTTCACTTGATGTACTTTCTTTTGACCATACCCCTCTTCGAACTTTTCCAAGGAAGAAGAGGTGAATTTCTAAGGGATAAAAGAACAAAGAAGAAGAAATCATGATCAAAACACACTGTATTGCAAGCACCGAATAGGTAACTTTATGGCCAATTTAGTCATTACCAACCAGCAGATGCGATACATCAAATATTGAGTCTCACATCCTCCGGGGCTTTTCGATGTGACTGGGGGCGTTTAAATACGTTTAATGGGTTTAAGGGCCTTTCGACGAAAGGATTTCTAGTGTTGGAAAGAAAAGAGCCGAGCACAGAGAGAAGAAGAGTGACACTTGAAGTTATGGGGAGATGGATGAATGACTCGGGTTGTTTCTCAAGGATGAGGTTTTTTTTTCTGTGAGACTCGTCTGGCATCCTGCTCGCCTGCTGGCTCATGCTGTACTTGATTGGGATCGAACGACCCTCCCTCCCTCCCTCTCTTTCTCAGTGCGCACGCGGCGGTAACAGGACATGTTATCCACGAGGTTCTCTTTTCTCTCCTCTCCTGCACTCGGGCCGACAGAGTCTCTTCTCCGTAACAACAACAATGACGACAACAGCACACACTGGTTGCTAACTATACGCAGAACACTGCTGCTGCTTCTGTCTCATTATTTTTCTCAACTCGAACGTCTTTCTGCCAATAACTAACCTCCTTAGGTCTGCCAACACATCGAGATGATCAAAAGGCAAACTTGGGAACTGGGGTGGACATATAATAGTAAAACGATGACAAAAGGCGACGAGGAGGCCTGCCTGCTGCCCGAGAAGCTGGATCCCCTCGAGGTCGCTGGTAGGTAGGCTCACGAAAAGAGGTTTTGCTCTGCTTAGGCCTGCTTCTCGGCCCGTCCCATTTCCACGTCCGTCCTCGGCCAGAAGTGGCTCAGGTCACCCACGGGCAGTTTGATGGCGAGACGCATCTCTGCGGCCATCATGACAAAAGTCATATACCAGCCCAGGCAGCCGACCACGAAGAGTAGAGCCCCGCCAGCCTGTTTTGATTCTCGGCAGGTTAGCGTACCGTGACACCCCCAGAATGCAGACAGGTTTCGAATAGCAGCTGCTGAAACAGACGCGTTCTCGGCAAAGAGCGGCACCGTAATCTTGGGAAAGAATGGAAAGAATGAACTGACCTTCTGTAAATGTCCTGCAGTGACATAATCTCCAGTGCTGACTTTCCAGTAGGCACCGCTCAAGACCCACGCGGCGATGGTCACGAACAAAAAGATGAGGGCAAACACGACGTTCGTTTTGAGAGTGAAGATGAAAAAGGTGAACAGCGCGAATCCCCAGACAATCAAGTACAGGGCGATAACTGCGTTGTACTCCTTTGAGGCTGACCCGACCACGGCGTTGGTTCCACTGGGCGAGTACGGCGTCGCAAGGCCGAGCGTCGGGAGCTGGAGCATGCCGAAGGAGAGCCAGAAGACTGCGAAAAGACCGCAGACCATCATCGAGAAGAAGTTGCCCCTTGCTCGACGTCAGTATCAGTCAATAGAGTGAGAATAAAGGGGGCCGCGAGACCAGGTCTCTTGGCCACTGGAGAAAGATTTTCAGGTGACATACATGATCCATTCAAAGATGACTGTCAAGACCAGCAGAACCGGGCCGACAAAGAAGAAGATGCCGCTGTGTTGGACAATGTTAGCGAGCTTAGTCTTGCCGGGCAGAATCTGAAGGTGCTTACACCACGGGGGAGAGGCCGCTGGCACCGCCCCAGCCCATCATGACCATGGCGAAAGTCATAGTGGAGATCACGAAACTATCTGCGCATCAGTATGCTGGCCTCCAAGTTGATACTTTTCTAGCATACCCAACGAAACCAAGCGGAGTCGGGTTTGCGAACTTCTTGATGTTGTCGCCGGCATGTGGGACCTTAGGGGTGAGGTAGAGCTGTCCAGGTCGAGCATTGTTAGTGTTTTGAGCTTGACGCACAGGCGATACTGGTCGGTAGAGTCGTGAGACTGCATGCGCACCTTTTCGAAAAGTTCCGGGCTGATAGAGATCGCGCCGGAGGACATGGTGTGCGTCAATCCAGGCTTCTCTTCGATCATATCCCTCTCCGTAGACGTAGGGGTGTGTTGAAGCTCGGTCGCCATATTAGACGTGTTTTTTGCTCTTGCAGATCAGTCACAAAACGGAATATAGGCAGCACCGGAGGACTGAAAGGACTTTAAATCGAAGCAAGGGCCAGCTATTTTCGACCGTGGACGAAGGGAATCAGGCCACAGCAACTTCCACCCTCTTTATTTGATTCCACAAGAACTTCTCGCCCTCGCATCCTCCAGCTCCAAGGGTGCCATGGGTGGTGACCAGACGTGGGGCCAGGGTAACGATGCAGACCCCAGCTAGAGGCAGGTTTGTGATGTGGACAGTGTGAAAGGGATGGATGCTAACTGGTCAGGGTTAAACTGCCGACCCCTGATGAAGTGCGAGGCAGGCATCTCGAATGCATCCGATGCATCGGACACAGAAATAATTCCATTTACTTTTCCAGTAGCGGGGTCGCCTAGGCGTCGCGTGGCTCAATGTCGTCCAGGATCAAAGTGAGCCCAAGGTCCAGAACCAGGGTTAGCCAAGGGCCATTGAGCTCCTGTGAGCATGCATTCAAGCCATGGCGTTCCGCAGCTGCTCGGATTCATGGTAACACATTGGGATTTGCTGACTGGGACAACCCCGCAAGGAAATTACTGGCGCATCCTGCCAATGGTTGGCTCGTTAGCTCGAATGGGCACCCTCAGGGAGGATTGAGTTAGCTTAATACGAGGATGTGGAGCGTGGAGCTGGTGGAGGAGGAAAGGAAGTAGCCATGGCCAAGCCAGAAAGGAGCTGGGGGAATACGAACGGTGAGCGACTCTATATGGGCCTCCTCGTCGTAGTCACGCCCGTTCCCCACAAAACGGACGAGAAATGTCAGCGTGGAGGCTGGGGTTGGTCCCCCCGGACGGTCGGACGAGCGTTGCAAGTCGCATGGGGCTCAGCCACGTCCTGCGTTCATTCGCCTGGGGAAAAGCGGTGGCAGCAATTAGAGCTGGAACCGAGGCCAGGTCGGTCGCATGATGTGCCCAATTCAGTCGTTGATGCTTGGGGCAAAGGCCACTTTGCGGACCGGGTTGCAAAGATCTTATTCTGGGGGATAAAAATAAAGAGGAGAGATGAGAAGAAGGAGAGCGAGAAGAAGAGGTTGAGATTGACATCGTCCTCGCCGCGGGACACGCATCAATGTTTTTCCGATGCCGTGCCTCCCGCATACCGTCATTGAGGACTCCTATTAAATTATTCCAACTATACATCTGGGGAGCACCGTTTCTTCAAACTGGTCCCCTTCACCTTGTAAGATTTCCTTGCCCTGAGCGGTGTCCACTGGCGGTACTGTTGAGCGCCAGCCGGCTTGTACATCTGGAGTTCGTGGTGGAGAGGGAGCAGGGGACTGCGTTGTTTCCGACCCTGTCACCAGGCTTGGTACTGGTAATGTTTGAGCGGCATTTGGCTCGACGGGCACCAAGACAGAGAGGTCAATGTCTTCCCGGCCGTTCACATCATTGACCAAGGATAAGTCTGCGTGCTCTTGACGTTGGGCATAGACTTCCGCCAGCTTTACCGCTGCTGTTTTCATCTTGTCGAGGACGGCCCGGTCTTTGAGATAAGCTTCCGTCCTCTTCTCGATGACACTGGAACCGTTGGCACCTACCACAGCCTGCCAGTCGTCCAATTTGATGTCGTGGATGCCAGTGTTGGCGCTAAATCGCTTGTAGAAAAGTCGCTCGGGATTGTCCTCGGACAGATATTCCAAACGCTTTGCTACGTCCTCAGATTCTGTTGCCATGTTCACAAGATCTGCCAGAAGATCAGACATCTTGACTAGGCTCCTTGGCAGGAGTCTGGTCCACCATGGATGCTTCTGCAACCGCGGGACATCAGCATCCTGCGGGAGTGTCCCGGTTCCAATGTTGATCATGACGAGCTGTCTATCGGTGGCTACCTCGTGGTTCGTTTCGTAGTGGATTCGACTGTCCCATGACGGGTTATTGGTTCTGCCGTAACCACCGTCCACAAATGCTCTCTCTTCGATGATCATCTCTTCGAAATACGACGGAGCTGCAGAAGTTGCTCGTGCAGCATGCCGGACTTTGAGATCGCATTTCAGCAAATGCTGTTTATAGGGTCCCTGGCATTCATGTGTGCAAAAGAAAACTGACTGAAGCTGTGGCATCTCGCGGCAGAGGACGGTGCTGGGGAGGGGATATACAGTCAAACAGGGCAGTCGTGGGTGAACAGAAGAACAAACTTACCCTCTCATGACATTCTGCTGAGTGCCCGACCGCATCCCCAAATTCACCGGTTGATGGCTGGACTTCAATAACTCCCCAACAGCTGTTTCGAGCCTCGTGCCCGAATATTTTGACAAATCAGAACCGAAAACTCGCTTCAATAACGGGCGCTGTTTTGAAAAAATGTCTCTCGAGAGCGTTTTATACTGTTCTATACAATCGTCCAGGGACATGTCCAACTTGACCATCATGAGGACGATGAGTCTGCTTCTTTAGCTGTTCAAACTTTTAGAGCGAGACGAATATTCACTTACCCGCCCGTGCTGGTACCGACGGCAACGTCAAAGATATCCTGTGGTCTGACCGTGTTCTGTCCAGCCGGTCGCTTCCCATTCTCGACCAGCACTTGTGTCACCAGAACCAGAAGGTGTCTCAAGATCAGGAGTGAAGAGAGACCACGCACACCACCACCGTCTGAGCAGAAGAGTCAGCCCCAGCACTTTAGGTTAAAGTTGGGAAGGCTGTACCGAGTGACAACATTGTAATGGGCCACGAAGACCGTGACACTGCTCCCTTAACGGTCTGTGGCCCCATAATCGTAGCGTAACTTGACTGCTCGTATCCGAATAGGTAAGGGTGTTGAAATTATCCTTTTTCGATATAGTCAGAGATTTGTATCGCAATAACAAAAGGAAGGCTTTATTTAAAGCAGAAATGCTCAGTGATGGATGAGAACATATTTTAGGGGCATTGCACAGGTTCTCAGGCTGATTTCACCTGCAGCGCCGCAACTCTGGTTCTGATAGGTGAGTTCTGCTGCAGGGGCTCGTCACGCTGGACTTTGAGGCAAGGCAAGGCAACCTGGCAATGCATCTGTGGGCTCCCTGCTAGCCGACAGGCAAGGTAGCGAGCACACGGCTGTGCACAGAGATAGTCACGCATCAAAGGGTGTTTTTGGTCATTTTCTGAAACCTGGGCAACCTTCGCGCCACTTACAGTGGTCATGTATTCTCCGGCTATGACCGGTCCATCGTTGCCTCTTAGGCTGAGCAAAATCTCAGCCTGATCAAAAATTCAACCTCAATACTGCGGCGAAGACATTTCTGAGGGAGGGAAGATTTTTGATTCTGCTGGAACCTCCGTTCCTTCCTTTCTTGCCAACTTTCTGCCATACGACGAAATAGATAGAATGGATCAACAGCAGCCGTTGAAGATACTCACCTTAGGTATGTGCAAACATTTGATGTTGTTCTCGATATTCCGTGCCTTGAAATCTTCTGACTTGAGCAGATGGCGGTGGATTGCAAGCACTGGCGACGTTAAGCAGTCTGAACGCTGTCTGTAGGGCTATTGCCAAACAAAATGGAGCTGATCGGCCTCCTGCGCCGCACGAATGGTTCGATATCATAGGCGGTGTCGGGACCGGCGGGTAAGTCAGGCCCAGGCGTGATACTTCTCTTTCCTGACAAGGCCTTAGCTGGATTGCGTTGTTGCTCGGACGGTATCGTCTCGACCTTGCCACTTGTACGGCAATTTATATGGAGATCGCGACGAAAACCGACATCCACAGGAGCAAGTCATCTTCAAGGAAGAATCGTCCATTTAAGTTGAATCAGGACCGGCTTATGACTGTCGTTGAAGAGACCCTTGAGCGCTACGGCCTTGATCCGGCTCTAATGCCACGAGAGGGCGGCACACTCGAGCTGGAAGGACGTCTCGCAGGCAGCAGATGCAAATATGCGTACGTACACTCCTCTGCATGAGGGTCGGATACTGACCGTCGCTAGATTTGCGACTGGAGTGGTTCCACGCGGAGAAAGAGATGCTCCAAGATATGCGCTGTTCAGGTCCTACCATGTCGATGAAAATCCAAACGAACAGCTGATGAAGAGTCCAAGTCCTGAAAACTGCCAGGTTCCAGAGGTTTTTTGTGCTACAGGCGCCGCCAAATTCTTCTTGACGCCGTATAAAATTGGAGACACTGTCTTCTTCGATGAGACATTCCCACAGTCGCACCCGATCTCTTCATTGGCCCTCGATGAAGCACTTCGAATCTACGGGAGGAATGTCGAAATTTCGGTCTTGTTGAACATTGGGCCTGGGATCCCCGCAGACAAGGACTGCGAGGAGCTCGATCTAATGTCTCTCGGGCCTATCAGTCGGCTGACCCGGAAGTTTAGCTGGCCTTTGGGCAGACGTCTCTCGCTGAAACAACCGCTGTTATTCGCTGAGGGAGGACTTGAAGCGATGCAGAAGAACCTCAATCTCACTAGTCCGAGTGAAACCGCACTTAGACTGGAAAGTCAAAGGCGAGAAGATATTCGGGCCAGATTTAAGCGAATGTACGGAACACCGGGCGCTGACAAGTATCATCATATTGGTCCTGCATATTCCTCCGAACGAGCTTCCTTGAATGACGTCCACGCCATAAATCTGCCACAGTCTGAATTGGCAGACCAGAAACAGCGGAGCAGAATCGCCGCCGAAGACATCGTGAAGCAGGTCTGGGTGGGTGCTGCCGCATGAGGGTGCGCGGGGGGCGAGTGTGACCAGAGCCATATTGTTCGCCACTTGGATGCCATGTCTATAAGTCTTTGTATCGACTGATCATTTGTTTAGCTGCCTTCCCCACGCACAATCAATCGTAGATGTTGTGAATCGTCACAAAGTCCCATTGGCGGATGACCTTAGACGCCCAGTGTTCAGACTCTGCCTCACCATCTTCATCGAGGAGTCCAGGGAAACGTGGCAGAAGTAGGAGCGGCGGTAGGACAAAACAGTCCTGGATCGGAAAGTAGTCGCTAGAAGCTACTGCATCTGCGTCAGGGCGAGGCGGGAAGGACAACCAAGCAATGACAAGCTCGCTAGATCCCGTGGAAGTCGCTGTGGTCAAGGATGATCTTGGGAATCATTAGGCCTGATTGATTGTCCAGTGGGACGAGGAGTGCGAGGGTGCAGGGGGAAGGATGAAGATGAGTGGTGTTTTGTTCCAGATGTTCCAAGCCCGATCAATGAGTAAGCTCCCAGTTAGCAGGCACACCCCTGACTAGATTGGGCAACTGGGCAAAAATCTCTGGGCTCCCTGGGAACTTAGTCAGGGAGCCTAACTGCCTAAGTACAATGTTCCAGTTAGGACCTGGGCGTGCTGAGCTTTGTTGGCTCGTGGGCGGACTGTTTTGCCCCTCCTCCCCCTCATACATGTTTTCCTTTTACTCCACCCCCCACCAAACACACCACCCTTGGATCCAATTGTCACTCCAATTGTAGAAACTTGCTCTCATCATCCCATCCTTCTCTCAGCCATCTGCAGTAACTCTCCGAGCTTCCCAGAAGCTTGGTCATGTCCTGACGACATCCTAAGAATGTAGTGAGAGCCTGAGCTTCCTCACCCAATCAGCGCTGTCACTTGCAGCTCCCAGCTGTCCTTGTTCTACCCTTTCAGCTGTCACCCCCTGCTACCAGGAACAGGATCCTGCACAACTCGATTCTCCTTCCACGCGTCCGTCCTCCTTTGTCTTTTCTTTTTCCTCACCGCTTTGCCTGTTGTTTGACAGTGTGCCGCCAGTCATAACCTTCTCAGTTTCCCTCTGCTTTGCTTCCATCACTCTCTGTCCTTTCCTCAGCTCCATATTGCTTCGTTCTATTTGAGACTTCGTCCCTCCTTGAACGCTGAACGATCAACATGGTTCACTTAGCGCAAGTAACGAAAGACCCTAGCAAAGGCCAGAGCAGCGAATTTGGCCATCCTAGACGCCGAGCTTCAGTCGTTCCTGGCCTCGAGCATATCTCTCTCGAGCCTCCGGGGGAAGATGAGTTCTCCACCTCCGTCTATGGCTCCCGCTTTGCTGCGGAGGATCTTCCATCACACGAGATCCCGGAGAAGGAGATGCCAAAAGAGATTGCGTACCGCATGATCAAAGATGAGCTCAGTCTTGACGGCAACCCCATGCTGAAGTAAGTCCACTGCCACGAATATTCAACGTTGAAGCTGACGAGACTCTGTCAACAGCCTGGCAAGCTTTGTCACTACATTCATGGTATGTTGTCAACCTCCACCCTCTGCAAACTTGAACGCCGGCTTATTATTTGCGACCAGGAAGATGAAGCCGAGAAGCTCATGACCGATTCCTTCTCCAAGAACTTCATTGACTACGAAGAATACCCCCAGTCAGCCGAGATTCAGAACCGGTGCGTCAATATGATTGCCCGTCTCTTCAACATCCCTGAGTCTGAAGACGGGAAAAATGCAATGGGAACCTCCACAATCGGGTCGAGTGAGGCCATCATGCTTGCTGTCCTGGCCATGAAGAGGAGGTGGGCAAACAAGCGCAAAGCGGAAGGAAAGGATTTCTCAAGACCCAACATCGTTATGAACAGTGCCGTCCAGGTGTGCTGGGAAAAAGCGGCTCGCTACTTTGACGTCGAGGAGAAATATGTGTATTGCACCGAAGACCGCTACGTCATTGACCCGGAGGAGGCTGTCAACCTGGTCGATGAGAATACCATCGGGATCTGTACCATTCTCGGCCTGACATATACCGGCGAGTACGAAGACACGCAGATGATCAACGACCTGCTGGTTGAGAAAAATATTGACTGCCCGATTCATGTGGATGCAGCATCTGGCGGGTTCGTCGCTCCCTTTGTCAATCCAAACCTGGTCTGGGACTTCCGTCTGTCCAAGGTTGTCAGCATCAATGTCTCGGGTCACAAATACGGCCTGGTCTATCCTGGTGTCGGCTGGGTTATTTGGAGATCGCCTGAGTACCTGCCCAAGGAACTCGTGTTCAATATCAACTATCTCGGCGCTGACCAGGCTTCATTTACTTTGAACTTCAGCAAAGGAGCCAGCCATGTTATTGGCCAGTACTATCAAATGATCCGACTTGGAAAGAGAGGTTACCGCAGCATCATGCTCAATCTCACCCGCACATCTGACTATCTGGCTGCTCAGCTCAGAGCGCTGGGCTTCATCATCATGTCCCCTGGCGGTGGCCGATCACTCCCCGTGGTTGCGTTCCGTCTCGACCCCGACAATGAGCAGATGTTTGACGAGTTCGCCATCGCGCACCAACTTCGAGAACGTGGCTGGATTATCCCTGCCTATACGATGGCCCCTCATAGTGAGTCCCTCAAGTTGATGCGGGTCGTGGTTCGTGAGGACTTCAGCAAGCAACGCTGCGACGCCCTAGTCAATGATATCAAGATGGCATTGCAAGTGCTCGGCGAAATGGACAAAAAGACCATGGAGCGTTACCAAGAGTACGTCGCACGCTGGCCCCTTATTCTGTTCCTTCTTTTAGAAACACTAACCAAAATTCTCAGGCATGTGAAAAAGCATCACACCAAGACTGGCAGGAATGGTCGTAACGTCCCTGCTTACAAAGATGAGAAGCATTCTCTTCAAGGAAAGCATGGGAAGACCCATGCTATCTGCTAGTTGGTCGCGCCGAAAGCCTACCTTGGTGTGACTCAGGGCGAATTTTGTCGAGGTAACCTTACCCATGCCTGGCAGAGGTGTGCCTGGACAGATCAATCGCGCTTCTAAGGGGCAGAGAAAACAGCGCCGAGATCATTGACCATCATTGGAAACACAAACATCAAATATCAGAACTGGTATACAACCACGCATTGAGGTTGATGCACGTTTCTAAAAGTTCAATTTGAAAACATCATGCGAGTTCACGTGTTGTTTCTTTGACCCGTTTATTCGTGGGAGATCCGGAATTCATTCCCGTTCGACATGAAACCATGGGCCACCGATTGCGTCCATGATTGGCTACAGGGAGGAACGTGTAGCGGATGGAGAAGCGGGCGGCATAGACTTCCATCCACCACGGAGCATATTCTATGACGCTTATCCATTTCCTCGCCTTTTGTATGGTTTACACTCGTCAAGACTTCTTCACAGTCAATGACGCAATATCGACAATTTGGAATCCAAAGGTCTGTACCGTAGAGCAGAGAATCATCGCCCTATGTCATTGAATGTCTTGCTATTCAACACACCATCCCGATGTTAGTCTCTCTGTTTCACCTACATCTCACATACTTGTTACAACGATAGCAGCCGGTGGGATTTGTTGACTATTCTCTCCTCTCATAGCATAGCCTCTCAGACTCCAGAGCAAGATGACACCAAATATCATGAAAGGTCAAACCGACACGTCCAAGTTCACAGGACAAGGGCCCGCGTCCAACGAAGAACACCCACACAATAACCCTGTCATGGAGTATAACCCTGCTCCGGGTGCGAAGGTGAGTAAATTCTCGCCTGATTCATCTGTCTCCGTTGGAGCACCCTGCTTCTTTACCACCTACATCCATGTCCCAATATTATCAACTGATGTGCTGACCACCCCTGGGATCCCCCTTTTAGGCCCCCATGCTAAGCTCCGAGGGCTCAGTCGGAAAGCAATTCACGGCAGAGTGAGTCGCCACGCTGGCCTCCTTTCTCTCATCCACTTCACCTTCTTCGTGCTGGTTATCACTCTAACTTTGGCAAACCCCAGTGGTGCGATTGGTGGCACAGCTCAAAAGATCGGAGGGCCACTGGACCAAAATGGAATGATTGGAGGAATGTTCAAAGAGGATGGCGCGATTGGCGGGACGGTGAACAAGATGGCCGGTGGTAAATCATAAAGAAAAAAGCCTGATCAGGTTTGAGGACGAAGCGAATACTTCAGGCGGATTGTGCAAATGCCTGGCATTGCAACACTATACAATCGGACAACTCCACCAAAACAAGCCGAGATCGGTTGAGATCCCGTGAACGATGGCCGTGCTGATAACATGCTCCAGGCGCTTTCCGCACTGCCAATCTCAAGGAAAATAAACCATTCCATGCGCACCTTGACACAAATTCGAAAACTTGCTGCGCTCGGTGTCCACCACGAGCGTTCTAATGACTTCCATGGTTGACATGTTGACCACAGACACCGAACCCGCAAAGACATTCGCCGTGAAACCAAGCTTGCCGTCTGGAGAAGTACGCAGAGTCAATGGCACACTTCCGATCTTGGTTTTGCCAACAAGCTTGTACTCTTTTGGATCGTACACGGCCAACCGGCCCTCAAAACCCGAACCAGGGGCCGCCAGGTACTCGCCCACGAGAATTCTTCCGTCCCCTGCAACATGAGTTGACTGAGCGGGATGTTCGAGGGGAATCCTGAAAGCAATCTCGTCCGTCGCCGTGTCGATGACCAGAACTTCGGCGTTCTCTGGGATGTTGGTTAGTGACGTGCCGGGGGTTGGAAAGTAGGCATGCTTCCCGTCAAGCGAGATACTGCATTCTTCCGTCCCTCCCGGAGTCTCGATCTTGCCAATCATGCGTTGGTTCTCCAGGTCAAGGATGGAGATGAAGTCCGCCGTTTTGTTGCAGGTATAGGCTTTTTTCCCGTCTGGTGTCACCACGAACCAATGTGTCTTGGTCGAGCTGTCGACTTGTTTGAGGACTTTTCGGGTCTTCAGATCGAGCCCAACCACACCTCCACTGGAACCCGCTTCGTGCTCTTCATAACTGTACCACAGAATATCCCGTTCCGCATCCAGGACCAAGCCGTGAGGACCAAGTGCGGGCTTTGTTTCGATGATATCGATCACCTCTTTCTTGTCGGGGTCAATGACCGAGATTTGATGGCCGTTGTCCCCGTGTGTCCAGAAGTGTCCATGATGGTAGGCGTGGCTGCAGTACATGACATTTCTCTTGCTGTCGAAAAGCAGCTCATGTGGTTCTGAGATGAGGTCTGTCATGTATGCTGTTCTCTCGCCCGAAGCAAGATCGAAGAAGCTAATCGTGCTGCCAGATTGGCTGACTACAGCCAATCTTCCAGACATGGTGCTGATTGTGCTTGGTGGAGTGAGTTCTTATGCAATTTTTGTTTGACAGATCAGGTTGAAGTCGTGACGGAAATAGCTTTATATATAGGTGAAAGGTTCAGTGTGCAGTGTGTCCTCGCCTGGTCGACCATCCAGCCTTGTGCTTCGGCCGAGTCGGGTTCACCTCGCGTATATCGCTTCTTGGAAGAACTCCACGAAAAGCTCCACGACAGCGTCATCGTGTGCTATGTCCGAGGCGCCACGTCTCGGCCGACCTATCCTGTAGGACTCATAGCCTCCCATGAGCAGGCTACACAGGGCGTCGTCCTGTCGTACAGGTAGAGTAAGGCCACAGATATGTGATCCTACGACTTGTCATGCTAACTCGGGAAAGGGGAAGGGAGGTCAGAAATGACTTAGGGCGGCGAGACGTTCAGAGAAGGGACTCGTACTGCATGGACCCAGCGGCTGCTAAAAGCAGCGTCAAAATCTTATCGAGGTATTCAACGACGCATTCGACTTCTCTGGACCAAGCAGCCTGGAGCGCATCGCCCTCTTATCGGAGAAAGAGGACATCGACCTGGGTGGATTGACAGACGCGCTGCTGAAACACCGCTGCGAGGAGCAAAGCTTCCCACATCTCTGCGGTTATTTGTGCGATATACAGAAGGAACATGATTGGCCTCTCGCAGCGGCGGAGCAAGTAATAGAGGATCGGAATCTTCAGGCCATCGAGACACTCACAACAGAGCTTTCATTCATAGAGACCAAATACCTGAAGTACTGGTCTGTGCATGACGAAGATCGAGAAAATGGACCTCCCTACAGCTGGACCAGGTCACTGTGGACCAGAATCGGACAACAAGTGCCAACATTGACGACGATCCTGGCTCCGAACCGGGATTGATGGATTTGGAAGAGGATACTTACTGGGAGCTAGCAGAGATTCTTTGAATCCAGGGCGACCATAGCTGACATGATCAGCTGTCAAACGAGACGCAGGGTCTTGAAAACCAGACTCCAGCTGCGAAAGTGAGGTGATAGTAACGACCCTTCTGCCCCCAGGGTACATAGGCCAAGAGAGTTTAAATGACTGGCAGGGAAAATGGGTACGGCGGCGAGGAGGACGATGGAAGTATAGGTATTCGAGCATGGCGCCAGCGAAATTATTTTTGGGGCAATTGCTTCTCTACAAGACGGTCACCTCGGAACACGGTTCGTCAATGGATTTTTCTCCCTTGAGAGGCTGAACAGTATTTGGGGCGCCGACGAGGAACTTTCTTTATGGGATTGGCACTTGGCATTTTACAGTAACATGTAGGTTTTGGGGTCGGCAAAGGGGCACAATCAGTATCATGAACAACAAGACAGGGACGGGGCTGACGAGATCAGGGTGCAACAGATATGAGACGCCATGAGAGCAGCTAAGAACGATTCTTTCTTGTATGACACGGTCCTGCTTTGCAGCGATAATGAGCGACTTATGAATCATCGCCCATTTCGTGTACTTCGTGTGTTTTCTTTTCTTATAGATCATTGCATACTATCGTCTAGTCGTTGATATCTGGTAGAGTTCCAACAACGAGTCGTCCCTTTTCACGGAACTGGATGTTGCCCAGGACAGTTCAAACAAAACATCTTTGATCGAGTGAGTCTTGTCAGTTCGAAGCCGTAAGAGTAAGAAACCTACCGAGGTGACTCTTCTTTACAGCAGCCGAGCAGAATCTCCAGCTTACTGACCACACCATTCTTTCACCACTCACTACCTTCTTTCCCTCCCTCAGCGACCTACTACGACCAGCCCCTTGCGTCTCGCCTCCTTCCCTTGCCACCCCCTATCTGATGTCTAACTTACGGTCTCCCTCTCTAGCCATTGTCGAGAGAGGTCACATCGACAGGTCTAGCCGAGCAGTCTTTGTGGTTGGTGAGCCAGTAGCGATATTCTTAACCAGGAAGAAGAGTCCACCCTGAGCCCCGTTTGTTGGGGTGAAAGGGGATGAAGAGAGACGACATACTGTCAAGGAGGTTCCAGGTGATGAGAGGTTCGGAGAGCGTGTCCACGTTCCTCATCAGCGAAGAGGTTTCGCGAGTTCAAGGCAAGGCAACGATCTGGAACGGTCGGTTCGCGGTGTCTTTCGTCCGAGGTACCTCGTATAGCAAGTAGACCTCTACGGCAACACCGACCGTTCTTCGTGGAATTTCCAAACATAACGAACCACAGGTGGAAGCAGTTGGAGGAAGAAAGAAGGAAAGAAAGGGGGGAGAAACCATGTGGGACAGACGTTGCAGTTCAGTTCGCCACCGCAGTAACCAGGGGAAGATAGATAGATCGAATCGCAGTCCCCGGGGTCTACGAACCATCGCCGGAAGAAAAGCCGCGCTGGCTGGCCACAATTGTTGTCTCTTCCTTGCGCGGCCTCGCCAATTCTTGTCTCGTGAAAGACAGCAGGATGAAGTGGCGACAAGGAAAGAGAGAAATTCAGTACGTGTGTGTGGGTATAATATTTGGATTCAACGAGATAGATTGGGTGCGTATGGTCGCTATATGAACCGGGGGTGGGAGTTGGTCTATCTAGAAACTCAATATATGTACCGAGCATCCGTCCTGACTGGCGAAACACACATTTCTAAGATTAGACATCGTTTTCTTTTCACGAGAGGGAATAGATACCCCCAAACGGATACGCATATGTGGTTGAGCCAAATGCGGCGGCGAATCGGAAGGGAGAAGACTATTTTTCCCCCCAGCAGGACAAGGGTAAAGGGGTGGTGGGCATACATGGGGCGTGAAGAGAGGGAAGCTTTTGGAACTTGCGTCGGACCCTGCATCGTTAGTGTTGGGGTCTCTCTTGTCTGCAGAGTTCGTCTGCAAAAGAACCGTGTACCTTGTTTCCTCTCCAGCTAATGGAGTGGTTAGGGGGGTGGGCACGGCGTATCACTGGCAGAGCTCATGTCATATTGCATCAAATCTGGTCGGGCAGACGCGGTATGGAGTGCAGTAGGGGTCCTGGACCTTCTTGCACAGCCACACCAGAGAAGCATATGCATGTTGTCGATCACTTGTCCGTCGGCGGGGCGACTTGGTCTCGACCTCCTTTAGACCGGGGTATGCTTTGGACGGCTTCTGTCGACAACCATCAATCAGTTCATTCACAACGAGAGGGGGAGAAAACACGCTGTGCTTTTTGTGTGAGAAGCGCACGTCCGACCAAAAAGGGGAAGCATTGTGCATGTGAATCTGTCTTTCATCGCCTTATCGCGCTTTTGCTCCACCGTTGCGCATACGAATTTGCCGTGTCGCCAACCAGCTCGAACAACCTTCGTTCGCAGATGCTCCCTCGGTTCACCCGGGGTGAACCAGTCAGTAGGACCGCTGCGGCGCAACCCCTGGCGCCGAGAGGAGCACCTTGGTCAAGAGTCGCTCCAATGCCTCAGTACTTGCAATCAAGTCCTGGGTGACTTTATCATCGTCGGTGACCTCAAGACCGCGTGCCTCGAGCACGTTCCTCCGGCGCAGCCATTGGCTGGTGTCCCCCGAAACCCTTGACACTGACATGCTCACGTCGGACACTGTCTCCTTATCCTCCTTGACAATGGTCTCCCACAGCGACGCAAAGAATGGCTCCATGTTCTCTGGTAGACTCTTGGTTTGCTGGCTGATCTTGTACACTTTGATTTCCATGACTCTGTGATTCAACTTCAACTCGCGGTTCTGAAGGAAGAGGTGTACATGTTCGAGTTTGATTTGAATGTCCTTCGAAAGCGGATGGCTCTTGGTAGACGAGCGCAGCATGTCAATGAGCTCTTTGTAGCGTATGAGGTTCCGAGACGCCTGTTCGGCAAGGGCCTTGACAGTCTTCAGATCGAGTTCGGATGGCATTGTCGGTGGCGGAGATGAGGATCGCGAGCGGCGAGGGGGAGGAGAAGCAGTTGAGTCTCGGCGTCTTGTTTGGGAGTAGGAATCTCGGTGATTCTCTCGCGCATCACGACGATAGTGATGTGATGTATCTTCTGGCTCTGGAGTGCTTGAAGCCCTCGGCTTCGTGTCGCTATAATTTGCGTCACCAGCGAACGAGCCATAATAGCTGCTGTATGCGGAACCCGCTGTAGAGTCACGATAGCCGTTCCATGAATTGGAGTTGGGTCCTGTTCTATAGCCAGATCCTGTATAAGAGTAATGATCACCCGGCATCGAGTCTTCGTAGTAGGAACTGCCGTAGAATTGGGAATAGTCGCGTGAGTACCGAGCTCTTCCTGAGTCTGTGTGATCTCTGCCATGGTGCTTTGGCTTCTGTGCGTTCTGACATTCTTGATCATATTTTGCGCGCGTGGCAGGATCTCTGAGGACTTCCCATGCTGCCTGGATTTGGACAAATACGGACTGGGATCCTCCTTTATCAGGGTGGGCTCGAAGAACTAATTTGGTGTATGCTGCTTTGATCTGCTGGAGAGTAGCATCAGGCGAGACACCAAGCACAGAGTAATGGTTTGCCATTTTGCTTCGCCGTAGGTATGGTGGATGTTGATGACAGTGATAGAACGGTGAAGCACTGATGACAGCGGCGATGAGAGCGAAGTTTGTCTCTTGAAAGGGGCAAGTGAATCTGCATTTGCGATGGGTGTGGCAGAAGAGTGAGAGTGAATGAGAACGACATCGTGCCGGTTAGCAATCCTTACGAGAAATCTATTGACCAGGCCTTGGGCGAATACAGCTTCAAAGAACAAACTGACGGAGTCCAACGGCCTTGTTCACGACTGCTCCCAAAAACAGAGGCAGAAAACAAAGGCATATTCCAGACACAACCAAGAGAGAAACAAAGACTCGTTTGACAAGAAGACTCGACAAAGGGACGTGTCATTATGACAGGCGGTGGACAATGGACAAAACGTGGGCATGAGAACAATAATTGAGATGTTATTGAGATGATTGCGACCAGCTACAGAATACAGCATCTGTTATGATGATTGCGATGTTGAGGAGCTGTGTCACAGAACTTGTTACCGGAAACACTCGAAGTCGAGCCAGACAAGCATATTGTGGCGTAATTGCACGTGACAGCACGTGTCTGTGGCGCACCACATATGGCGGTGCGTTCACCCACCATTGCGTCATAGCGCCAGCTATATTTGAACGCCGCATCGCATTGCTGCCCTTGTCCTGCACGGTAACCAAATACTGACAATCATCGACAATCAATGATCATCATCGCGACGCTCACTCCCAGGCCGCTATCCGTCAATGCAACGCTCTTAGAAAAAAAGGCTTGCTCGCTCAGACCAGGCATGTCTTACAGCCCGTAATCTCCCCAACCTTATGATACGTTCACATTCCGTGCTGGCGAACCCCCCCACGGCCCCAAAAATGCGGTGGCTGGGCATCATCCTTTTCCTCCTTTCCCATCCTCTTCTCTACACTGAGTTCTCACTGCAGGCGGAGAAAGTTGTCTTAGCAGCATGCATGACTTACTTATCGGTAAGCTCTTTGCTGCATTTCTTTGTCGGGAGGTTGGTAAGCGGTGAAGATGACCCTCTTCCAACTTCTCCTCGCACGGCTACATCGGTACATCTTCGATCCCAGCGGAATGTTCATCCATAGACCGATGCAGCCAAGACCGTCCGGCCCTGGTCTCTTAATCCGGCTGGCTCGCCCCTGTCCCACCGTTGAGGTCACGATCGCTGGTCTGCCTCGCGCTCGTGGCCAACCGCCTCTTGTCCCGCTAGAGGTAGTGGTAAAATCGCCTCGAATGGCTTGAGGCTGACGTGGCGCTCCTCTCTGCTTGAACCGAGCTATTCTTGACACAATGCGAAGAGTCTAGATGATCAGAGCATCTTTTAGCTTGAAGTGGTGGACAGGCAGAACTGCGTTTGCATTGGCGAAGAGCACGCATGCGAGGCTCTTAGCCTCATGCATGTTCCAAGCACCAGATATCCAGACACGGGCCTAGCCGAACAAAAAGATCGGCTAGTCAGCTGATATTCTATCTTCGGAACTATGCTATACCTACTCAACCTCGCAGTTCCTGCTGTGACTCTTGCCTGAAACACTGCCACTGCCTGTGGCAGATACTCGCCTCTCCCTCCGAGCCAGACCAGACGGCCACCACGCCCTCCACCTTTCGCCGGCTGTCGATTCGGCTCTGGAACGTTGAATCATTTGGGCCCTGCCCATGTTTCAAGAGTGTAATTGGTTCCTGCGTCTCCCCTTGCTAATCATCCACATGATACCGTTCCTGCAGAACGAGAACCGCTGGATTTGTCTCCCTGACCCCCCAATCCCCAATCGTCGTTACTGGCTGGCGTGCCCTCAACCCTGATCCCCAAAGCTAAGAAATTCCCTTGTTGCGTATGCGCTGGCGAAATTTTTTTCGCCGTGTTCGTCGAGTCTCAAACCGTAGATTGGACACGAAAAGTAGGCTGTTGGCCCAAAAAATCATAGAAAATCGAGACGTATCAAAGTTGAATTGTGTAATCAATTAGTTGGTCGATACATTGGTGTTGATACCGACCTCTAGTGGAAGTCACGCTTGGGTATCATCGTTTCCAACAAACGAAAAATACAATAATGTGGGTATCTCGAAAAGTCATGTTCTCGTGAAAAGTATGGTCGGAGCTCGCTCGGGGACCCGTATATCATCCCTTCGTTCGAATCGTCCTTCGTTGTACTGAAGTAAAAAGCAAAATCAGAAGAAAAGAAAAATGGTTGCAAAAGGATCCTTGTCGGAGAAATTAGCCGCAAACTGTCCTCCGTCCGTTGTTGCCAAACTGTACATGCCCAACAAAGGATGTCGGCAGTCCAAAGCTCCAAGCTCAGGGATGGCATAGTCGCCGTTAAAAAGGGGTATCAAATAAAGTCGATAGGGTCGTTCGATGAAGCCAAGTCCGAACGCTCCTCTGAAATGTGCCGCCGTAACATGTGTCGTGTTCGTGATGAAAAACAAAATAGAATCAGGAAAGCCAGGGGTATCTCATGCAATTTCCGGGTCCTGGATTGGTGTACAAATCTTCAATAGTTCAACCACATCTCCAACGGGTCCGAAACAAATGACTCCGTAGGTGGTATCTCGCTGTCGACCTTCACTTCTGCCGCGGTGGGCGCGATGAATTCGTTTTTGACCGGCTGATCGGCGTCGAGCGGCGTGAATTCAACAATCATATCTTGTCCCTCGGGAAGTTCTCTTACAACATCTTCGTCTACGATGATGTGAAGCCCGCGAGAATTGACATGTGTGACCTGAGTAACTCTCTGAGGATCGATCTGGAATTTCGTTGCAATATTGTTGACCAGGTCTTTGACAGTACGCTGCATCAAGTAGACTGCGCGATAGTATTCTTTGGCTGCATCTTTTTGGCGCACGTAGAAGCACGCAACTGTAACCACGTCAGATTGGAACTTGCGAGATAAACATGGACACTGACCTGGCCGGATGGGCCGTTCCACAGGGGGCAGATAGTTGCTGTCCACATCAACAGCAAAAAGCTCCTGTCTAGTGACAGGTTCCTCCTCGGTTTTGGGAATTTTCACCGGCCTCGACCTGGAGACGCCTCCGGCGTGATCGTGATCGTACTCGCTTTCGCCCTCTTCCAGGATGGCAGTCTGCTGCAGGTCGGAAAATTTTCTCTTCGGGGTGGCCTGTGAGGCTGAGCTCGAAGATGGTGAACCAGCATTTGACGTGGGGGAATCAGATGCACTCTGTCTCGACTCCCACGTCCCGGTCCGCACGATTTCTCTGCCTTCAGGGTCGTCTCCGGGTAGTTTGACGGGGTACAGATCCGGATCATCTTCGGGTGCACCAGGCAAAAACAAAATGCTGATAGGTCTTGTCGACGAAAACATATCTTGCATGCTGATCAGCTTCATTTGAAGGTCCTCTTCCGCGGAGAACTTGACGCCCTCTGCTTCTGAGTCGACAGACCAGGTCCGCTTGTGTTTCATAACTTTTCCAGCTTTGGATGTTGAGGCTTTTGCGATTGAGCTGCTTCTCCTCCTCTTTGTGGCGCTTCCCACGCCTGCTTCAGCTTGGGCGATCTGCTGTTTGAGCTTGTCGATTGTTTTCTTCACATGTGCGACGTCGTTTGAGAGTTTGCGCTCTGCGCCATGATCACGGAAAAGCTTGACCTTGGAATAGCACACCTCCGGCTTGTTGCTACTGCTTGGCTGCGCAGTGAGCAGCTCAGTTTTGGCACAGAGTCTGACTGGTATGCCCTTGACTCCCTTAGAGTGGCTGAAGTCTGTCGACAAGAAGTTGAAACGAACTGATATGGAACAATCGGGACTCCCATTGACGGAATTTGGTGACCAAGTTACTGCGAAACCATCGAAGGAGGCTTTCTCAATTTGCACAGCTGGAGGTTTCCGCAGGTCATCCTCTCCACTCGGATTTGGTTCGACGAATTCCACAGCCAGAAGTCTCCCGCCTCGCTGGTGGGCTTCGTTCGACCCGCGGCCTTCCTTCCAGAGCTGCCAACATGCGCCGGGTCGCGCCCTTTGCTGTTCGTCTTCGAAGGACACGCGGACGTAAGTACGATACTTGAGAGGAGTGTTCTGCCGTGTGGGAGGAGCGGTGTCCCAAATTGACATGGTGTAAGCCTGGCCTTTGTTGAGGTACGTGATGGGGATTTCATCCGCATGGCGGACCATCGCTGTGGGGGCGTTCAACGTCGTGTGAAATCGAAATCTGCCATCAATGTCAGCGGGTTCCTGGTTGAAGTGAGTGAATACTAACTTCTGTCCCGGAGGTAGACTGGTCAAGGCAGCGCTTCCAGAAATAGACGGTCGCATAGGTTGGTTGATAGTCTGCTGCTCAATGCCTATGTCGGGCTGTGTCGGAGTTGTCTTATGAGGAGTCTCGTCCATGGCGACATAGCCAGAGTCCTGATGTTGCAGGAACTGCTGAGGAGCATACACCTGTGGTTGCTGCGAAGGGACATGAATAGGGGGTGGCTGAGGATGGAAAGGATCCTGAAATGGGTGAGGCTGGTGTAGGAGGTGCGGATTGAAGTGCTGGAGATGCATCAAGTGGTCCTGTGCGTGTAGCCCGTGGACCGAGTGCGGTAGTGATAGAGGGGTATTCATTCCCATGCCGGGCGTGTGAAGGTCGCCCGCTTGAGGGTGGTAGAGGGTTCCAAAGCCACCAGGTGTAGGAGTGTAGTATCCCGGAGGTTGGTTGGCGAAGGCACTAAAGGCATACGAGTTGGGATCCATGAGGGAGGGAGTAAACCTCCAGGCGTCGGAAAATGGTTTGGGAGTGGCATCCTGCTCCTTCACCTCGGGCTGCTGGCCTTCAAAGGCTCTGGCGAAATAGTCAGCGTTGTCGGCATGGTCGTCGCAATGCCCAGACGGGCGTAGATTTGGAGACATTGTGTCAACGATGGGGGAGGCTTGGGGGGGCCTGGGTGAAGGCACTGGTGGGTTGAAGTAAGACATTTCCTAAACATACGGCTGAGATATCGATGGTTCATCTATGATGGCCTCGCTTAAAGTTGACGATCGGCGGCCAGTACTGGCGTCCCCTGGCAAAGCTGAAGAGGTCGACCCAGGCCCTACCTCGGGGAACTTCTGCTTGAAGGCCGCGTACAACTCCTCATCAGGCTTCTGAGTATTGCGCCTAACCACACGACCTGCCTGTCAGTACTGCTGTGTCGGCTAGGGCTGTAAAGATGAAACGGGTATAGATCGAAAGGCAAAGACTGACCGATTGCGAAACATTTGCGGCGGGGACAGCCGTCTCAGACTGTTGGACCAAGAGAGAACGAGGTCAAATCAAAGACATGGGGCCGGCGAGATGCGCGTCGAACGATGCCAGGGCGACAGCACTCAAGCGTCGTGCATCAGTTCAACGGCGACCGCGCTCGCAGAAGATGTAATTGCAGGAGATCTAGGAATGTAGGAGGTTCGACGGACTTGCTGCGCCTTGTTGCGTGCGTGTTTCGTCGGGGGAGGTCTGATCGAGGATGGGGGCTGATGGTGGCCGTGGAGATCGGTAGGGCAGACAGGCTGTCGAGGTGGGTGGGCTCTCAAGGGCAATATGAAGACAGGCGAGAGGTTAAGAAGAAAAAGACAGACAACATAAAAAGGATCGACGGATGGAATGGGCGAGGTACGAGGGGTTTGAGATGCAAGGTTGTTGGTGTGCGAGAGTGTGTGTGTGTGTGAGGTGTGAGGTAGTAGGTGCACGTTCGAGTGGGACATAGGACGCGGTGGAGCGAGTCTCGTCAAAATGAACGGACCGGGGGGGTGGTCATCACGATGTACTGGAGGGATGGGGCCTCGGATGCAGCAGCGATGGAATTAGCCATGACCATGGCACTCGGGACCATGGCTAGCAGCCACGGGAGCCCATGATTCTTAGGGGGGCCATGGGTCCGAGACGGGCTTCTGGGTGCTAAGGATGAAGCAACAGGGGTGGATACTCTGAGATTCTAGCGGGCCATGAACAAAAATTGGGATGAGATGTCGATTTGCTTCTCTCTCTTGTGTCGCTGAACGAAGCAGGTACGGGCCTCCGTTCGGCGTAAGGCAACATCGACGCCCATGTTTAGCATGGAGCCTAATTCCCAAAGCCTAAACACGGGGGCTCCACTGGGCTCTCCACCCATGCGCCTAATGCTCTGAACTGAGCCACGCCTACCAGGGATCAACTGGGGGTCGTCATTGGAGCAGCGGACCGGAGCTGCCACTTGGAACAGGCTTAGCGGGCGAGCCAGACGTGGCGTTCAATTGATTTTCAGTGGCAGGCGGTGGCAGGCAGTGGCATCACCAGTGGCACCTTGCGCCCACGGATGCCCGCGATGCCTACGACGTGGCTTGTTTCGGGAGCCTCTGTGGGTGACTTGCCCGTCATCGACACGCGCTGACTGGCCAGTGCTCGTACGTTTCAGGCCAAGGCCCGGCCATCATGCACCTCTGCCACTCCCCCATCTCCCTCTCCTGGCTCGTTCTGACTCTCACAGTATCCCCTCGTTCTTCTCTGCCGTTGTCCTCTGCTCTCTGCTCCCTGTACCCTGTTGACTGGCTGCTTCGAAGTTCGACATTCGTCCCCCCCTGACAGAAACTACCCGGGTAGTTTCTGGCAGAACTCTCTTCCTATGCAAGGTCCAGACGACCTGATCGACCTGATCGACCACACTGCTGCACCGCCACACAGCCACACGTACACCCCCCTTCCATGCTGTGGCTTTACGAGTTAACTGTGGTACACGGTACAGACTGCTGTGGCTGCTGCTCTGTGGCAAAAAAGAGTCGGAGATTTCATCCTGACCAGCGTCTTGGCCACCTGCGCCGGAAGCGAGGGCGGGTTCGTCAGCAGCACATTTGCCGGTGCCGGACATGCACCCACTCCCAGCAACCTGTGGCTTGCTCACTTTCATTTTCCCATGTCTGTTTCCCATCTCGGTTGCCCAAAGCCGTTTGTTCAAAGCAATTCGCCCATCTTCCTCCATCATTTTGCTGGAGCGAGATCACGGCCGACTGATGAAACACTCCGTCAGTCATCCATCTTCAGCCACAGGCGATTGTTTGATCAACACTTATCATCATAAGATCGCTAAGCTAATCTATCGCTGTAGGAGGCATGGACTGTGCTGATCGCCCACACGTGCCCACGAGGATCAGCACGCTTCCTTGTTGTCGATCATTCCGCTTTGTTCATTTCGCCCAGAAGCCGTCTCTGGAAACAGGCCAATTGCCGCCGACGGCGCCACCACTGACTCATGGAGTAGTATCTCGCTCTCGGCTGGACGCGTATACATACAGCGGTACAGGACAGGACAAGACGGTGGCACACCATGGAGAAGCAGTAGCTATGAAGAGATATTTCGCGGGTAGATTGGATAACACACGGACTGTCTTCTCCTCTACGGGGAACTCGATCCACATGACCGCAACTCCGTATTCGGCTACCAAAACACCGGGCGTTCTTACTTATCAATGCCCAACGGACCAGATTGACCTAAACAACTGTTCTTTGGGGCTGCCTGACAGAGTTCTCGATAGGCGGTCAACCAAACCCGCCGGCTGGCGTAGTGCCCAATAACGGATTATTACGCTACAGTGCCTGAAGCAACACGGCAAAAATTCGTCACGATGCACCGTCCGAAATTACATCATGTCGGCGCTCACTGACCAACCACCGTGGCCGCAGCCTCTGCAACATGAAACAGAACGGGCGCACGAAAAGAGAGGTTCGAGGACATCCATGGTCAAGTGACCATCTGGTAATCCCACAACTGATCACACAAACTATTCGTCATTCTCCACGGCAAGCCCGTCATACCACCAATCAGTAATCTTGGGGATCTTGGAGAAACTCCTCGATCAAATCTGTCTAGGGAAGTCTAAGGAGTCACCCAGTAGTCCAGCGCATAAGGTTACTCTCCAAAGGATCTCTTCCGTCAGCCATTCTCCTCAATTTCCGACTCGATCTTACTGGCGCTGGCGATTGGAAGTGACCTTGCAACAAACAATCGAGACAGGATGAGGTCATTATTCCTATCATTCCGGATGCAGGCAAATCACGTTTACTACTTGCAACCAATGCTACCTACATCCAAGTCTGTCGGCTAAAGGCAGAGCAGTGATTTGAGTGGATTTTTAGGAAGATTCACCCGGGTAATCTCGATTCGAGACAATTGGAACACGGATGGAACAAATTTGGGCGGCACCAGCGGCATCCCCATAAGGAGACCCATCTCGAAGCGGACGGGGTGCACCAGATCGCTTCTTGGGATGGCCTTGCGGGAAGCCAACAGGCGAGACGAGCTGTGGCACCAAATTGGCGCCCCACCAACGTCTTTTGTGCCGTGGGGACACCACGCAGTATGCGCCACGCCTGACAGCTATGTAAATTTGGCTGGAGTCCAGTCACCAAATGTCTCTTTCGGCACCTTAATGGCACTTTTGGAGGATGGTGAATCAAACCTTTTGGTCATACCGCGGACTCAGCGTTGCCGCGGAGTCGTTCCCGGACGCTGGGAGGCCAAAAATTTCGTTTGGAAATTGCACAGGCCACTTCGAATATTCTCCGAAATACCAGGACCGGGACTGTTGATTTGGTAAATGAGCTTCGGACAAAGTATACCTCGTACTTGCCGATGTTCCAGAAACGGCCATCATACTGGAATGACCACTACGATTTAGACCGCAGTTTTGCGGGCTGAACAGAATTTCCTTCCCTGCCCGGCAACGGTTTCCCGGCGACGACGTTTGAGATTCGCCTCCTTGAAGAAAAGAAAAGATTCTTGTGGACGACAATGTTGTGCGCCAACGGGAAAGCCTGGAGAACAAAGACCGCGCCATCCGAAGGTGTGTGCCAAGGAGGCACGGGAGGGCACAAAAGTCTAGAGGCCTTTCAAAGGGACCACGATGGTGTAACGGGACGCCACACTCTGTGCGCCACAAAAAATGAAAATCTTTCCGAAAGTGAGGGAGATCGACGTCGCTGCGACCTCGCCACTGTGGCTGAACACTGGGGCTCGAACCGCCTGAAGGACATCTCACGGGTCTAGATGCTGGCCGGAAGATATAGAGGTACGCGTTCACAGGGACTTTTTACGAGATTCGAGTAACCTTAAGACTGGTACGATTTCGGAAGAGGGACATGGCCTCAACGTTTGGCTTGTGGAAGACCCTCAAGCGGCTCGCGAATCGAATTGAACTAACCTCCAGCGATTACGACGACCAGAAGATTGGAAGACACGGAAAGTCAGTAGGCGAAACTTGCCGCGTTCCTCAGGCCACTCTCTATCGAATCTTCGGCCAGGACGAGGCGGTTGTCCGTTCCGTTGAGCAGTGGAGAACGTTCTGATCACAAAGCCAGAATGCCACCTACCAACGGCTTGCTCGTTTCTGTGGATATCCTCGAGATTGTGAAGGGCCACGACTGTCTTGGCCAGGTTCTTGTGAGTTCGAGATTTTTACTTTTTTTTTAATTAATCTTTCGCAGCATTGTCGAGACGGCCAAGGGGGTCGCTTGGACCCAGTCTTGATCCCACTCTCGCGAACTCGGTTGAACCCTTGGGTGGGCAAGGAAGAGCAATATGCTGGTCGGCTGGCCGCCTCGCAGTGTTTTGCTCTCGCCCTACCACCTTGGTTCGTCTGCAAGATGTCGATTTGTCCGCGACGAGTCCGAGCTGCCCTCCATCAATCCTTTGTGCCATCGGGACGGGTATCTGGTGTTGGCGGTCGACAAACAGCTGAAGCGGTGAGGTTTCCAGTTCCGGTCGTACTTTTGATGCCCAAAGAATGCCTTCTGAACCGCCTACAGCACGGATTCGCATTGTCTATCTGGCTCAACAGCCAAGGTAAGCGATTGCCACGCCAGCTGTGAGGCCGAGAGGACGACACAGGTTGCCTTGAGACAGGTTGCCGTCCTGGCGGGTGACGGATTGTCTAAGGCATTGATGTCAAGGTAGGGAGGGGTCCGCCGCTGCTTGATTTAATATCTCGAATTTGTGCTGTACCTCAATCATGAACCTATTGCCATCACAAATCCAGCGACCTTCCTATTCACTTGCCTCCTTCGGAGCACAATCACATATTGAGTCTGCCATAGAGCGTTGTTTGACGCAGTATATGATCTTGGCCAGAAGCCCTAGTCCGTCGTTGACCATCCCCACACATGCGTTCGGGCTCGTGTAACGTCTCGCTGGTGGGGTCAAGTCGAACGACCATTGACCATCCACTTCTCCAGTCCAGAAGAATGATACAGGCGACGTCTGTCACTCAGATCTTCGGTGGCATCTTATTCTGAACGTGAACACATACGCACCAGCTATTTAGATTCAGCTATGTAATACGGTCCGTCAGCTCTTCGGGAAAACGCCCAATCACACACCCTCCACAGAAACAGCAAACAACAAACTGCCCCTTCGCATTCACGTCACGGGGCTGGGAAAAAACCCCCTCTCCTGCTTCCTTCCGTCTGGTGGGTATGTAGCACCAGCGTTGAGGAGGGAGAGAGGAAAGGGGGAAAAAACCAGCACCAAGGGGGAATATGTACATCAAAGGGAAAAGAAGATCAAAACCATCCGAGTTGTCCCTTGAACAGACCTATGTTGCATGAACGCCACGCCCCTGCAAAAAAACGGAGGGAGGGAGGGCGAGCGTCGCTCAGTAGTCATCCCCACGGCTTAGGATCTCTTTATGCGTCTCGCGCAGGAGGAGAGTCTGGGTGTGGGTGAGAGAATTGATTGTAAGCCTTTCGCGTCTGGGCGTCATTGGGGTTGTTTTCCATAGCACACGAAGACGTCGCTAGGGGATGAAAGGGAATGGATGGACTTACATGTTCAAACTGCGCCGAGTACGAGCCTGGAATATCCATCAGAGGCACATGAGCGTCCACGATGCCGTGAGAGACGAGAGAGTTCATCTGGAGGCCACAGGGATGTATCAGTCAGCATCATGGATGGAGGTGGTCTCGGGGATTTCTTCCCTCCCAGGAGGGGGAAGAAACCCTGATGCACTTACGCCAGCCAGGTACCTCTCCACGCCCAGTCGCTCGAGGTAGCGACGGCAGAACACCAGCGTGCCGAAGTTCTCGCGGATCGTCTTGTGCAGACGTCTGGCCGAGGCCAGGGGGAGAGATGTCGTCAGTGGGGCGTCGTGGTTCAGCCCGTAACCGTATATTCCGACCTGGTGGTGCAGTAGTTGGGGTCAATCAGTATAAAGTTTTTCTTGCTTTGCAGATAGAATGACACCATGGAGGAAGGGGGAAAAAGGAGGGGAGCTGGCTGGCCTACATCGTCCATCACGATACCGCGCCCGGTGGTGCCGAATGTCTCGATGGCGAAGATCTCGCCCTCCTCCATCTTGGTCTGGTCCGAGTTCTTCACAAAGGGGATGGACTTCCCTCCATGGATGCGGTAGTGCTTGATATCGTGTGCTGAGAGATTCCGCACTGGCTTGACGGGGAACGTCTTGCCGCCGATTTCAACCTCGTAGCTCTCCATCGCCTCCTGGATGGCGGCGCTCACGTCGCTGATTCGCACGTCGATACCGGCAGTCTGTTGACGGCATTGTTAGCCATAGTGTCCTGGCCCTTGGTACGTACCGGTTGAGGAGGAGAGCTCGGTACCTTGATCCCCGTGTTGGTGGCATCCTTGACGGCTGCAAGGAGATTGTCGTACGTGTGGTCAAAGGCCATCGTAAAGGCACTGTCGATGATCCAGCCGTTGCTGTGCACACCAAAATCTACGGTGAGGATGTCTTGTTGCCGGAGCACGACATCCTTCTGGCCCGGGTTGGGTGTGTAGTGGGCGACTTGATTGTTGAGGCAGAGGCCCGTCGGGAAACCCATGCCTCCCTTGAGGCTGTCTCCAGGCTCCAGTCCGGCATGGCCGAGCAGCGCCCTCACACTATCCTCGATTCCTTCGGCCACCTCCAGCAGTGTGTGTCCGGGCTTGACGCTTTCTTGTAGCCACTGTCGGGTTTGCCGGTGCACCTCGGCGGCCTTCCGGTAGTTCTGGAGGAACCGATCGTCTTCCCAGTGCCGACGAGCTTCGTAGCGGGCTTCAGCAGCTGCGGAACATGATTCGGCGTAGCTCTGCATCTCGCCCTGGGGATAGTGGCCGGCTGCGAAGAGGTCGCTCAACAAGATTCTTGGTGGTGACGATTGCTTGACAGGCGCAGACGCCGTCCCATTCTTCTTCTTGTTTTTCTTCTTGGGCTTCTTTCGTTTCTTCTGTGCACCTCCTACGTCGGTGGTCAAGGGCGCCTCTGGTGGTCCTAGGCTGGTTCCTTGACCATCTCCATTGCCTTCGCCGTCGCTCTCGCCATCACCTCCCCCCAGGTCTCCGAGACAGCCATCTCCGTCCCTGGACATATGAGAGCCGCGGGGCTCGCCGCCGACACGACAGGGTACATCTGAGTTGGACGAGTCGCCTTGGAATCTACCATCAGGATTTCGTGCTTGGAGTGTGTCAGGGAAAGCTATGTCAACGTACCATTGTTTCTGCGATGTTCATGCTGCGGAGTTTTAGTTCCCATTTCGACATTCCACACAATGCAGGTTGTGGTAATGAATGGCCACTGAACTCTCAACAAGAATTGGGATTGAACAAGTCTGTCGCGAGCGTTTGATGATGATGATGGGAGGTTGAAGGTTGAAGTTGAAATCCCCGCTTTGGATGCCTGCGATTACTAATCGCCCATTTTATGGAAGACGTCAAATCGCCAGGTATGAGCAAGAGTAATTCATTACTATTGCTCCTATATACAGTTTTCTTTTGGAGGCTCCACGGGCTGTTCTCAGTACGGTGTGCGTATTTTCATCTTGTTTCCCCAATCGTAAGTGTTATGCAGGATCCTAAGGCGGCCATGTCAAAGCCCTTTATACCAAAGAGGTAATCTTTGTGGCATTATTCAACAGTTTGGCCCTTAGTATTGCCCCCGGAAACTGCCTCAGGTTGACAGCATTGTTCCACTCATCCTGATATGGCAACTGGTTGATGATCACGTAAAAGTACCCGTCTTCTGCGATGCTCGCGCTATCGGGCCAGATGATCCTCGGGTCTCTTATGAATCCATGAACTTGCAGGTCTGCAGGGTCATAGTAGTAGATTGCATTGTGCGTGGGCATGAGCATGTAGATCAGGCCGTGACTGTCGCCCTCGAAGCCATTGGCCTCGCCTCCCCGTTGCCCGAGCCATGAGACATTGTTGGAGGCTGCTTGTTCAGCAAGTGGGCTTTGGCTGTCTTGTAACAGGAGGTTAGCGGTGGGAACACGGTAGAGGTTCTGCGACGTCAGTGGCGAGTAATAGATGTATTCGCCGTCGGGAGATATCTGGATCCCGTCAAGACCCTCTTGTTGATGCGAGATGCTCATTCCCGGATTCCGGTAGTAGAATGGATGGCCTTGATAGCTCGGCAATGCGTTGTATGTACGCAGCACAGATGGATGTTGCGTTAGTCTCCGCCAGGACGCGCCGTCTGTGAGATTCAGCATGATGAATCCATTGCGGCCTTCGTTGCTGGAGTCCACAATGTATGCCACTTCGGACCCGGCTCGCAGATCGAAGCGGATGTCGTTCATGTACGAGTCGGGATAATGCACAGTGGATGGAAACGTGTAGGTTGTATAGACAGTATTGTTCGATAAATTGACGCCCACAACTTTTGGCCCGCCTGGTTGTGCGTAGGGCATGGTGTAGCTCCCAGAAGAGGACTGTATGGTTGGCCGGCCTGTGTCCAAGAGCCACAGCGTCTCAGGTCGGCCTGAAGAAGTTGCAGGAGTGATATAGAGAGCCTGCACACTGATCAAGCCGGTGGAATTGGCACTTCCAAAGTCGATCCCATTGAAAGTTGTGTTAAGTGCATCAGCAGGCAAATTCAGGTCGGCAGACGGGAAAGGAGTCTCTGAAGTTGTGCTGTTGACTTCCGCAACGGTATAGTCGTAGTCCCCCCGGGTGTAGCAGACAAAGATTCTCGAGGTGCTGGACACTGCGATGCCAATCGGCCAGTATTTGTAGAAATAGTGGACTTCCTCGACTGCAGGGCCGTAAGTCCCGTTGTCCACCCGTAGGATTGTATCAAACCTGGAGTTATTGGAAACGAGCCCAGCCGAGGAAATGGTGTTATCTTGAGTCAAGCTGGCATTCTGGGCCATGGCTATGCTGGCCAACGCCAGGCCTGCCACGCAGAGACTGTGTACGCCCATACTGCTGAATCTCTCAATTTCGACAAGAATAATAGCCACATGGAAGCAGCAGTGGGAAAGTTAGTCTAGCACTCATTCATCGAGCGGATGATGTTAATATTGAGTCCAGTGCGACCCTCAACTTCAGGAGAACACCCGAGCCCTTCATCCATCATCGCGTCATAGTTCTTTCTTAGGTTTCGGAGATGACTGCGAGTGGGGTGGATGCAGTTTTCTGAACTGCCAAAACAAGCAGCTCAGCTGTGGGACTGTGTAAGTTGTTGATATCGTGCCGGCACCGGCGGCAAGATGCATGGTGCCCAAGGGTGCCAGGGCGTCCGAACGTACACGTCACAAAGGCGTGCAGATCTGATTTTAGTTTCGCATCAGCCGAGAAGTTCAACAAGGCTGAGCTAGTCCCGACATGTCTGGGCTTCGTGGTGCAAGGCTGTCACCACATAACGCTCTTTACTTTTGGTCATTAGAAATTCCCATTAATATCTATCTAAAAGCAGAATCGAGCCTGGGTTCGACAGTGCTCAGTCTGTCTCGTCCGTCAGTAGCTCATGTGCACGAGACATAGAGCCACCTTGTCGTTGGATAGCTCTTGGTCCGCCGGAGTGGCCGGTTTTCGTCCCTTGCTTCCAGGGCTGCAAACATGTACATCGCCACGAGTGCATACGTGATGGCCTGCCTCTCTAATCACTGTTGAGATCGTCTCCAGCCGGTGGATGTCGTTTCTCTTCATTATTGTAGAATAGTTCCCCATTGATCCTTTTTGTGTGCGTGTGTGTATTCTTTTGCCGTCATCGTATGCCTGGCTAACTGTGTCCCTCCCGATGGGTTCATTCTGTACAAGGCGTGAAGCAACATTAATATCCCGTATGATGCCGAAATGAAACAATATCGATTAATCGCCACGCCATCCAAAACGATTATCATCCGTTGCAAGTGTGGGATATTCCCATTCGAAATCATGCAAGTCGACGTCCGTCGGAGGGTATTGTATGGTCTGTGTTCGTCGTCAATGTGCAATCGTCTCCAAGACGACATTAGCGTGTGATAATAATCTGGAAACCGTCTATCCACGGCCCACAGCTTCCTGAAATCCCAGCAAGACTGTACCCCCGGGGCGCCATCAAAGTATGTCTGTCATCTGGTTAGAACAAGACTGGAGATAGAAGGAACACGGAGCGCCTTGGCTTACCCAGATCCACCTGTTGCATTCCCAAAAACACTCGATCTTCGGCCGGTGCTGGTCAAGATCTCAATACCGTCGACCCAAAGCCCGGCACGCACATAAAAGCCGAGAATGGTTTCGCCACGACGCGTGTCTGCGAATGTTAGCCCTCTGGAATATCGCGCTTCGACGTCTCGGACTTACCAAGGACGAATTCGTCACCGCCAGGTTTCCCACCCCTCTTACCGAATAGTTGACTATGGCCGTCTTCATAGCAGAATTCAATGCCGTCCAGTGCATATCCATGATAAACTCTGACCGACGTCAGAAGTTTTGTCTGGAGATGAATGCTTTCTAGGATCAGCTCCTCTGGTTGCGAACCTTCCAGCTGGGATTGTCCGAGCTTCTTGCTTCGAAAACCGAATCGAGAGTCGAAGGACTTGCTCAGCCCAACAACATTGTTCAGCGCGTTCATGGTCAGGCCTTCATCGCGCTTCGGCGCCTGCTTGACGTGTGGAAGGTTCACAATATATTTCTTCGACAAGAGGTCATCTAAATCTTCGATCTTTTCACTTCGGGAACTACCACAGAAGATCGTCAAAGACAGCTTGACCTTCTTCTTGTCTTCAGGTAGACGTCCACGGATGTCAGTCTCGGCCACGGTGATTTGTCTGGGGGTCGCGCTGTGTCGGGGATCAGCATTGGTAAAGTCGATCCATTGCCGGCACAGCTCATCGCCCTCGGTCCGTATCTCAATAAATGAAATCCCTGAGGGGGCCGAACAGATCACACGTCCGTTGCCAACTGGAAAATACTGAATACTGTCGTCTTGTGGGAGGGGCTCATCACTCGGGAGTCTGAAGCAAGGGTGGTATCGGAAACGCAGCACGTCTAGTCGATGCCAACCGCACTCGTCTTCCTGGCGACAGACCTTGAGACCTTGCGATTTTGTTCTTGTTGAGTATGGTTCTTTGACCAAGAATGTGCGGTTCAATCGGACATAGTCTCTTAGCATGACTCCGTTTTCCTGGTGCGGACACCCAAAAAGATGGCCGACCTCATGCAGATGAGCGCCAATACCAATGTTGGCGGCTTCCCAGCTGCTTCCGGATTCATTGCAATCGTTTGCCACATACTTGGTGTCCGTCCGCGTGCAGTCCATGAAGGCGGGCACGACTTCCTCGATACAAGACGGATAGCTCTGAAGAGCGTGTGAGCCGAAAATGGCCAGGCCAAGGTCATCCCCTGTACCACCGAGAGCAGCATGACCCCTAATTGTTCCGGCTTCTGGATCCCAGTGAGCATCAAGAAGGAGGCACGCCACGTGCTGCTTTTGTCCCGGCTTCATATTGAAATACTTCTTGACAGCATCCGCCGCAATTGAGTAAAGCTCTCCTTTCTTGGCTGCGGGTGAGTGTTGCTGCGCGTATTGCAGATCCTGCAACTCTGCAGTAGTCTTGTCCGCCCGAACGACATGGATCCTGGCTTCATTCTTCATGATGCCCATTTCCCAATCTCGCATGGACAGTGTACCGGTCTGCCATTCTTCCTCGAACCTGAAACATCTGCGGCCGAATTTGTGTCGGTACATTTGTTCTGCAGTGAATGTCTGCCACAGATGAGCGGCCATTCGAAATTTCTTGATGGCCATGGACAGATCGTTGCCCTCATTGTGCATTCTCTGAGGAACTGCGTCATATGTACAGGGCGAATCCCTCCCAACCAGGATGACAAGCTGAAGAGGAGGGGCGCTATTCAACGGGAGGTAGTTGAGCATCATATACGAAGTGTGCATGGTCGGCGCGGATCCAGTGCTGTAGTGACTCAATTTTGGGGAGGTAAAGTCAAAGCGAATTCGGTTCCAGCCGGGTGAGAGATAGACCAGCGCTTTGAAGTATGAGTCGGATACGGGCCAGTTCGTGGGAGGGAACGCCTGTCCCTCCTTGTCGTGATGGACCGTCAGATTGCCGTCCATGGGTTTCTGATAAGGATCGCCAATTTCTCCATTCACCAACAGTACTTTGTGATAGACCTGTACACCGTCTGTAAGCCTCGCCGCCCAGTCGAAATCATTGGACCGGCACGTACCACTGAATTATCCATGACTGAGGTAATTTTAGGCGCATACGCAGAGGTCGGAGGAGGAACTCTTATGGTCCCATTAGAGCCGGAAGGAGATAGAGTCTGGTCTTGTCAGCGCACAGCCGCGGTCCGCTCAAGGGTTATTCCACAAGACTTACTATCATACTGTTTCTATTGGAATTTGGCACCGTCACATGGGGTCGCTGAGGGACCGGAGGTGGAGTGTCGCCACTGCTCTTGACCGTGCCCAAGACGTTGTAAGAAGAGCCATTGGCGTGATATGTTGAAGGCGGTGTTGCACTCCCGGGGGCGGAGTTAAGAGTAGAGGACGACTTCGCGGTGGGCACGGTGCCATTGGAATCTGTCGAGGAGTCGGAGGTTCGGAAACTTGCTTTCGACCGTCGGCGCAGTTCTTTGAAGAAGGGCATGGTTGCTGGCGAGGGACTTGGAGTGGAGAGCGTTTTAACAATCGATCATAGATCTGAGAGGCAGTGCCAGGGAGGGAGGGAGCTCGTCCGTGTGTGGCCGTGTGACCGAACAGTGAGTGATGATGCCGCAAGGTAAGAAGAATTAACGGTGGGATGTAACGACCGCATGCACATGCATGTGCAATGGAGCTTTTTTCCGAAGTGACAACTGGCTGTAATGGTCTCACAGCAGCAACAGAGTAAAGACGACAAAGCTCCCCTCGAACAGTTTGAACAGACAAACGAGCGACCAGGAGAGCACGAGGGCCGTTCAATTAGGATGAGAACGAGGTTGAGGGTAAGATGAAGAGAAAAGTGATCGTCAATTCGACGATAAGCACCAAGTTGAAATGGCGACGGGGAGGTATCATGGCCCGGACTTTGCGACGTGGACAATGCTTGGGGACTACCGAGCCCAAAGCCCGCGGCACTATGGATGTATTTCTGGGTGGCAGTGGACGGAAATGCAGCTTCATGCAGCAAGTCGCAGGTCGCAGGGCAAGATCGAACTGTGGTTATTTGCAAGACATGCGTTGCCGCCAGCAGGTGCGATTCGCCAGAAGCAAGCACCAGGCAACATGGTGCAATCAGCTTGGCTAGAAGCCCACCGCATGCGACCAGGATAACCAGGATACCAAATGATAAAGGTGGGGAGCGGCATGCGCAAAATGCGCAATCCCCAATCCCTATGCCTGGGCCACAGCACCTTTGCCCACTGCACACATGCACCCCTTGTGCTTGGGAGCCTTTGGGGGACACCGAAGGCACTGAGGGGGCTATTAGTTAAGCTGTTTAGGGACTGGCGGCCCGGACGAGCTATGCAATGGTGGGCTCGGTGGGCACTTTTCACGGGCAATGACGTCGGCGACGCATCTTGGAAGAGCTGGGAATCAATGGCAGGAACATGTGGTTGGTGTGGCGCCCAGAGATAATCGGTGTTGACCATGACTTTTTCTCCGGTCTGGTTCAGTGACAATGTGATCCACTCAGCGTCTTCCTCCTGTCCCTGTCCCAATGAGGAGCACACAATCTCTACGAGATACTCCGTGCCCATGGTGCTGGAGCTGGATATCTGATGTGCACGACTATGAGTTCAGCCGATCTTGTTAAATCAGGGGAAACCTGAATGCTTGTTCTGAGATTTCATCCGAGAACGGCTGCCCCTACTGTAATTTGTAAGGGGATATCATAGTGCAATTTCAGCTACGACTCCATACAGTGGATATGAAAGCCCACAGGAGATCGGCTTGATAGAGAATACCGATTCTCCTGCTACTGCGCACTCTCCTACTCAACAGTCACTGAACGCATGGAAATATACAGAGCACAGACCGCAAAATCTAGAGCTGAGTCGATTCGAGACACAAACATTTCTTCCCCAGCAAGACATCGACCACGCACAGGTTGTACAGGTTATACGCCTGTGCCAGAAAATGACTGTTCAGCCTGCTCCCAGCCTGACGCTGGTGCTGTAGAGACTTTCTTGGCTCACACAAAGACTTTTTGCAGAATATGTACTCCGTATCTGCCGCCGACAGAGACACGACGGCAGGCGACAACATCCCCCGAGTCTTTGTCGCACGACAATCCTGAGGGATGTCAATCCCGAGACTTAGTTCTCCATGACCATTTTCAAATTCGGATGTGGGAGCCGAAGATGTTCCTTCCTTTTTTGTTCTTGGACATATTCTCCTGCTGGCTGTTCGATCTTCCGAACTTATACTTCCAGAGCATATGCACCCAATATAACTTGATCTGCAAGTTATGTCCGTTTGAACCTGGATCAGGGGGTTTCCCCTCGATCAAACCAACGACCGTTGTCCTCTTCAATGCGGGCAACAATAAGGTCTGGGATGAGGTCAGAGGGCAGACATTTAGTTAATCATGGTTTACATAGTGTATCTTTCGGTGCCCACTGCCCGGTTCCTGGTCTGACACCGTGAAAGCTACACTGTTTTAGGGAGGCACCAGTTGTGCCGGTAGTTATTCTTCCCCAGATTCAAGAAGACCGCTTTGGCTGGTCACCGATTACCGCACCCGACACGGAAAAGGAGGAGATTTGTGAGTTTGGTTTTCTTCGCAGCTCAGATGTCAGAGAGTGTGGAGGACAGCACATCGCTCAATATCCCCGCCGGGTCGAAAAATCTCGGAACAAGCAGATCGACTTGCAGTCATGGCAGTGGAACCCAAGGAGGCGGGTTGTCGACCGGATATCAGGGCAAGGCACAGAAGACCACAGAGACCGGGAGCACGGCCTTAGGAGCAGTAGTAGTACCTGCAGCCGCTGGATCTCAGAGAAGGAACCAAAGGTAGTGAGGGCACAGGAGGACAGGAACTCAGGCCACAGGCATCATTGGATCGGTGCAAACATAGGTTTGGGATGGATGAGCATGGTCGGCTCGTATGGCTGGAGGGAGCTGCAAAGGTGCATGCGACCAGCCCAGCGGCCAATTTCACAGCCAGTCGGTAAGCTCCAAGCAGGAGTCTCAGGTAAAAGTGTAGACCATGCGTAATTAGCAGCTAAGGAGCCAATGAGTTTGACACCGTCACCAGCCACAGGCGAACGGGAGCTGCAAATGGACGGCCTCAATCCACTTGCCCTTTAGCTGCCTTAGCGGGCTTTACCCAGAACGTGCCACCAGTGCCGCCAGCGTCGACCCCCCAACGAGGGCACCCCTCGCCCGCCCTCCACAGTTGCCGCTCTGAGTGTCTGGCTGCCTCCAGTAGGAGTTTAAGGCCTGTGCTGGGAGTCCAATTAACTTAATCCAAGGCCATTCACCGTGGTCTTCAAGTTCGCTGCCACCGACATTCCTCTACCACTCACTCACTCTCCTTGAACTTATTGCTCAGCCGTCCACTTTCTTTTTCCTAAACCCCCTCTCTGCAGTTTCTTGCTCTTTGTCCTTTCGTCCTTCACGCTCATCTGTCTCGACATCTGACCTTCCAGCATGCCCTCGATCCTCCAGTAAGAGCCGAACTCGACCCGAGCACCGCCTATTGAACATAGCGCAGTTGCACCCGGCTACCCTGGCGCTGTGGCCCCACGAATTGCCAGCCCGAGTCTGGATCCATAGCAGGAATTAAACCAGCTACACCTCAATTCTTTCCTAGCCTGCGCATTGACGTCCCGGGGCAACACCACACATATTTGGCAAAATCCTCTCCCTCGTCCTTCTTAAAGCCTCCCTCGGACGCCTATCCCTCATGCTGGTCTCTCACAGCATTTGCAACAACATGACCTCTGACCAGCATCCGCATGCTGCAGCTGATGTAGCAGAGAAGGTGCTGCGGAGAGTGGAAATTGCAAAGGTAACTCAACCCAGCCCTCCCACCAAGACCTTCTGTGGGAACCCCCTTCCTGACTGACCGGACCTCCTGTACAGGTTGCTCGAAACCTCCAAGACTGTCTGGCTTTTGCGAGCTTCAAGGCCCAAAATGGCTGGCAAGATCGAACACTTGCCTCGATCGAACCCGAGTTCACCGAGAAGCTGAAGAGGAAGAGACCGTTTCTGGAGGAAGACCTCCCCTGTGATACTTCGTCTGGATCTGACGACGAATTCGTCCCTACGTCCTCAATTGCCAATAACCGCTTCTCCAAACCCTCCAACCCAACCTTTAAAATCCCTGAACCCCCATTTACTTCGAGGAAAAGAGTTCGGTCGTCCTCTGCAACCGGTCTCGACAGACAGTCGAGCACGTCGACATGGAAGCAAGATCACCGCCTGCCACAGTCTTCACCTCTTCTGAATCGTGCACAGTCGTTTCAGGAGCAACCGCTCTTTCCTACAAGTTCTGCTAGAACACCTCACCTCGCCAATGACGACTCTCCCATGTTTGATGTTCATTCTGATGACGAAGATCACGACCTCCCTATGCCTGCCTTTGGCAACGACCCATCCAGCAGCGTTTTGTCCTCATCGCCTCCTCGAACACCTCCTTCCACGAAAGCTTTCCTGAACGGTAATCCCAAGAATTCTGGCGCCGATCTCCTCCTGTACCTGGCCAATTCACCCTCCCGTTCACCAGCCATCAACATCCATCGACCCTCGGACACGTCGAAAGAACCTCCTTCAACTCCACCTGCGCAGCATTCACACCTTCCGTCTTCAGTGATGACTACTCCCGGCACTCATCTTGGGCTGTTCAACGGCGCTTTACAAACCCCGGGGCAGAATTTCAATCTGGCCGACTTCTGCAATGTTACGCCTTCACCTGCCCCGGCTCAGTGGGGCAGCCGAACTCCTAACCTCAGCAAAACTCCCAGTCGGTTCTCGCGAAGAGGATTGAATTTCGATACGTTGCAGGCTCCATCCGGAAGTCCAGAATTGCCACGAAAGGTTCCCATCGGCAAGGGACTGGCTCTGCAGCTGGGTGACGAGCTGATTCCGAGGTCGTGAATCACACCTCTGACCCTCCCTCTTTCTTTTGCCACGGCCCCCATCCACATCACCCTTTTATGATAAAACACCCAAAGGCGCACGCATAGCTGTGCCACGACCTACTCGAATTGAAACGAATAGCATACAAATGTTTTTTTTGCCCAGCAATGACGCATAAATGACCCCAAGAGAGGCGGCCATTGATTTGAGCTTGAAAACATGGAGCGGAGCTGGGTATCCGGGAAACGCACCGGCGTTATCTGCCAAAGCAAAGGACTGGGCAGGAGCAAGTCTTTCTTGTTGGGTGAATTTGTTCGATTATGCTTGTCCCTCTGATTTCGCGTCCTTGACTGCGTTGAGATGGTCAAGTCGATCAGTCATGTCTACGGCCTATCCTCAATCCCTGACACCGACATCATCTTAATTCCATCATCAACACCGTCACAATACAGCTACAGCTGCAGTAGGTAGCTGAAACTAGGTAGCTCTGAATACAGATAACATAACCATTCTCCTTATTGCCCTCATCCTCTGCTGTTGCTGCTGCCGCTTTGTCATGGACTGCATGTTCCGGGGCTGCTTGCCATGCATCGCGTGATTCAGACACGGCATGATACAATCATCAATCAAGGTCGTGTGCGCGAGTTCGCCGAGCTCGTGGCGCCCCAGTCTTGGGCTAGAAATTTGAGGCAGTCCATCTAGCCAACGCCACAATCGGGTGAACGGCCGTTTCAGGGCATCAGCCATGGAGCACTACGTCAAGATGCTCCTCCCGTGCCGGGCCTGGCGAGAGGCCGGTCAGCAGCTTGGGATAGACCTTGGTTTTTTAGCCCTTCTTCATGCACGCACTTTACATCCTTATACGGCACCGATGGTTTTAGGCCTTGGAACTTATCTCCACATATGGAGGCAACCCTCCGAGTCCTCACCAACTGTCACGGCAACTGTGGAGGTGGAACAAGGTCGAAACCAACCAACTCCTCCATCAATGAGGATAGTCTATGTACCAAAGTGCACTACCAGCACGGGGTTTGTGCTGGATGATTAGGTAGAGCAATTGGACGATCAGCGACGTGAGCCCAAGTGATAGGCCACGGAACACATATCCTATCGAGGGCCTGCATGCTGCATGGAGGCCATGAAATGGATGGGACAGATGGGTCTCATGTGGTATTGTTTGGCGTGCAGCAACAAGCGAGGTCGTACAAGAAATCCATCCTCACGCGTGCTGCTCACCACGCCCTCCCTTCTGACTGTACAGAGTAAAGAACTGCGCTGATTGTTTCTGTAGTTCGTATTATTGTTGCTGATCAACAACGCGTGGTGGGAGTGTCAGACAACATATTAGCGCCCTGCCCATCATCGCCCCACTCCCATCGAGAGGGAACCAGGATCTGCCTCCATCCTGGTTCAGTGCCAATGATGCCGACGATGCTGTTTTTATATTCGCACAGGGACCCATTATCAAACGGGCGCCTGGTGTGGAAAACCGGGAGGAGTGGGAAATGAGGTCGCTCCAAAACGGGAAAGCGGGGATCGCAACCCTGATTGATTTGACGCGTGTTACATTTTATTATTTTATTTATTTTTTTCTCTTTCGTCTTCCATCCCTGTTGCCTTCGTCCAAGTGGTGCAAAGTAGCCTGTTCTTTGACCCTTCTGTGTACCGCGGATTACGAGTGGTGGCCGTGGACAGATATCTCTCTCCCCATCCGCCCTGTTGACCATGTAATCACACAGCCCAAAATAACGAAGCTTTTCCCGCGTCGACGCGTCAGATCGTCCCGACGATCCGCGTTCGCGTGCTTAGCGCGTGGCACTAGCATCTCATGGTGGAATTCGCGGGGTTCGCCGGAGGGTGGCTGGGAGGAGAGTCTTCAGAGCTGAAAACCAGGTGGTCCTACTACACTAACCATCACACATGCAAGCGGCCTCGGGTGGTATCAGTGACAAACTTGGTTGCGATGACTTGATGACTCGATGACGGCGGCAGATCCAGGGCCAGTTCAGCAAGCTTGTCCCAAAAGGCAACTGATATCGTCTGAAAGTTTTCTTAGGCCCCGGCGAGCAGCACCATGGCCGGCCTACACCTCGGCCCAGCTGGCAACTGGAAAGACTCGTATGCACTCCAATGCGGCTCGAGCTGCTCATGACCTTGATCTGTTCAACCCACCCTGTGTCAGTGCACCGATAGCACAAGCCTGTTTCCGGTCACAACCGCCCTGATGGGGCCACCTCACGCCGCTAGAAACGGCATCCTTCTCCTGGTCGTGATCCGTGACAAGACCTGGCTCATCTCGCATGGGGCAGGATTAGGAGAGGTCCAGACGTGCCTTGGCTCAAACCACCGGCCTGATGCTTCGCAGTGGTTCGTCTGCCCTGCTGCGCCTCGGCCATTCATGTCAAACCTCAGATTGGGGAAGGTACATAGATAATAGATGCCGATATATCCTGGCACACATGCATGACGCTGGTTACGAGCAACACAGCTGCACGTAGCAGTATCAAAAGAAACCCGAAAGTGTTTGTATCGGATCGGGGTAGCCAGCTATTACAACGCAACACCACTTCCATCCCGATCTTTTCTGCACGACCGGCAGCCGTCAAGGATACATTTTGGACACAAACCAAGGGGACTTGCTTGTCGTCCCTTTTGTCGTAACACAGGTTCCTACCTTGACAGTTGAGGGAAAGATCTCCCTATATACATAACATGGGTGGACTAAGAGCGAGCTGAACCATGTAATCGGCACTCGAATCTATGAAATCTCAACAGCATTCGACCATGTGCAGGGAATTTGCAGGCATTCGTCGTTCATGTCGTTTGGCACATTCTCCCTTTAGAACTCATGCGCCGCGGTGATCATCATCTTCGTCCTGTCTATCAAACATCATCACATTGTTCATCAATCGTCCCATACCCATGGAGCGAGGCTTTGTTTCTTCTGGCTGGGACAGACAGCCTCATTTTCTGACAACCCTCTCTTCCCACTGCACGCCCACCCACTCCTCCCGGAAGGAGACTCTCCCCGCGTCACCGCAGTTATTCGCACAGGTGCCCACGATGATCGTGCCCCACTCCATCCCGTCGTCCAGACTCATGGCATTCTCGTCGTCCTTTTCCAGCTCGTAGATCAACCCGGGCACGAGTTGCAGCTCAAACACCCGTTGACCACCACAGCTGTCGCAGCGCGGTAGTCCCCTCGCGGGCCCAGTCCGCCCGTGGGGCACGATGAAGCGCGACGCCACCTCGTCCGTGCCCGAGTACAGGAGCGGTTCGCCCTTGAACTCGTATCGCAGGACCTGTTCCGGGTTCTGGGCGACGCGGTCGGAGAATTTCTGGAAGGTCTTGTCCAGGCTGGACTCGAACGTGTCTTTATCCGCGTCAGTACTGGCGCCTCCTCCGCCTGCATCGTCCACGTCATATTGGGTTTTCGAAGACCCGGCCTTTGCGGCAGCAGGGGCGTCGGGCACTTTTTCGAGTTCCTCCGGGTACGCGTCGAGGTAGAAGGAAGGGTAGGGCGGTGGGAACAGGGAGGCGTCGGGCCACGGTATTTGTTCTTCCTTCGCAGTCGTCTTGGTGTCTGGTTCGGCGGTGATTCGCAGTTTGTCAGCGAACGACTCTGTGAGAGATTGAGGTTGAGACTCCGCGACTGGCCGCTGTGGAGGCAGCGCAGCCAGCTGCGAGGGCGAGCCTATGGATGAGAAAGGATTTGCGGTTGGCTGTCCGTTCGAGCTGGCCGGCATCGAGAACGGGTTTGCACTGTTGGCCGGGGATTGCTGGCTTGGTCCACCAAACAGGGCACTTCCCAGGTCCGGCACTGGCGTCGTTGTCTGTGACTCTACCGCCTTTTTCTGTCTTTGACTCTTTTCTAGCACCGCAGGTTTCCTGACTTCGCGAAATGCCCTGGCGCTGCCGACCTTCTTCGAGCATTGTTTTTTCCTGCAGCAGAGGACGTGAAGGCGTCGGTCGTCGTTGGGGAAGTACTGCTGGAGATCCGCATTGAGCTGTAGGAGAAGGGACATGTAGCCGTTGCACACCTTGCACCTGGCCAGGGCCGCCGGCGGAGGTTGGCTTGAATCCAGCCATGTGGGATGGCCACCCAAGTGACTGATGTCGTCGCCCGTGGACTCGACGGTGGCATAGCCGAGGGTGACATTGGTGGTAGAGTAGTCCTCTCCGTCGTCTGAAGAGTCGCTATCGTAGTGTGCCATATTGCGCAAGGGGTGGCAGAGTGACCGGCGGACTCGCTAGTTGTCTTTCCGGGACTCTCTCTCGTCGCTTTCGCACCCTAGACTTTTTTTTAAAGACCCTGGTCTGTTCTGGAAAAGTTGATTGGACTAGAATTAAGGTGTGTTCCGTTCGGCAGCTATACCGTAAATAGCAAAGCATCGCAAGTATTATTATCTCCGCATTTTTCTGGGTATAAAACCCCCCTCCTTTTTCCCTTTACGTCCCTCGCTGTCATATACCGTATTCGGGACCCTGGCTTCCAACATCATCATCCCGTCCCCGTTTGACGTCGCCATCATCCTCCAGGATATGCATACTCCTCACTTGCCTATCCCATCTCCGTACTTCATGATCATCCACTTAGCCAAGTGAGACCAATCATCCTACACATCACTCCTGTGTTCCGTGCTTCTTCCCCGCGTTGGAGGCGGGGATCCGTGCTAAGCGACGTCGAAGCCTGACCCAGAGCGTTTGATTGTAAGGAAAAAGGCCCATATATTCATAGTGACCAGACGCCCAAGGGTGTACCGGCAGAACTCCTGAAATCTCCTTCTTGCCCTCTTCAGCTGTTCCATCGATTTCTCGCTGGGGAAAACCAAAAAGAAAGGCCAGCAAACCATTCAAATATGGCTACCCACAAAGTCTCCGCCGTCACCATCGACGAGTTCGAACTCCCCAAAGGCCGCAATGCGACTGGGGCAGTGATAGCCGCCACGCTGATGGTGCTGTCCGCCCGCCGCAGATTCATCCAGCCGGGCTCCCTTGTCCATGACCAAGTCATCGCCCGGAGCGCCCGGGCCAGCAAGTACGCCAAACCGTTCCAAGATGTCCTCTTCTACGCCCTCTTCGGCGTGCATAGCATCGAGACCGTCTACTTCGCCCTGACGAAGCTGAGGAAACACAACGTCAAGGTTTTCAGCTCCGTCTGGTTCCAGTGGGTCATCGCCGTGTTCCTCGGAGGGGTGTTCACCCTCAAGCATTTCGACGAAGTGGTGGAGAAGAAGGAACTCAAGACCATCAAAGAGATCTGAGTGGGTGGAGCAGATGTGATACGGCGAAGGGCACGCGCGATACATTGGGTATGTCGCGAATTCGAGGACGTGGGGCTTTCTCCCAACCTCTGAAGCGAGCAAGCAGGAGTTTTGTTGGAGGATATATCTCTATATCTTGGGAAAGGAATGCGGAAGCAATACAAAATACAGAACCACTCACTGTCGCAAACACATATGCTCCTAGTGTGCAGCTGGCCATTGGTCGGCATTCCAGTGGTAGAATGCATCGCCATTCCCCTCTATCTTCTTCTACGCCAGGCTGAAGGCCCCATCCCACGTCTATGCCGTGCTGTGCCTTGGGATTCTCCAGCTGATTGTGACATTTCCCCTCCGCAACTGGTCCCGAACCCTGGTGTACTAAGGGCGCTGCGGCCAAGACATCGCTCCGACAGGTTCAGCCGTGTTGGTGAGCCACTTACACGAATTCCAACCTCATTTCCGCCTTCTCTCTGCCGTGTTCACTCAGATCTTCAATCCATTTCTTGAGGTCGTTTGAACAGCCTGAGCGCCGGGCAAAAACCAGGTCGAGAAGCAACGACCGACCCAGGTACACCCTCTGCAGCAATGGCTGGCCCCGTTCCTCGCTGCAAGGATTCAGACCTCATGTCTCTCCCGGCTGAGGTCTGGCTGATCATGTACGACTGCTTGGTTCGAGCACGAACCACATCGACCTGTGCGGTGAAGGCCCCCGAATGTCCGCTGACCTGCCCCAACTCGAGGTCGAAACCGTACCCGCAGATTCTCACGGGCGTGTAAACGACGGGAGACCGGTAACCGCGGATCTCAGATCGTCCCGGAGACAGCCAAGTTTCTGTTGGGAGGCATGATACGGCGGCTAAGGGACTTTCCTGTCCGCTATGCGTGCGTGAATCCTTTGCTGTCTCCAAGAATGCGCTGGCAAGTTGATCGGCACGTTGAAAATTCCGCGGGACATTTCAAAAACCGCGGCATCTCCGCTGCCAGACACACCAGACCACACAGGGCAGACGGGAGAACAGAGTGTACCCCCATGACCCGCGCCAGTATTGTGGTCGATCTTCAGGTGGATCATCCGTTCAGGGATCATTGTGTGATCTAGCTGGAGGACAGCAACATGAGTCGATCAAGTGCTATATCTACGATGGTGGAGGGGAAAAAAAGGGAAAACTCAGCAAGACGAACAGCAAGGAAGACGTTTTATCATTGTCTCCAGAGGATGTGGCATGTTATGGAGTCTGTGAGATTTGTAATTAATGTCTCGCCGAATCCCTGAGTACTTTCTCAATCACAAAATGAAGATTACCATTTAAGTTGTTTCCCAAATCATGAAGCCAGAGGAGGCACCCAAGCCATCAAATTAATCCCAACGAATTCCAAGAAGCGAAGCTCGTTTGCTCAAAAAGTGAATTGCATCAACCCCGGATTCAAAACAAGCGGCAACAACGCATGCGATCCTGTCAAGGCAAACGTCAGCGAAACAGGACACCAGATATGGAAGGGCAAACAGCAATGGTACCAAGACCCCGGCTTGAAGTGAGGAAGAGAAAGATCAGAGAAGGCAAACTCACCTACAACTGTGGCCAAAGGCCAAACGGCTGTGAACCATCCAATCTGCCAGTCGTAGGGCACCAGTTTCCCCAGCGGACCGATGCCGGCAACCACGATCATCCCCAAACTCATCACCACACAGAAGATGAAGGTGAACCGAAACTTCCGAAGGATCGTGGGAATCTCCTTGAAGAAGCTCGTGTCAGTGGCCTCCTTGCTGGTGGCGCCCCAGGACATGTCGATGGAGAAGAGATGGGAAAAAATCGCTTGCGAGACGTGAAGGGATATGCCTCCCAGGAAGATGGTCAGTAGGGGGATCCAGCGGAAATTCTCCCACAGTGCGGAGAGGAGAGTCTGATCTTCGACTCGGTAGCGCATGACGGCCAGCGCGAGATTGCCGAGGGCTGTGAAAACAATGATGATGGCAAAATAGATCTTGAAACTGTCGATGTAGTAATGGTCCAGGTGGCCGTTGAACCATCCAATGATGCAGTAGTTGAGAAGTGTCAGGACCCACGCACTGCCAATGGCGTAATAAGTCCCAATATACGCCATGATAGTCAGTTTTGAAGGGAATGGCATCGAGCTCCTGATGAAGTTGCGGAACAAAGGAGTAAATGGGCCTTTCGTGAACCACTGGGCAAATGGGTGGAAGATGAGCTCGGAACAGCCATAGGCGTATTTCTCCCAGCGGGCGAGTTCGTCGTAGACGGTCAGAGAGACGCCTTCTTTGAAGCCTTGGCCGGCATAGGCGGCAAGACGGAGGATATAACCGGAAGTTTGAAGGCGAAGAGCCATGTCAAAATCCTCAGAGACCGTAGCTTCGCTCCAGTACTTCTCCTTGACAATGCCGTCGTTGACGTCTGCGTAGACGTAGGCGACATCCTGCACCGCTGACCAGCGCAGAAAGGCGTTATGTCCGACAAATGGGGCAACGTCACCATTGGAGACTGCGTAGCGGATGGCTGTGTACACCAGATTTGTGAAGAACGTTATTCCCCTTTCGAACCATGAGTCCGTGACATTCATTACGCCGCTGGCGAATTGAATGATGGCGACCTCTGGGGAGATTTCCATTTCTGAGACTGCGCCTAGGAAACAATCTCGGGGGACCCGCGTGTCACTGTCGATCAGGAGGATGTAATCCCCCACGCGGATGTTGCCAGCAGCTTGTGTGCGGCCTCCGTCTTCGGCGATGATGGATGCAAGGGCCTCGTTGTAGACCTCACGTTCTTGCTCTACAGTCCAGCTCCCATCATCCGGACGGTCAATGCTCGTCAACTTGTCTTCCACTCGCGCAGAGACATTCAAGGCGTAGTTCATGTTGGATGCCTTTTTGAATTTCCCGGCTCGAATGAACGGTCTTTGGCTGGAGTTCGCCGGTTTGGGATCGTGCTTTGGTCGTGAAACCCACCCGATATTGTGTTCATCGTAGTAATCGCGTCGTTCTTGAGCTTGTTCGGTGGGAATCAATTGCATCCCATCATCATTGATGAAGATATTGGCAGTACCGCCTTGCATTTCGTATGTCGATATGGCCGCTTTGATAGATTTGATCGTAGGATCAATCACGGACCAGAGACCCTCCTTGTAGACGGGACATTGAATAGTGACGTGTGGCAACGTATAGCTTCCGTCCGTTGGGAGGCGCGGAGGAGGCATTCCCGAGTAAAACTTGGTGTTTGCATTCATCTGGCTTATGGGACCAATAATCTGGGCGCAGCAGCCTGCAACAGACTGCATGAAGAACAGTGCCAGCCAGCATTGAAGAGGGACAACAGCAATAAAAGCAAGTCGAATCCAGGAATGGTCGACCTTGATTTCGATGGCGATCTGGCGCCAGCCACTGCCAATGGCGGCAACGAGCAAGACCATCGTGATTGCGGTGAGGATCGGTTGAACGAGCACAACACGGCGAGCCGGCAAAGCGTTTAGCACCTCTAAATTCTGGGACGATGCTTCTTCGTCGTTGCTGTTGTTCAGATTGAGTGTGCTGGGCATGGCACTGGGAAGTGGTGCCGAAGATTCGTCGTCTTCGCATTCCTCTTTCCAAATCATGTTCATGAGCTGGTCTTCTATTGATTGGACCCGTTTGAGAAGGTGATTTGGGTCGTCATCCCAGACAATGAGGATATTGTAGATTCGAATGAATGCTGCAAATTGATGTTTCTGGCAGTCGGGCAGGTGAGAAATGCTTGGGAGAATTTGTAATCGGAGACCTGAATCGAGCGGCATATGGGTGAGCGACTGGTCTTGGAGGAATAGCTTGACGATGCCGGTGTTTACTGTCATGGCACACTGTCACAACCATCAGTAAGTAGGAATTCATGACCGACAGCTCCTCTTCATACCTTAACATTGAGCCTTCTCACTGCGTCATACACTCCTTCAGGACGGGAGCGAAGGTCTTCAGGGGCACATTTATAGTCATTCTTCGCTTTCTTGAGCATAACCCCTTCCTCAATTCCATTCGTGGACCACATTCGCTCCAGTTGCTGCTGGTGAAGCCAATTACACATCATGTCAGTCTTCAGATCTCGTAGTTCCGGTGTTGAGCTATTGCGAAAGTCGCCTTCAGGGTACAACAAAGTCCTCCTGCTCGAGTCGTGTCTCGACGCTGTCGGGCGAGTCCTGGCAGAAGACGAGCTTGTTGGTCGGACGTCGCTGGATGAGTCTGGGGTTGCTGGAGGGCTCGGGACCATGGACAAGTCGAAAGTTGATGTCATTGCTTCTGAGGCATTGCCTATAACAATAGTAGGTGCAGGAGTCGAACCTGAGGGAGCACACCGAATGTCTGGCTGGTTGAGCCGTTCGTTGTTGTTCCCCTCCATGCTTTACAGGCGTTTCAAGGAGACGTTCGCAATGCGTGGTAGAGTCTTGCCCCAGGGGCATGGAGGAACATAGGGAAGGAAATATAAGCAGCGAACAAGAAAACAAACCGGGACAAATACCCAGAGAGTTGAGGGGAAGCCTAGATTCGACCAACGGCGTCCATGAGAGCCCCTGATTGATGCATTTGTGACTGAGGTATATATTACAAGCAATGGAATCACTGGGCCCAGCATTTGAACCTGGTCCGCCTGCGAGGAGACGCACGTCTAGAAAATGAGCGACTGGAGCACCCCCTTCTGCGGGTCGCAGGAGCACAACTCTGGAGACATGCGATCACATGCAAGACAAGGGTTGAAAAGGTCGGAAGTGGTGCTCGAAACCCCAGAGCAAGGGATGGGACGTTGTCTCAGGTCCGATCTGAACGATTGGGTAAGCCAGACTGATCAGCAGTTCCAAAGTTCGTAGAATCGTGATTCCAGAATCGGATGGATTGAGACGTCATTTTAGAAGCCATCAATCTAGATTCGTAGGAACACTGACAGGGCGTATCGGGATCGGAAAATGTCAGTCAATATTAGACCGATCTCAAAGTAGGCGTCTTGAGACCAAAGTTGGGCCAGATCCAAGAAGCTGTGGCCCGTACCAGAATTTCATGAGACACCAATTTTTGACCCTGCCAGGCCGCTTCGAAATGTCACTGTATGGATCAACTACAAGGGATTCGACCCTTGACACTGGGAGATGTGTAGATGCGATTGTTTGTCCCGATGCCATTTGGTGCCATTTAGTATTTTTATCTCCCTGACTTGCAGCACGTTCAAGCTGTGGAGTGAATACCGCTTGGTGTGAAGTCTCGGTACCACAAATTTGAGGCTCTCTGGAAAAGGTTGACTTCAACTGCGATCCGACTCAATTTGTCGCTGCACACGTCTCTGTTCCTCTAGAATATCTTCATAGTCTTCTATTCGGACGGCAATTGCATCCCAGATCAAGACGGCTTGCACGAATATCGTGTCATGTCCATTCTGCAACCCTTTTACACTCTCTTTTCTGGTCGGTGGCGTCGACGCCCGAATATATCCAGTTGCGTTGATCCAAGTGCCTGGATCCAGAAAAGGCGGTCTCACATTTTCAAGGACAAGATTTATATCAACCCAGATCCGAGGAGTCGGGCTGGCGTTTCTCGGGTAGGCATGCTCGAGAAGGATTCGACCTCTGACGGCATCGTATTGTACGATACTACAACAAAAGGTCAACATCATGGATGTTACATATGCGGAAAGCATACCAGCCTAATAGTCTCACCTTGCTCGCTGCAGGAAGTGATGCTACCTCGTGAATGAAGATCAATTTGCTTGGGGCCGGCGCATTTGGTGCACCTTCGACCATAGTAGCCGGCACATGCTTGGACCTCCCAGTGGCATGGATGGAGAGGCTGGCGCTGCTAAGAGCCGTAGCGTTGGCAGCGCTTTCGACGTGGTCTTGACAACTGAGAGATGCAGCGAGTAAACAAGGCGCTCCGATGCCTGCTCGCGAGTTATGGCCCACACGTGACCTCGGCGTACCTGCCTAGAGCTTCCACTGCATCCGGAAAACCCACTTAGTGTTCGGGAGACTGGCGATGTCATGGCGGCTCGACTCTTTTGTGACCCCAGGACTAGGCTCTCAGCAAAGCCATACGGGTCTTCTCCCCAAGCGATTCCCTTGAACCTGTAATCCCCTGTCGCATAGGACTTTCACTCCTTTCGCTCGTCTTGACTCCCAGCCCTCTGCCGCTTGCTTTTGATCCCGAGGACTGATCCCACAGACTGTCAGTTGCCATCGGCTGAACACGCGATACCGATCGAAGCGGGTGGAAGTGACTCTACCACGCCGGACTATCTCCCTTCTGTGACTGAGTCACTCCAGCTTCTCAAGCACACCATACCCGGAACCCCTGCTTGCGACTATCTTGCAAGGCCGTCGTCATTTATCAGAAAATATGTGGGGTTGGTTTGGCGGGGCAGCAGCCCAAGCCAGAAAAGATGCCCCCAAGAAGGCCATTCTACAGCTGCGGTCACAGCTGGATATGCTGCAAAAGAGGGAGAAGCATCTAGAGAACCAGATGGCAGAGCAAGACGCAATAGCAAGAAAGAACATAACCTCAAACAAGGCCGGTGAGTTAACCGGACCACCTCTTCACACTTGGTACCTTTACTAACACGATGTCTTTGCCGACCAACAGCCGCCAAAGCTGCTCTGCGACGCAAGAAACTCCATGAACGCACACTTGAGCAAACATCAGCGCAGATTGCTCAGGTAGAACAGCAGATTTATTCCATCGAAGCCGCCAATATCAACCAGGAGACACTCAATGCTATGAAGAATGCTGGACAAGCCATGAAACAGATCCATGGCAACTTGACCATCGACAAAGTAGACCAAACCATGGACGAGCTACGCGAACAACACGCCCTCGGCGAAGAAATCGCCAACGCCATCACAAATGCTCCTATCGGTGAACCTATCGATGAGGCTGATCTGGAGGAAGAGCTGGAAGGACTGGAGCAAGAGGCCATGGACGAGAGGATGTTGAAGACTGGCCCAACACCTGTCACAGGCGAAATCAACAGGCTCCCCGCCGTGTCTGCTGGCCCAAGTAAGCTCCCCCTTGACACTGCACATGATGAAAGACGTGTTGATCATTCTACAGTAAGCACCAAGCCCTCAACGGTGGAAGAAGACGAAGAAGAAGAACTACGGAAACTGCAAGCCGAGATGGCTGTTTGAGAGAGGCCGACGAGTGGATGGCGCAGGGACACTTGCTCCCCTCTGCCGCCTTTTGTGGGATAACAGGAATGTGTTACGCGAGCACCGGAACGAATGTCAGATTTTGATATAACTTGCGTAGTGTAGATTGGCGTTTCGAAGGCCAGGCTTGCATTACAATCGGTCTTGTCTTTGGCGGATGTTGACTGTGGACGGTGTGCTAGAGGACTCATTAATGACAACTTTCAGTCACTTGTGCATTCACGCACCTAGGCACAGGACAATTAAGTTCCTCTGTCCGTTGCGTTATGCACTTCATTGCTCCTGCTTGACAGCACTAGCCAGTCCCTTTCATCCTCTTACACTGAGCTATACCTTCCCTATTTCTGGTTTCCTCACCATCTGCCTCATTCTACCAACATCTGCTTGTCAATAACATTAGCCAACTGGGTGAACAGCAGCTTTTGCACTCTGCTCTCGTCCCCTCTATCACTCTCTATGTTAAACTTGAACCTGTCGCCTCTTCACTCGCTGGCTCTCGTGAACCTCATCTTCCCTGCCGAAGTGCTGGTGAGAGCACTGAAGAAGTGTCATGGACTACGAAGTCTGGGACGAGAACTTACGAAACGATTTTCCCCGGCCGCCATGGTGAGACCGACAGTTGCGGGTGTCTTCTTTCACACCCATCAAATATGCATGCGTCTCAATCGAAAGGAAGGGTACCAGATGGAGCCACTTGGTTTGTCATCACCTCCTTGGGGGAAAGCGAGGAGTAGAAATGGGTAAGTATGACAGACTCTGGCCTGCCGAGGATCAAAAGATGTGGATTGAACTGGCTTTCTCAGCCCTGCAATGGATACCAAGATGTGTATCGAGTAGAGGACGGCAAGTGCCAAAACTGACACAGGCGACAAGGATTCAAGAAGATATGAAACTAGGGAAAGATGTGCTGGGTTGGAAAGAACGAAGAACACACTATAAATGGAAGCTGAAGGTAGAAATAGCGAGCCTGATCGAGAGATTGAGCTACACTTAGTGCTGTTCGCACTTGCAACCAGTTGATTGAATGAACGACTCTGACGATACAGTCGATCAGGGTGTTAGCAAGCAGCTCTTGTCTTTAGCAGACCCAGCATGCATATGTATGTATGTCCCTCCCCTCCTTTGCACACAGTTAGGCTATTGCTCAACACCATGGCATTACATGCGACGGCAGAGCAGCGCTGGAAGGGAACGAGGCAGAGCTAGCCCTTCCGTCAAGAGTTGAAAGTCATGCTTTTGCCCGGCAGCTCTTTGCCCATCTTCGCTCGTCTCGCTCCGGTGCTCGTGTCCAACGCCTTGGCAAAAGGGTTTATGACCTTCCTCTCCTGTCCCTGCTGTGTTGATGACTGTAGGCTAGGTTTAAACAAGGACGGCGCAGAGGCGTAATCAAACGGCTCTGTGGCTTGTGCTTGAGCATCTTCTGCAGCTTTTCGACTATCCCTGAGAGCCTTTTTCTCGGCCTTCTTCCGTCTCTTCGCTTCACGTTTCGCCTCTACTTCCGGGTAGAGGAATGTAGAAGTTGATGAAGGGAATTGGGATGAAGGAGAAGTTGAGAATGCCTCATCGCCAGCTGTCGTGGTTCCTTTGGCGACACCGATCATCTTGCCATTGTGGGAAACAATAACAGTCAGGCCATCGTCGCTCGCGTCTTGGTGAGAGTCGTCTGTCTTTCGCTTCTTGCCCTTTGAACGCGACAACTCGTTGAGCGTGAAGATCTCGTCGTCTTTGGAGCGAAGGCGATCTTTTGCCGTGGGGGCCTCTGGATGGAGTGCCTTGGTTGGTTTGGTCAAGGCCGATTCAGATGCAGGCTGAACCAGGGCTCCTTCAGCCTTTGCGGCCTCTTCGGTGGTGGCGAGCAGCCGAAGCGGAACCATTGACGACAGTGCTGCAGTTGCAATTGTAATATCTGTTGAGGACCGTTGACATTGTGGTGTCACACCGCCCCAGAACATTGAAGCAGACGATCTATTCACGGCAGGCGTCAGATCAACGTGGTCTGGCGACGCCGAGATGGGGCCAGCAGCCAATTGCTTTAAAGTTGCGCCCAGCCCGGAATATGTGCTCTGCGGATGTTGCTTTTTCTCCCGTGGTCGGACGGCTTTCAGGCCAAGGACTGTTTCACAGTGCTGTACCAACTCTTCTCGTGACTTGCCGTTCTTACCTTCGATCTTGCCCTGCTTGACGACCTCAATAATCTCAGGAATACGATCCGAGACCAGCTTCGAGTCGCCTCTGCAGGTCTGGTGGAAATTGAATACTGAAGTTGGCATGTTTTCAGCGACACGCCACAATGTCTTGTTGGGCAGGATGTATTGGATGCCTTCGTCCAACTCTCTTGCTTTACGGTCTCGCCATGCGTGTAGAGCACGAAAGACTCCGAGCTGCTCTTTGCTGAGATTGATATATCTCTGGGTGAGCATTGCAAACCAGCCAAGCTGGCCGCCACCTGTTTCGAGGTCATACTTTTGTCGAGTGTAGACTTGGAGGGCTTCTTTCTTCGACTGCATCAGGACATAGTCTGTAAGGTTGACATTGGGCGACGATCCATTGACAAGCAAGTTTCGCATATGGTCGTAAATGGTCAGCAGATAGTGTGTGTCCGAGCGAGCATAATCGACCAAGTCTTTTGGGAGAGGTCGTACCCGCCAGTCCGCGAGCTGATACTGTTTTTGAGCATGGACGTTGGCGAACTGGAAAAGGAGGTGCTTTAAACCTTTCCCTTGAAATTGCAAGGCGCAAGCTGCGTGGTATGTGTCGAAGAGGCCAACGATATACAGGCCCAGATCGCGTTGCAGCCAGATGACGTCCATGTTTGAACCGTGTAGCACTTTCAAGATCTTTGGGTTTGCGAAAACCTGGTTAAGAATCTGCAGCTTCTCACGCCATGGTTTGAGTGTATCAATAATCCAGTCTTTTTTGCGCGTGCTGATCTGCATCAGACAGACCATCCCGACGTAGGAGCGCATGTCATTGTGTTCGAGGTCAATTGCGATCTCATCGGCATCTTTAAGCTCTTCTAGCATGTCCAGGACACCTTCTTCTGTGTCAACGAAGATGTGCTCGCTTTCGTCGATAGGCCTAAACGCTATCGGCTGCTTGAACTTGTAGACGGTAGGCGGATATTGGTAACGTTCGATTTCTTGTGCATAAGGGTGTCGGTATCTGAACGTAGAGTGAGTAAATGCACCAAAAGGTTAACTTGGATCATACCCTGTCTCCTCATTTCCTATGCTTTCTTCGAGCGGAACAAGAGCATGAGGCTTCGTCTGAAGCAAAGGCTTGAACGGAGTCGAGTCAGAATTGTTCACCTGTCTCTCGAAAAAGGTTTGAGGTTTTTGAATATTGCCTGCAGCCCATCTCTGCAGACCCAGACCTGTCTTTGTAGACATGGAAGAGGGTTCGGAATCTTGGGGAGCTGCATTCTGCGGTTTAAAAATGCCAGAGAACTCATCGAGCGACGAGTCAGCTTTCTCAAGAAGACCATCGACGACGTCGACAATTCCGCGCCAATTGTCCTCTACGCTGTCCTGATTTTGCAGCGTGGGCGGTTTGAGTGATGTGTCCTGCGTGGCAGCCTTGAGGAGTTTGTTCGTCAGGCGTAGAAGGTGGGCATTTTGGCGATCGAGGGCGCGCGATATTTTGTCGCTGGAGGAGCGATGGAAGCCCAAATCTTGGTTGGACACCTGGGTTGCGCTCCTCGTCACATCGATGAGAGAGGCTTGGACGAGATTCTGAAAGGACTTGAAGTCCGCATTCAAATCCATGATAGAGTGCAGACTGTGCCAAATGCACTGTCGGCAGCAAGTCGTCAGAGCGCTATGCCAGGCAGAATCAGTGGTAACAGGAACGCGATAGTGAAAGATTCCTGGACAATTTGTATAATAAGTGAAAAGCGGAAGGATTGAACCGAAGATACTCCACCGTCTACCTGCGACGGCCACTAAGGGGTTGGTGGGCGCAACGGTGGAGTGAATCACTGCAATGGTGCAATATACGGTCGATCATACGACCCCAAAAGACTAGGCGTCCATCGGCTCATCTCAACGTCGTCGCATTATGTTCAATTCGTGGAGCCACGGCTGGATAAAAGTACCGCAAAGAGAGACAATGACTCGCCCTGGAATCTTCATTCCTGTTCATAGGTATGGTGGGGACGCTCAAAAGTACTGGCTGTGAAACCTGTCGGAAACGCAAGAAGAAGGTGAGAATCCTATGCTCCAAGGGAACGTTTTGTTTATGCTGACTTTGGCATGTAAAGTGCGGTGAAGAGCTCCCTTCGTGCTCAGCATGCATCAGAGCAGGCTGGAAATGCCCAGGGTATGCTAAAAGATGGAAGTTTGTCGATGAGAGTGGACCGCTCGCGTTGCTCTATCGCAACAAGAAGTACATCTTCGAAGACGTTGACCATCCCGAACCGACTGGCGACGAAGGCTCTGCATTTCGAGGTATTCTCATAAAAAAGGCGCGCTTTCCTCTCTTCTCGAGTACATCGACCACCGTCGAGTGGCCTCTGGTCTCACCAAGCGACCAACTGTGTTCCACTCTGTGCTACATACTAGATGAGCCTCAGAGCAGGTACACCTTTCCCATAAAATCTCATGGACGATTTTATGCTATGATTCCCGTCCGGCTAGGTCGCAATATTGCACTGGACGACGCGGTCTCATGTCTGTGCAGCATCTACGTGGACTCTCTAAGATCAACCCAAGCTCCGTCGAAGGAGTGCCTTCGGCTCTACGGCCGATGTTTGCGTTCTCTTCGAAAATCGCTGGACGTGCAGCACACTCGCGCAGAGGCTGAAACAATATGTGCGTCTATTATCATGCAAGCATGCGAGGTACGTATCTCATGTTTTGCTTTTCATTGATGAGTATCCTGTGGAAAGCTGACCTGTGCAGTTGGCCCTGAACAACGAAGGTGGGCGATGGAGTCAACTGTGTATGGGAACGAAACTTCTCATTGAAGAACACGGTCCTGAGAGGTTTACAAAGCCCTTCGAGCGGGCCATGCTCGAGTCGCAGCGAGCCTGGTTTGTGAGTAACTGTACCCGAGTTCTATAGCCTAGGTGCCAGATTGCCCGTGACTAATCTGGCCCAGATTCTTCAAGACGCAAGCATCGGACAAGAATGCTTTCTGTCACGGCAGGAGTGGCGTCGATTGTTGAAGAGCTCCACCACTACCACAGCGGCTGAGGAGCATGCTAGTATCGCACTTCGATCCGAGCTTTGCGACTTCCTTGTCGACGTGCCGGGCCTAATGCGACAAGCCTCCAGCACCGCAGATCAGCTTTTGAACGGAGAATTTGACTCAGCTGGAATCACAGGGCGGCGCCAGAACGCAATCTTTCACATATCGTCACTAAAACATGCCTTCGAATGCTGGTATTGCACCAAAATCGCACCTCTGCGTTCCATCTCGGGGCTCTACAACACACCAAGGTTGAAACTACTGGAAACAGCACTCCACTGGATGACCTTCTACTTGCTATCGTTGACTGCGTGTCTAACTCCATCATGATGAAGCTAGATATCTTGTGTTTCAGCGTCGGCGCGGACTATAATGGCTTCAAAGTTGACAATCTTGACTATCAAAAGGCACAGGCGAGACGCAAATTGATGATGTATCAGTCATTACAATTTGTTCGAGCAAAATCTCTGATCGCGGCCAAACCTCTGGAATTTGGGTTGCGACAGCTGTGGCTCGACGCCGGATTCGAACAGAGCACAAGACAAAAGGATGAGAAAGATTCTTGAGCCCGTCAACATTCTATGTACCTGTTTCTATACCCGAGCCGCATTCGATCCCAAGGCGCCGGTTCTCATGACCACCAAAAGCCCAGCACCAGCAACTCATCTCCAGGCGATAGCTTATCTTCCTCTCAAGCGTGCAGCCATTTCGTCGCACCCATCAGCACTGAAATGATGTATCAGACCTTTGTAGGTTTTCTTTGCGAATTGCTCTGCACGGTTCAGCATTTCATCTTCGTATGCTTTGATCGCTTCTGGCAACTTTTCTCGGTCCCCGCCGCAGCCGATGATAGCCTTCGCAAGGTCCAATGAATCGATCATGGCAAGGTTGACGCCGACGCCAGCGAAAGGGGTCATGACATGAGCTGCATCTCCCAGCAGCGTCACTCCTGCGTCGGACTCCCACCGGAACCCGACGGGCAACATCCACATCTTGCGTGGGACGAGTTTGTCATTGGCGTCACGGATGACTCGCTTCAGATCGTCGCTGCAGTTGCTATAATACTGCTCAATGAGCTTTTCCCTGGCGATATCGGGCGAAGTCCAATCGATTCCACATGTCTCAAGCCAGTCTTCGGGCTGTCGCACTCCTGCGTAAACCCGAATGCTGTTGTTTCCCAATTTCTGAGCTTGAATCGCGCGACCTTCATCAAACATGAAGCAATTCCCCGCACCCACGAATTCGCTCAGCCAATGGTGCTTTTTGTCGAAATCCAACGCCCATAGCTCAATGGCGGTAACGCCCGAGTAATACGGTTGCTGGTCGGTGAGGAATGGGCGAACTTTAGACCAAGCACCGTCAGCGCCAACAACGAGGTCGAATCCTTCCTCCGTACCCTCCTTAAATTTGAGGTCATATTTACCGGCCTGCGAGGACGACTTCTGGACAGACTGCAACTTTTTGTTCCACACCACGGTTCCGGGTTTCAGTGAGTTGAGAAGCAATTCCCGCAACTTTGTGCGATCGATTTCTGGGCGATCGGCGTACTCCTCGGTTCGAGTGTTGCCCATCGTGTTCTCATCATACACAATGGTGCCGTCGTACTTGAGCAACTTCAATGCTTCACCTTCGGGACGGGAGAGCTTCTTGAATTCCTCTGTCAGACCTGCATGTTGAAGGGCGAGCTGGCCTCCTCGGGGGTGCAAGTCGACTGTGCCTCCTTGGTCTCGTCCGAAGGAGTCGTTGTCGAGCTCGAAAACGGTGCATGTGAGGTTGTTGAGTTGGAGGAGGCGTGCGAGCGTGAGGCCCGCGGGACCACCTCCGACAATTGCGACTCGGATGTTGCTCATGTTGACCTCGCTTTTGGGGGTTTCTGGGAGTAGCTTGTGTTCTGATTGTGTTCTCTTGGAAGTCTGTTTGCTTGTGTCTCTCTGATATTGTTCAGCGACAACGGTCAGTCCTTTTATATCATGTCCTCAACTACCAGCCAGCAGTGCTCCTCGATCGACAGTGCCAATGTCAACACGAGCATTCTCCTGGCAATGCCAGCCTTCTTTCTCGACAATCGCCGTTGATTGGATACCGCGCAACATATCACAGCACTTTTGGGACTGTCATGTAGACAAATATCGTGTCATCATTAGGCATGCCTGTCAAACCAGCCTGTCGGTGCAGCCTCCGCGCCTCGCTCTGAAGCGCGAGAACCGAAGGCCGAGGCTTGGCGTCTTGCCAAGCTTCGCGGGGCCGGAGCGCAGACCGGCGCCGGGTAACCCCCGCCGGGCTCCAAGACAGGCGCCGACTCGTGATTGGCTCCTGCGCAACATCAACCTGTATCCACTGTACTCTCACGTTTCCACCACGTCGGCAATAATCGTTATTGGCATGTGCCTGTCGCTCCATCTCCCTCGAATTTCTTGGTTCCCTTTGCGTTTCACATTTCCAAGTCGCTTACGAAGTACAGTGATCTGCGAGCTTGGTGCCTGCCCAGCCTTGGTGCAAGCTTGCGTCATTTTGGCAGTAATGAGGCTAATAATGTCACCCATGTTCCTGTTCGCATCTGCCTGTGCGCTACATTGTCGGTTCGGTCATATCATGGGCTCTCACACTACACGAGGCGGACTGTTTGTTTCAGTGTCCGATTAATTTAGGTGCGGTGGGCGCAAAGACCAGGGTTGAACACACGTGATCAAGCAATATTCGGACGAGAGTCTTATTTCCGACTTCTTCAACACATAGAGGTGTGAGTGTATATATAACGTTAAGCTGATAACCAGACGGTCGCTTTGCTGCTTTCCCAGAACCCAGTATTCTGTCACCCTTTGCGCAAGCTATCCCATCAAAGCGCTTCATCTCTAAGACTCTCTTCTGGACCATCACTTCGGTGGAGAATCACGCGGAGCACGTTTTATCAGCCTCGCCCTCCAACTTACTACACCAATCACTTCTCAAGGCCGCCTTCTCTGTCAAGTCGTCGAGGGCTCACGATGTCTTCTTCCTCTCCGCAACCGACCACCAACGACCTCCTCAACCAGGAAGTCGTGCCGCCCGCCAAAATCGGGGTTGTCATCTGCTCGCAGCGGCAGCCACGGATTGGGAATCAAATCGGCACCTTCATCTTCGACAACCTCAAACAATATCAACGATCCAGTCAACAGGTATCTTCATATGAGCTCTCTCTCATCGACCTGGCCGACCATCCGCTCCCGTTCTTCAACGAGCCTGGCATCCCGCAGATGATCACTAATCCTTTGGATTACACCCACGGTAGGTTCTCATTGATATTCCAATGTACAACAAGACTAAATTTCAACATTTCTCTCTGTACTGCCGTTGCGTACACGATCGGAGAGTCGAATCGTATGCTAACGTGGATTCCAGAGCACACCCGCGCGTGGTCCCAAGTGATCACATCGCACAAGGCTTTCATCTTCGTCACCCCTCAATACAACTGGGGTTACCCGGCCAATCTGAAGAACGCCATCGACTATCTCTTCAACGAATGGGCCGGGAAGCCCGCCCTTGTCGTGTCGTACGGTGGACACGGGGGCAATCAGTGCGCCGAACAGCTGAAAACGGTGCTGACGGGTGTGCGAATGAAGGTTGTGCAGAAGAGCGTCGGGTTGGCTTTCCCGGGGCCAGGCAGGGAGTTTCTCGGCAAGGCGGCCAAGGGCGAAGACTTGGGACTGCACAAGATAGACGGATTGTGGGCCAAGGAGCTGGAGGAGTTGCAAGGGCTCTTTGACGAGTTGGTGAAGTCGGTACAGGGAGAGTGAAGATTCTATGCGTTGAGGTGTGTGCAGATGTGCTTTACAGCATCTTGGACCAGATTTCTGGTCGGTGCTCAATATTTCGACAGGTTTCACTGACTGTATAACGGGACGTTGAAGGACCAGCTCAATGTCCACATAGAATACAGTATCCTCCTTGCCTTCTTTGTATGCTCACAGATCTTTATGGAAATTGGGTTCTCCCAGCCGCACTCGCCACTCCTCTCCATTGAAGAGCAGTAGGAGAAGCGGCAGGAAGAAAGCCACATCAATAAACGCCATTGCAACCCACGCATTCAGCACGCCGATTCTCTCGGCCCATGGGATCGCATAGAAGCCCATAGCGAACGAGTACATCTGTCTCGTAAAGTTGAGCAGTGAGCCGATCTCTGGGGATTGAGGTTTGTAGCACTGTGTTTTAGATATTGTTAGCACTGATGCACAATAGATCGGGAATGTTCCAAGCAGATTGCCTGACTCACCTCCGCGGTATATGTGTAGACGACGGTCGTGGAGATCTGCAATCCAACGCTGGAGAGTGCGATCCCAAATGCCACGCCGATCCAGTGCGTCTTCCGCTCGAGACAGACGCCTTCGATAATGATGCCGACCGGTGTGAGTACGAAAGCTGGAAATATTGCGAGAAGTCTATCTTCCGGCTTCCGTTGTCCACCTCTGCGTAGTGCCCTCCTCTCGCTCACCCAGTCCGAGAAGCCGCCTGACATGGCCTCGCCGATGATACTTCCGATCGTGATGGGGATTCCGAGTAAGAGTCCAGTCTGCTGAGGCTTGAAGTGGTAGGCTTTGCCGAACAGGTTTGCGCTGGTGATGATGAATAGAATACTGCCATATGCGAACGATACTGCATAGGACATGGTGGGAAGAAGCACGCTCGGGTACTGAAGCATCTGAATTGGTCTGAAGAAGTCGATGACACGCAACCGCCGTGTAGGATGGGCCTTGCGCTGCATCAGCATGTTTTCACGCCAACCTCGTCGTGGCCGTGCAAGCGCTTCAGGAGCACGGGAATAGAGTGTTTCTGGGACAGTGAATGTGAAGAGGATGAGGACTGCCGCAGTGAGGATCGCCGGAACGTAGAAGCACCAGTGCCACGTCAAGTTCTTTTCGATGTAACCACCGATTATCGGAGCGACGTGGCCTCCAAGGATGAATGAGACGGTGTATATCCCCATGTAGAACCCTCGTTCGTGCGTAAAGAACAGATCACAGACCGTGGCACTGCCGAGTCCCAGCGGGACGCCGCCGAAGAAACCGTTCAGGGCGCGGAATGTCAAGATCTGTCCAAAATCCTTTGATTTGCCAGATGCCACAGACATAGCTATGCTCATTGCAACCGTTATGATGTACACAGGTCGCCGCCCGTAGACATTGGATATTGGATTCCACACGATCGTAGACACGCCTACGCATGCGATGAAGGTGCTGGTGACGAAGGCTGTCTGTACGAGGCCTCGATGGAGGAAGTGCGAGAGAGGTACGAAAGCTGGTGTCTGAAAGTTTTGTCAATTCCATAGACGTGAGCAACTATTTTGTGTTGACGATGCTTACTATCAAAGACGCGCTCAAGAGAGCCAGAAACGACAAAAGCGAAACCTCGGTAAGAACCACCAGCTTGACCCAAGGCTTCCACTGCATTTGTTGCCTGTTAGCATGTCCAATCAATAAAAAGATTTGCAGGAGCAGTGTTGCCATCAGAAAGCAGCCGGAGCGAGAACGTCCACAACCAGCCGCTCGAGAACTGGAAATGGCAAACAGTAGCCCGAAGATATAACGACACTTACATTCAATGGATCCAGAGGATCGTCTGACGGTTGTGGAACAAGGGGAAGTCCATGGCTATCGTAGTAAATACCTGGACCTTCTGCACCAGCACCGCCATCACCCTTGGCAATGTCCGAGCTATTCGTGCTCTCGACGGTGGCTACTTGGGGCTTTTCAGACGTGGCCATTGCGAATGTTGATGTCGCATGTCGGATTGTTGGCGACAGGCGAAACAGGTTGGGAGGCAGAGTCAGCCGTGATGAGCTACCTCCCTTGTTTCTGGAGACATGCCAGGATACAAATAAGACCTATCCCATGTTTGCCGTATAGTCCACAAGCAGAAGCCGGGGAGTTAAGGTAGAGCCGCGGAAGCTGGGGTATAGGAGGCGTGGTTACCGACGCGGAGAAATTCTGGGGAAATCAGGCATCTCCTGCATTGTCCAATCAACAATATCTCCTAGGATAATTCGGCATCAAGTCCCTGATGCACCGGCCGAGAGTCCTGCAAGTATTGCCCACGTGCATGATCGGGCCGGTCTGGGGCGCTTGTGCATAATCATAATCGAGGACAAGATTTCGTGCGGACACCTGTTCAATCGCCATAGTGTGCTCGGCCCGACACCAGGAAGAGTGCCATCAGTGAGTGGTAGAAGTCGATGAAGCTCATCTCATCCAAGTCAGGTGTATCGTCAGATGGCTTGTCGTCATTGTCTGCGCCTTACTGTGCGCTTTCATGGTGAGCGTTGACGTCCCATGACCACATTCCTGAACCCAGAGAAGAGTAAGACTCGAGCTGAGTTCCCAGGTTGGTGGTTAGATCTTGCGTAATGTCCCAGAATGCAAAAAGGTCCGCATGGGCTAGGTCGTCATAACCACCCTGGTCGAAAGCCGAGCTCTCCAGAACAGGAGATGGAACAGTTCCAGTCTGCGGTCTCGAAGAGCTTACGCCTCTTCGTCCCTCGGCGAGCAAGGATCTATCCATGAAACTAAGAAGTTGCTGAAGAAAAGTGTACGCGCGCTGAGCGCATTGGTGATTTGTAGACATCTGTCTGATCATTTGCACTGCACGATCTAGCTGGGAAAGCGCTCTTTTGTCGTTTCGATATTCTGGATCCACCACATGCGACACAACAATTAATATCGCGTTGAAAACTGTGTCATGAGGTCAGCCTAGAGAAGAAGGATTTAAACAAGGAGACACTGTACGATAGTAGAGGTTGAACCAGCTCGGCCCAACAGCATGTTTAGTTTGATCATATCGAAGACCCACCAAATCGATCGTGTCCTCAGCCGTCCGGACGCAGATGCGTCTGCTGTTCTGGAGCATACTGTTTTTGAGAGTCTCAGAAGTTTTCCAGGGTTGATCGGTTTTCGACAGGATACTGAGAGTGGAGGCGAGGGACTGTCGATGGATGAGAATCCTCACCATATTCGCTCGGAGGTTCAGGATAAGGCATTTGTCATCTTGAACAGCCGTGTTGCTTTGAAGTTTGAGATTCGATGGTAAATTGACATACCAAGATTCGAACGCTTCATCCAGCTGCACGAGCGTTTCCAGAGGAGGTTCGGTGAGAGATGCCGCTGACTCAAGCAACCGATACAGCTTTGAGACTTGTATTGAAAACGACATTAGTGACGGAGCCTCAAGGCTCGGATACAGCAACCTGCTTTTCTGAACACAATCGTCGTCCAAATCTTCAGGAAGAGGTGTGTCAAAGGTTGACGACGAGGTTGCTGCTGGCCTCCCATAAATCATGCTCAGGACTTGGTCCAGGCCGTAGCAGGCGTACCACACACGTTTTCGTGTCTCTCGCATAATACAATCAAACTCTTTCCCAGGTGCCCGATGAAGCTCCAGGCCGTACGCAATCCTGATCGCGAGACCAAGTACGTTCCAGCACTCTGAGGGAGAACTGGAGCTTTGTAGATATCGGGCACCTAACAAGAGGATTTGGACCTTTTCGACTTTCCAGTCGAAGAGTAGGGTTGGGCCGACAAGCGCCATCGCTATGTCGTAATATCCCCTTGTGCTAGAAATTGACGCGTCCGCCCGGTGTCGGTGGTGGGAAGCGGCGATGGCGAAAAGCATGTTCATGATCGCTAGTGTGTATCTGTGTTCTGAGCGGTACGCTGTGTCGCCAGCAATGACTTGATCAATCTGTGAGAGGAGGGTGGGTGCATGAAAAATGGGCGACAGCTCATAGTGGAAATCGAAAAAGAGATTAATCAACTCGCGACAATTTGGCGGAAGAGCATATAGGTCCGCGGGTGTCGAGAAGCACGGAGGGTCGCGTGGGGAAGACAGAGACTCGGCCTCCAGCTTGTTTGAATCTGCGCCATTCATGGCGTTGAGAATCAGCTGAGTGAACGAGATGCCTGAATACCCTCCCATGAATATCTCGGGGTTGGCAGAAATGTGAACGGAGACCCGCCGCTGAAGATGAGGTGGTGGGGACCGCTCAATCGTGATAGAGTCCTCCTGGCTCCTCCTTGATGGTAGAGACAACGATTCTGGATGCTCTGAAACTTGTAGTCGACCACGAGGACGTGCTTCCTGTTCTTCGAATCTTCTAAGCCTTTGCTCCAGAGACCGGATGTAGCTGAGCTCGCTTGAACATTAACAAGTCGATTGCTTGAGGGCTTCATCACAGAGGTCAATGCTACTTACGCTTGCGAGCTCTTCGGCATTCCCTTGAGCATATCATCATCAAGTTGCCTGGACACGATGTGAATGCACTTTGTCTTTCGCAAGCGACAGTCAGGGCACGCAACGGCAACGCGTTTGCGCTTCTTCGGAGGAGTTTGTGGCTCCATTGAAGCTGTGACTTTGTGTAAAGGAAAGAAAAGGATTTAAGGAGTGGTCTCCTAAGGACTTGTAGACTCTGGTTGATATGTGTGGCTCTGGTCCATCACGGTATCTCTGATAAGAGTTCTGGGTTGTTGCTGTTGAGGCTAGAGCAGCAGAGAGGGTGGCAGCAGTCCAGAAGAGGAGATCAGCTGTCTTTCCCAGCAGTTCCGGGCATGGAGTGTAGGAGTAAGGGAAGAGAGGATGGATGGTGGTGGACAAGGTGACAATTGACTGTATTTGAATTACGAGGGAAATGACACGGTCTCGGCGTCAGACGGTCATTTGAAATATATATATATATATATATATTATCCCCCTTTACGTACTATTCATCTCTGTCCTCGCCTTCTCGTATCCCACGTCGATGTCTTCTGTCCAAACCCAATTCATCCGGGACTTCAGGTTCTCGCGGACTATAGGCAGACACTCCTCGTACGACTTCCCCAGCATTTCCTCTGTCTGCATTTCATACACCTCACCTGCTTGCCGAGCAGTGGCTTGAGCCCTTTGCGCTCGCGGAAGGCGGACATTCTGATACAATTGTGTCCATTTTTCGAGATCCTCACCCTTTTTGTTGCGGGAACGGAGATAGTCTTGCAGTGCACGGCCGAGGATATACCCATCTTCAATGGCTTGTCCTGCTCCTGCGCCTGTGGATCTGATTAGTCTGTGTTCGATTGATATTGAACAACCAATAATCCTACCTTGATGAGGAAGCATCTATGCTGTTGTCAACAAACCTGGAATTAGATGTGGGAGAGACTTTGAAGAACTTACCGCATGAGCGGCGTCACCCATCAGCACAACCTTACCCCGAGCAAATACCCATTGCGGCAACGGTTCCCTGTCATTCATGACCCATAGCGAAGGATGTTCAGTCATATGGGAAATAATATCCTGGACAGTTTTTTCAAAGTCCTGAAAGTCCTTTGCCAGATCACTCTTATTCCCAGTGGCGGTCCAGCTCTCCTTCAGGCCGCCTAACTCCTTTTCTTCTCTTGCAACAAAGGCGACAATATTCAAAATCCTGTTGTTACTGATGGGGAACACCAAGAAATGCTTGTCTTTACCCAGCCAGCTGACCGAGTAAGTCTGAAATGGCCAGTTCGCTTTCAGCTTGCTTATAGGGACCAGCCCCCGGTATGCGATTCTCCCTCCGTAACGAGGGTTGTCCGTACTGAACTGAGCTCGAAGATTTGAATGTATCCCGTCACAACCAATCACCAAATCAGCGGTAGCAGTGCTACCGTCTCGGAAATTCAAGCTGACAGTCTCCCCTTCGTCCTGAGGAGCTGCCGTCAGAACAGACACATGACTAGGAGATAGAAGTGAGAGGCACTCACGGTAATGTTGATGCAAGACTTGTTGGTGTGCAGAATTGCAGCTCCTCGAGCTTTGATGGTGTCCACCAGAAGATCCAAGAATTCAGCCCGATGGACAGGACATTGGCGAATCTTCAGCTGATCATTGACCGGTACAGTCACGATGTCTGCTCCGTTATCGTACCGCCGAAAAGATATCCAGATACCCTGTCGATTTCCGGCGATACCATTTACAGCGTCTCCAATCCCGATAGAATGGAGCAATCTTGCGGCATTGACCCCAATGCCAATACCGGCACCAATTTCTTTGTACTGTGGTGCTTGCTCGTAGACATCAATTTGGATGCCTTCGCTAGCACAGTGATGATGCAGTGATAGAGCAGCACACAAGCCGCCAATGCCGCCGCCGACGATGGCTATTCTAAAGGGAGAACCATGAGAACCCATGGTGGGTGGTCAGCTCGAGAAGTGCGAAATCAATGCGTACCTACGTCAGTGAGTTAGCTTGACCTGAGACAAGCAATTACGAGACAACTAGACTGGACTGATTCCATTTTATTTGGCTTTGGGTCGGAGAACTATTCTGCAGTTGTTGTACCGGACTTGAAAGCGACAACAAAGAGTTCGGGGAGAATGCTTAACTCCCCGAAGGCAAGCCTCGATTCCCCGTGGTCAGCGACCACTTACTCCGCACTTCGCGAGCTTGCCCCTGCTCAAAGCTGCGTTCGTTGGCATCTTGAAGTCTACGTACCCCGTACGAGGCATGGGTTACAGAGATGTATCCACTGATGAACAATTGTGTCGGTGCGCCTGCCGAGATTGTCTGCCGGGAAAACGGCACCTGGTTTCTATGCCGACATAGTAATATAGAAACGTCCGCGAGCAGGTCATCGGCACTGAAATCGAGTCCATTTCTCTTCGTGCTGATTTCTACATTTTCCTCTCGCTAGATTCTCACCATGAAAGGCAAAATCGCCCTGGAAGAGTGCTGGACCATCCCAGAGACCTTCCAGAGCTTCAACCCGACACAATTTGCCGGTAAAGGCGTCATCGGGGATGACCTCAATGGAAACCTGCTCGATGTCCACGGTAAACGTCTTCAGGAGATGAACGAAAATGACGTCGACTTCATGGTCCTATCCCTCAATGCTCCAGGTGTGCAGAACATCACGGACCCTGCCGCGGCAGAGAAGCTGGCCGAGATCGCCAACGACAAGATTGAAGCCGAAGTTCTGAAGGACCCCCAACGCTTCGCGGCCTTTGCCGCTCTGAGCATGCATGATCCAGCACAAGCCGGACGGGAATTGCGGAGATGCATGACGAAGAAGAAGGGCTTCGTTGGTGCTATGCTCAATGACTTCCAGAGCAGCGGACCAGATGGGAACACGATGCTCTTCTACGACGACCCAAAGTACGACGAGTTCTGGAAGGTTGCGAATGAACTAAAAGCACCCGTGTATCTCCATCCGCGGACGTCCAGCCCGTTGATCAAAGAAATGATGTGGAAAGGAAGGCCCTGGCTCGACTTCTCAGCCCTGGGATACGCGAATCGACTGAATATGCACACTCTCGGTATCATCACTGGTGGCGTTCTTGATCGCTTCCCGGATCTGAAGATAATAATTGGGCACATGGGTGAACACATGTAAGTTGTTGCGTCCGTTGCCAGCCCATGTTCACGACCTGTCAAGCCGCTGACCCATCAATCACTCTTTCTGCAGCCCATATGATCTTTACCGTATCGACCACAAGCTTGACCGCAGCCGTTTCCCGAATATGCCGATGCGGAAGGATCGACTCGTACGGGATTACTTTGGTTCCCAGGTCTTCATCACGACGTCCGGTCACTTCAGCACCCCGGCGCTGATCTGTGCCATGACCGAGATTGGTGCCCGGAGTATTTGCTTCTCCATCGACTACCCTTTCGAGTCTATTCCGAATGGATGCTGCTGGTGGGACGAGCATGTCAGTTCCGTCATCAACGAACGGGACTTTGTGGACATGGGCAGGAACAATGCGTTGAGAATCTTCCCGAGGTTGACGGAGAGTCTGCATGGACTGAAGGAGATGAGTCCAGCAGAGTGTGGAGTTGGCGGGCTCCGGGCCAACGACGGAGAAGTGACATTCGGGATGTACAACAAGGATTTCAATAAAAGGGGAAGAAAAGTGTACTGAGAGATGTAAGAAGGGAGGTGGCACTCCCCCGTCCCATCTTTGACCTGCTGCAATCTTGGAAGAACACCATATACATATACAAAGCTATATCAGGCGGCCCTGTCCATATTAACCGCTATATGAGTTATAGAGAGGATGGAAGCAACCAATCAATGACGGCCAAGGATCCCGTAGTAGATGGCCTCGGAAGATAATTGTTCCGTTTCTCCGGCCCTTGACATCGTTACCACCGAAGCCTTGCGTCAGGTCGGATTTTCTCACTCAGATTTATTGTACACATCGCAGCCCACCTGCCGAGCGCCATTATGTCGGCATCTCTGGCGCCTGAGTGTAACGAGGTCAAAGAGTGAGCTTGGAGTTTCTCACAAGAGTTTGAACATAACACTGATGCGCCACTAGGAAATATGATAGCTGCTTTTTGAAGTGGTATTCTGAGAGTATGGACCCCTTACGTTGCCTCCTTGTTGCCACCAGCTGAACGTTGTGCTCCAGAATACATCCGAGGAAACTCGTCCACTGATGAGTGCGAGCCGCTTTTCAAGCAGTACAAAAGTTGTTTGACCGTACGCGCACATTACTGCTTGCGTTTATCACTCAGCGTCCTGACTCTATGCAGAAAGCCCTCAAAGACAAAGGCATCGATGGCATGCTGTCAGAAGCCCGTGAGGGCACCAACGAGACAGACGCCGAGCATTTGAAGCGATAGCATCATATTCCTGGCACGACATCTGACGCAGACGCCCTATACTAGCAGCGCAGGACGACTACAACTAACAAACTCCCGAGGATGCTCGGCCGGTCTTCTAGTTTTACCTCTGCACCACAAGATCACTCCTCAACACCCACTTCTCGCCCTTCTTGACCTCTTTGCCTTCATGCAGCAGACAATCATCGCCATGCTTGTGGAGGAGGGCCATGCCGGTCTCAAGCTCGACCGTAATCGGCTCTGGTGATCTCTCGCCTTTCTTCAAGGCTTCCGGGTAGAATGCGGTCTCACCGCCTTCACACGTTGTAAGATAGATAAGGAGGGTCCAGGTGGTTTTGGCAGGGAGCTTTTCCTTGCCAAATTGTAATTTATTGCTCTCATCATAATGCTTGTCAAAGAATTGACCCGGACGATACCGATATATTCTTATGTTGGGATTAAGTCCGAGCACCCTGCCTCCAAACACGGCCTGATCTTCGAAGGAGCTGACGAGGTATTGCATCCCACTGCGCTCCCACAGCATTTTGGCAAAATTGGAGTCGTCAATCTGGAACCGGTCATTGACCCGGGTCGCCTCCCCTCGCTTCGGCTTCCCTGGCGTCGTCGTCAAGGGCAAGGAAGACAGGAAAGACACATAGCTTTTGCACAAGTTGGAAGTGAACAGGTTGCGGATGACCAAGATCTGGCCAGGCACCACTGTCTCGACAAACAGATGCTCCTGAGGCACGAGCGGAGCGAGAGGAGGCCAATCTGGCGGACGGGGCGTCGTTGATTGAACACTGTCGCCCTTGGAGGGGGCAGTCTTTTGTCTCCCTCGTGGAGCCATGGCATGGAAACCACAGTCTCCAACGACAGATCCTCAGGCTCGGTCAGACAAGTAGACCAGTAGAAAGAATTTCCACAGCTGTCGGCGGGAACGAGACTTTGCCCATCTCACGACAATGCCAAATGACTTCACAGATCAAAGAGATTGCCTGGCTCCTGTGGTTGACCGGTGGCCAGAGATCACCATGTGGTGTGCCGGACCCCAACATCTCGAGAAAGAAATTCCTGGGCCTCGTTCGGGCTGTGATTGGCTGGCGCGGGACTGCGCTGTCCGCCTCCCGCCCGCCTGTCTTCGACTTTTACATTTTCCAGAAGAACTTTTGATCGTTTGGAGATTGCGACACGCCCTCGACACCGACCTGACGGATTTGTGCTTTCTCTCCTGGATCTTGCAGACCTCGTAATGTCGTCGCAGGCCATTGCGACGTCGTCAAGAGGTCTGCCAGATCTCCCATCATGGACCGCTGGTTCGAACCTACATCAGAACGACAGTGATTCCAACCACGACCATCAACCCGAACAGCGCCACATGAAGCCGTCCATACCAAGCCATCCCTCGTGGGATGACCTAGATATCGAAACGCGGAATCATGCTGTGGGCAGTCTGCTCGCGGCTCTTACCCCCGTCGGTCAAACCCAACCCCCGGATCAGACCGCAACTGCGCCCGCCAGAACAGACATGGTGCCCGTGCCAGACCACAGCCTTGATGCCTCGCCTGAGACACTGGGGGCAGAAACAAACAATATCAACCTAGAAACAGACCCTGACAACCTCCTTCCTCCTCTGCCGCTGCAAAGCCACGAGGACTTTCTCGCTTCCGGCGGGCTGCCTCCATTGCCTCCTTCGTTAGCCATGGATTCTTTTACGCAACCCTTGCCGCTGCCCTTGGGACCAGATGATCTATTAACAACCTATGCGAGCGAGTCCCACCCGCCGGCTGCTGCCTCTCAAATTCCACTGCCAGAACGCAGGGAAATCGAAGCGTTCGCAAAGATTGAGTTTGAGGACGGGAACTACTACATCACCACCTATGCGTGTGAATTGGGCAGAGACGCTTTTGCATACCGGGCAGCCCTCGCGAAGGCTGAAGAGGCGCGTCAGGCCGAGCAAGACCGTGCACAGAGCTCCAGTGGCAGACGGTCAGGTCTGTCGGAAGGCATACCACGACCTGGCGACAGTCAAGTCCAAGGGAGTGTGGTCAGTGAAGCTGGTGGATTCGGTGGTGTCGATGACGGTCTGGGCATGGAGAATGAAAAAGGAGAGGATGGCCGCCCCCTACACTCGCAGTCGTCGGAGATGTCTGCCGGTAGTGTCGTCAAACCCCAGGAGGTCCTCTACAATCCTCCTTTGGCCCCCTTCGATTATCATAAAATGGCGGAACGTCAAGCCCAACTCGAGAACGGCATCGAGCAAGAGCCAGACAATGAGCAGCCAGCCCCAGTGACAGCAGACCATATCCCGGATGCCCACAATTGTCCGCTCATCCCTATCCACGCCATGCGCAATCACCAAAAGTCCGAATTGGAAAACCACAAGAGTATCTCCCGACGGCACGTCAAGATTCAATGGGATTTTGACAAGGAGCGCTTCCAGATGAAAGTCATGGGTAGAAACGGTGCCTTCTTGGACGACGTGTATCTTCCACGCGGTCAAATCAAACCTCTTCGCGACGGTTCCAAAATACAAATCTCGAATGTCTGGATGACTTTTAGACTGCCGAAGCAAGAAGCCGAGTCTGCGAGCGATGGTTCAGGCCGGGAGGAGGTTGAGCAGCACAGCCCTTCCCGACCGCTGAGTACTTCGCCCATATCCAATGAACCAGACAGGAGCGTTTCGCCGTCGAGAGTCGGTAGGGGCAAGACGAAGATCATCCTGAACACCATTGAAAAACCAGCAGCCGCGATTGTAGAGCCAATTCTCGGGCCGGATGGCCAGCCTTTGCCTCCGAAAAGGCGGGGACCTGGCAGGCCACCAAAGGATGGGATCATGTCGACTCGAGAAAGGAAAGAGAGGGAGAAGGCGGCCAAGCTTGCGGAAGCGAAGGCCGCAAATGGAGGGAAGACTCCTCCACCCATGATGCGGGGACCGAAGCCGGCCAGACCAACCCCCCAGGAGGAAGAAATTGTGACTGAACCCAAACCCGAGAAAAGGAAATACAAGAAGCGGAAGCGCATTGGAGAAGACGGTGACATCGTCCAATCCATCGAGGGCGGTGAGATCGACGTGCCTAGTGAGCCCGAGAAGCCACCGCCCATTAAGAAAGCCAGGTCGAAATCTCCGAGTCCAGAATACCCGCCTGCGGAGAGTTTGACTGAAGAACAGCTTGCCAGACCGTCAGAGCCCTATGCCCGACTGATCTACGACATTTTGCTTGACATCCACCCCAAGGCTCTTCCTCTGAAGCAGATCTATCGTGCCTTGAAGCTGAAGTTTCCTTTCTTCGTACACAGGGTGGACTCTGAAGGATGGCAAAGCAGTGTCCGGCACAACCTGAACCAAGAATGGAACAAGCTCTTTGAGAAGGGTGAGAAGGAAGGCAAAGGATTTGCGTGGAAAGCGATCCCTGGGGCGCTCCAGCCTCAAGCAGAGAGGAAGCGAGCAGCTCTACAGGCGGCAATGGCCAAACCGAAGCCTACACCGGCGCCCCGTCCGACTCCACCTCAAGGTCCTCCTCAAATGCTGAATTGGCAGAATAGCACCACATATTCTCAGCAGAACGGGGTGCCGCCTCAAGGACATCCTCCGCCCTTCTACGGACAAGGTCAGTCGGGATCCATGCCACCACCTTCGAATGGGATGCCGTGGCCGCCTCCGCCAGGGGGAATGCCGCCGTCGTCGAACTCAGCCTATCCTGCAGGTCAAAACCGCCCTTTGTATCCCCCGGCGCCGCCAGCAGGACAGTCACCCTTTCCACCGCAATTGCAGCCTGGCTCTGTGCCATCAGTAGGATCTCATCCGGCGCCAAGTCCAGTTGTGACACCAGCGCCTGCATCAACGATCCCCATTCCCACGAGCTCGTCGGCATCTAGGAATATGCCTTGCACCTTGGACGGTCTTATCACCATCAAGAAGTTCGAGAGCGCCATGCTCGAACAGGTCCATCCCGCGAGGGTCGAACATTGGCAGAAGATCTTTGCGTCTGCTACGCGACGGTTACTGCACGGCCATCCTGAGTCTCTGGCGCCGGGTGGCCATACCGTCGAAGAGGAAACGATCATGGAACACATTCGAGATTTTATCCGGCGTTTCAAGAACCCCAACTTTGCAGGATTTTCACGGACCGGCTCACCCGCGCCCGCCAATCCGGTCAACAACATGGGCACAAGAAACGGCACGCCGCACGCTGCATCGCCAGCAACCACTACGCCCGGTCCTCCTCAAACTGCTCCTTCAGGAGTTGTGAACCCCACTCCCCAAGTCCAAGCAGCACAAAGTGAAGCTTCCGCGCCCTCGGCGAGCAAGGAGGAGGGGGCCACCGGGCCGTCGACTGGGGCATCCACAAATGACTCGAAACCCATCAGTTAGGGAGCGATCAATCAAGCTTGAACACACAGGTTGTGCCAAAAGCGTGGTTCGTCATGGAATTGGTCCCCGCTGCTTGAGCAGTGGTTTCCAGAGTGCTGGGAGAGTCGACAATACTATTCTTCTCCCTCTTTTCGATATGGATGGTAATGGTCATGATACCCTTGGCGTTCAAAACCTCTGTTCGGTTTGACTTTTTGTGTCTTTTTTCTTTCTGTTTAGGACTAAGGATAAATCCGTGGACTAATAGGATTCCAGCGGTGTCTCGGGTTGGGTTGCGTTGGGTGATTGATTGATTGAAACGAAACGACCGAATGCACACAGCGAGAGGGCCTATCTACCTACCTACCTACCTACCTACCTACCTACAGTAGAAAAAGGAATATGAGTGCATTACAGCTGAAAGCATCAATTAATCGATCAATCGATCGATCAAATCAATCAGACGAAGGCATGATCCGCCCTTGGGGCTATACGGAAGGGAACAGGAACCATGCGTCTATTCATCCATATATCTGGCTGGATAGTCTGCAGGCAGCATAGCATAGCATAGCATAGCATAGCACAGCACAGCACAGCACAGCATCTATTGTCCTGAAAAGGGAAAACAAAAAACGATAGGTTGGTTTGAATACATTCTCGCAATTCCAGGCAGGCAAGCAGACAGGCCCTGTGGAGGATTTTCTTTTCCTTCTGAAGGTGACTCACTGACTGGCTGATAGACTGACTGTTGTATTATCTGTGGGATCCAATCTATTCCATTTCCTTTTCTCTGGTATATTTCCTTGATTAATATTGCATCCCCCTTCCCCTCATCCGCCTCACTTGACTTGCGTCTGTCTACTGTGTCTCCCAGATGTGGCGACGGTTCCGCACCGAGTTAGATCATGGCGCTCGCTGCGTCTCGAAACATGTGCGCGTGCGTTACTGTGGGATGTCACCTGTGCGCTGGATGAAATTCTGGTGCCATATTGGTGCTGGTGCTGGTGCTGGTGCTGGTGTCCAGTGATCTATCGTTGTGAAGCTAAGACCACGTTGTAAGTGTTCGAGTTGTCTCGAAGAAAGCAAACCAGCGAATCCAGAAGAAGGGGATTCCAGCTGTGGTATGGCCCGTGAGTGATATGTGGTGTGTCTTGGGAGCATTTTTGCTCACGGCAAAATCATGGTTTGTAGTTGGATCTCTCAACCGGCATTGAGCAGGCATCACGGCTGAGGGCATAGATTAGATCTATGTCCGTTTTCCTGCCGTGATGCACACCGTTCGTTACGCCTGCTTGTTCCAGAAATGTTACGCGGTCCTCACTCTTGACCTATTTTGCTGCTCCGGCCAGACGCCCTTGCTATAGTCCCATGTCCGATTGTAGTCGTCTCAATTCTTGTTCGTCCAGCAGGTTCTGAACCACAAGTCGAGCGACGTTCATTCCCGCCAGAGCGGAAGTTTCCATGGTCGAAATGAACGATTCCATGCCGGAGAGGTAGTAAACACCGTCGGAGATGCCGCGTGACAGGCACGACTCCGTGGAGCAGAGCGTAAAGTTCTCGAATGATGTCCGGGGTAACTCATACGGGTAGCTGTGCCAATGTTTCTCGTGGAGCCAAGGAATCTCGGATCTGGGAAGCTGGGAGAGCGGATCACCGTGTTGGTTCTCAGGCTCCGGCGTGTGTTCGAAGCCCAGCAGAGACGACAGAAACGTCCCCGTCAAGGGCGCTGGCGAGAAAATTTTATAGAGATACTGTGTATCTTCTCCTGCTCCATCGGGCAGCTCCGTGCAGTTTGAGGTTGGTCCGCAAAATGTGCCATCCGTCTTTGGATGCAAGACCCGGAGTGTGCTGATCGACCAAAATCCTGGCGGCCCAACAGCATCGACGCCCCGTCGTGACCCCAGTTCGTCGGAAAGTTCCGAAGAGAGAGTGGTGAGGACGGATGAGGGGACCTCTGCTTCCGAGTCGAGTCCAAAAAATGACGGACAAAGACGACGGGGGGAGGTGAAGAGAGTCACATACAGCGACACATAGGGGATCTTCTGCGGGACAGTAAGGAGTGGTGGCAAGAATGTGACATTGGCGAATTGATACGGGGCTGCGAGGATGACGGTGTCAAACTCATCTCCGTATTCGTTTGTAAGTCGTCCATTGATTTCCTCATTCTCAGTCTTGACCTGGAATGTCCCCTTCTGTTCGTCCTTGACCACATCGGTGACGGTCGCATTCAAGAATATCCCGTCCGCGGTGCTCCTCACCATCTGGTCAAAAATCTGCCAATTGCCATCCTCGACGGCCATGGCTCCCTCGATGGCCATGCACACCAACGTCTCCAACCCATGTATCCCGCCTAGATTGCTCGCGTAGTTCACACGGGTGCTTGCCTGGATGATTTCACGGGAGAATAGATCACCCACTTTGGCTTTCTGCAAGACATCTTTCCCTGTCAGACCGGTGTATTCATGCAGTCCTGTAGCCTCCACGGCCTCTCCGATCGAGTTGAAGGGAAATATGGGTTCCTCGTAAAACTTCAAGAATTCACCCACGGCTTTCTTCGTCGCCTGCCGGGTGCGTATAGGAGCCAGTCCATATTTCCAGAGGAGTTTGGCAATGTCCCACCATCCTTGCCAAGAGCCTCTGTCTTCGTCGTCGTCTCTCTCCGCCTTGAAGACGAAGTCTTTCCCATCCCAAATGCCCAAGTCGTACTTCGCGTCAGGGGCGGATTGGTATATCTTCACAGCAGCTTCTAGTCCAAAATCCCGCGTGGCATTGTATAGGATATGATTTATTTTGACAAAGATACTCGCGCCGAGTTCCACCGGGTAGCGGGAGTCATTCAGGGCGTTGACCGTGGTCGTCCGGCCGCCGACGTAGGGGTTAGAGTCGAAAACAGTGATATGTATGGGAGTGCTTTCGTCAGGCGAGAGGAGCTGCTGAGAGAATTTGTGAAGGTGGTAGGACGTCGACGAGCCACCTGGGCCTGCACCTATGATTGCTATTCGGTGCGGCTGCTGTCTTGGGAGAGGAGGAGTAATTAAATCTGGGTTTAGGAGAGTCTGTGAGTTTTCAGCGGCGACGAACAGGGCTTGGAAGTGGAGGACGATGACGGTGGCATACGCCACAGCAGTGCTGCATAGCATTTCGAACACGGCGACTGAGTGCCTGAGAGACAGTACGAGGTACTGAATAGAAAGATCTGATTAGTTACATAGCTCATTCGACGGTCGGTTGTTTCGAGCTGGTAAGCGAGTTCGCTTGAGCTCGCCAAATGGGCAGACTGTCCGAACGGCCGACCTTATATCACCTGTATTGTACTTTGACCATGGACATTGGTTGCCTCTGCGTGGCAAAGTAGTCGTATACTTCATTGAACACCCTTCCGGGCTATTCCAGGCAGATGACTGCGTCCACCGGTACGAGGTAGTCAGATATCGAAGCATATTCGGCGAGGCTGGTAAGGTTGATGGCGCAGTCACGTGGGCTGCAGGTTCTGAGGCTTGGCAAGGCTCCGGCAATCTACGAGTCTCTTCTTCACTCTTTTCACCATCCAACAATCAGTTCTCCTGTACCTCGTATTCTTTGATCGATGAGCCATGTACATATTGAGCTATATTAATCAGTACCAATATCCTAGCATATTGCAGACCATACGCTCGGGCTTCGGTGAGATGCCTCTTCTCCGTTCATTCTCAAGGCTCGTACAATCATGGGTCATTTCTGTGTCAATTCTCACATTTTCGCACCTTCGTATTGTGTCTTCCTCCTTGATTTAGATTATCTCGCTGGTTGGACAAGGTGAGTCGTCCGTGGATCAGAGACTTGGTGGGAGTTGCATATCTATATATGGGAAGTACAGGGAAGGTTTGGTACCATCAGCCACACTTGGTTTATCACATTCCTTGTTGGTTGCGTGAAGATCACTGTCGATAGAATCCCGTCTCTCTTGCTGCACAGCTGCGTGTCAGTGCTTCGGAAATGACAAGGTTCTTGATCAGAAGGGGGATAGAAAAGTCAACACTACTTCCCTCCTCCTCCTCCTCCTCCTCCTCCGCCTCTCCTCCTCCTCCTCCTCCTCCTCCTCCTCCCTTTTCTCCCCCTGTTCCGCTGGGGACAGGCCTTCGAGCTTATTATTAGCCTTGCTACGTTGTTTCTTACCTGAGTTTTCAATCTAAGGAGCCCCATTACCCCTTCCCTTTGACGTTGAGACTTGGTCATGTCCAACCTTGAGACTTATGGTGATCGGACGTCTCTAGCCTTGGTCTAAATACGACTTCATTCGTGATATTTCTTACGTGGACATGATCGTGGGCTTCACAGGACATCTGGTGCATATGAAGGAGCCAAGCGGTACGGCAGCACGGGGGGACAAAAGGCTGCTCAGAGCGTTCTCTTGACTCCTCGAAAACAGCTGGTCTAATCATCAAAATCTAATGCCTATTTCTGTGCCCTTCATAACAAACCCCTAGATTGCTTCTCTTTGCACACCTTCGCGAGAGCCTCCACGTTCTGCTGGTCGCCGCCGTTCTTGAAACCCGGCATTAGGGCCAGCCACTGATAGACACTTTCTCTCAACTCCTTGGGCATTCTCGGGGGCTCCTTTACCACCGTCTCGAACGCATCCACCACCTTCTGCGCGACGTCGTCGATCATGGACTCGCCCACCGTCCTCCCCGCCGGGGCGCGCTGGAGACCCGTCTTGTAGCCCACCATGGCGTGCACTCTCACGCCCACCGTGCGCGGCCAGTTGGAGCTCATCAGGTTCCAGGCGTCGCCCGTCTCGGGCGGCTGGTCGCCGGCGCCGCGAAAGTCGGTCCGCAGCACGACGGCGGGGATGTCGGCCATCTTGGCGACCATGTACTCGACCACGGTGCCGGCGTCGAGCTCGGCGCCGTCGTAGGTGAACAGTGCCATGTCGCAGGACAGCAGGGCCCGCAGGTCCTGGTCCCGGATGGCGTGCGCGCTGAGATCACGCTGTTCCAGGTCCTGAGGGAGGACAGGGATGAACTTGCCGGCCGAGCCTTTTTGGATCGCTTGCGCGAGGAGCGCGTTGGTGTGCAGTTCGGCGATAGTGAACAGCGGACCGGCATGGTAGTATGTGTACGACTGTGGCGGGTGAGAGATTTCTTGTTGACTGGGGTCGACGGTGTGGGTGGCCAGCACCGAAGGGGTGCTCGTTTGGTTGTCGGTCATTGTGGGAGGTAAAAGAGATTGGCTATCGGAGTCGGGAAAAGGGGGTGGGTGTGTTGATAAGGGCTACCGAGTAGATGGGACCAGGCCCCGAGAAGCGCAGGAAAGGAACTTAGGTATAGGCGATGGGGACGTTGGAATCCGCCAAATGGCCGATTTTGCCGGTGAAGAAGAGGGCCGTGGGGATCGTGATGGCGACGGCGACGAGAGTGCTGATGAAGAGGGTGGCGAGGTGGAACATGGTTGAAGAGGAAATTCACCTTTTTGGCTAGTTGATATGAAGCGTGTATAATACTATGAGTGGGAGGAGAGGCTAGTGTTTGGACAGTAGAGACACGGCGGCATTTATACTGGCAAGGTAACCTGATACCTGCCTGATTTAGGCATGATCTTTTCAATTCTCAGGTTCCCTGGGCGGTGCTTGGGGCTCTAGTGAAGCCTATTGAAGCCTAAAGGACTGGGCCGGGGGCTGTTGCTTCTTGCCCTCCTGGGTGCCTCTGGGCTTGATTGCTTCGTTACCCTGAACCACACAACGGCTACTGTATGTATTGGTGCACAACGACAAGTCTACTTCGGAACTGCATCACTCAAGGCTCTCAACCAGCTGATCTACGTTTCTTGGACCGCGCCAGATGCTCTCAGTCCAAGCTCTGATCCATCATGGCCACATCTCCTTGTCCCAATGCACGCAATCAAACTCGTGCAGGAGATCGACGATGAACAGACGCTGAATGAGGGATATACTGTATTACCACCGAAGATGGACTAGGGGTGCTTCCAACCATATAAATTCAGCAGAGCTACTACAAGAAAAACCCCTGCTCCGAAATAAATTCTGTGAAACAAGGCAACGAAAGACGTGGGAAGCCTTGGCCGCTTAACCATCGTCAGGCTATCACCCCCTATTCTCAGCCAATTCTCTATCAATTCCCGCATTTTCCCTTCCGTCGTCACCCTGCACCCTGCATTTCACATCTGGCCTTAGAATGATAATCATAATCATAATAATAAAAACATGGTATATTACTCTCTGTCTCTTCTCCCATCGGGCCGCAAGCTTTGTCAGAGTCCAGGACTGCCTGGGTGACACGACGAGAAGGAGGCAGGCCAGCCATTCTTTCACGAGGCTTTTGAGCTGTGATCTCACAATATACATGAAGCCAGCCATGTTGGTAGAGAAATGATGTTCTTCCGGATCTGTGATACTTGTATGTTATATCATGCCTACGGTATCTCACAGGCATCCGGGCTTCTGTTTCGTCCAGCTCCTTGTCCATTAGAAGAATCTTCCCGCAGTACCTCATAGATATGTGTCTCACATCAGGAAAACCCCCCCGTCACTCCTGATGCACGTGCCCGTGACGTTCTTGTCCTTCAGGACGTACAGAAACGCCTCGACCACGTCCTCGACCTGACCCACCTCCCCGGTGGCAGTGTGAGCCTTCATCCCCTCCAGCGTGGCCTTGACCTTGTCCTTGTCACCCCCCAAACTGGCCTCCCAGAGCTCCGTGTCCACGCCGCCGGGCGAGATCAGGTTGACGCGCACGGGCTTGAGCTCGAGGGCCAGCCCGCGCGTCATGCCGAACAGGCCGCTCGCGTACGATGCCACGACGGCCCAGTTGGGGATCGGCTTCTCCGAGACCGAGCCCGTGGTCAGGGTGACGGAGCTGGCCGGGCCCGGGGTGAGGTGGGCGACGGCCTCCTTCGCGACGAAGAAGGGCGCGAAGAACCGCACCATGCCGGCCTGCTTCATGAAGGGCATATCCACGTCCCCCAGCGGTTTGGCCGCGAGCGGGTCCCCCGCCGTGAAGACGACGTGGTCGAGTTTGCGCCCGATCTGCGCGAAGAGAGCCTGGATGTTGGCTTCGAGGGTGGCCTCGTCGCCGAGGTTGCATGCCAGGCCGGTGACGGTGGTGGTGGCGTGGGAGTCCGGGTACGCGGCCCGCAGACGCGCGACGGCCGAGTCGACCTTCTGCTGTCGCGACGACGAGATGTACAGGTGGGCGACGCGGTGTTCCAGCAGCGCCTCGGCCAGGCCGAAGCCGAGCCCGGACGTGCCACCGATGACCAGGACGACCGTGTTGGCGAGTTTGTTGGTGTATTTGGGGGTGGTCATGGTTGTGATGTGGTGGGTGAGGACGTATGTAGGGGGACGGCCCCTCTGTGTGCTGATATCGACAAAAGGGCAACGGGCGTATATCGGAGGTGTTGTATCTCCAAGTTCAATGTCTGATCCCGTCCTGCTCGATTATTTATATATACAAATCGTACACGAGAGGTGGAGATCCTTTATCGCCACGAGGTGGATGGGTGACTGGATGTTAGTTGCCTGTGTTGGCCGGAGGAACATTCGAAGCTTCCTTCGGCGACATAGATGCATGATGCATACATACGGACATGTACACCGTGTGGTGCGTGGTGTGGCGTTCAGGTCCTTCCTCCTCCTCCTATCATTAGTATTATTATTATCATCTCCCTCACCATCTTCGATCCTTGTGCCCCTTCGTCGGCGGTAGTTGCGGAGATAAAAGAAAAATTGTCGATGTGTGCGCGGGGCTTCGCTACATACGCCGGTTGACCGGGGGTGTTTACGGACTACAGACTACAGTATGTAGTGAGGTAGATGATTGGTCATCCTGCTTCCAACCAAAGAGAGATACACACACACACACACACACACACAAACACCGAGATATGCACAAAATAAAAACGAGGAGAAAAAAAGGGTCATGAACGTATGTGTCTGTCTCGGAGCTTAGTTGACGTCAAGGCCTTGTGTGGGAGCTTGTTTAGTGCTACATACATAAATACATACAGTATCACAGTACCTTGTGCATATTGAGTGGGGGTGAGGGGCATGAGATCGAGGGTATATCCATCCATCCACAAGTTGATGCACGAAAACATTTTGCATTTCTCATCATCGTCACCACCAAGAAAACGCAACTTCCATTTCGGTCAGCAACCCCCACTCCTCCACCCCGGGACGACCGAATCCGTTAAGCTTAAGCCACTTCATGCGGCTTTGTCAGTGTCTCTCGTATGCTTTCCCCCCCAAGTCTGAACCTCTGATGACGATCAGCATCCGAAGTCCTGAGCGATGAATCAGCGGCGGGATGGATAAGGGGCATGGTAGTATATACACGGGGTAATCTACGGCTTTCCCTTCCCCACCCAACAGCAGAAGATGAGATTGTGTCTCAACTGGCTATACTGACCAGATGTTCGCCATGATCAACTTCAGGGTACAACCGTTGGGTCCGTCCCGGTGGGCGATGCGGGCATACTGCGTGTGGAGCTGGATGTGTTTTGCTTGGTGAACACCGCATGCTGCTGCCTGACTCGACCACTGCCTCTTCCCACTCCGCCCAGGGCCGGAACAAGGGCTTTCGTTCTCGGAGTGGCTGTCCCCCCAAGGAGTAGATGCTGAGTGCTTCCATTGGGGCATTTGGCGAAACGTTGGAATCGAGCGTCACTGCATCCTGATGCAGAGAGAGCAATACGGACGGTAGCCAGCTTGGTGTAAAGCCCTCCACAAGCACACACAGACTGGACCACCTTCGAGATTCAGCTCGGTGACCCAGACACCGTAGGCTCTGTCGCGGTGGTTGTGCTGTAGTAGCTGCCCCGAAGTGTCCCATCTAGCGAGTAAGGAGCCTGTAACTCAGCGCTCCACACCTCGAGACGTAGACCGGGACTTTGATTCCCTCCTATTCGTCTGCAACACATCGTGGACGTCGTCAGCCAGAGCCCTGAGATCATTCTTCTGCTCCGCCGCCAGGTAGAAAAATCGCTCCGAGAGCGCCAGGAGAGCCGCGAAGATCTTGTCCGCCGGAGCCGGTCCGTTGTTAATGATCGCAGAAGAACTGATCTGGCCGACAAACCATGTATGGGCATTAGAGCCCACCTGGGCAGATAGCGCGCCGACGCTTAGAACCCATAGAAGTACCTCCTCGTGACCATCCCAGTCTTTGTCCGGGATCGAGCAGAGTCGATCCCGCAAGAACGGCGCCATGACTTTAGCGGACCGCACTCGTCCGGTGATGGTAAGACTCAGGAACATCCACAGCACAAGCGCCGTCTGAACGGCGGCACTTCTCCCGTCGTCCATGTCCAGATGCAGGAGACGGTGTCTGATGGCGATGCTGCGGACATTGATCCAATGGAGCCCTTCGAGGCTCGGCGGTTGATCTTCCGCCGCCGCCACCGCCGCCTCCAAAGTTTGTGAGGACTTGAAGACGGAGAGCACCACGGCGAGATCCAAGATGATCCAGCGCAAGGTGGCCGGGATGATCCTTCGCTGCGCAGAGCCGAGGAGCCCTGACCCGATGGTGACCGTGCCAGACAGAAGCTTCTGCAGCTCCTGCAGGCCGTAGGCCGTCATGGGATGCTCGTCGCCGTTGTCAAAGTCAGTGTCGGACCACAGGGGCTTCGTGCCCAGCTCTGCCGCCACGTAGGCATCCCCCGTCAACAACAGTTCCACCAGCGGGCCATCCTGGGATTTTAACCCTCCGATCGAGTCAATGATAGACTTGGCCGCTTTGAGGTGCACGTACCCGGCCTCGCGATTGTACCGGTACCACTCTGCACAGCCCAGGGCGAAGATGTTGAAGATGAGTCGGCCTGTGATCGGCTGCCGACTCGTGACATAGTTCTGGGAGGCTCTGAGGGCGCGGTGCATGTAGACCGGCCCGTCCGCCGACGGCAAAAGCCCATCGATGTCGTGCATGTAGTTGGCCATGTACGCAAGCAGGGAGTACATGTTGTACTCGTCGTGAAGGCATCCTTGAATCAGACTCATGGCGTCGTGCCGAAAGGCGTATTCGTGATCGGGCCGGCCACTTCTCTCGAGATGCCACATGTTCGGGTGCCACACCCGAAGGAAATAGTGCAGCAGGCTGTGGATGCCTTGGTCGACCCGGACGCAGGTCACCTCGAAAGGATCGAAAGAATCCTCGGCCGAGGCTGGGAATACGGGGATCGAGGGAGGCGAGCCTGACAATCGCAGATGTGGTGACGAATATTCCCATAGCAACGGGTCAATGTTGGGATCGAGCAGCTGCAGGTACTGCTCACTGTCACTGTGGCCGCTCATCGGAGATGCTGATTGGTAATGCACCAGGCCCGATTCATTTTCTGGTGAGGGCCCAGCAGGGTAGTCTTGCTCGTGGCCAAGCTCGTCTGGACAGTCATGCATCGGATCATCTTGCCCTTCAGGCCGAAGTTGCGGTAGCGGTATGGCGTAGATGACCCCTTCCGCAGATTTCTTGTACCGTCGTCCCTTCTGGACGTGGCTGTGGATCTTGATTCTTTCACTCTTGTGGCTGTGCGACAGGGAATCTGAGTCGGCTGTTTTGTTGATGAACATAAACTTGGGCGCCTTCATAGTTGTGTATGTGTGTCTCGTCTCGCTCAGTAAAGGTCTAGCAGTGATGCTACCGTCTTGCGATGGACACACACATATCCCAACAAGCGGGTGTGGGTTGAGCTATATAGCAAGACCGGTGGTGCATGGGCTTTTAGGTCGAGGGATAACGGGTGCAAGAAACCTTCGCGAGGAAGTCTTGCACCGGTCTCAATTTGAATAGAAGATGCATGTACGGCCGAATGAAAGGGAGAGACCCGCGTGGAAGCCTTAGAAGATGAGGTATAGTCGAGGGCGTTATGTGAAGCGGAGCCTCGTGAGCGGTTCAGCGTGGCCATAGGACCCAGTGGCCTGTACTTGGCAAGCAGCGAATAGCGTGGAGCACCTCCGGACCCTAAGAGATATACCAGATATCGAGTGGGAAAAGTGGCTGTGGATGCTGCCCAGCGAGCAAGCCAGGAGCCTTGTTTGGATGTCCTGATCGGGAAATGGGTACTTCCTATTCCGGTAACGACCGGGTGGCACGAGGCCCTTGGCCCCTTGCAGGCATTTAGCGTAGGTGGCGTTGCGCCTTGAAGGGACAACGTCTCAGGGCAGCAACTTCGTACAGGGAAGACGAGGTGACACCGTCTGATGAAGTGTCCGGTGTTCTGCTCTACACTCCAAGCTTTGAGGTCGGGCTGATGGATATATCGGCGCAGAAAAATACTACCAGAGGGTCTGAGAGGGCACCGAGACTAAACAGGCGTCCTGGAGATGATATGTAGCAATAGCAATGTAGGAAAGTCACAAAACTGGGAAATATACATAGTACGCATACTCTCTCTCTGTACCAGCTGGACGGGCCCGCAACATCTATTCTCCGAGCTCGCTAGCTAGTACGAAGTCGACCTCAAAAGTCGCTGCCTTGACAGCAACCCCGTCTTGCTGACTACACTCGTCAATTCAATTCCAAGGGATCGGTGGCTTGAAAACGGCCCTGCGGGTGAAGGCGACCCCGTGTACAGGGTTGTTTGCAGATCCCCATCCACGGCTGGCTGACTCAGGAAATTTCGACCATTTGGGCTCCGTGGCGCACGCAAGAGAGAGAATAGAGAGAGAGCTTATCGGCTCATGGGCAGTGGCGAGATATTCGTAATACGTATACTTCAAGCCGGCAGAAGACATGAACGCGTGAACAAGGAAGAACCGACCTGACAAATTGGGCCTGCAAAGCTGGGCTCCAGCCACGGATGGAAGGAGTAAACTATATTGTACCTCGTAGTGCTAAGCACAAGGGCACAAAGACGGCAAAGTGTCTACTCATTCGACGCTAGTATCTCAAATATGCATGCATGGCGCGGGGTGAGATCCATAACTCCGAGGGCCAACGACCTGTCTCAGCTCATACTCATTTTGTTGTAGCTACTACCGGTGACCTAATCCTCTGACATAATCCGCGCGCTGGTCATCTACTCTGGGTCAGGCATCTTGAGCACGTACCGCCCAGCGATCTGGCCAGCATGCATCAGCTCGTAGACCTTGGGAAGATCCTTCAGATCCACCGTCTTGAATGGGACCTTGATCAATCCGCGAGCAAAGAAGTCGAGTGCCTCCTCGCTATCCTGTCGGTTTCCGACGTATGAGGCCTGGATTCTGATCATCTTCACTACCGACTCGAAGACCGGGGCACGGATGTATGCCTTGGCCGGGAGACCAATCACAATGACGGTTCCACGGGGGCGGACGTATTCCGCAGCCTGTTGGAAGGGCTTCTCGGTCACGGCGACGAGAATGACGGCGTGGGGGCCGAGACCGTCCTTTGTCGCAGCCTTGACATCCTTGACGACGTCGCTGGATTTGGCGAAATCGATGAAGGTCTGATCATAGACGGTTAGTACCACGTCACAAATGAGGTATCTTCAAAGACTCACGCTGGAACCCATCTTCTCGCAGAGTGCTTTCTTGTCATCTCCAGTGTCAATGGCAATGGTATGGATACCCATAGCCCGCGCGTATTGCTGCGCCAATGAACCCAAGCCACCACCGGCACCGACGATGGCAACCGTCTGTCCCGGTCGTGCTCCCGACTCTTTGAGACCCTTGTAGACTGTAATGCCGGCGCAGAGAACCGGGGAGACCTCATCGAGAGGTACGCCCTCGGGAATGTGGGCGACGTGCCTTGCCGATGCAATGCAGTACTGTTGGAAGGAGCCATCGACGGTGTAGCCGGAGAGCTTGGGAGTGAGGCACAGGGGCTCGTCTGATTGTTGGCAGAATGTGCAGTTCAAGCAGGAGTCGTTCAGCCACTTGACACCGACGGCCTCGCCAAGCTTGCAAATGTCATCGGTGACCAAATCACCGCGGGCCACCACGATACCGGCGCCCTCGTGGCCACCAACGAGAGGCAGCTTGGTTGGGAGGGGCCAGTCCCCGTTGACGGCGTGCAGGTCGGTATGGCAGACACCGGAGTATTTGATGTTGACGAGCACTTCCTCTGGGCCAGGCTTGGGGACGGGAATCTTCTTGTATTGCACCGGGCCGCCGACCTTGTCAATGACCTGAGCCCATTGCTCGGTGGGGATCTTGTATGAAGTCATTCTGTCGGATGGAGATGAAAGGACGGGAAGGTCTAAAAAAACACTGTCGGGCAACGTTGGAAATGGGTGTCAAGGAAGATGCGCCTTTTGAGGTTTGGGTGAGATGATGTTCGACATGTTTGGTAGAGGAACCAGGCCGACCTTATGTACATGTCAGAAGAGCTCTCGACCCCTCCTCCTCTTCTTCAATGGGCAATGAGAAACTCACTTCAGGATGAGCGGAAACCCCTCAGAGTCTAATCACGTATTGCGCGTGTGTCCGTCATGGCTCCCAGACCGTGTATCCTGTGGACCGCTGAGCTCGGGCAGCCAATCAGTAGGATGGTCTGAGGGCGCTGAGAATGTTACATCTCATGACGGGTGTAAGGAGACTTTCTGTAAGCGGATCATCGGGTTTGGCCAGAAGGAACATGTGGACGAACGGATTTTCTCATCACCAAGGCGCAGGGAGGAGGAAGTACCCTTAACCGGGTGGACCAACATGGGCAAAGAAACCAGGATGAAGGCTGCAGCAAGATGGAGTATGAGTTAAGAGAAAGACTTGAGGGGTGTGGCGGTACGAATCGAGAGCTGTGGGAGGGAGTGGATAGGCGGGAAGGAAGAAGCTCGACTGGAAGCTCTCTAGAGGCTAGTGATAGATGGGCCGCAGATCTGGACCGCTGCAAGGGTGACGACGCCAGCTGCAAGCTTTTCCGGATCTGTCTTTGTGCTCGGATCCAAACTTAAGCTCTCCGAGATGTGAGATCCATGTCGCCAGCACGCATTTCGATTCGAGGGACCGAAGGAATAAAGAGGGAAAAGGACCAAAGGGAGCGTCGGAGGAGGGAGTCACGAAAACGAGCCCCCGGAAGGGCATCTCCCCCCAGGCCTTAGGGGGGTGAGAGAGCCCAGTCAATGCGGGGAAAGGTCCCTAAGGTCCCTTGTCGCCCGGGGGGGAGGGTGTTGCTGCCTAGGCGTTACAGTTTGTATGTTCACCTCACCTCAGCTCTCAATTGCCACCCCCTCGCTCATCCCTGTTTACTGCTCTTCCACTGACGGGCACTAGGCTGATCTGCCCAATCGAAGCTCCAGATAAATCCGTTGCTCCGTCGCGTTACCACCATGGAAGCACGTTTTGGGTTCTTTGTTGACGTTACCAAGTGGCATGATGAGTTGCGGGGCAAGGGCCCATGTTTGGGCGCAGTCAGTCGTTGTCACCCTCCATCGCCAGCCCATTGATTTCAGGATGGCCTCACCTGAGGATGAGGTGATGAAGTCTCGACGCTCGATAAGCTAGAAATTGGACCTATCTACCATCTCGCCCTGATCCTTTTTGTTGCAGACTCACGCACTCGCAGCTCGCCGAGCAGCGACGTGCACAATGTCAGGCCGTCTCTGATCCAGCCTCCTTGACGCGTTCGAATACTCACAAATCCTCTCGACACTTGCCCGCCTTTGCCTTGCCTCCTGTCTCTACGAAAGACACACTGCTATCTTCTCCTGCGGACGTTGGCCGTGAAAGTGACGCTGTTGTGCACTTGGAGCATCATCCGCACAAGCCGAGTACAAGACCTTAAAATCGAATTCACGTGTCACGGGTATAAGCGAAGGCGATGACTGTTCATGCGATGATGCAGAAGTGGTCTGATGGCCACCGGCTGCCAAAACAGGGTCAAAATCTATGTATGGCAGGCCGCAGACGAACCAATGGGTTGGTTTGGTAAAATTTCTCGCGTTTGTGTTCCTTTTTTTTGATCTCGAGAGAGCATGTGCGCCCAAGAGATTCTGCTCTTCAAAATGCCGCATCTTGTGGAAGATCAGCAGAGTTCAACGGCCATCGACCAGTCCCACGGTGGCGCTATTTCGATTTCTTGGTTGCTGATCGCAGTCACGATGCTTGAAGGAGAAACACGACAATGAGCAGACAGCCCGGATTCTGCGTGTTCAGTGTGCGAGGCTCATGAAGGAGCGATTCTATAACAGGAGGTAATGTGTTAATATTGTTTCTCAGGACCAGAAAAAAATGAAAGACTTCGGGCAATTGCGAGTCAATGGGCACGGAGCTCCTTGCGCTACTTACCGATTTAGATAAGGCATCTTAGGGGCGCTGCCGGGGCATCTTCCCTCCGACCTTCTCGAAACGCGGCGCATCTCTTCCTCGAGCCTTTCGATATCACTTGCGACATTAACATGGGTGGAAAATAGGAGAAAGGTGATGGAAACATCGGATTCTCAGTGCGAGGTTGGATTTCGTCAAGGATCAACGAGCACAAGGACGACAAGGTACAGACAGAACATTCCTAGCGCCAGAGGGCCAGCTGCCTGAGCCTCTCTAGCTTCTGAGCAAGAGACTGCGCAGGCAAAGAGATGCAGAGACTCGACAGAATTAATAACCAAAACCCCCCCAATTCCGTTGTCGCTGGGAATGTTTATAAGCATTCGCACTCATGTGGATGCTGGGTGTGCACAAATACATACCAAGTCCATCGGCTGTCCTCCGTAGGGAGGCTTCGCCCGACAGATGCAGCCTCGAAAAAAAAGAGCCGAAAACATTTGCCATGTTTACTTGACCGCATGACACCCCTTCACCCCCAAGGACTTGTTGGGGGTGAAGGGGGGCCTGAGAGCCCCTCGATGCCCCTCAGCATGACCTACCCAGTCATAGCTCCGGGCATCACCCAGCGAGCCAGTTAGGCTGGTAGGCTTGAGGCTATTAGTAGGCGTGCCCCGCGCTTTGGATGGTAACAATTCGGAAGCGATCACGCCCTATTTCCCCGCTTCCACCCCCCGCGGGACCAATCCGCGGTGATTTGGCAATATACAGATCAACAGGGAAAAAGGTGCACAATCCGATGGGTCTAGATGCCTTGATCAAATGCCGGAACGTTCCCTTGACCGGCCTTGATTTATAAATCTTAACCCCGAACTTCTGGCTGGTGGACGACGTCCCTCGTCTCTGCGAAAGGAACTCAGTTGTCAGTTCCAAAGCATCACATCTCTCTCAGCATGGCCAGCAACGGTACCAACGGTGCACACGCGCCCACTCCAGCCTTTGACAGTTCGTCGACCATTCCTCTGTGGCTGGACGGGAAAGAAGTCACCCTCTCCTCGACCTTCGATGTGGTCTCGCCGCTCGATCAGAAGACCCTGTACAAATGCTCCTCGGCCGACGAAGAGGACGTGCATAAGGCTATCGCGTCGGCCGAGAAGGCGTTCACGACGTGGTCCCAGACAAAGCCCAACGTTCGGCGCGACATCTTCCTCCGGGCGGCTGACGAGTTCAAGAAGCGACGAGACGAGCTGAAGCATTACAGCTACAGCGAGACGGGTGCCGCCGAGTCCATGTTTGCATTTGAACACAATCTGGCTTACGAGGCGTGCAAGAGCGTCGCCGGCCTCATCCAGGTCGCCTCGACCTCCACTATGCCCGTCGTCGGCGAAGAGGGCAGCAGTGCCATGGTGGTCAAAGAACCGTATGGCGTGATTCTGGGGATTGCGCCGTGGAACGCACCCAACGTCCTGGGCCTTCGTGCGTGCTTGCAACCTCTGGCCATGTAAGTGTTTTTGTTTTCGAGGATGTGGGCACCGATTACGAGAACGAGATTGTCGTCGTCATCGTCGTCGTCATCATCATGACGTCCTTGATTTCTCCCATTTGGTGGGAAAAAAGGTCATTTGTTTGTTTGTTTGTTGTCTTTGTTCTTGTTGGGAGTAATATGGATCGGGCTGACACGAAGCCACTCTCTCGCGCACACAAACACACAGGGGCAACACCGTTATCCTCAAGGGCCCCGAAGCGGCTCCAGCGACGTACTGGGCCATAGCTTCCATCCTGCACGCGGCAGGCCTGCCCGCGGGCTGTCTGAACACCATCTACCACCGACCCGCGGACGCGGCGAAAGTGACGTCGGCGCTGATCTCGCACCGGGCCATCAAGAAGATCAACTTCACGGGCTCGACGGCTGTGGGGGCCATCATCGCCTCGCAGGCCGGCAAGTACCTCAAGCCGACCGTGATGGAGCTGGGCGGCAAGGCGCCCTCGATCGTGTGCGAGGACGCCAACATTGCCACGGCGGCGCTGCAGTGCGCGCTGGGCGCGTTCCTGCACGCGGGCCAGATCTGCATGGCCACGGAGCGCATCATCGTGCACGAGAAGGTGGCTGACAAATTCCGCGAGGCGCTCAGACAGACCATGGACCAAGTGTTCGCGGCGGACGTGCCGCAGCTGGTGACGGCGGCGCCGGTGGCGAAGAACAAGAAACTGCTGGCCGACGCGCTCTCCAAGGGCGCGACGACGGTGTACGGTGACGCGGCGCACGACGAGCCGTCCGCGACGCGCATGCGGCCGGTGGTGATCGAGAACGTGAATGCCACGATGGACATCTACCACACCGAGTCGTTCGGGCCGACGGTGTCGCTGTACGTGGTGGCGGACGACGAGGCGGCGCTGCGCCTGGCCAACGACACCGACTACGGGCTGGCCAGCGCCGTGTTCACCGAGGACCTGCGGCGGGGCCTGCGTCTGGCCCGCGCCATCGAGTCCGGCGCCGTGCACATCAACAGCATGAGCATCCACGACGAACCGGCCCTGCCCCACGGCGGCGTCAAGCGGAGCGGCTTCGGCCGCTTCAACGGCGTCCCGGGGCTCGAGGAGTGGGTGAGGACCAAGGTCATTACCTGGAAGGATTGACGGTGCGGTGGGGTCTGTCATCCTTTTTGTATACATATCTAAGCAGAGAAGGTACCAGGAACTTGTGGGACGAGGGGGGGGGGGGTATGGTGGTGACTTACATATATATGTAGCAAAGAAGTCTGGTTCTCCTGCAACCGGATAGGTAACCTATCTACCTGTGTCTCTTACCATCACTGCAGGACCGACAGGACAATACATAAGAGCTCGGCGAATACCCTTCGTTCCCTCTCCCAGCGTGTCTAGCTGTTCTAGAAAAATCACTCGACAATGTCCGGCCGAGCAAAACTCCTTGTAGTCATGCTCTCATTTCAAGGCTTGCTTCAAATTCATAACAAGGACATGCTCGCTCGGGGAGTGACCCCTCCTCCCCCAGGCCTCCCCAAAATAGTCGAGAAGCTGTTTACCCCTTGGGATCATCCGTTCATCATCATCATCATCATAGCTTGGGCGTATTGGTCAGATTCTCATAGCCATCCTCCAAGATGTGCACGTCGTCCTCGATCCGCACACCGCCTACGGTCCAGTACTTGTCCAGCACGGTCTTGTCGATGTAGCGACTCAGCTCCGGGTCGTCCAGCACGGGGTCGAGGATGAAGTTGCAAAAGTAGATGCCCGGCTCGACCGTGATGACGGCGCCGGCCGGCAACTCGCCGCGCACGCGCAGGTACTTGAACATCTGGTCCGGGTCGTCGTAGTTGGCGTGGCCCCCTGTGTCGTGCGTGTCCATGCCCAGGTAGTGGCCCAGGCCGTGCGGCATGAACGCCACGCTGATGCGCTTCTCGAAAATCTCCTCCTCGTCCCCGACCAGGATGCCGGCCTTTTTGAGCCCCCGGATCGCGACCCGGTGCGCATTCACGTGCACGTCTTCCCACCGCACCTTGGCGCGCAGCATCTTGAAGCATGACGACTGCATCTCGTCCACAATGTCGTAGATGGTCTGGGATTCCGGCGTGAAACTCCCCGAGATGGGGAACGTGCGGGTGATGTCCGCGCAGTAGCAGTCGAACTCGGCGCCCGCGTCGAGGAGGATGTTCAAGCGGTCTCGTAGGGGCTGGTCGTTGCGGACGTAGTGTAAGGTGGAGCAGCTGGTGCCGCTGGCACAGATGGAGTGGTATGCTAGCTCGTGTGCCCCGTTCGAGATGCAGGTCCCGACAAAGGCCCCGTACAGTTCTTGCTCGTTGGTCGCCGTGCGCACCGCCTTGGCGGCTTCGATGTGTCCCAGCGTGGAGATCTCGTTGGCCTTGCGAATGAGGCCCACCTCGTAGCTATCTTTGACCACGCGGCACTCGTCGATGGCCGTCTTCAGGCACGAGAACTCGACGGCCTTGAAGGGCAGGAACGTGATGTGCTCGGAGACCTGCTCGGGGATGGCGTAGACGGTGGCTGCCTTGGACGGGCCGTAGGCGGCCAGTGCGGCATTCACTTCGTTGGAGTAGAGCACGTCGTCGACGTCGTATTTCGCCAGGGCCTCCTCTTTGGACTCAGGCAAGCCACTCCAGATCACGCTGTCCGGGTCGATCGGGGGGATGAAGAGGGTAAGGATGTCTTGGGGGATGTTGTAGGTCAGGTAGGCGTCGGGCAGCTTGCAGCCGGAAAGGTAGAAGAAGTACCGGCGCTGGCGGAAGTGCATGGCCTGGTCGTCGTCCTCCACCATGCGGGTTTTCTGGGCCTCGAGGTACAGGACGCCATGTCGTGAGAAGCCTGCGTCGACCAGGTATTGCGCCACGCGCCGGCAGTGTGCTTTGGCGGGGTATTTCGCTTTGGGGGTTGTACCGTTCACGGACATGATGGCAGCGACGGGGTCTCGAGGGGGAACTGGTTGAATTGGTCGTGAGGAAGCAGTTGGGGGGGCAGAGAGAGAGTGTGTGAGTGAGAGTAAGTGGGTGAATGAGGAATTGAATGAATGAGTGAATAAGTGAATAATGTACCGAGTACGCATATACAGTACGATACGTCCTGCGTATATTATATCAGGACATTATTTCTTTGGGCATCTCCCCGCAGTTCCCACCACTAACTACTTCGACGCTTATCCACGGTTATTAGCCGGTGTATCTAGGTTGGTATTGCTCAGTGCAAATGATCTGTTCACAATGGCTTGTTGGCTCTGTCCATTCAAATAAGAGAAGGTAAACAAGGCTCGTGGAAGAGATACATGGCCCGTAACCACCAGGGTCACGTCCTAGTCAGCCAGCCTATAGCGCTTGAGCGAGGTCGAGTATTCGTTGTGTACCATGTCAATCGGGTTTCATGGCAAGCTCTCCGTGCATCGAGGATGCCTATCTGCACCAAACCATCTGTCCTGATCTCCTTCCACGTGGCAGAGCTTAAGCTTCATGCTCCAGTAAATGGAACCCAGAAATCAACCGAACAGTGCCATAACTCTTTTTGTACGACACTGTCCTCTGTACCACGGCACACACTCTGGGAGTCAGCGTATCAAATCTGCTTGATGATGGTCAAGAACACAGACCTCTTGCAACACAACGCGAGCGAGCAATCGACTCTTGAGTGAACAGAATATATATCTGAAGGGGGCTGGTTCTTCTGATAGCGTGATATCCAGCAAGGAAACGAGCGTCGGTGTGCATTCCCCTGCACCCGAATCGTCCCAGGTCCGTCAGTCACAGACGTGACCGGAATTTATCCCAAGAATATGATACCAACTCGTGTTCCCTGACAAAAGACACGAATCAGCTGGAAAATGACCGACGAGATGATACTTGCTCCGCTTAACCCTGTCCAACGTCGGCCGGTTAATTGCAGTGCCACCGACGGTCAAGGCTGGACGTTGTGTATGTGTGTGTATGTGGGTGGGTGGAAGAAAGACGAATGAGCACTGGTTCGTCCCTGGCCGGCAATAAATAGACGTACGTACACTGCATGTATTCAGCACACACAACGGCCTCAATAATATCAGAGGACTCGTTCCACGACTCCCAAGTCTGACCTTGCGTTCTGTTAGTCCTCGTCACCTTCACCTTATCATCATCGTCTCCGTCACACGGCATGGATTGCCGCCATCACATCCAGTGCTGCCATCTGAGAGTGACTGGTCGGCAAATCCATGGGGCCATCCCACCAGGGACCGTATTGGCCCTGCCCGTTCGTGTCCCGGAGCTGCAGACTCTGGAACTGCGTCTGGATAAAATCGACCAACTGCGTCTGCATCTCCGGGTGGGTGTCGTCGCGGACGAGGACCCTGTACAGCTTGGCCAGGCTCCGGAGCAAGATGGACTTGAAGCCGATGGCGTCGTCGTTCTGCCACGCGGGCTTCTTGTCCGGGCCCGTGCCGGGATAGGCGCCCGGCTCGGTGAGCGTGCCGTTCACGTCGACCCAACTGCTGCGGTTCAGGGCGTGGCTCGCCATGTTGCAGGCCAGGTCGAGGTACGCTTCTGTTGTGGCGGACTGGATCAGGTCCAGGTCCTTCGCTCTCAAGGTATTGTAGATGGCGACGGACGCGGCAATGGCTTGGCCTGTGTTGTATGTAAATGTCCAATTATAACTCTCGCCGGTGATGAGGTCGACGTGGTCCAGGACCACATAGCCGTCTTGATCGAACCTGCTGCGCAAGATCCAGGAGAAACTGTTGATGGCCGAGGCGAGGAACTCTTCTCGGTACGTTTCGTTCGTCTGTTGAGACGCCAGCCGCGCTGACAGCTCCGCGTAGAGGCCCGTGGTGACCGCGTTGACCTGGGTTTCATTCGGCTTGCTGGACCAGATCACCCCGCCGCCCATGTCGGTGCCGTTGATGACATACTTGCCCGCGGGAATCACGAAATGGTTGACGTGTTCCCAGATGGCCTCGGCGACGGTGAGATGGCTTGGGGAGGCGGTAAGATCGAAGAGCTCGAGTGAACACACGGCCCACCACATCGAGTCATCGTTCATGTCGTTGATACAGTTTGTGTTATTCACTTCAACCTTGGAGATGAGCTCTTCCAGAATGCCGCTGTTGGAAGAGGTGGTGTTGTTGTTGTTGTTGGACCAGAGGTCGTGCAGCGCAATGGCCGTATAGCCGTTAGCGACTTGCCAGTAGCCGAGGCCGGCGATCAGCCCGTCGTCTTGCTGCGAGGCCAGGAAGACGTTGATGGCGGCCTGGGTGATGCCGAGGGTGGTCGAGTTTCCTTCTGGGATAAGAGACATGTTTGACGGGTTGATCATCGTCGAGCCTAGGGTCTTCTGGGAAGCTTCTGCATATCTGAGACTGATGCCCCCAAGAAGCAACAGGGCCTTGACGGGGCCACCATAGCCCTTATATATCAAATGAAACATGACGGTTGGTGATATGAGTTCAGCAAATCCAGCCGCCTGTTGTTGGCCCGAATGAACAAACGGCCACGAGCCCCTGCCTTTTGTATTATGACACTTTCAACTGTTGCGCAATGAATGCGAGGCGATATGCTGGGGGCTGTCACTCTGCTGCGCCTGACTCCGTCCGAAAAGGAGATGCATTCACACTTCCAAGGTGACTCTGGAGATGAAGAGACGACGGTCCTGCACGGCGACTGCTCGTGCCAATCATACTGGATATCAAGCCCTGTGCGATCGTGTCTGGGGGCGTTTTGTTTTTGGTGGGCCGAGACACACACGGCAACAGTCACGGCGTTGTCGTTTGACAGCGACTGAACGGCATCATAAGTGCACCAATCGCCAAAACGACCAGACCACGACAGAATGCTGCGCAACGGCGACGTCAACGCGCAGCCAGCCAGCCAGCCAGCCAGACAAGGTAAGTAATGGTGACCCAGTCGTCGTCGTCGTCGTTGTTGCCGCCGTATATGCAAGGAAGAAGGGGACAAGCCGGTGATAAAGAACTCGGGCTCTTGACGCGACGCCATGCTCTCTCCTGATTGGCTCGGGGGCCGGATAGCGACAGAACTGTTGCCGTATGCGGTAAGTATCCACTCCGAGGCTATCTCCATCTATTGCCATTCTCGGGGGTGTTATCGTCCGCTCCCTCTCCATGTATACTGCTGGACATGCATACAGACATAGATAGGAACCTTCAGGGAGTAATTGAGTAGTATATAAAGACCAGCAAGCACATGGATTCAGAGAGTCAATCCTTCATCTTCCATCCATCACACCCTCAGAACATCTCCTCTCTAAGCTCCAGCACACCAAGCCAGAACCATGACTTCCTCCATGTCGACCATCCTCATCTTCGGGGGCACCGGTGGCATCGGGGAGTCCTTCGCTCGAGCCTTCCACAAAATGGGCAAAAAGGTCATCATCACGGGACGTCGCCAGTCCCGCCTTGCCGAACTGGCCAGGGAGCTATCCGGCCTCGAGACTTACCTCATGGACAACAGCGACCTGGCTGCTCTCCCGAGTCACGTCCAGGCCATCCTTTCCCAACACCCCGACATCGATACGGTGTGGGTCAACTCCGGGATCCAGTACCAGGGCAACCTGCTGTCTCTCGACAACTTCTCCGACGAAAAAATCATCACCGAGACCAACACCAACTTGACGGCGCCGATCATCCTGGCGCGCCACTTCATCCCGCACCTGCTGTCCCTCGGCCGCGAGGCGACCTTCATGATCACGTCGTCCGGGCTGGGATACGTGCCGATGGGGCTGTTCCCGGTGTACTGCGCGACGAAAGCGGCCGTGCACTCGTTCCTGGTCAGCCTGCGCGAGAGCCTCCACGGGACCAACGTCAACGTGATCGAGATCGCGCCGCCATACGTGCGCACCGACCTCGACGCCGCCAACCGGCTGGACACGGTCGTGACGCCCATGGAGCTGGACGACTACACGACGAGGACGCTGGCGATTCTGGAGAGGCCGGCCAAGGAGATCAAGGAGGCCGCCGTGGGGTTTGCCGAGATGGTCTCCACGAAGTGGAGGGAGGCGTATGGTCCGGTGCTGAGCATGAGGCATTCGACCGGTTGATCTGATTTGATTTGATCTGGTCTGGAGGAAGGAGAAGGAGAAGGAGAAATAGATACGGTGGCAAGACATAGTAGTCAAAGATGTCGTCGTTTGTGTCTTGTATTGTCAGTCACGAGTAAGGTGTGTTTTGAGTGAATCATCTCTGGCCCGTCTTCGACTCTCTTTCTCCCCCTCCTCCTCCTCCTGCTGCTGCTGGTACTAAGTAAACTGCGAATGCTCACCAACTGTATTTATTAAAACTCTATATAACCCTCATCTAGTGGGGTATATATATATGTTACATATGCCCGAAACTCTACTTTGTCCATTGCCATCTTCGTTCAGCAAAGGCAGCGAGAGGGAGCGAGGCCTTTTTAATCGCACACAGGACGCAGTATCGAGGAGCCCTGGCAGAGTACGGGGAGCACCCTCGAGCACTCGCGAGCCATAAGGAGCGCTCGTCCGATGCCCGTTCTCAGATGCCTCTTCGGGCTTAGGGGATTCCTTGAATTTTCGTGTTTCACATCTTCGGAGGAGCCATCTTCCGGGCCATCTTCTGGGACATGTTGCTCGTTATTCGACTATTCTTGCCTGGCTTGCTGGAACCATTTTCGACTCGGAGCGCCTGCTCGTGGGGAACTCTACATGGATCAGTGACATAGCAGGCTGTGTCCCGTTGAAGCCTTAGATTCTCGATGTATCCAAGGATACATGTGAATTTTGGGTCTCGTTTTCGTTTCTCATGGCAATTCAGATGCTACCTTCTTCAAGCTCTTTGTGCCAGTTGACAGCGTTACGTGTAGCATTTTCCGAAGCGTAATCACTATCGTTAAGGAATCTTATCCAAGTTGGTCGCAGAGCTACTGTAACTGCGTCAAGCAATATCCCTGGCTAACTTCCCGTTCAGGGTTTCCCATGGAAGAATACCCCCGCGTGCAACCAGTACGGCGGCCTCAAGGGATCGTAGTGCGGCAAGGGCAATCGCTCCTATTATTCAGGCAACAACGACATGATATACAACCTTGCACCCTCAACGTACGATACCGATGTAGTACAGTTCGTGATAGAGAAGTAGCAGAATTCAACGTCGCAAGGTGGTTCAGAATCGACAGCGATCGAGAGTGTCAGCCCCTCTACTATGACAACATCTCCAGTGTCACCAGCAAAAACTCCGTCAGGTAGCACTAACTCTGCTGCTAGCGTCTTCAGGAGCCGGCGTTTGTCAACCGTTCTGGGAACTGGGGTGCTACTTGCTGTGTGTCACTTCATTGATGGGGAGGATGACACGATCCTCGGCATCTATGTCGTTGCTTGCTGCTTGTCATGTTAAATTTTCGCATATTCTCTTTTCTCGCGCTCAGAAGCTAACTATAATTTCAGATCAGAATACTTCCCACAAGTGCTACTTTCCAATACTATCGCGATGCGTATCTACCTAGACATGTTTGAGACTGTTAAAATACACTCTTAACAACCATTACAAATAATTCAGATAGGGTCGAGATGAACTTGAAGCTTGGCACATGAAAACGCGCAGTGGCACCGGAACCCGTCAGATAAGCATCGCGATATACCACACCAGAATAAAGACCTACACATCCCTTGTGCTTTATCAACCTGCTTGCTTCCACACTTATGATTTTAGGATGTAGCGGATAGCTGGTCACCTATGCTAGGCTACGAATTAAATCCTTCGGGAACGTAAGTCAGCAACTGGACTCAGACCAGTCAGTCCCTCTCCGGGTCAGTGAGTTCGACATTGTATTTTCTCAGCAGCTCTGGAATGACCTTGTGGATCTCGATCATAGCCATGTTGCGGCCAAGGCATTTGCCGCTCCCGGCCCCGAAGGAGACTCCCAGAAGGAGTGACACTTGCACCGGCAATCCTGACGGTCCCGCGGCAGGACCGTCAGGATTCACTTGGAAGATCTTCTCGAATGCCTCACGCATTGCCCTCTCCACATTTATTCCTTTTGGCTCGCCAATCACAAGTAGTACAGGCACTTTGGGCAGCCCCACCCCTCAGCCTTGTCCTTATCTCATATTATGCACAGACTACTCTGCTTGCTCACGAGCAAGTGAATTTTCATGCTTCCTTCTCACCATCGTCTTCATTATGGTGTTGTTTAGCATGCAATTCTTCCACAGGAGCATCGACGCGATAATCCATCAGTGTGCGTACATCGGCCAGGAAGTAGCACAAAAAGACGGCGGCTGCTGATATCGGGGCGGCAATGATGAAGACAAGGCGTAGGGAATCGGCCGATGCTTGCTTCACCGCAGCTGCGCAGGCAGCAAGGACCGACGGCGTCACTCCAGCTATTTTGCCCAGCGCATCGCCGTCTTTGCTAAGAAATGCCTGGACAAACTCTGGAACTGAGCTTGCAGGAACTCCGTTTTTTGCTGCGGCTGAAGCTACCATGGCAGGTGATTTCTTGCCGATGGAGTCAGTAAAGACCGCCGTGTACACCGAGATACCGACTGTCAGAGCGAGAGCACGAGTTGTCGTGAGAACGGCGGTAGAAGTCGCGATGAGATGATGCGGCGTGCAAAGCTGGATAGCGGTGACTAGCAGAGCCAGGATCACTCCAAATCCCAGCCCTGTGAGCACGGCGAACGCTATCGCACTGACCGACTCACTGGGTTGGATCGTGGCGAAGCCGACCAGCCCGCCGGTCAAGAGGAGGTATCCTGCAGCAATTCCCTCCCGCACGCTGCGCAGCTTGGTGCTAAGATAGCCAAACAATGCACTTCCGATGAAACAGCCGACGTAAAAGCCTTCCTGACGGGCCACCACCTTCATGGGATCGGTGGTGAAGAGCGACTCGGTCCTATCGGTGTTCGCGGTTAATAAGGGGGGGGGCCGAAGAAAGGGTGAGACGGCTCACATGACTGGATAGAAGATGACGAAGGAGGCGCCGACAAATCCTTCGATGAAGATGAGAAGGGCACAGATCCAAGCCGTCCTGCCCGCCCCATTTGGTCCCATGAAGAGTTCGTGGGTGAATATGCCGTTTTTGGTACCGAGCCACTCATACAAACCAAATGCGACCAGGAAGACACCCCCGATGATGAGTGTGGACAATACCCTTGCGTTCGTCCAGGCGTACAGGCCGCCTCCTTGACTCAAGCCGGTCAGGAACAGTGTGAGACCAACGGTGACCAAGGAAGAGCCCGGCCAGTCCATCCGGCCAAGTTTTTGCCATGCAGAAAGATGATCAAGCCTTGTATGCCGCTTGGGAGGCCGATAGCCGACCAAAATGCCAATGGTGGTCAATCCCCAAAGACTCATTTGTACCCACTGTGAAGGACGTTAGCATGGCGGATCAGAGAATTGGATGCTGTCCTTTTATACGTAGAAATTCCGCCATCCTCCTACGCTGTCCGTTTGCAAAAACGCGCCGAGGATGACCGGTGCGATCAGGGCCCCTACAAAGCCACCAATCTGCATACAAGCTTGTACCACTTTGACAGGGTCAACTCAGGTTACCGTCCTCGTCGATAGAGCTACTTACTTGGCCGCCATTTGCGGGGGACGATCTCGCTCGGGACGCAGTAAGCCAGTGGGACAGACGCGAACCCGACTCCAATCAATGATTGACCGGCAATGACCTGATACAAAGATCGAGACCGAGGGACAATAGCAGCACCAACCACTGATATAAGCGATGAACCGACGAGCAACGTCTTGCGAGCTTGGAACAGATCTGACCCAGAAGATATCACCGGCCCAAGGACTGCCTGGACGAGTGAAAGGGCATTGGGGACCCAAGACTGCAGATTCTGCTGACCGAATTCCCCTGCAATCGTTCCAAGCTACACAGGGGGTTTGGTTAGCATGGGACCTTTCCATTTTCTCGACAGGGACCGACTCATTCACTGACAAATACTGGTGGGCCATTCAGCGCAATAAGTTGCACCATATTCAACATGAACATCGCCGCGAGCGCAATCCAAGTTCGGGCGTGGAGGACCGGCTCTTGGTCAGCCTCGTCATAGTTGAGATTCGTCTCTGCGGAATGGAGGATCTCGACCTGTTGCGCCACAGGATAGGATTTCTCGTCAGCGTCGTTGCTGGCAACCTGTGCGGGCGCCTCGTGCTGGGTAAATCCCAAGGCCATGTCGAGAAGGCGTCTGATATTTTCTGGCACCTCGCTTTTCTGATTGACAATGTCGTGACTGCGTAGACCACAGTCTCTGACAAATATCTATTTAAGTCCCTCAACCTTTCCCTGTGCTCGTAAGAACCCCCATGGAGTCCACCGGATATGCCGTGAAATGGACGAGTCCCGAATGAGTTTCTTCAGCCACCACAACACCCCAAATGCCCCGATGGACGTGACGTGTGTCGGCGGAACCATGGCGGCCGCGTGAAAGCAAAGTTTTCGCTAGCAGCCTCCGGGGCGATTAGGATAAAGGACTCGTAGCAGGAACGATGCTGTCCGAGGTTGCTGACCGGGTTACGAGCATGCCGCCGGGAATTCCGCCTACACAAAGCGGGTGGAGATGAAACCTCCCAAGCATTCTGCTTCCTGCCGATACCAACACTGTTGGGTGACTGTCCTGCCGGCTCATAATTATTAAGCACTTTCCTTGTCGTTCACGTATGTAGTCGGTGTTTAAAAGGCCGACATGCTGGGAGAAGCACGAGGCCACATCAACAAGGCCAAGTAAGGCTGATTTCCAACTACCACGATTTCACGCCCCTTTGGTCATGGCGACCAAGTTCTGCGTCGGTGGGGTTGAAGTCGCATTCAAGCCAGCCAACAGAGACTTCAGCAAACGCTGGAAGGATTTCGGTCCCTCTAACGAAGTGCTTCCGAAAGGATGGCAGAAAGAACCAGGTCGGCGCCCTTTGGACAGTGACCTAATTTTCGAAAGGGATGTGCCCGTTATTCTGCGAGACGGGTGCAAAATATATATGGACGTCTTCCGGCCTCCATCTTCGGACAGCACACCCGTCGCAGCCATTGTGGCATGGAGTCCGTACGGGAAACAGGGGAATGGTACGTCGTTCAGCC